CTGCTCTGACATTATTAAAACACAGCCTCTGTTGAATAAATGAAAGAGGTTTTTACCCATAGACTTATACTATAGACAACTTGGTTCCGGATTTGAAGCTGAAAAGTTCTCGATACTTCCTCGATTTTTCTTCATTTCCTGAAACCAACATTGTGCAGTAGCATTGTACGCATTCAGGGGGAGAGTCGCCGAGAGTCACTGTGATGTATGCTCATAGGCTTTGGACACCCATAGGCTGTTAAAGTGTCAATCATTCAAAACATGAACCCCCTAACATCTTTCAAAAACAGAGCTTCACAGAAAAAAGAGGACTTGAGCACAAACCAGTCTTACAGTAACTACATGTCAACATTGCAGGCAGGGAGGAGAAAAATGTATATTCTGTGTAATAATTTTTTTAGGTTTGTCCACAGCTCCATAAGCTTTGTTGGAGGAGGCGGGATTTATGACCTATACTGCAGCCCGTCACCAGAGGGTGCTGTTCTCAGAGTGGCTTCACCCAGCGAGAAGGCAGACGGTGTCCATTCTATATACAGTCTATGTTTTTACCACTCTGCTGGGCTTGTAGACTAAGGCCAAGAAATTTCATAGTGGGATTTCAAGGTAAGAGAGACACCAGACTGAAGAAAATCACTAGTTTAATTTAGCTGGACAAAGTTCCTGAAACAAAACCAGAAGTCGAACCAGTTAATGTTGATCCAGCTCCTCTGCTGGTGTTGAATTGGATGGAGACGATGTTTCCCTACTGCTGTTCTTCTGCTATTAGTTGTAATGAAAATTGCCTAGTCGCAGTGTTACTGCATCTATTAGTACAACCCTACTTCTACTAGTGTAATAAGTCAGACAGCTTGTGTTCTGGTAGCTGTGCTGATTACAATCAATCTGTGATTGAACAGCTCCAAAGTGTGTAGGGAGCAAGCCGAGGCTATCTTCTTTCAGTCATTCACTTGTTTTGTTCCTTATATATCAAAATAAGCAGGGCAGAGAAGAAAACATCTGCTGTTTTAAAAGGATTTCTACAAAAGATCCAGGTGTGAAAGGATCCTGTGTTTTTTCCAGCAACATACTAGCAGCATGCAACAATCTGTTGAGAAATACAGCTTGAAAGGGAACGGTGCATCTACGGCTTAACATACCTTAGTTCAGTCCTTCTTCTGAGTCCTTAGTCTTATTAACAGGTTTATGATTTCATCTCCTTTTCCTTTTATATTGTGTATAAGCTGGCAGTTCTTGCTATTTTGATATTGCGGTCTCTTGAGTACAAAATGGATTATTTTCTGGCAGCTTTATTTGTCACTTTCACATGACAGCATTAAAAATCAGTGGAGACTGAAACGACACTGTTTGTCATCCAAGATCAGAAATGATAGCGATCTTCAGTTTGCCAAAACACAATCAATTACAATTTCCTTTTGAGACTATAAAAAACAAACTTCATCTCACATAAAAGGAGGAGAAAGCAACCTGTTTGTTCTCTTCTACTTTTATGCGGTAACATTAGAGAAAAAAGGGTTTGTTGTTTGGGTGCCCTGAACACTGACAATACAGTGGGAGCACTGCAGCACTGTCAGTCTCAAACAGAGACAGAGCTGTCGTTTTCTCTGTGTGCTCTCTTTAGCTCTCACAGTGCACTTTTTCTGTGACTCAGACAAAAAGACCCTGGTGGGCAGTTCTCTGCTGTCTGAACTACTTTTCCACTCATTTAGGGACTGTTCAAGGTACACAGTGTTGTTCATTGGCCGAGCCACCTGTACATTACATCTCTGACAGGATTTTGCTTTAGAATTTTACCATCAGAGGGCAGAAAAATCATAATAAGTTGATTGATACAAAACCCTCACTTTTGACTGTGGACAAGATCTTTCTTTGTGTCTGTAGAAGTTTAAGTTCATATTTTAAGGAATGTGCTGCAGCTTAGTGTCAGGATGCACTCCACCAATGGATAAATGGGTTAAACAAACACAAAAGACAGTTTCCTGATAAACTGCCATTTCATGCTTTCGTGATTCTTCTTCTAATGCTTAATAAGATGGATCGTTTTAATTGAAAACCAATTAAATGATCTGTTTATAACCGTTTTCTGAGAGAATATGCACTCAGTTTAATTGAACACTTACGCCAGTGTTGGCAAAAAGGTTAATTCATAATCCTGGGGCCAGACTTTTATGAGAAATTGAAATACAAATTTGCTTTGACGCACAAATAACCTTATGGAAAACAAACAAAACACTCATCTCCACAATGAGAGTCTAATTGCGATTTCGTCTAAAAGTGCTGAGGTTAAGTATTAGTCCAAAAATATGCAAACAATAAACACACAAATGTGAAATAATCAAAAAAGTATTTGCTGCAAGTGTCAATGAGTGTGTGTGTGTGTGTGTTTGTCTTTATATCCTTATGAGGTCTAAACATTGGAAGACATCCTTTCTAGTGAGGACCTTCTTGTTTGTGTGAGCATGTTGGAGAGTCTTCACACATAAAACGCACAGATGAGCTCACTGACCATAGTTCTTGCAAAATTTTAAAGACGTGTGTATGTGTGTGTATGTGCATGTGCATGTGCGTGAGTGTGACCCAGGTCTGATACTGAAGTGGATCCTCTCACCAACAATGCTGGTTGTGAACAGTGAGTCATCATGAGTAGGCCTTTGATATTCCACATAGCACTCCATTTAAAACTCACTGAGACTTCTCCTTCTCTCTGTCTCTGACACACACTCCCACGCACTCACACACACACACGCACACAGACAAACACTACACTTATCGATCAAAGTTGGCAGTGCAGCCGCTTTTTTCATTCATCCCCTGGTCTCCCCTGGCTTCTGCTATCGATTCCACTTTAGCGGGTGTTTAATTCACAGCCAGAACCGGCCTGCCTCAGCCTCCACTTCCAACACCTCTCTCAATGTTTATCGACCGTGTAGTAGCATTACGGCCGGGCTCGGTGTCTGTATTTGCACTGGGTCTGTTTTACTGCATGACATTTTGCAACTTATGCCTAAAATGAGCATTTCTCATTTTCAGAGGAGATTTTTTTTTTGTCCTCATGAACAAGCAGCTCACTTTGTAACGGGTGAACTTTTCGAAGCATAAAGAGAAAATATTCTTCCCGCAACACAACAATAGTGACGGCACTGAAAGGTAAAGCTGTGTGCATGTGTATCAGAGGGTGTTTGTGTGTATGTATGAGAGAGTGAGAGAGAGGGAAGACTTTAAGTCATCCTGAAATCACGTGCAGATTATTCCCTTCTTATCCCGTATGACTGAGAAGTCTTGTGATTGCAGTCCCTTGTTATGGTTCCTCCCTCTCTCTTTTTTTCTTTGCTTGAACTGAAAAAGAGTCGCAGAAAATGACAAGAACGGGTCCTGCATGTAAGGTGCAGCTTGTTTCCTCAGATAACAGCGAGAGATTAACCTATTATATCTTCTGATCATCTGTGTACATACAGTATATGTGTGTGCGTGTGTCTGCTTCTGACGTGACACAATCATATCCTCTCTTCATGCTCCCTCTGTCCTGATTTCTATCACAAATTGTTCAATTGATACAGAAAATCAGATCTCATGATTACAAAGTAGAGTGTGACACATTCTTTCTTCAGCTCTTGCCTTAAAACCGATTCCCAACAGAGACTCTACCACATAAAGGATTGTGTCTTTGTCTCTCTAGGATGAAGAGGAATCACGGTGTTAAGCCAGGAACAAGATTTTATCTTTGGAGGACAAAAATAGACAGGGCGCCTGCATGAGGGGGAAAGGAAGGGCATGATTGGTGGAATAAAATAGGAAGGTCTCACTGATTTTGAACTTAGAAACAACTTTTCCACACAGCAAAACCAAAAACTGACAGTTTACAATAATTTCTTGCTCAAAGACATTTGAATTAAATGTCGAAATTGCTTTTTTGTGTGTATTTGCTCCTATATACAGTGTTTTTTGCAGGTCAAAATTGTGCCACAGAGCGAAATAAATCTCCAGACTTGAACCATTATGTCTGAGGTAGAGCTTTTTCCCAGCACAATTTGAGTTTTAGCACAATAGTATAAGACAGCTGGTAAACAGAGAGAGCAAAATAGCAGAACAAACAAAAGCTCTTTCAACAGAAGTGACACAAGTCTACCCACAAGGCTGAAATGTTTCACCAAGACAGACACAGCACATGTGCTCTGGTTCTTTGCCAAAAGCTGAGTCAATTTCTTCAGCTTGAACCACGTGTGTGAGTTTTAAAATACTGTGGTACAGTATTAATACAGCTGCAAATTCATGTGACCTAAGTTGCAATGTAGAAAACTTTTAGTGATCTGTTTTTTTCTATTTCAGTGGGAGGGAATAGATGTCAGCGGAACAGCTTAAGAAACCATTCTGTTATGCAATTGTCACATGAATTATTCACATTAAATTATGTATTTGACAGGTAAAAGTCAGCAGGAAGATTTTTTTTCAGAGGACACTATCTAAGCATGTACAACCAAGAAGCCATCACTACTTAGTCCACAAAGAGAGCCAGAATTGACACTATAGATGGGCGATATGGGTTAAAAATATTCATCACGATAAGATTTGCCATTCTGGCCATAGCAATAAAAGTCCTGATAAAAAATATTATAATTCCAAACTATATTTTTGACTCATTTTGTCTTGAGAACACCAGTTGGAATAGTCAAATAAGATACTTAACCACAAGTTTGAGTGGTAGATTATGGAGAAAACTGATGACATCTAACAAGTCTCAAATGCGAAAACATTTTCAACATTTGATATTTCTTGTTATTTATCATGAAAGATTTTTCTGATGATATCGTGAATGATAATTTATCGCCCATCCCTAATTGAAACAAACATACAGGAGCTTTAGAGCACTGTTTTGTTGAGCACTTTTTGTCTTTGTTTGAAATTGTTGTATTTCCCTTTACAGCTCCCCCTGTTGGTGGGAGGTATTTTCAACTAAAACACTTGAGTACACAGATCATGATAGAAAGTATAGCATCACATCCAGATAAGTGTCAGTAAAGCTATGGTTTATTCATATGAACATGTTGAAAATTGGATACATCTTTGGTTCTATAATCTGTCACAATATACTGTAAATAATATGTACATGTTTGTATACATATACCGCATTTATAAATGCATTTATCCCATAATTACAAATATTACAAATATTGAATAGTGGAGTATAAATTTAATATAAAACCATTGAATTAAGAGATATAAATGTGCTTTTTGCCCGCCTAAAAGCCCAGGGTGACATGTGAAGATCTGTAAAACACTGTAAGGGAGAGGTGAGGAGACAGAGAGGACACCAGCTGAGAAAAAAAGAGCGATAAAGAGGACAAGAACAAGGAAGATAAAGGTACAAAGGGGGGGAGCATGAGGGAGAAAGACAGACAGCTAACACGGTGTAAACAGAGATTACCTCCATGAACCCTAAGAACAGATACACTGCGATTCGCTGCAATCTTTCTGAGCATGTGTTCATTAATTGTGTCTCCATGGTAACTGAAGAGGCAGTGTCAAGGCTTGATGTCGCCCAGAGGGTGACCTTGCTTTTGACAAGTGCACACAGCTGCATCCATCTGTCTTTCTCTCTTTCTGTCTCTGTTTCACTCCATCCAGTGTTTGAGCGAGATGTTGTCCCCTTTCCACCCCAGCCTGCAAAACCCACCACCCAGAAGGAAAAGTAGTTGGCACCTATTAACGCTTGGATTAAAAATAAAACACAGCAGAAGTAGTTTTCCCTCTGTCTCCTGCTCACAGACAGACTGGACTCTGTGTTGTTGTTGTTGTGATGGGATGAGAAAAAAAAAGAGGGGTGTTACTGGGCTCTAAAGCAGGAGGAGCATGTCCCGCCTTTGTCTTTCTCTAACTGGGGGGTGATGGTGTCGGGGACCTCTGACTGGAGCATGTCATTCTCACTGGCGATGATGTGTTTCACCAAGCAGTTCGCTGCCTCATCGATGTTGATGTTTTCCTAAAAAGGTGAAGAGACAGAGAGAAAGAGACAGAGAGAGGAGGGTGAATGAAAGGTGGGGTGTGAAAGAGAGGAGGGGGAGGTATAAATAGTGTGATATGTTTTTTTGATGTCAGGAATAACACACCTGCAGAAAGAATTTAAAAACGTGTCCTCCTTTACTTCTTAATAACAATATGAAAAATAGTTGATCTAGCAGCACAGGAGGATAACAGATATAGAATAATGGGCATTTCAAAAACATCTTGATTTACAATGTCAAACAATATTCTTGGGTTATGTTTGAATGCTCTTGCAAACAATTAAGTTTTTCTTCATTGTAGATAAGAAAAAAGAATTAAGGCTGCAGACAAATATAGATATCAGTGTGGTAACTCTTTGCCTGCATCTGCAATGTAAGTTATATATATTCAAGGCCGAACCCAAAGTGAATGTACTGGTTAAAAACACTGGATATCTTTTCAATAACATGTCTTTGCCACTTAAATTCTCATCCTAAAATTACAGTGTCTGGGTACTGGATAATGGAGAAGTGTATTTTCTGTGACAGCTGAGCAGCTAGATTTGATGTTAACAAGAAAGAATCTGTGACAATAAGATGAACTTTCAAATGCCTGAAGTTCTGCTCAGTTTACTCTCAAATCCAATTTAAATTGGGTCCTGTTTTAACAGCGTTTGGCACTCCAGCAAATAATCTGTTTGTTATTTCTGAGGAACTTTTGAGGGCACAGAGAAGGAGAGGATTACCTGCAACAAAGGTCTGAAACAAGAAGTGGTTATATCACGGTATACCGAACACAACTTGGCCAAGAAATGCCAATTTATGAAATTGGACCAGAAATACATGCAACAGCGCTGAGATAATCCTGTGGAATATGTCTTGCCTGATTCACAGACCTCTTCCACCTTTCCAAATAAAACACCACAAATAAAAAAGCCTGTCGTCAACAGCAGCCACACAATGGATTTAGAGCCACCTGGACCAGATCTGAAAGCTGAATAAACTTGATGAATGGCTCTTAGTAATAAAGTCAGGTTCACATGAGGAGAGGACCCGCCGAGAGTACTGATGAAGAAGGATACACATGCACGCACTTTTTTAATATGTAAGGCGTGATGCAGGAGCAGCAGAGACGCTGAATATTCATCAGATCTAACGGTGTGCTCAGTAGGATGTTACACGGTGTTGTCTTCTTCACACACAAACCCCTCTGCGTGCCAGGTCTTGATCTATCAATATCTTTGTGTTGGTATGTGTGTAAGATGTAGAACAAAAGATGATTTAGGAACAAAACCAAAACAGAATAACAGCCTCTCTACTATCTTCCAGCTTCACTTCTTCACTTCCCGGTGTTTTCTTGAGCCTGCAGAGCGTTCTCTGTGTTGTTTCAGATAAAGGTTTGAAATATTTCTTTTGGCAGGTAATTTTGCAGTGGGCTCACAGTTTGTCACTTATATTACACAAGACACTCTGCACCGCTCGGACTCACTGCACGATAGCTGCATGAAAACCAACAAAAAAACAGAGGCCCTTTTTTCTGCTTCAGGCTCCTCTCATAAACTGGGCTGTTGTTTTAAGCAGCATATTCAAGTTGAGTCCAAATCAGCCTAAATTTTGAATAATCCTGAGTACCTTTCACTAGAGCGTGGATATTATCATCAAAGGGCTTTTTAAAATGAATGAATGGACCCTGTAATTGTAGCAGCATAGTGCCAGCACCTTCTAACAGCCTAAAGTCAACGTCCAAAAACTGGATTTTGCAGCTGTGATGAGTGAGCGTGTCTATTTTCTTCTCTTATCACGCTGCTGAGAGATTCCTGCTCCACATAAGCAGCTATAAACGGGGCTTAGGCTGGTGTCTTTGTGTGTTAGTGTGTAAGGGGGTGAGTCCTTACCAGTCAGAATTTACTCAGCACATTCTCACATCCCCGCCTGCGTCAATGAGTGTTGAGTCAGGCTTTACTTTAGTGTGCTAGAGTTTTTTAAAATGTTTCATAGTTTTATTTTTATGTTCCATATGTGGTTACTTTATGTACGTGGATGTAATTGATAATTGGGGTTTATCTTCAGTTTAAATTGAAGTTTAACATTACACTTTTAACTTACAATGGGCATCTGCCAGTCCCATTAAATAATAAATTTTTGTCTATATTGTTAAAATGTTTCCATCAATTATGATCAGATACTAATGGAAGCTTCATTGTTGGTTTTCTTTGGTCCTTCAGCCATCAGCTGTAACCATTTCCCTTTGTTTCCATTCTTAACGCTGGGCTTAGCTTTCTTCTTCTCTGAGCTCAATCCTCATAAGCCGATCTCACTTTTAGCAGAAAGAGGATCATTATATTTCCAAAAAAACAAACCAGTAAATCCTCTTGATATGCCTTGACACCCTGTATGGATGGTGGAGCTCCTAACGCAGATGCTGATGATATGAAAGAACGGCTGCAAAGTCTGCTGAGAGACTCAAATTTGAGTGAGGCTTTTTCCTTTTACATATGCAAATGTGTAGACTGAAAGAGTGTAAAATTCAGTACTTTCAAAGAATCTCCTCTGAGTGTGCCTCAGCAGGAGCATTTTTTCCCTTATCTCCACAGGGTGATCATATACTGGGTCTTCTATACGTAGGAAGGCAGCAGCTTGACGGAGACATTTAAACAGGAAGAATACACTAACAGAGACAAACATCTGCTGTTTTGTACTGTTTTATATCTGTGTGTCTCACCTTAGCTGACGTCTCGAACCATCCCACAAAGCCATTCTCCTCGCAGAACTGCTCCATCTTTATTCCATTATTGGTCAGTACTTCCCGGCCCTGGTCACATTTGTTAGCCAAAAGCACAGTGGCTACATGTTTCCCATTGGCAAGTGTCAGTTTGGAATCCAAGTCCTCCTTCCATTTGGTGACGGCCTCAAAGGAGGCGGGCCTCGTGACGTCGAACACGATGAAGGCACCCATGGCCTCGCGGTAGTAAACTCGGGTCATGTTGCCAAACCTCTCCTGACCTGTAACACACACACATACAAGGACATAGATGTATGCATGCAAAGAAACCAGTTTGAAGCCAGTGTTAAAGGGAAATTCCAGCGTAAAATTAATTTAGGGTCAAACACACGAACTTAGACACCCCCTCGAGAGATGAATGTTGCCGTTCGCTTGCTTCTCTAGTTATACCAACTTTAGTAATGACCGCACAATAACAATACACACGCACACCTCAACCAAAACGCCACTCTATAGCTACAGATAATACTCAGAACAGCACCTAACTACATCAACAGTACATACAATATCTGCATCGACTGCAGTGGGGTGACACAGCTCAAGGAAGAACATTTATGATCATTTCTTCATGGAAATGCATTCAGACCAAGATGCTGAGGTGCAAAATAATTAATATGATGATTATTACTTCAAGGACATGATAAAGTAATGATCATAAATGTTCTTCCTTGAGCTTTATCACCCCACTGCAGTTGGTGATGGACTCGTCCCAGGTCTTCCTTCAAACAAGCGGCTGCTGAGTTGTGTTTAGTCTCTTTGCTAAAGAAATCAGGCAAAGCTAAAAAGATGTTTGGTGGCTGGGACACTATATGTATTGTTGATGAAGTTAGGTGCTGTTCTGAGCATTATTTGTGGCTATAGAGTGGCGTTTTGGTTAAGCTTGGCTCCTGAGACCGCTGTGTATTGCTATCGTGCGGTCGTTACTAAAGTTGGTATAACTAGAGAAGCAAGTGGTCGGCAACATTCATCTCTCGAGGGGGTGTGTAACTTGGTGTTACAGTGTGTTTGACCCTAACTTAATTTTACGCTGGAATATCCCTTTAAGGTCTGCAATGTCAAATAGTGCATGCTTGAATTTGGATCAGCTGATCTAGCCATTTTATCACACTTCTATCTCATCTGTACCACCATGTAAGCATCCGAATCACACCTTTCCCCTCGCTCACAAACATACACTCAAGTAAACACACCACAGGCACAACTACATGCATGTTTGAACTAGTTTAAGGGCAACAAGATAAGAATTAGAAACAGATAAAAGGCGGACATGAGAGGGCGAAAGGTGTCTTTGGTATGTATTGTGGCGCCTGCCTGTGAACTCGCCTGTAAGACATTCCTGAGGGAAAAATGAATTTGATAAGCTGGGTTGGAATGTATCCACACTGATTTTCCCATCTATAACCTGCTCACTATCAGTACCAGTCTCAAACTAAGGCACAGCCTGCTTCAAGGCAAAGTAAGAAATCCTCACAATGTGGACTAAAAAGAACTAAAACTCTGGTCCAAACAAAAATTTATTTTTCCAGGGAGGATGAAAAGAGTATGAATTCATTTATAAGGTGCTGTGTAGGAACACTGTCTCTCAAGTGCTCTTGCACAGGTGGATGAGGGCACAGGGTAAACAGAGAGCAGGTGGGAGGAGGTGTGACTTCTCTGAGGACATGCAGCATTAGAAGGACACAACCTTGGATCATATTAACAACGTTTATACTCTAGTATTACCGCCTACCGAGTTTCTACCTCTGTATAAGTCAGCACACAGGATTATTTTCTGGGCAATGACATTGTAGAGGACATATGAATCTTTAACAAAAGTGTCTTTCTGAAAAACAGCATGAGGCGGCTGTGACCAGACAATTGATCGTGAACAGGAAGGTCGACGACTCAATCCTTTGTCCCAAAGCCTACATAGAAAATGTTTCTTTAGCAAGTCTCTGGACCCTTAGAGGCGAAGCTCTCAGTTGCATGAATGAATGTAAATTTATCATATGATTAAATGAAAGGCCTTGTTTGGCACTGCCATTAACTCTAACAAATGAGAAGTTTGTGCTGTTGTTCTTCATGATTGAGAGAAGTAGTTTGATCAGACTTGACTAACACCAGTCAGGCAACATTATCAAACAACTTGATTCCAAAGTTGTTTGTTCTGATTGGTGCATAAGTGAAAAAAAAGGTAGAAAGTGAACAGGGAAAAAAGTGAAAGCAAAGCCTAATTCTGTGTGTCAACATAGGACAAAGTTCCCAAGGTAAGAAACTGATTGAGAAAGTTGGTACATTAGTTACCTAATGTAAGGAGAGTCACTGAGTTCATTAGCAGAGAAATGAGGCAATAAGCGAGTCCTGACTAAGTACAACAGAGGCCCAAAGCATCAGGACTAAAACTTGAGCTGAAGCACAGACTTCCACAGCTAAATAAGTCTATTCATACAATTTCAAGAATCTGGACAGTCCGAGGGCTAATATTTTAGTGATCCAGGCAGCCTTTTTCTGATCAATCCCTTTAAAAAGTCTAAATAGTTTAAGAAGCCCCAAGAGAAGTACTACACCAGCCTCGATAAAGTCTTCATCACGTTTGCCAGTGCAGCAAGCCCCTCAGTCTTAGCAGATGAAAAATGAGAGTCCAAAATAGAAAGGTTAAGGCCATTATTTGTCTGGAGAAAAACGCTGAAAAACCTCATGATTTATTACAGCTCCGGCATGAGAGAACTTCAGGCCATCGTCAAACTCCAAAAGCAACCAGAAAAGCAAAACAAGAGCACAAACTAGAACAAATCCTTTTGGATGTGATTTCTAAATGTCACAAGCAAAACGATGCCATAATTTTTTAATTCATTTTATTTGACCTTATCTTCAAGCTACATGGAGAACATGACACAGACGTCACCTAAGCTAAACAGAATACTAACAACTATGTACATGACTTGTATAATACAGATTTATCGCCGTTTTCTTCAGAGGGAGCAACTCATCTTGAGTTCACAATAAAAGCTTTCTGTATACACGAGCTCGGGCCTCAAATCTCCCTCACATGAGTTTGAGACACATGACCGCTTGCGCTTACTGGAGAGGGCGCACAGGAGGGGAGAGAGCAGCAGGTCAGAGGATTCTTCTAAACCTCAGCCGACACTCATGTGAGATGAGCCCGCCACAGCCTCTAGATTTGTAATCAAACCCAACAGCATCCCACTCAAGGGACGTTTTTATTTCTACTTAAAGTGTTCAACAATGTCAAGCAAAGATCCGTATACAAAGCAGGAAACGATCTAAGACTTTCTCATTGTCCAAATATAAATTACTACATTTCTAACTGTTCTTCCTCCAGGTGTGATAAAGAGAATTATACTGGAGCTTGTTTATTAAAGAAGTTCAAAATATAAACTGTCACAACAGTCCACCCTGTAACTTGTTCTTTCTAATGACCAGAAACAATCCTAATGGCCGACTGTTGCCATGGTTGCTCCCTGTTACATCACATGGGATCATGATGCCCTGAAAAAGGTCACGTGCCTTGAACAGTGAGGTTTTTTTATCGGACTAACTGGCTGTTAAGCTGTGTTTAAGAAACCCTAACTTTATAAAATGTCACTTTTTAAAGGTTAAATGTGGGTTTTTCTTGTGTATTCAAATGAGATGAAATGTGTTCATGTAGGTATGCGCTGCATGACGTGTGATTTAAAGCCATGTTGCCAGCAGGTCAGCTGGTACACATGAGGAACATTAACCCTGAATGACCTTTAATATCATCCTCAAAAATGAAAGAACAACTGTGACAAAACGGTCTCATGCTCCTTCACTAGATCACTGTGTTTTCAGACCAACCACCAACTATCTGTACATCTCAAATCCTAGGAAAGGGCATTGATTTTCGCTGAACTGAGAAAATCTATTACCAAACCTGAGGAGAAATGGTTTTTGTTACTATTTGAGCAGCTGAGCTCTAATAAAAGGCTTCATTTATAACTCAGCAAGCTTAAACCACATATTCATTGAGTAATTTGTGAAGCAAACTCTTTCGGCAGATTAATGTTTGAGGAGGAAACTTTTGATTACAAGCATAAAAATATATTTTCTAAAGTTAATTTAATAGTATGCAGCATTTTTTCTAACTCACTTTTCATTCCCAACATATTAAAACAGCAAAATGGCCAAACAAATCAATTTTATCCATCAATATCAAACTTTTAACGACTTGTGCGTTCTATCATGTGGTACTTTTAAACAAAATCCGATAAATTACAACTTTTCATGTTCTCACAAAGTTACGTGACAAGTTTTAACCGGGGATTAAAAAGATACACCAACCATGTTTAGAGCAACTTTCGATTTTCTTTTGAAGTCGTTTCTTGTTTCTTTTTACCTCTGTCCCTTAATTCACTGGCCCCTCTCTGACTATTTGACATGAGTCTTGCGTAAAAAGTTGGAGCGTACCTGCAATGTCCCACAACTGGAGGCGCACCGTCTCCTGGTCCCAGTTGAGAACTTTGAGAGCGAAGTCCACCCCGATAGTGGCTCGGTAGTTGGGGCTGAAGTTGTGATGGACATACCGCTTGATGATACTGGTCTTGCCGACCCCCAGGTCCCCTATTACAAGAATCTTATAGAGATGCTCCTTTTGGTGGTTGTTCTGCATGGCGACCGAGGAGGGCGAGAGCTGAGCATGAATCCCCCGGAATGGAAAGGATCGGAGGGGAGGAAAGGGGAGCAGCACAGGGCAGCGCACGGAGAACTACAGAAGGCTTGAAGAAAGAGAGAAGGGGAGGTGAGGTCCGCCCTGGCCCAGGGAAGCGGAGCACAGACGTTTGGACCTTGTGACTGACGCAAGGCAGCTGCGTGCTGCTGTCACGTCATTCTCCAACTCAGTACTTACAATTACAAAAATGAATGACAGGAAGTAAAATTCAACTTTTGTATTGATTTTGTATAGATGCATAGGGGACTGGACCACTTGCTTTTTCATAACTTGGTCAACAATTATCTGTATTTGAGCAATCATATATTGTCATGAATTGGAGTTAAACAAAAAGAGAAAGGACCCAAATGCAGGACAAAAAAAGGATTTATGGTAACACTTTACAAAAACCATAACTTATAAATGGTAAATAGACCATTTATAAATGGTAAGCAGATAGTTGATTAATGTTTAATCATCATTTATAAATAGCATATAGACCATTAATAATAAATTGTAAATTTTACAATTTGAGAAACCTAGCCCTAACACCAACTTTACAATAACCATCTAAGTAATGTTCATAGATGTTTTAAAACCCAAATTATTAACCATTTACAAAGTGCTACTGACACACATTTTAATCTAGATGTTTTACAACCAATATTTAAACCCTATATAAACCTTGGATAAATAGTCCATTAATAATTAATGAAAATTATTAATCATAATTTCATTGCTTGTTAATGGTAAAGTAACTTTGAACTTACATTAATAATCTATCTATTTGCCATTTATAATTGGTCTATATGCTGTTTTTAAATGATGATTAAACATTAATAAAATATCTATTTACCATTTATAAATTATGGTTATTGTAAAGTGTTACCGGATTTATTCAAAAGGAACTAAAAGAAAAGCAACAAAACCTTACCTAAAATGTCCAACTGAAAAATCCCCAAAAAACACAAGAAGCAAAATCCAAGGAACCAGAAATCACTGAGGACTCACAGGGGGTACACGCATTGGCACACACTGACATACAGACACACACACACACACAATTAACCAACAAAGAAAGACAAGGACTATATATACACACACACAGGGAAATGAGCAACGAGAGGCAGGTGAGACACTGAGACACAGGTGCAGACAATTACAGAGGAGGGAAAACTGAAGTAAAACAAGACTAGAAACACAGGGAATAAACTACTACAAAATAAAACAGGAAACACTGAAAACTTATATAAAGAATGAAACACCGAGAACATGAGGGAAACAGGGTCAGACACAAACTGAAAACTCACAAGACAAGACTACAGGGGAACAGGAACAATAGGGAACAGAGACACTAGGGAAAATACAAAGAAAATACACTCAAATCAATAAATAAACAGAACATGTCATGACAATAATTAGCCTAACTGTGTAATTGGGTGTAGGTTGTGTTTTAGTGTTTTATATCCAGATGTTATTCTAGCTTACTGTGCAAAAGCTCTATTCTGCTTATTACCCGAATACAAACCGAATAAACTAAAAAGTAAAGAAGACATAAAGAGTTAAGAGTAAGGTTCGATCTAAAGAATTAAGTGGCCCTCATTCATTTTTGACCCAGTTAAGGAAGCTTGGGGTGGTATGATGGAAACTTTTTGTTGCAAAGATATAACAAGAAAACAACCTTAGAAAAAAAGGCCAAATAAAGCCAATAGAACCATGCCATAATGTGTAATAAAAATGTTCTAACACTGTCCTAACTTAAATTTTGATGAAATTTAAAACAAGTTTTGAATAAAAATTGTAGCCAAATAAACCTCTTAGACCCCCCATCGCTTCACACAGACACCAAACTGACGTGAGTTTTACATCAATTTTATTCTGTTTTTCCCAAAAAAGTGCAAATCATTGTACACAAATCGAAACACCGAGTCGGAGCCAGAACAAAAAGACACTATTATAAGTGAGATCCCTTTATTCGATTGATCAAGAAATCCCTTTAACTCGCTCCACAGGGAGACATGGCAGTTTCGGTACAATACGGATTCTCCTGAGAAAAAGAATTGGAAATCTTCTACTGGCACACAAACAAACAAACAAAAAAACAAACAACACCCCAGCTGTAATTTCCCTTTAGACATTATAACAGAGATTTACCATCATGATTTGTCAAAGTGTAAGGCAGTGTCTTTTGTGTTTAGTCAGTCACAGCTTGATGTAAAATCATTCAGATGTAGCAAAGCAGAGGTGTTAAAGAAAAAAAAACAAAAACAGTGGCGCTGTAACTCAGCTCTGACTTTGGTGATGTGTGTCAAAACAGTAACGTCAAAAAAATATATATATATATATATATTTTTTTTTTTTTTTTGCGTGTCCCTTTAATCCAGATCAATTTGAGACGCTACACACTTTTCAAAAATCACTTCTACATTCCTAAATATGCCTTCAGTGAGGGTAAACCTGCCAACTTTCCACAAACTGAGTTGTCCCCTAGATGGTTAGATGTTTTCAATAATGTTCAATCATCATGAATTTTCACTCAAGTCACTGCTTGGCAATTTGATGGGGTACAGGAAAAAGAGCTTCGTGCTACTCATCGCTCACATGATCCCACCTGCCATTAAAAAATCACAGATTTTACATTCATCTCAAAGCACACATTACAAATAGCCAAAATCATGCTGAAATTTGATCCGAGTTGCCCTCAGGCAGCACATAATCGAACCAGCCTGACCGCTTGACCTGCATTTACCTTCCTACAGTTTGGGAATGGGGTTGGCGGCGACTGCGATGCTCTCAATGGAACATTCGTCACTTCCCCGGCGAATTCGGAAGTAGCCGTCCTCGCCCCAATTGGTGCTCCAGCTGTTCTTGACAATCCAGTACTTCTGTCCGGTCATGTGGCAGCGGCCATATCCGACCAACAGCACGGCGTGGTTGGTGAGCTCAAAGGGGTTGAAGGGGTCTGCGAGCCCTGTGTGGTGGTAGATGCCCTCCTTATAGTGCATGAAGTCAGGGTAGACCTGTGAAGGATACAGATAATTTACTGTAACAATTTTTGGATGTAACAAAATCTTATTCCACCTTAGTATATGCCTAACTACATAAACATGAGACCAAAAAACCCTTATCATAGCAGTATGGAAACAGTTAGCAGTTTTAATACCTCAAATGCAACAGCCATGGGTCCGTTTTTCACCAGATCCTCCATCATGGCCATCTCACTGCATCCGCCATAAAATCCACCGACATAGTTGTATTTTGCGGTGTAAACTCGGACGCAGTTTTGGGGAACGCCACACGGAGAGTCCTTCCCAATGTACGGGAAGCATGACTCGTCCACAATGCCGAAATCCTGTGCATACTTCCCAATCAGATAAGGGAACCCACCATCACAACCTTGAGTAGGAAAGATATATTTTTTACTAGAAACAAACGTCAAGTTTTTTTTTTCCCCCTTTGTAGGTTGTCTTGATGTTTTTAAAAAGGTTATTCTCTTGCAAGAGCAGATATTTTAATATGACAGAGGCTTTTGTGGAGACTTAGAATAAATTAGTAAAACTGCACTAATTAACAAAAGAAATGAAACACTTGATTTTTAAAAAATAATTAAGACCACACTTCAAAAAAGAAAAGAAATACAGTGTTCTGATGAGGGAGGGAAGCAATTTTCTACATTAGTCAGTACAACACTTTTCTATGATATTCAAGCCTGGTGATATAAGAGTCCGCATTTCTTTATATTTATTCATACACTCTGTAAATAGAACAGATCTTAGCTCGTTACTGTACCTTGGGAATATTCTGAGCAGGAGACCACTTGTTGGGGGCTGAGGATAGGGCTCTCAGTGTTGTTGGTGAGGATTCGAATGCGAGCTTCCAGCATCCCCATAGAGGCGAAAGAGTAACAGCTGCCACATGATGCTGAAACACAAACATATTGAATTCATATGACTTAAGGCTAGAACATACAGGATGCGTATTTGGAGCGTGGCGGCAGCGTCGCGTATCACGCAACAAGTAGGTTGCCAGCTATGTCGCAACATCGTATCGAGAGCAGCACTGCTAAAGATACGCAATGAGTCCATTTTTGCTGCTCTAAGCTTCCAACGCGGGTCAATCCGCACAGCAAAGCTTGTTCCAGACGGGAAGTTAAGCACAAAAATCACGCATGTCATATTTCAAAATAAAACACTATATGTGAACTCCAGACTACGTATCAGTGCGTGTAGATGAGAAATACTTCCTGGCTATGGATTTATCAGTAACACAGATTTCTGATCCATGTGGACCCCAACAGGACTTTAACTGCTAACTCTGTTTGAAGGCAACAGCACAGCGTAAAGGAACATAGCTTACTTTATTAAACATGAGTAAACCTGCGAAAAACGAAACTGTAAAATCACGTTGCTTTTTCACATATTGTAGAGGCTCAATGGCCACTGAATTATATACAAATTAGCAGGAAATAGACCAAAGAAAGGTAAAACAACCTGTTGTGAGGATGTTGTTTCCTCTATACTGAGCCCAGCTGACCGGGGTTGTACTACGCTGCTGACACACTCCAAATACGCATCCTGTATGTGCTGCTCTACGGCGCAAATATGGAACACACTCAATACGGATCCTGTATGTTTTTGGCTTTAAACTAGTGTCAGCATATCAGCATCTCTTTTGATGGTTAATTAAAAGAAAATAAATCTCAATAATTTAGCAGTTTTGTGTAATGTTCTGGGTTTAATGACACCATGCAGTAGATACTCAAATATCTTATTCTGCATGTTCTTGCCCCCATTTACTCATCCTCATTAGCGCCAATACACAATACAGGAGCAAGGCCTAGAAACCGATACACTGATTAACACCAGAGGTTGGCATCCATAGTGTAAGACGCAGGGCTTTTAATAAAAAGCACTTTAGAAACAAATTAGGTCAGAGAACAGAGGCTGTGGGGATTTGTAGGGAGGTGTAATTGTAGTAATGATTCAAGTCAGGGTGACACTGAGAACAGTTTTTATTATGCTTTTATTAATAAGTCTCTTTGGAGCAACAACCATTCATCTAGATTTAGCATATGCTTCCTTACGATTTCTGAGCTGATGTGCAGATTTTCTGAGATAAGCCTGAAAGATTTATTTGATTTAATTTGTCGAACAGGACAATTAAGTTGGAGATCTCTCCCAAGACTAATGTTGAAGCTGGAATTTGCTTGGTTTCATTTACACAGTCCTCCTGGTTTGAATAAGTCCACCTGCATGCCACTTATAATGTTCCTATGCAAGCCTGTGGGGACCAATTTATACTTAATCTCATCGACTTGTGTGAACTGAAATGGAAACTACAAAACCCACCTGCTCTGTACCAATGGAAAAATAAGCTGCATGTCACTACGGTGGCTTAAAGGGCTCCTATTGAAACACTTTAGCCCTCTCCAGGTCCTTAAACCGAGCCCTACAGAGGCCCTCTTAGACACTCAGACTACTCAGCACGAATAATCTCTCTACTCACACACCAGGCTGTGCAGAAACACAGGAGCAGCAGAAAGCATCCCCAGGCCTGCCAAGAGGGAGCAAAGTAGCTTGGTGCTGCTGTTCAGTGTATGCTCGTTCTGTCAACTGCTCAAGTGTAAAAGGTTCGGCTTCGTCTCCCCGTTATTTAAGTTTATATTGTTCATACTTTTCTTTTGCCATGTCTTACATCATATATCTACTGAAGTTGATCCATGCAACAAAGAAAAATGCTTCAAGTGAACTTTATGCGGTTACCTTGGTTTCGCACAGGGCTGACAAAGTTAACACCGTTCACGTTTCTCCAGTCCCAGCGCTCAGGCAGAGCTGCTGCCATCTTGGCTTGTTCAGCTTTCACAGGCATAGGGCGGACACGCCTGAAAGAGGGAGATTGACGTGGATAACAGATCAGACGATTTGCTTTGACAGGTCATATCATCATATTTTTTAGGTTTATTTTGGAGCTTTTGTGTCATATTAAAAACAGGGACAGGAAAGTGGATAAGTGTGGTAATGACACGCTTCAAAGGGCAACTCAAAAGGGCATTGGAATCTGTGAAACAGGATATATATATATACACATATATCTACAGACCACCAGAGAGAAGACATTAAACAATAGAAAAAAGAAAAACACTATATAATGGTATATGCCATTTTAGCATACTTTTCATTAGTGTATCAAATCAAAGATATTTTTCTTCATGGCCCATGTGGAAATCTATGGCAAAGTCAGGAAAATGTAGATAAATGCTCACATGGGGATACGGGAGGCGGGACCCCCTGCTCTGTAGTGCAGCTCTTGCAGAGTGTACATCTCATGCTCGGGGTAAGCCACAGCTCGCCAGGATTTCTGAGCCAAGTTGATGGAATCAATGAAGTCAAGGTTGTGTTTGTATGGCTTCTGGAGCAGCCTGGAGGGTTAGAAAAAAAGTGTAACAATTAAAAACAACTATTTGAAAAAGGAAAGAGAGTCATCTGATCCACAAACGGACCAAACAGGTGAAAAAAAATAAAGTAGTTAGTCACAGAAAGGGATTTTTAGGGCAGTTGGCTGTGCAGTTGATAGCAATTGATGCATTAAAAAAAACTAACATACATTTTATATTCCATGAGTGGTTTGGACAGATATAACATAACATAAATCCAAGATAAAAATACTAACCTTATATATAAATAGGTGTGTCAAATCTTGACTACAGCTCAAGTTTCTTAATTTGACACTTTGAGCAAAATACCTCTCAGGATTTACATACCTGCTGCTGTAGAATGGTTTGTAGTATGTCTGGGGTGGTACTGATTTCACTTTCTTCCCCACAAAGCAGGCCCAGTTGTGACCCAGGACATCATGCACCCAACCTACCATGGTCTGGTCACAGTAGCTAGTCACCTTAGGGCCCTCCTGAGTGTACTGAAAGTACATCGTGACACTGTTAGGCTTTTCATCCAGTACGCAATTAGAGTTCAGCAATCAACATCTGACCTCTTTTTTTATGAGATGCCACTTTCAGCACATTAATCATTCAGTCAGTGACCTTTAAGTTTGCGGAGAAATAAAAGATCTTAGTCTCCTCATAACATTACAGTAAATCCTCACAAAAGGGAAGTGATGCTAGACAAGAATGAAACTATGCAGGTTTGATCGACAGGCTATGACACTTCCCCTCAACTCAGCGTCATGTGAGTGATGACAAGTAACTCGTGACTTTTGGTGAACCTCAACTGAGCTGCTTGGAAATAATCTACATCTGATCATTTTCAGCCTTTGCATAATGAAGGCGTGCAACTCATTTCCAGATAGCATCATATCTGATGAAAGCAGACTGAATGAAATAAATCAGACAAAGTAGATAACCAAAACTAACCCTCAAATGTCAAGGAGCTTTGAGTGTAATCTTTAGTGCAACTTTCTGCTCACATTATCCTCAGACACTCTTATTACCTGGATTGATAAGTTAAACACTAACAAGTGAGAGTTTATAGCCAACTGACAACTCCAATAAAAAAGGGAACTAACAGACTGAAGTAAACACTTCCAATGGACCAAAACAAAAATGACACATGTATTCTTCTACCTTGAAGAAGGCGAACCACTTGTATCCGTTAATGACCACCTCAAAGCCCTGGTTGTAGATGAGGGTGAAGAAGCCGGTGTTCCCGAGCTCATCTGTGGCTACAGACAGTTTTTCCAGTGTCACCGTCACTGTGCTCTCATCTGTGGCTGAGGAGAAACACCACAACATGCAATGTTATTGAGTGCAGAGAATGACTAGACTCACAGACAGGGCTTTGAGAATATTGCCAAATCAATTGTCCTTAACAACATGCAGTTAATTCTAACTGATCAATACTACCCAAGGTGAAGAGTTTGTAATGCCCCTGAGTTCTACTACCCAGTAAGACTTGTAAATAATACAGCTTGTTAATTTGGGCTGAAGGTACCTTCTTTGTTAATTTTTAAAAAAGGATCCTTTGAGAGTTTTTTTTTTTCCCAGTCAAATCAAATTTTATTTATAAAGCGCTTTTCATACTAGAAGATGTAACACAAAGTGCTTTACAGTCAGTTTAAAAAACAAAAACTGATACTTTGACTTATCTGGGAAGTTGCCTATGACTATTGCTCCAGCCTATTTTACTTATAAATAAATGGGTAAGTCTGGCAGTGTAGTCTACAGTATAACACACTGAACCAAAACTTAACCTCATCTTTAGATCAGTGGAGGGTCAAAACTAAAAACAGGACAAGACACAGGAGGGTTCAACTCAAACACAAGGTCAGCAACAAGAGTGTTGGTAGAGATTTCTTTCAAAGCATGATAAATGTCATTAAATTCATACCAAGGAGCAGCCATTTTACCACCTGCTGTCTTTTGTCCAAGTTGAAAATGTAACCCACAGGCTCCTCAGGCCTGGACAAGTCACATGCTGTCCACATTACGAAACCATCACTGTCATCTCTTCTGATGCCTGATCGTGGTGTCAGCAGTTTCATACTAAAATGGAGGGTGATTTATAGTTAGATTTTACCTTGAGCAGAGCAGTTGATGGTCTTTTCTTGCCCTCCTTTGGACACCTGGAACACCCATGTCCCCAGCAGGTCCTCATAGGTACAATTGGCCGGTGTGTCACCCCTCGACTCTTCAACCCAGAGCAGGAAAACACACACGAGCACAGCGCTCAGCCTCATATTTAACCACAGCTAGTTCACCACACCCGTCTACAAACACCTGAGGAGCTTCCAAGCCAGACCTGCGTTTGGTTGGACACACTAACAACCACCTGTCCAACTTTGACTTCTCGGTCTACAGTTGTCCCTTGTTCGCTATTTATGCAAACTGAAACTTTTTACAAAGAGCCAATCGGACACCTTCGTGGTCAAGATAGGTCCCCGGAACGTACAGCGCGCCTGCGCACAAGTAGCTGGAGAAAGACTATTATCTAACCTTCGCGGTGTTAAAAACGAGAAACACTAACAGCCCAAGATTAGTCATTTAACTTTGTACGTATGAACGCTTCTATCTCGACAAAAGTCACACAATGTAGATTGTACACTCCATTTGTCTGTGTCCCCAGGATTTTCAGCGAACAAGGAAGTACACAACGATAGCCCTCTCTCACCAACAATACGCTTTGTCTACCTCTTCCTTTTTTGTTTCGTTTTCCTCGTCACATGATCCCTCGGCTGAGGAGCATGCGCACTAAAGCTGGTTTAAAATACAACCGGCGATGAACTGGGGGATGTCCCTGCTGCTGCAAAACCCGATCTCTAAACTCGTTTCTGAGGTTTACTGTCGGGAAAAATGGAAATAGAACTTCAGAAATCCCTACAGTGACACATGGAGAATTTCAGCCTTTAAATTTATCAGCAGGGCTCTCAAGTATTGAAATAAGCTTGGAGTGAGATGGGGGCAAGGGTGAAGAGTAATTGGAGATAGTATTAGTATAGTAATCAGATATATACAACGGACTATAAGGGCCACATTAAAGAAAAAAAAAACTATGTTTAGTTTAACTATGTTTGCCTGAGCTGGAGGCTGGGTTTTCCCTCTGTAGTCTCAACCTTACTTAAAAAAAAGCCCTTCATTTAAATATAGTAACTTTTTTAAAGTGGTTTTACACTAACCAAGGAGTATTGGGCCTTTCCAAGCAGGGTCAGAGGGAACATACTGTTCATGGCCTACTTTTTCTACTGCACTGGAAAGTGTTGTCCGCTGTCTTTGCACGTTTTACTGTGATTCTATTTTTGTATGTTATTTCACCACCTCCTCCTCTTCCTCTCACATATTTTTGTCTGTTGCTCCGTCCATCTGTGGTAGGCCTACACGTTGTTTTTATTGCTGTCATTTCCCCCATGACTGGGTTTTAGTGATAAAAGTGTTAAAGTTTCCTTGACAGTAAGATATAAAAAGGCTGACCGTTGTTATCTGCATGCACGTTGCACCACAAAATAGGGTGGCTTGTGGCTACTCAATTCTGTTTCACAATGCACAAAATATAATTCATTTTCATACTTTATTTCATTCAGTTAATATTTAAAACACTCAATACAAACAAGAAAAAATCTCATCCCCTCTTTCATAAGATATAAATCAACTAAACACAATAAAAAAAAAAACAAGAGCTGCAGGCCAACATGCCTTTTTACAGTTCATTATTTCTCATTTTTAACATACTTCTCTGTTTCTCAACATACTGGCTTTGAAACTTTTTTTTTAAGATAAAATTTGATTTAGCTTCTTTAGTGTCTTTGTCCAGATTGTTCCACAAACTTATACCTCTCACTGTAACACAGCGCTCTTTCAGTTTAGTTTCCAATCTTGGGTTTTTAAATATTTCAAATCCTTTTAAATTATAACAACTTTCTGTCTTTTCAAATCGACTCTAGATGTTGACTGGTAAAACTTTGAGCTTTATACATAATCTGCAACATACTGAAATGTACTAACTCATTGAATTTTAACAACTGCAATTGAACAAATAATGGGTTTGAGGGATCTCTGTAATGACTTCTACTAATAATTCGTATTGCTCTTTTTTGAAAATGAAAATTGGCACAACAGGTGCTGACCCCCTTATAAGTATTGGCAATTCATACACATTGAAAATTGATGTTTTTTGGGGGAAAAAAGAGGTTTGGTGAAAAGATCTGAATTTGCAATTTGAACGTGTACTAGAGCTGGAAACAGAAACAAAGCTCCTGCAGTCTTGTATGATGAGCCACGAAGAAAATGACCTCACATCAGGAGGTGGCACCGAGTTCAGCTGCAGCAAAGTGTTTGACTCTGTGAAGAAATCATCCAGAGGTGACAAGAGGCTGATCCTTGAACGTGATGAGCCCGAGGTGACCTTTTTCATGAGTACATGGGGAAAGGGCAATAGAGGTGTCATTGATCTGCCTTTATTTTGCTCCTTAGTGACTGTTTTTCTACTTTCTGTGAGGAAATTTATTTAACAATTGTCTCTTGAAGGTGCAATGGTCAACATGCCCATGTGTGAGTGTTTGTGTGTGTGTAATTTTTATTCTGATAGGTCTGTAGTTAAAGGGGTTATAGAGCTTATTTTAGCCAGTGGGCACTTAAAGGGAGTGCTTAAGGCTTTTATCGCCATAGTAACCATGACACAGACTGACTCATCTCCTTGACAGACCATAATAAGCACTCATCTGAAGAAGGGACTGAAGAGGTATTAGTCATGCCGTCTCATTAGTGCCATTAAAATGTGCTTGTGTGGAAGTGTGTGTGTGTGTGTGTGTGTGTGTGTGTGTGTGTGTGTGTGTGTGTGTGTGTGTGTGTGTGTGTGTGTGTGTGTGTGTGTGTGAGTTAGTGTGGGCACATGTGTATGTAACTTCCCCCCTGTGAGTCCATACAATAAGGCAAACGAGAGGATTCAGGGAGCAGAGAGAGACACAGATGGAGGGTTGATGTTATGAATGTTAACAGCCGGAGCCCACTGAGCTGCCTCTAAGAGTGACTCATTGAAACCCATGTTTCAATCTTGATATTGTTCTCGCTTCCACCAGCAGGAAATTAAAAACTCAAGTGACTTTCAGTTCTGCTATATTGGCACCCACAGATTTGTTCCCTGTTTGCTCTCTTCATCACATTCCCACTTCTTCTGCCCTTTTGGCTTCTTTCCTCTCTGTACAGACTTGTTCCTTCGCCTTGACTGCTCTCTATACTTTCAGTTTGTGTCTTCAAAATGTTATTCAAGAGGGGATATATTGCATGTGAATTGATGTAAAACCCATGATTATGATCATCGTATCATTTTTAAAATTTTGTTGACATCATGTATTAGTATATGTGTGTGCAGGTGACAAAATCTGTGTCAGCATAAGCATGTCACCATCTGTAAATCCATTTTCCTCATGAGCACGCTTCCTTATGGGAAACTCTTACTCTACTATAACAGCCATTTGAACCTGATTGTTTGTGGAGGCAAGTACCAAATCCATGCAAATCCAGTCAAAACAAGACGGATAAACTATTATCACACATTAAAATAGTGTGAACTGACCAGGTGTTTTGCAAAAATGGGCAAATTGGACTGTGCAATAGTTCAGACTATTGAGTAATGTTAATAGCATAAAAAACATAATGCATGCTGTAAAATTCAGATTTTGAAAGCTAAAGAGAGAAGGTGGGCAGATAAGGCGCAAAAATCTGTAACTGAAATGAAATTAACAGTGACACAATAACTATAATTTATGAAACTGCTCTGTAGGTTCAGACCTGTTTTAAATACTAGATAACCATCTGTGACTATAATTAATTACTGATTCTATATGATTAAAAAATGCGTGGTTCCTCATTTGGTTATACAAAATAGAAATAAACTACCTGGCAAGGAGATTTCCAGTGTTTTGGTTCCAGTAGTGGTTACATCACTGTCTTTTTTCTGCCCTTTTTTAATCACATTGATCAGCTGGAAAAAAAGGGATTTTGAAGTTGCATTTTATGAATTTGAAGGTGTGGGAGGAGCCACTCCATCAGAATGGGGTTGGCCACTCCAGCCTTGTGGTGTTAATGTTAGATCCTTCACGTTTAAATTAAGGTCTCTGGAGTGGCTTTATGGTCAGCTACCTCCCTGTATCCATACTGGAGTACACCTACACACAAAGCTAAGTGCTGTGAAATGTGAAATGATTTTCTTTCCTCAAAGGCATATCCAGTCACACTATATATACATGTATACGTATGTTCACACACATGAATCCACAGCCTGAGTCTCACAGTTAACCACATGTTACCATGACACCCCTTTCCCCCACGATTTTTATATATACGCAGCAGGCATGTTGCATAAGATCAGACAATACTCAAAACAGATAAAGAGGAAGCATTATTAGAGGTGCTGCCTGAGCACCAAACATTGTATTACAAGGTTTAAATCAGTGTAATCTTTCAAGTTGTGTTCTTGCTGCAAACATTTTAATTGTAAAAGCATGGACTGTATATAGAATGGATGCTGTCTGCCTCTCCCGCCGGCAACTCTCCCACTGAATGCGTACAATGCTACTGTGCAATGTTGGTTTCAGGAAATGAAGAAAAATCACAGAAATACAGAGAGCCTTTCCGCTTCAAATCTGTGTACTAGCAGAAGGCGGAACCAAGTTGTCCATACTATATACAGTCTATGTGTAAAAGGCACTCACTGATTTGTCAGGCAGTACCAGACATACTGATCAGATGAGGGGTGTATTTCCAGAGGTGAAAAAAAAAAGAAAAAAATTGGGGTCTACAGGGTTAATCATCTTAAAGGAAAAACTGACTGAAGTTTGCAGGTAACAGTATGAGCACAACTCTCATTAAAAGTCAACCAAAGACCCTACATTGATGATAGCTTTCAGCCCTGAGATATGGCCACACAAAGAACCACTTTCATTTGAAAAGGAAAATTAGTGTAAGTGTACACTATGCTTGGGGCATATGGGGCAGCTGTATGGCAGTGATGAATGCCACTCAGCATGTAGCCAAGACAAGGACAAGCATAACGGGGTGAGGTGTATTCTCTGTGCAGGAGCTTTGTTCATAGCTGGTCATTTAATCTTACGAAACACCAATCCAAACCATACGCTTTCTCTTAGCAAGTTGCTACAAACAATGGTGACACAGGTTGGGTTGGCAGACCACTCCACTCCATCCAAACAGCCTCAGCTTGGTTTCAAATCACTGTGAGCTCTATCTAACAGACTGATTGCAAGGTATATTGAGGGAGACATGCCTGTCATATTGTCTGTTGAGTCTGCTGCTTTCAGAGAACAGAGTAGACAGTAATAAGAGTGTTGATTCAAAAAAGAAGTAACACTAGAGATACTTTCAAAAGTGACAAATTTCTTTCATAATGCAGTAAATTAGTTAGACATTAAGTTAAAATCATACAGTCACAGTTCTGAAGTGAATAAGGGTCGTAATCGGTTATGGTATGTGAGGTTACATTATTTGTAATGCCGAAGGCCTGATGTGAACCGAAGTGCCCTGTAAGTTGAGGGAAGAGAGGTGGTGTTTTGCTGGGAAGAAGTTAGAGAAGTTTTGTACTGATGTCAGAACGGTGGAACAGCATTTTTCACTTGCTGGAGGCCTGCATCACGTGAGCAGCTGTCGATTTAATGTGTTTAAAGCTTTGAGGCTGGCAAGAGTGTTGGCAAGGTCTGTTCAGGTAGCCACCTTGATCTTGAAGGGACTGGACAAGGTGTACAGAACCGCTGTTGAAAACTGAGTCTCCAAACTGCTGAAAGGTGAAGGCTGAGGACACTGCAGAATCAGAGCCTGGAGTCCAACTACAGCCCAACCATCGTGGCTGGAGTAAAAACAAGGCAATCCTTGGAGTATGTTTATTTCTCTTTATGCATGTTGCAGTACTGAAAGCAAAGTCAAAGAGGCAAGGAAGAAATGCAATTGTATGATCTTTGTTTCTGGAATAAGTTCTGAAACTTTCTTTGTTTGAGAAGAAGATCAGCACGAAAAGTTGCTCTAGTCAAGACAGATCCCTGGCTTTTACCTGTTTGGCTTATTGGCTTTCACTTGATTTTCTATCCATTTTAAAGTATCACATGGATGTCTTCCTGACTAACCAGCCCACACCTGCTGGTCTTTAACTTCAATTTGTCCCATTTTCTGTCTTATTGCCTTTTTATCCTTTCCATTTCATTAGGGGGCTATTGGCTGCAAGTCAGTGTCAGCAATAAGAGATGGAGAAAAATAAAGACAAGGACTGTGGGGAGGATTAACAGAGGGAAGTAACACAGGAGAGGGAGAATGAAGAGGTAATTTTATTGTTTTGACCTTTATGCCCTCAGTGAAACGAATAACACATTTTTTCTGTTTCTGCAGTGTTACTATGATATTGAAGCTGATGGAGAAGAAAGACTACATCACAGGAGCTGTCAAGGTGGTGTCTTGCAGCCTCCACTGACTGGGCTCGGCGCGAAGGCCAGGCACTCACAGACAGTTTGGAACTGCTTTCGTGGGCGATGGAACTGGGACTTTGTCCAACTACTGGATGAAACAAAACCGAATGGAACTGGTGGAAATAAGAGGTGTGAAAAACTGTCTTTCCTCCAGACCTGAATGAAAAGGTGCACGCTGGTGCGATGAACAATTCATATCATAGGAAGTGGAATTGAGAAAGAAATACTGTGGAGTTAGAATCATAGCTGCAGCCAAGCTAATGTATGTCTGCTGACATTTAGTAATCTTTGACCCATTCAAAGGTTAAAATACATAATGTGAAACAGCTTGAACTGCTTTGAACTGCCTGTATGAACTGAACTGTGTAAATCAATGACAAGCAATGTCACCTAATGTATTCTGAAGCCAACAGACCATAGACTACTATTGACAACTTGGTTCCACCTCCCACCAGTATACGGATTTGAAGCCGAAAAGCTCTCGGTATTTCCACGATTTTTCTTCGTTTTCTGAAACCAACATTGCGCAGTAGCGTTGTACGCATTCAGCGGGAGAGTTGCTGTGATGACGCTCGGCTCAAATAGATGAGCTATGCAATCCCTGAACGCCAATAGGCTGTATCAAGTGTCAATCATAGAAAACATGTGATTTTTGTTGTTTTGTATCCTCGTCATGGTCATTATTACTGTTATTATTGTTGTTGTCGTTGTTGTTGTTATCATTCATTTATTGTCATTATTATTGCCGGTATTGCTATTGTTGTTGTTATTGATGCTGTTGTGGGTGTTGTATCGTCGCTGTTGTGTCGGTAATGTGTGTGTGTGTGTGTATATATGTATATTTCAGTGTAATCTAATTAAGATTTTTTAATTATTTATTTTTAATTCTCTATTATATATATATATATCCCCCCCCCAAAAAAAAAAAAAAATATATTTCATTAATTTTGTTGTTGTTGTTGTTATTGTTGTCACTCTGTTTTGTTGTTAAAAAAAAAAAAAAAACTGTCTCACTGTAACTACATGTCAACATCACAAGCATGGGGGATTTATTGTTCTGTGTAATAAATTTCTAAAGTTTGTTCACAGCTACATAAGCTTTGCTGGCAGATGCGAGATTTATGACCTATACTGCAGCCCATCACCAGAGGGTGCTGTTCTTGGAGTGGCTTCACCCAGTGAGGAGGCAGACGCTGTCCATTCTATATACAGTCTATGCCACAGACTGAAAAAAGCTGACTCAAACCAAACACCTACAACAACCCCACCCCTTAGTCAAATTAGCCACACCCCTTTGATATGTATAACTCATTTGAATGTAACCAGAACAGGTAAATCATAATCAACTTCACCCCTGCACAGTTTGTACAACCAGAAAACATTAGCGATTGAGAACAAAACTTTTGTTTTTTTTCCATCGAGCCTTTATTAAACTGTAATGGCTTTTTAATATAGGCTCTAATGATATTTCTTTTGAAGCCAGCTTCAAGCAGACACTGAGCGAGCTGCAGTTTTCTGTATCTTTCTCACTGGCTCCACTCTAAAGCTCTGCAGGTTGCCACTTGTCTGGGATGCAGTAACAATTTCTTTAATAAACCAAAATCGAATAAACAGATAGGAAAAGACAAGGGGGTTTGATCATAGTTGTTTTTTAATAATGACTCAAAGGTACTTCGTAGTACACTTACACAATGGTTTTCTCAATGGTGAACAAAATAAAGGAAACACATCTTTCTTTGTACCTTTCACCCGACCATACACAATCTCCCACCATATGTTGTTTACACAGATTGGAGAATCTTAAACTTGGTTGGCACGACCCAGTTTTAAAAAGACAAAGAGAACCATGTCACAGTAAAAAGCTGCAATTTCTGATGACACTTAAAATTTTTAATGTTATTCTAAGAAGGCTGCCGTACCTCTCTCTTAGTGCCTAGACGGTGAGATAAAAATCCCTGTTAATGCCAAAATATTTCAGTAGCACAGTGTTCTTGCAGAAAAGAGAAGTGCCCGACAAACTTACATAAATGTCTTTCCTTATCCAGCGTGGCTAAAGTTACAGTTACTTCCTTGTATAATGAGCAGTAAGGAAAAACTGTCAGTGCTCACTTCTCATATCCCATCACTGCACTATCAGTCCAAGTGTTAAGCATGCATGGTCTCAAAAAAGCAAAATATCTGTTTTTCCTTTGTCCTCCATTCTGAAAAATGATGTTCAGCCACAATATAAACATGTTTATGAGTAGGTGTGTACCCAGAATTGTGTCAGATTGTGTGATTTTGAGGATTTTCATAAAAAGCAAGTACAGCAACTGGTTTATTGGCTGGTGCATTAAATCTTAACAGTGTTAAATGTGTGTGTTTTTTTATTGCTCCACAATAAAAGATAAGATAAAACAAATCCACAAAGGATGTATCTATGAACCCTCACTTTGATAACCTAAAACACACCAGGGTTGTAATTAAAGTGCACGGAGCATCCTGTTAACACTGCCCACTCCTTTGGTTTCTAGTGACCAGGGATCAAATCAGAGAGGTGCCTTCACAGGCATCACTGTGGGCCGATTTGGAGCGAGGAGATAAAGATTCATTAACTAGAGATGAAAGGAGCTCTGTTTGGACAAAACCGCTCGTGTTCTTTCTGCCAGGTCTACAGGGAGCCTCGAAAAAGCTTGTAAATGAGGCCCAAGAGTCAGTGGGAAACAATGTTGCCCAGCAATTCATTTAGAAATCAAATATTTCTAAGATCAAACCTTCACATCTCTATAAGAAAGGCTGAAGCTAGTCAAAGGCTCATTTACAGGCAAAAAACAGTAATTGAACATATAAATTTGAAGTAGACATGTACAGCCCCCCCTCGTCACCCATCATCACTCCCCACTAAAAAGCTTCTTAGAAACATACAGTATTTTCCATACAGCTATATTCTCACACTGCAAACTTCACAAAGCTGAATCAACGTATTAAATAGAGAAATATCCAAATATAAAACCATCTCCCATTATCACACCAATATAAAGCACCAAATTACATTCTATAGTTTCACATCAGGAGGAAAAAAGCAAAATAAAACAAAGCTTTAAAAAGTCAGTTCAACTATCAAATGCCCCCGAGTGGATGAACACAACAAGGCTTCCTCTAGGAAATGACAAAATTCATCTCAGTCGTGTTCACAAAATATTTGTATTGTAAAAGAACCTCTTTGAAAAAAATGTTATTGTTTCCCCAGAATCTCAGAATCAGATTCAATTCCATTTTAGTTCCACTTTTGTAGAGTTTTTCCAACTGAGCAAGAAACACACAGAGCACTAGATAAAAAAAAAAAACAGATGAGAAAAAGTTGGCACTGCGTGGAGGAGCTTATGTTAACAACTCTCTGTGATAAATCATCAATGGAGTCTGAGGGTACACTGGCTTGACTCAATAGTAATTCTTCCAAGAACTTGTTTACATTTATTACAAAATTTCTATTTCCATAATTGTCATTTCTGCCAGGAGGGAATAAATACGAAATAATAAAAACACATTTTTCATTCTTCACATTCAGCAAAAGAGTTCATCTCGTTCAACTTATCCTCATTTCAAACCGCCATTATTTTCTTTTATCCAACTGAAGCCCAAGCTTGCCTCTCCAATAAGCACATATCAATTCAGGTTATGATAAATCTGCGCTGTAAACACATTTGTACATGACCCCACTTTACATGAAGATGAGCTATTCTTTGTCCAGAATAAATTAGATTGGTTTTTCACCCTGATCATTTCGCTCAAAACAGAATTTGAGAGTTTGCTCAGCAGCTTGTAAAACATCATGACACAGAGCAGGTACTAAAAAATGAAAATCTTAGTTATCTGGAATGTAAACATCGGGTCTAGACGACACTCGCCTCCTTACTGATAAATCTCTAACTGCTCTATGTCAAACACTCAAAGTAGAGTCCCATTAGAATTCAAATTTCTAATTTTCCTCATGTTTGTTTGTAAAGCAGTTATTTAAGAAGGATATAAAAAGAGCTCACAGCATAAATTCATGTCTGATTTTACCGACACATCAACCATATTGGTTTTTCTTCCTTCCCTGCAGGGATACCTGTGAGTTACATGGTGATATCACAGCTCAGTTTGGTTTGATTCTCTCATAAACAGAAACATGTGATGAGTTCATTTAACTTAATTTACATTTCACAAACCATCAATTCACATGACTTGAATTCCGCAACTTGCCAGACTTGTACACAAAATAATAATGCCCTACAGAAGCAAACAGACCTACTCATCAAGTTTTCCACCCTGAAGCCAAATAAATACAAACATAAACTCCTCTTACTTCTAATCAATATAATACACAACTTACTTCTTATAACACCACTTCCTCTTCTTTGCTTGTGTATAACATACACAACTACTTAAAAATCTGTTATTGAACTTTATTGGCCGAGAAAGAAATGACTTAGAATAAAAAGGCATGCTTTTACTTAGCTTTAAAAAGCGACATTCAAATTAGCAGCATCAGACAAACTTATAAAAATACTGATGATGATTTCTAAGATATCTACTTGTAATCCTCCAGCGGACAAACCAGCTGCAGCAAGACTGAAACCACCGAACCAAACCTCTACAAAAATCAGTGACTGGGGTGGGGTGAGACTCAAACATTTTACGATTCTCTTTCATCACAAAGCGTAGAGTCTAAATGCTTGAATTTTTACCTGAAAATGCCAGAGAGATAGCACTTAAAGTGCTTCAGTTAAAAGGTATTTCACCTTACCTAGAATGTGCCATTCACAACAGTTGGTCTGTGCATCCTCCCTGCAGAGTCACAGACTTTATACCAGCATAACTGCTTTTTTTGCAATAAATATATCTACTTTTCTCTAGAGTGAACCTTTTCTAGTAAAACACCATGAGGCATCACTCCAAAGGAAGTGAGCTGTTAGCATTTTATCCGTTATTCAACATCTCTAACAAAACAGGAAAAAATAAAAAACATGAAGACAACTTATATTTGGACCCTCGAAATGCACAAGGTAATTATCGCGACATAACTTAAATGATAATCATATAAGGGGGCTGCAAAAATGGTGTAATATAAAATGCCTTTAACAGCATCCTCTCCTTTTGATGTGGTATTTCTGCGGTAAACTTCAAATCACTCCACAGGCAGGACAATGGTGAGACTGCTCCATCACACAGGACTGTTCATTACATTGAAAAAGCACTGACTGCACTGACTTTGTGCTTCTGCCAAATATGTTTTAACAACATTAAACCTGGACTAAAAATGCAAAGACACAGGCCATGAAACAGCCCTGTGGTTTTGTACCCTTGGCTGTGCGACACCGTTTAAGGATTGGGAAGCTTTAGGGATCTCTGAAAAACCTGTTTTTATCTATTCATCTCCAAGGCATAAAACAAACGACCTTGTGTCTTTTTTGTTGTCCTACAAGCAGATGAGTGAGTCAGATTAAAAGTATTTTTAAACACAGGGATTATCAATCTAATTCTTTGGAGTGCATTTTTCAAATAAGTCAGCCAGCAGCTCTTGGGGGGGTAAAGTCACATCAGGCGATCATCTTTCTGGCAAACGCAAGACTTCACTCATCGTGTTTTGGCTGTGTTACAAGGGGGAAATATCTAGAGCTGAGATCAACCCAGATTAATAGAACGGTAGCTTTGTGTTATCCTTGAGGTAGGGATAAAAATGGAGAAGTGGCATTAATGGAGCAAGCAGCATATTGAAGACACAGGGATAACTGCTGCATTTACAGTGAAACTTTTAAGCAGGTGCAGAATAGCCAATACTGATATAGTAATTTGTCAAACTACTAATTCAAAATTTAGAGGTCAAAGTTTTTTCTTACTGGTTGTGCTGTGTCACGTTTCCTTGCACTCTTCCAATGAACATTTTTTAATCACATCGCTTGGCTTCCAATGTAAAAACAGAGCCCTTAAAGAGAACAAGACAACAGAGGATGAGAGTGCTGAACCTGTCTTTTTCTGCAGAGGTAGCACTGAACTGTCGAACCTCACCAGGGGGACTGATAACATGCGGCTCGAGCGCTGAAGACAGCTCTCGGTTACTGTCTCAGCATGTTGAAAACCCAGTCAGTGACAGCAGCAGATAAACCAGCTCCTCCCCCGCTAATATCTCAACGATAGCACAGGTAAAGGCCCAGGTTGTTCAGATTAGATGAGGAGATGGAGAGATAAGGATGCACAGTCAGAGACCAATCTCATCGACTTTTACGACCAACAGTTCTCATCAAATTATATGGGTAAAGTTTTTGGTCACATCATGAGGAAAAGTCTTAAAACATGTCTGTTTCTTAATTTACAGGCACAGCCACAACAAAAGTAAAAAAATAACATCCAAATGATCTTTTTTGGCGACACTTTACTTGACGCCTATCCTTATAACACATTACAAATATATGTATTATAATCACATTATAGCACTGTATAACTATAGTTATAAACACTCATAAATGATCATAATGCTTTATAGCAATAATCATAACACATTAGAAAGCATTTTATCATGACTCACAAGGTCAGGTTTTATAATGTGTTATAACTGTTAATAACTCACTCACAAAGCACACATAGATAATGCAATGCAACTGTTGTTAACATTTATAACACATTATAATACTTGACCTTGTGAGTCATGATAAAATACGTTATGATTGTTGCTTTAAAGCATTATGATCATTTATGAGTGTTTATAACTATAGTTATACAGTGCTATAACATGATTATAACACATAAATATATTTATAATGCATTATGGAGACGACGTCAAGTAAAGTGTTATCTCTTATGTTATACTGGAGACAATCCATTTGTATTGTAGTGAATGTTTCGCTCAAAGTTTATATTCGAGACTAATCCAGGACTTTCTATCCCAATACTTTTCACAACCTAAGGCGTCTCATGCGGAGGCACAGAGAGCATTTTTGCGTCTCATATGAAGAAATCCCAGAAAAAAAAGCTCTAATTGAGATGTCGATGTTATTACTGACTAAATATTTCTCTTCCCTTGTTTAAACTTTAGCAAAGAGAGTGTTAAAATCTACCCACCATGTCCTTGTTGAGCGTTTGATAAAAGATTACAGAAGACAAATCAACAACATCGTATAGCATTTCAATGATTTAAGGAACCCCTCACATGTGCACCTTGTACACGTATGGATAATATTGCTTTTACACTGGAAAAATGTGGAATATTTATATAGAAAATATTGAAAACAATAGAAACAGTATTACATTGACGTTTTTTTCTCTTTTTTTTATAAAACCACTGATTTACCCACAAGCTAGTTAGCTAAACCCGCCCCTAACCCCTTTGGCACAATAATCATTAATATCAATTATTATATTGTTGAATTACAAGACATTTGAATAGGAATGGTCACTCACACATTCAGAGTAGTAACACAGTTTCTGTAGTCTTAACACATATTGGTACTGTAAGATTTCATAACATAGTTCAAAAACATCTTTTTTCTTTTTTGATATGTAAAGAAAATTACTCTCATCTGAAACAGAACAGAACTGTCTTTGCATGCCCTTAGTATTTACAGAATCACTTTGTCTGAGTTTGTTCTTGCTGGCTACTGTAGAGCAAAAATATAACACTCACGAGGAGAAATCCGACCATGAAACGCATCTGCATCAGTCAGCAGTAACAGCCGACGGATGCATATGCTGCAGAAATATGGAGACCGTAATGGACAGTTGTATACAGGCAACATTTTGAAGTGGTGATTGTTGTTGTTGTGAAAGCGTAGCCCAATTATCATTAACAAGATCTACTGGAAACAATTTATGCGTTTGCTGCTGACGACATTCCTGAATAAAATGTCTATTAACGTGTGGGTGTTTGTTGTGTGTCACAACTCTCTGACCATTATCTGTCTCGTAGGGGAGAGAGCTGACACAAAGCCAAGGCCCTGTTTCTCAAAAGCATCTCAGTGAGTACATCCATCGACATGTCTACAGTATTTCTTCAAAATAAATTCTGATGGCAAATGTAAGCACAGTAGCTTTTTAAAATAAAACATGCTTTTGGCAAATGGTATGCTTTTATTTTCCGTTTGGTTATTTACACTGACATTTATAACTGGAATGTTAAGATCATAGACTGTATGTACCATGGACAACTTGGTTCCGCCTTCTGACAGTAAATGGATTTGAAGCTGAAAAGTTCTCGGTAATTCTGCGTTTTTTCTCCATTTCCTTAAACCAACATTGGGCAGTCGAGTTGTACACACTCCACCACTTGCGCAGTAGCACTGTGATGATGCTCGGCTAAAACGACGTATCCTCCAGGTGAGCTATACAATCTTCGTACGCCCATAGGCTCTATCAAGTGTCAATCATAGAAAACATGAACCTCCTAATAACTTTTAAAATTGGAGGTGTACAGAAAAAAGAGGACTTGAGCACAAACCAATCTTACTGTAACTACATGTCAACATCGCAAGCAGGGGGGAGAAAAAATTATATTCTATGTAATAAATTTCTAAAGTTTGTCCACAGCCCCTTAAGGATGCCTGTTGGAGGCGGGATTTATGACCTATATTGCAGCCCGTCACCAGAGGGTGCTGTTCTCGTTCTCAGAGGCAGACGCTGTCCATTCTATATACAGTCTATGGTTAAGATGCACAGTCATGTTGATTTAATGTTGAGTCCAGTATCCAGTATCTAGTCTAGATCTTTCTATACAAACATGATCCCCAAAAACCCTTACAGCATTCATCTAAATCCAGCTAGTCTGACATTTGAAACACGTCTCCAAAGGTTAGGCCTTACTTTAAACTTATAGATTGACATTTGACATTCCTCTAGTAGGGGATCAATTCTACTCTCACGTCTGCTCATTCAGTCTGAAAGTCTTTTGTTCTTCTGCCCGTCTTTGTCTAAAAAGAGAGATCTCATTTTGAAAAGGTCTGAGCACCTATGCAAAAGAGGAGCAGGCAGAAGAGCCTTTGTCCCAGCATGAATCAATCAGTCTGTATCCACTAACATCAGAATTGATTGTGATTGATATTAATCTAATTTAGAGCACTGTCTCTATGAAACTGAGAGACACTTGTTTCCTGCTGTCATTCTGAGTAAAGGAAATGTCATGACCGGGATCCAGCTAAGCCTTACACGCTCCGCAGTTAAATGTCACACACTAAAAATAAGCCTGTGGTCTGATTTCTGCCAAGAATTCACCTGAACTGAGATGTTGATTGTAAAACAAGGCCTGGCTTTGTCAGTCTTTCCTCATCCCCTTTCTCAAGTCACAGACTAAGAGGTACAAAAGATTTGGTCCCAACTACTTCAGGAATCATGTAAAAAATATACATTCAAACTTCTGAAGAAAAAGAAAAAAAACAAAGAGTAGAAAATACTGAAAAAGAGGGACTGAAGTAAAGAAAGTTACGGTGAGAAACAAATTCGAGAGCTGAATGAAAGAAATGATGCTTTTCTTTGAAGAAACATACATCATGGTATGTAAATCACAATGCACTTTTGATAGAAGCAGGATGGATTTTACCTTGAAAAGAAAAATCCAGAACCTCTCTTGTATATTTACAGTTTGTTTGTGTGTGATCACACCTATGTGTGTTTGTGTGAGTGATCACATATATGTGTGCCCTTTATAGCCTCTGCTTATTTCCTTACAGGCCTCAGGAGTCATAGCTCTTCAATACTCTTCACTTTGTCGTGTTACCATTGTCTGTTCTTAACGAAGAACCAGCAAAAACACACACTCATACAACACTCACACTCACACATACATCCCACAATCTCTAATTAGTTGATAGCCATGTTACCTTAAGGCCACTACCCAAACCTAGACTACACATAGCTCTAGACCTCCCAGTATGATTTCTGGCTTTACAGACACCAAAAGACTGCAGTTCTAGTGGCCACCGTTGCAGTAATTTGTGCCCCAATTGTTGGAAACAGCACTAAGAAAACACATGAAGGGCAAGCTTTTTATACCTGCGTCTTACTGCAAACATGTAAACACAAACACAGCAGATTATCACAACGTGGCATCTTCACCAGCGTGCCTCCATGACTCCTTAACTTCAGGATTTAACTCCACGCACGGAGTCCTCCCACAACTTTTCCTCTCATGTGGATTGAGGTGTTTCAAGTGTTCCTCCCGATTTCTGCGATTTCCTCCTTTTAGCTCACAGTGAGGATGAACTCTGGCTGTAGTTTCTGAGCGTCAGTCTGCTGTACCTCGGTGAAGGTGGGGAGGGGGGAGGATGGGAGGGTACCGGCGGGAGAAAAAGACCCGTCTCTGAGACGGGTGAGCCACTGCTGGAAGCCAGGGAATCCCGGAAAGGCGACGGCGGGGTCAAAGCGATGAGTTCCTCTTCCAACTCCACCTTCCTCAGAGGGGAGGAGCTGATGAGGCCTCCACGTATGGGGGACAGGGTGGGGGAGTTCTGAGGGTGAGGTGGTGGCAGGGGATAAGGCGAATGAGGAATAGAGTGAATTGGACAGCCGCCCCGGCCACCCAAGCTGGACTCGACAGGTGGGAGGGGCTGGACGTCAGCATACGTGGTGAGGGTGGGGGGCATCGGGATCTCCCTGGGGAGCAGATACGGGTCAGGCGGGTGAGGGGAAGGAGATGTGTGTTTGTGCGTGTGTGAGTGCGTCGGAGAGGGCGATAACATCATGCTGTTGAGCTCAGAGATGTTGGCTGCGAACCGGTTGACCACACAGCTGATCTGATCCATCAGCGTGCTCTGCGGCACCCCAGGGTGATCGTCCACGGCGACCAAATGACCATCACTTCCCGCAATAAGAGAGCCGCTGGCAGGACCACAACTGCTCCCACTGCCGGCGCTGCAGATGCTGCTCGGGTACTTTGGGATACTGGTCATCTGAGGCTCCTCGACAGGGCCTGCCCCCAGTCTCTGGCTGACCGTGCTGATCGGTGAAGGAGTCTGCGGCCTGTAGGTGATGGAGTAGCGCTCTTCAGCTTCAGAGAGGTCGTACAGAGTCTTGTCAGCGACTGAGTCAGGGTGGGTGGGCAGAGAGGACATGGAGGGGAGGGAGGGCAGAGGGACATGCGGGGGCAGGTCCCCACTGCGACAATACCGCTCCTCAGAGGTTTTGGAAAAGGGCTTGATGACGGCGGTCTGATTGTTCTCCTTCTTCTTGATGTGGAAGGACAGCCGCTGCCACAGGTGACTTCCACGTGAGCTGCTGCGCTCTGTCTGCGCCCAAGACACTGATTTACCATTGGAGCTGGAGAACAAGGAGATAAAAGCAAAGATGACAGTGTAAAGGTGATGTTTCAAGAGCTTCAAAGACCAAGTGTTATTTAAATACAGAGCTGTTTGACCTTTAAGACTACTTTAACCACCTTCAGGTTATTTTTTTTTAGCTTAAATAACTGTTCTTGTTTGTGAAGAATGTAAAAATCTGTTGAAGATCAACTCAGAAGATGCAAATACTAGAATTTCAGTTTAGACTCTGTTAAAGTGAAGTTTTGGTTTTAAAACCAATGAAATGTACTGAGGTCTAAGAAAATTATTTTTTACTCTTTTCAATGCGAAATCTGACAACTAAATGTGACAAATACAAATACATAGGGGAGAGTGGGGTAAATTGAGCCAAAGGGTAAGTTGAGCCCCCCCCCTGTTTCTCGGAAATGGTAAAAAGAATTTGATCATGTGACCAAATATTTAGGAGATGGGCATCAATTCATGGAGGAGTTAGACATTCATTTACAAAAAAAAACAATTTTTCACTCTTGAAAGTGAATTTAGTCTGTAATATGTTTTAATAGAATTGTGTTCATACCAAAAAAGATCATTTTAAATTTGTTTTATACATCAATTGTGGTATCTGTGAGCTACAACATGAGGTCAAAAACCTAACATAAAAGTCCACCATTTTAGCTTAGAGGACTAATAAAGTCATAATAGTAGTTCTGGGGTAAGATGAGCCAGTTTGTAGTCCAAATATTAAAACAGATAACACGTTTCCTCTCTCTTAGCTGCAGCTTGTTCTGACATAATGGTGCGGTGCTGTTTATCACTTCACGATTTTCTTGACTGCTGCAGCTTAATGTGTTATGACGCGGTAAATGAGATCTACGAACAAAATTAAATACTAGTGTTGCAAAGAAAAGACAAGACAATTGAGTCTGTTTTAACAGCGCTCGCAATTAGCTCTGGAGGTCACAACACAGCAAAATAAGGTATTACATAGACCGTCTTCATTTGATCAGACATATCGGGCTAATTTAGTGGTGTTATTTAAAAGATACAAATGTACATACACAGGCCTTATATCACCAGACAAAATCAGTTTGACTTAATATGTGTAGTAATACCATAAAATTATCTCTTTTTCTCATCTTTTCCCAAAATATGTTCCTCATTTTTCTCTGTCATCTCGTTTCCTCCATTCTCTCTCTTTATTACATTTTTTTTTCCACTTTTTCTCTGCTAATCATTAGTCAAAGTGCTCTGCCCCCCTCCTTTTTTCTCTCATCCCCATGTCAGGTTAATTAGTGTGATTAATCTATGGAGGAGTCTCTGATTAAACCTCACACCTCAGTGGCTTGAGGTGAAGAAACTCAAATCACCCTGAGACCACACACACACACACACACACACACACACACCTGCGCAGACGTACCCCCCACCCACTTAATGCATCACACACTCAGGCGCATGTGCTGCAACAGTGGATCTGCACCTCCAGATACACAGTGCTGTGACCTCTTTGTGTGATGATCCAGTTAAAGAGGGCTTTGAAGGAGTGCATGTTGAATCTTAACTTACATATTTCTAAATTCTTAATTTTTGCCTTTCACCTCTGATTGACTAGTTTTATGTCTGGTTAAACCATACAATGTCAGCAGTTCTAAGACAAGAGCTTTCTGAGAAGACAGATATAGGCCTGTCAATTACCACCACTCATAGAGGAAGACAGGAGCAGAGGAGAGTGAGAGGGGAAGACAGGATATAAGAGGAACAGAGAAGAGCATTTTTCACAAAAGTGTGATTGAAATCTTGCTTGCCAAGCATGGTGAGCTGGAGTAACCTGCTGACATATGAAAATGTGTTCTTGTCTTTTTCTCCTCTTTTTCATTCTGGGCAAGTGGCCGTGCATCACTCTCTGTGTCCTCTGATCACAGCTTTGTCACAGTAGATGACTTGTGGATGGCCTTAAACTGGGTGTGAAAGTTAATACGGCTTTCTTGTCTTTTTACCATCATTTAGTCTTTCATCTTTTGCCCATTACATTCATCCTCTCCTCTATCTCTATTAAGAAACTTTTACTTTTCCTCTTCTGTCAGTTAACTCCTCTCTCTCCCTCTTTGCCATGTCTCCATACAGCTATTGTCCGTAGTTCATGCCAGGGTCAGAAGAACAGTCAAGCAGACGAGGGGAGTTCAGAGGATCAATCTTTCAGAGAGCTGAAACACACTCACACACACACTCACACACAACATAAATAGTCTCTGAGATGGGCCATTACGAAAATGGCGCCTTGGACTGTAACTGAGGAGTAACCTGGAATTAACCTGGCGGCCATTAAGCCCCCAGAGTATGCACACACATCCACCCACAAACCCTTACTCTCACTCATGTGTACCTGAGTGTCTCTCCAGTGGAGCCTCTACGTTTCCACAGGTTAACCAGACTTGAAGACCGGCTGGCAGCAGAGGACGATTTCCCATCGCCCACGTGCATGCGCACAACTGTGCTAGTGGTGAAGGCACTGCGCACGTTCCGCTCTGGTTTAGCCAGAATAATGTACACCTAGAATGAAAATGAACAAAACATCTAGTTTAAAAAATAAGATTATTAAATTTTCATTATGTAGTGAAAGATTAAAAAACTTTTGTGTTGGAGATCTTAAAGGAATATTCCAGCGTAAAATTAAGTTAAGGTCAAACACACCGTAACACAGAGTTAGACACCCCCTCGAGAGATGAATGTTGCCGACCGCTTGCTTCTCTAGTTATATCAACTTTAGTAACGACCACACGATAGCAATACACAGAGGTCTGAGGAGCCATACACAAACCTCAACCAAAACGCCCCTCTATAGCCACAAATAATGCTCAGAACAGCACTTAACTTCATCAACAGTACATATAGGGTCCAAACCATGGTACTACCCACTAAACATTTTCTTAACTTTGCCTAATTTCTTTAGCAAAGAGATTAACACAACTTACCCACTCTCTTCCAGCAGCTGCTTGTTTGCAGACGAGTCCATCACGACTACAGCGGGGTGACGCAGCTCAAGGAAGAACATTTAAGATCATTATTTTATAATTTCCTTGAAGTAATGATCCCCATATTAATCATTTTGCACTGCAGACGCGGTAGTTCTTCTGCCTTAGCGTCTCAGTCTGATTGCATTTCCATGAAGAAATGATCATAAATGTTCTTCCTTGAGCTGCATCACCCCGCTTTAGTCTGTAATGAACTGGCCTGAGGTCTCGCTACAAACAAGCAGCTCCTGGAAGAGAGTAGGTGAGTTGTGTTTAGTCTCTTTGCCAAAGAAATTAGGCAAAGTTAAAAAGATGTTTGGTGGCTAGTCCTATGGCAAGGACCCTGTATGTACTGTTGATGAAGTTATGAGCTGTTCTGAGCATCATTTGTGGCAATAGAGGGACATTTTGGTTGAGGTTTGTTTATGACTCCTCAGACCGCTGTGTATTGTTATTGTGGGGTCGTTACGAAAGTTGGTATAACTAAAGAAGCAAGCGGTCGGCAACATTCATGTCTTGATGGGGTGTCTAACTTAATGGGGTGTTACGGTGTGTTTGACCCTAAATTAATTTTACGCCAGAATATCCCTTTAAAGACCTTGATAAAAGATGCTTTTGTTTAAAGTTGATGTTTAAGCCTATCACATTTTCTGAGAAATTCTACATTTAAACCCCAAAAATGCACAGATCAATATTTACTGACTGCTAAAAAATGGTAAAAAAAAAAAAAAGATATGTCATTTACCTGACGACAATTGCAATAAAAAAGTTTAGTGTTGCATCCACAACATGACGGTATGAAGCAGGACCAGCATATAAAAGTTACTTAATCAATCAAAAAGTTCTCTCTTAGTTTTTGATAGAAGGGTAAACTGCTCTTATAGAAATAAAAAAATTCAGATTAGCCTAAATACTCAATGAAGTGTCTTTTCACATGAAAATAAACCCATCATCTTGAACAGTCACCAAATAAAAAAGGTTGTGGTGAGTTTAAGACATGATTAAAAATATTTCAACTGTCAGACTTACCTGATCGTGTACCATAAGGCATTAGTACTGTTGCTATGGTTACTTGCAGTCTAATATAGCCTGTGCACTGATTTGGAATGATTTCAACCACAGAGTGTCCGAACATACACTTTTAAAGGATCCCTGACAAGCATTTAGAAAAAGGTACTTTTAGAGGTTTAAGCAGCAGCTTAGCATTTAAGGAGACTGGCATATGTGGAGAAATATACAGATTAAAGCAGTGAATAAGTTAAACGTAGAAGTGTGGATTTTTCAGTCCTACCTTGGGTACAAACATGCAGCACAGAGCTACAGTGGCACTCAGGCTGACACTGAAGCACATGGTGATGATTTTGTAGTTGGAACCAAAGTAGATGGGCACGAAGGCCAGCCAAATAATACAGGTGGTGTACATGGTGAAGGCGATGTATTTGGCCTCGTTGAAATTAGCCGGGACGTTGCGAGTCTTGGAAACAGCAAGAGAGACAGAGTCAAAGGTGAAATGTAAGAACATGACAAATTCATTATTCTATCTTTTTTTGCCATAAATCAGGACAACAGAAAAAAGAAAAATACAATCAGATAACCCCAAACCTCAAAAAACCCATCACTAACCCACTGCCTTTGCACTTCTTTTATCAGAGTGATGCTTGTCCTATTATGTGCCAGTAAACTAATGTGGTCATTGGGTGTTACCAGCGGCGCTGTTGTCTCTGCTGCTGGATTAACAAACACAGTGAGTGAGTGTATTTGTAGAGTTTATTTCAGCTGTGGTCTCTTTTATCATTCTGCTTTCACACTCTACAGAAAATAGATGGCTGCAGGCGACTGATAATCAAACATTGACTTTATAATGTGTTTATACGGTGGAAAAGGTTTTTATCTACCACTGTTGAAAGGTTGGAGAGTACCGAACACAAACAGTGCTCTGCCCATTGCTCTGAGAGAGTTTTCTTCTGCATGACAGTTTTAAACGAGAAATAATCCGCAAATATAACACCTACCTTAAATCTGATGTTAAAGAAGCTCTTGAACACCTTTCTGATGCTTAAAAAGTGGGCTAAGCACTGCTGCACTAGTGTGACCAGTATACTTTTATAATTGGAAGGAGGTGTCTTATCTTTTTTCAGTCATTTGCCCTGGAGGTTGTGCAATACTTGTGTTTTCACAGACAAATGCTGTCATGATTACCACTGGTGTTGTCAACACCCACTGCACCACCTTAATGCAATCACAAATTCACAGCCCTCTACAGTGTATTGCAAGTGGCTGCTTTCCTGCACTCCGCATGTGCTAAGATACAGAGTGATTTTAATAACGGCTCTCTTCTTAACTGATTTCTCCCTCATTAGATTATAATGGTGCATTTAACAGGTCCTGTGAGGAGTTTCTTTTTATAATGTTTGTGAGATAAATTAAAATTCATACTGATGCCTTTTTATGCCAGAGAAGAGCAAACAAGATTGACAATTGATTGTAATTTTTATGTCTTGGACTGTTTGAGGGTAGGTTTGATCTAAGCAGACCAAGAAAAAACTCACAACAAATTTCTGCATAAAATATTTACAGAAATCATAGATTTGGTTGTAAAAGGCCAGCAGGATACACAAGGTGCACAAAGAACACATAAAGCTAAAGTTCTTTACATGAAAGTTGAAGAAACCAGCAATTTACTGCTATACAAATAAGCCTTGTGGGTGCTGATTTGATCGAAAAGACCCTGCAATCTCATGATATCAAGTGACCAGTGAAGGTGAATGTCACAACTACTTTATCATAAGATAGGATAAGATAAGATGTTCCATTAATAGTCCCACGAGGGGGAAATATATTTACATGTTTACATAATTTATATTTACATATTTATATATATATAAAATATATCCATATTTACAGCAGCATATTACAGACACAGAAAGAGAAAAATTAAAAGATAAAAAAAAATTTGAGTTGAAAAAAAAAGATATGTACATGAATTACATCTGTACAGAATTTACATAATAATATGATTTCTTGCACATTGAGGTTTCAATCAGTTGTGTGTATTTAGGTTTACACTCCATAGTGACTGTAGGCTGAGCTTAACTACTGTACTCGTAGGTAAAAGGATTACGAACTGCACCGTGAAAACAGACGCTGCAAGAAAGAGCAACATTGCATGTGTCATGTCTGCATGTCTTCATTTTTTTCCCTCTAAAAGACCAAAAAACAGACTGCATCTCTTATACAAGTCAGACTAAGTAGAAATGCATAATGGTGTCAAACAGAGCTGGTACCTTAAAGGCATAGAAGGTGCAGCTGAGGATGAGCAGGCCATTGTATCCTAGTGGAGCAACAACACCCAGGTTAGTGGTGTTGCAAATGAGGTTGACCTGTCGAATGCTGGGGTAGTCATGAATTACCTAAAAAGACAGGAGAGGAAACAAGCCATCCTTCTAAAAGAAAATCTTAGAAAACATCATGTCATTCTTTCAAAATGCTGCAGTTTGCAAAGATGTAAAAAAATGTGGAAATTTATGGGACTGGAGACGCAATAACATCTATAAAGCTACCATTAAAGCCAACTTGAAGTCAAATATTATAGGTCTTTTCTTGAACACTTGTATTATTGCTTAGCTGCTTCGATTAAAAGAACAACAAGGAATCAATAAAGCTCATTACTGGAAGATAAAGAGTAAACTTCGAACTAATCCAAAGGTATATAAGGCCTGACTATACTGTAAATTTTGGTCTTCTTATAAGTCTTTCCCTCTTCAGTAATTTGTCTGTCACTGAGCCGCCCTCCCACTCACATAAAAAACTAACACAAAGAGTCCCAGACAGCTTACCTCAGGTGGCTGCATGAGGAACAGAGCCACAATGATGCCGAGCTGCAGCAGTATGAGGAGGAAGGCAATGATGAGCTGAGCACAGGCAGACATGAAGCGAGGCTTCTTTGTGCAAATCTTCTTCTTGCTGCCCGCCAGGATCCGAGCGATGCGGTTTGTCTGGGGGGTCAGATCACAAACACGATCAGGACCTTTTAATAAAAGTTAGTCCGTATAGTTTGCTGACTTTTGCATTTTCCCGGGATTAATCCTTTGTCCCTGTTTCCTTGGCTTTCATTGCCAGAAAGAAAGAGATTGATGGATCCATGCCTCACTTTTACTGTTATGACACCCATATCCTCACACTTTACCATGATGGAATGGGAGGGCTAATAATCTAAAACGCCATGGGACAACAGCTGCTTTTCTCTCCTTTTCTTTCTGATGAGGTCCACAGTTTTCCTTCTACTCACTCATGCACCACTGCTGCCAGCACTACAGCATCTGAAGCATATCTGGGCTTTTCCCCACTGGGCACTGATGATCAAAGGCAGGTAAGCAGTGATTTAATTGGAGGATTATTCCAAGTCTTAAGGGGTTACTCCTTTATCTCTGCATCTTTTACGGCTGCAGGGCCGTACATCTGATGCATACAAATACTTCTCTCACTGTTTACCTTGGTGACAAGTGCAGAGTAGCTCATGGCAGGTGACAGGCCTATTCCCAGCCGCTGGAGGTAGCAGTGGATGACATGGGGTTTGGCTATGAGGCTGAAAGTACAAAGGTACCCCAGGCAGATCCCAGCTAATATGATGTAGCACAGCTCTCTACTGGACGATTTTACGACTGGGGTGTCCCGGAACCTGGACAATGGCACATTAAGTGAAATAGTTATGGTCTGAAACATATAAGAAGCGTAAGATAAGAAAAAGTCTGAAAACAGTGATATTGGAGGAGATATTCGAGGTGCATAAATATCTGATGCATTTCTGTCATGCCTAGTTCTCCTCTCAGGTCTTATTTTCTGTGGCAGATTAAGAGATCTGTTACCTGATAAAGACTGCAGTGACAAAGAATGTGAACATCAGACCGAGGCAGGCAAAGACAACAGCAGCAATTGGTTCAGGGTCTCCCCAGCGCAGGTACTCCACAGGGATTGGATCACAGCCTGATAGTGTGGGGAAGTGGAAACAACAACATCAGTCAAGGACTTTTATATGAACTGAATGCAAAGACTGTATATAGAATGGACAGTGTCTGCCTCCTCGCTGGGTGAAGCCACCCCAAGAACAGCACCCTCTGGTGATGGGCTGCAGTATAGGTCATAAATCTCGCATCTGCCAGCAAAGCTTATGTAGCTGTGAACAAACTTTAGAAATTTATTACACAGAACAATAAAGGTCATAAATCCCGCCTCCGCCAGCCATCCTTAAGGGGCTGTGGACGAACTTTAGAAATCTATTCCACAGAATATAAATTTTTCTCCCTCCTGCTTGTGATGTTGACATGTAGTTATTGTAAGACTGGTTTGTTCTCAAGTCCTCTTTTTTCTGTACAGCTCCATTTTTAAATGTTATTACGGGGGTCATATTTTCTATGATTGACACGTGATACAGCCTATGGACATAAGAAGATTGCGTAGCTCACCCGGGGGATATGCTGTTTGAGCCGAGCGTCATCACAGTGACTCTCGGCGACTCTCCCACTGAATGCGTAAAATGCGACTGCGTAATGTTGGTTTCAGAAAGTGGAGAAAAAACGCGGAATTATCGAGAGCTTTTTGGCTTCAAATCTGTATACTGGCGGAAGGCAGAACCAAGTTGTCTATAGTATATACGGTCTATGATTGAATGACAGTCAGAAACTGGATATTATGGACCGGAACTTTTGGCCTAAGGCTAATGTAACACCTTGTCATCCTTCCTACCTATATTTTCCCTTTGACTCTGTAATTTCTAACATCACACCTTCCCCTACATTTGATGTGGGAGAGACATCAAATAACAAGCTTGTCCCAGTGACCAACAACCTCCACAGGCTGGGGTCAGGGCATGGTGGAGCCATGTGGGAAGGTACCTACAATAACTGACCCACATTGCCTTCAGCGCAGCCTGCATCTTGTGTAATCAACTTGCAGCAGAGACATCATTAGTCATTGAACACTGATGATAAAGACATGCAGGCTTAAACAGTGTCTGGTTCTTTGTTCTTTTATTCTCTTTCTTTTCAATCTGCCTGTCAATCACCCCTTTATTCTTATTACCCCGTCGCTTAATCTCCAAATCGGTTTCCTGTTCCTCCTTTACTTTTAATGTCCCATTCATCACTCCCTGCCTTTCTTATCCTACTAATATCTTCCCTATTTATCTTCATCCTCATCCCGCCACCCTTTGCTCCTAATTCTCCCCTCTTCCCTGCTTTCCTCCTTCTCTGTCTTTCTCCGAGACACAAAGATAAAGTGTCATTAATTAAAGGGACAGGTCTAATTACAATCTGGCTTTACGCTTCCTGAAATTATCTCTGTGGTAGGTCTTGACGTGCTTATGCAGCCGGGACACACATAAACTCTTAAGAAAACTTGCGGTCCTTATACATCTTTATTTGCTCCTTTCTTTTGTGTCCTTTTGTTTCTTCTCTCTATCGTTTTGTCTCTTAAAGAGTCTAGTGCTGCAACTAACAATTATTTTTTTGTCGACTAATCTATCGACTAGTCGTCCGATTAATCACGATCTTCTTTATTCATAAACACCTATTTCCGGGGTGTCGGCGTCTCAGGTGCTCATGCATCGCCGTGGTGCTGCCATGGTAGGAAAGCTGAGCTTTGATCAACGTGTTTTTTTGGTTTGTTCTCCGTAAAATGTTCCCAAACTTTTGAAGTTTTGGGTCGGAGTTTTGGAGCGTCTTTTTCAGTTTGTTCTGCCATAATGTGTGTACTCTTCTTCTGTGTTTGCTCGCGGGATGTAAACAGCGAGCGCTACTGCCCCCAGCACATCCTGTAGTGCACTGCAGTTATAGATGAGCATGAGGCGCCGGTGTTATGCCGTAAAATGCACCCCTGCCGTAGGATGCACCACTAACGGTAGCTCGGTTGAAAGTACCTAAAAATGCGAAATAATTCAAGTTTTCCTTACAGTTGGACGCATTCAAATGCGTGTGCCTTCAATGATTTAATTCAGGCTATTCAGATAAGTTGAAAACAATCGCCCTCTGATTCGTAATATTTGCTGTCCCCAAAATATAATGTTCGCTAGCTTGACAGCTAACTGTACAGTTTGTACACCTAAGTACACCTCTGTATGTGCATTTTTGAGACACATAAAAACAAAACGAAAGTTTGCTGCTCCATTTGACATGTTATCATGATCCAATACTCGTGTTTTTGTTAAAATATGAGATAATTTTCTTCCTCTTTAAGAAGCTAATGAGTGGAGGGGGTGCATTCAACGGCAGGGGTGCATTCTACAGCACAACACCGGCATGTGATTCATAACAACAATAACACGACGCGTCGACGCTTAATTTTCGTGTCGATGAATTTGTCGTGTCGACGTAATCGATTACGTCGACTAATCGTTGAAGCCCCAAAAGAGTCATAGGAGCACATACCCCTGTTTGTACAGTGTTGCAAATGTTTAGGAGAGACAGAGATGGAGAGAAAGAGAGAAAGGATGAGTCACTGAAAAAGAAGAGAGCAATTTAATGATTTTGTCTTTAACACAGTCAATAGAGTTTATCAAATCAGCAATTTGGTTAGGTCTAGGGGCATAAACAACAGCTTAATTGCTGAGTGGGAGCAAATGGTATGGTAACAAATAGACCTAAAATCTGTCAGACATAAGTATTCTGCAGAGGATGTGGCTCATTTGCAGTTTTATATCACTGAAAAACTTCAAATTACCATTTCTAATAAAAACAGGTTATTAGAATCTAAAACTGTGAGGGGAAACCATGCATACATAATTCACCGCAACCAAGCTCGATAAAAGGCAAGGACATGGACAGCAGGGGAAAGGACCACCCACCTGTTAAAACATAAGTTTGAGAGGAAACTTACTTACTGTGACTATGACTCCAATTACTCTAGCTCATATATATATTTAATGTCAAAGGCCAGGATTCCCAGATCAGCGCATTTCTCACAGGTTTCCCCACGGCGCTCAAAATACTTTGGCTACGTCTGCATCTGAAAACTTAATTAGCTCACAAAACCTGTGGAAAATTGTCGAGTTGACCCAGAGCTTAAGTGGTGCATCAAGGAGAGGGTAACCATTTGGGGGTTCAGTCAATACAAAGTTTGGAGACAAACTTCTCTAAACTCTCTCGCACTCAGACTGGAACTTTACTGATCAGTGGAGAGGCTCAAATCCCAAAGCTAATCCTCCTTTTTTTTCTGCTCTTTTCACTCTCCCTGGCTGCTTCTTCTTCTTCTTCTTCTGGGTTTCTATTTAACTCCATCTCTCTATCTTTCTGAGCCACTTCCTCCCCTTTCCTCCAAGTTTTTCTCTCACTCTTTGTTCTTCCTTCTGTGCTACTGCTCTCTCCAAACCTTTTTCTGCTGCTTTCTGTGGTTTTCACATCCACTGTAGCTCTGTCCCTGCCAGCTGAGACCTTAACTCCATCTCCTCTCCCCCGTCCCTGTCCCTTCATCTCTAGCACTCTGTCTTCTGTTTGGCCTAAAGGGAGAAGATCAAAATGTCTGCTGGAATAACAAGGCAGCCAGTTTGTTAACACCGCATTATTACTGTTTCGTTCAGCCAAACTGAGGGACAGGCAACATTACTGCTGATCAAATGAACCACTGAACAGGCTCACGCACATACGCATGCACTGAGAAACACACACAGAGTAACACATATCACCCCAATCATGCTTTCCCTCTCAGCTTTGTCTTTGTCCTCCTCTCACTGGCTTACTAAGGACGCTCTCTCTCTGGCAAAGGAGCCCAATCTGAATTTTCAGCAGGGCTTGATTCATGTATTAATCATTGCGCATGTTGAGGAGCTAGCAAGCAGTATAATGAGCAGCTGAGAGCGTAACAAGGCAATTTCCAACCGTTTCAAATGCAATGGAGAAGAAATACATTTTCATTGCAACAGAAACATATTTGCATCGAAAGCCTCTCTTGATGCGGAATAATTAAAACACTGGTGAGCATGTTGGTGGCAAATTAAAGGGACGGGAGAAGGAAATAGGGAGGGAGCTGAAACACAGGGATCCTCTATGCATCCGTGTGAATGTATTGCATGCTAAGCTGTTGTAATGGCGCACTACCAGGAAAAACACAGACGTTATTCTTCAGATCAACATTCATCCTTTGGCCCTACGTGCTTCAATCTTTTCACATCACAGCTATTTTCCTGTATCATGAGATTTTTAGTCCTCTATTCAAGTTTTTTCTTAACAGAGAGGAAATATCAAAGACACTGCACAAACATGTTATAAATCAAAGTGCAGACATACACATAAATATTAAAAAAATACTTGAAGACTGACTTGTGAGGTCATATGTAGGCCAGGAGCCCAGTTCGCAGGCTCTGCACGTGTACTCATCGAACACAAACTCATTCTCTTTACAGGGAGTGCACGTCCAGCAGCAGCTCACCTCCCCTTTGCGGATCACCTGGAAGAGAAAACATGAGCAATGCCTGACTGCAGCTGTGCCTTTATGTAATACCTCTTCAAGACTGTATAAAATTTTAAAGCACAAATAGACACTTGAATTTCATCTTTTTCACAAATGAGAACTCATCAAGCGCGGTGAATATATTCTGTAGGATGTTGGATTAGCTCTACAAAGTCTAAGAGCTTTAAAAAGCATCCTGTTACTAGATATGTATCCAGATTTTTCATCTTACCTTAATCTGTCCTTTGTCACAGGGTTCACTGCACACTGACTTGATGACTGCATCTTTGTTTGGCCAGATTTCATCATCATCTATCTTCAAGCCCCTATTGTCCCAGCTGCCAACGTTAATGTAGTCATAGTAGTCCTTCCCCATCTTTTTGAAGTTCATTATTTCATACCTGTTTGTAAAAAAGTAAACAAACCATATTTAAAAGACACAATAAAAAAACTAAAATATGAAATCCATGGCAGCTTAAGTTACAGTGCGTACCTGCCGGGTGAGTCTCCATTCTCATCAAACAATATGTTCTCCCCTGACACGCCTGTGAAGTTGGTTTTCATTAAGAAATCCAGTAGAGTGGCACCATCTATGGGTCGCATGGCATCACATAGACCCTAAAAAGCATAATGAGTCAGAAACATTTTGACCCACATCTAAAAAAATCATCTGTATCTATGGACTGATGCATGTCTTGTGTTTCTTCTGTCTAAAGTTCACCTCTTCATCTTTCCCCTAGCTTATTCATCCATCAGTGGTGTTTACCTGATAGCCTGGGCAGAGTGACCGTTGCATGTTATGCAACCCATAGGCCATGGAGTAGATGGCATTGATGACAAATCCCATCTTGGTGTCTTGAGCGTACTGTTGCCGAAGCGACTCTCGCTCTGTAAAAAGAGGAAGGTAGGAAGAAAAAGGTAGGGGAATGAGCAAGGTTGAAAAAAGAAAGGCAGGTCAAAGAAACTCCTAATTTCTCTTTGAATTTTATGGCACGCTGAGTGTTTTATTCCCCTCACATCAAAGACCACTCTCTCTTCTCTCATTACTTCTCATCAGCCACTTCCCACCTCCGCATCGCATTTCTTTCTCCCTCTTTTTGTGTCCTGTTCATTTGTATTTCATGTTCTATTTCATTAGAATACATGAGACATGACTCCCTTTGATGCTGCTCTCCTACTACGCTTTGCGTTTGAATGAGGAGAATGAAAGAGGAAGAGAGAGATGGTGAGGGAGGAATACAAAGAAATGAGGGGAGGGTTCACTCACAGCCACAAGGGATATCTTCTGATGAACTGGAAAGCTCTGTGTCTCTATATGTTGTGTGTTTGTGCGAGGCTGTGCCAGGCCAGTCTGTTTGTACATGCTGTGAGGGTATGTTGTTTGCATTATTAGTAGCAGACTAGTATTGTAGCCTGTTTTGTTGACCCAAAACAATGTAACCTCTTTTTCTGTGTACCACAGATGGCTGTTGTCAAAATAGGAGCTCTTTATAGCTGTAACTCAGATATCCTGTGTCATCGAAATCTATACCCACTGTTATAGGTGTTAAAAATTTCATATAGTATCCCAGAATGTCTCTGACAACTTCAAAAGCTTATAATAAACCTGTCATGATGGAGGATGATGTGAAACTCCTGCAAGTAGGGCTGGGCCATAAAACGATAATATTTATCGAAAATTAATTTCCCTCAATATCAATATAAAACATGGCCAAAATGCTTTTTGATAGTCTGCATTCGGCCATGTTTTGGTAGACTATACAAATAGCCAATGAAAAAGGGAGTTGCTCCAGGTCCCTACCCCTGGCAGAAATGCAGATGAAGGCTCAACAAATGATGACATCGTCAACAACACTGGCGTGAAAATGTCGATGGTGTGGCGGTATTTTGCTTTTTTGAGGTCGGACATGAAGCAGAGTAATGTGTACTGCAAATTATGTCGAGTACATGTTCTTACAAAGTTGGGGAATACCTCAAATCTTTTTCACCACCTGAAGCAGAGCCACATGGTAGACTACGCACAATGAAAAAGGTTACAAACCACGAGCGGAGCAAGGAGCCCACGGCGCCTGTGCAGCCGAAACAGCCGACCATTCAGGCGCTTTCTCTAGCACAACGCATTACGACACAAACGTCAGTAGCTTATTGTATTGCAAAAGACATGCTACCAATAAGCCAATAATAATAATAATAAATAAATCATTACCGATAATAAATTTCATTTTTTATATCGTGATATCGATATCAACTGATATGAAAAAATATATTGTGATAAACTTTTTCCCATATCGCCCAGCCCTATTTCCTAGTATGGAAATAAAATCTACATATCTACATACACAGATTGTCCTGTATGTTTATTCATGTTTACTCACTGCTACAGGTGCGGTTGTATTTGCTGTTCTCCTGGGCGTGGCCTTTAAGTTTACAGTGAAAACGATGTTGCCAAAACTCTGGAAACCAGGGGTTCCTCTGGTTGTTTTCAGGCCGGAGTTTAAGGTAGTAGTCATCAAACCACTTGACATCAGCCGACTGGAGCTTGATAGTAATACCACCGGCTGCTTCTCGAACATAGCCATCTGTTACATCATAGCGGTCTGCCCATCCATCACTGAAAGAAAAAATGGACAGAAAAAATACAAGTTAAGAAAACTTCAATAAAGCATATGTTTATTAAAAAGAGTAGAAAGTTTTCATGATCAAAGCAAAAGCTGCATTGCTGAGTCACAATACAGTGCATGACCATCTGCTAATAACAATATGGTGACGTAATGCACAGACGGCACAATTTTAAACAAAAACTTGAATCATTCAGGGTGATCCTATGAGAGTTCTGGTGGATCTAATGGAGAGCAGAGACTTACACCTTAGCTGGTCACTGTCTCTGTTTACAGAGCTCCTCTGTCTTTCAAACAACCACTGACCACACTAAAGTAATGCTTTTACAGGTGCAGCTGGTTGTGGGAAAAATGTATCCTGTAATGGAGAGGTTGTGGACCTTTTATAGAGCCGGTCCATGAAAGATAATGCTGCTAGTTGAAATAATTCACTTGAACTGCAACAAAAAAGAGTAAAGTACAAGCAAATTGAAATATACTGGGACACAAAGATGATGGGGTCAGCCTTTTAAGTCCACTTTGTCATAGAGCTAGAAAACAGTGATGGGCTTTTAGATGTACTGAATCACTAGACTCAGTTCACCAAAAAGATTTGTTCAAAAGATTCGCTCACCGAATTACCGAATCATTCAGAGCTTGGCAGGAGAAGACTGTGACTCTGACTTCCCAAAGTGATAGATAACTGAACGGTTCATGATTCAGTTCAGATCATAGCTTCAAGGACCAGGAGACGAGAGTGTTTGGCTGTGCTGCTTTGTCGGACAGGTTTGTAAAAATGAACTTGTTTAGAAATTATGATGTTTTAAGTGTACTGTGCAATGGTATACTATTTATCTACTCAGTAAATTGGGCTCAGTGAGTGATTCGTTCACTGAACGTTTACCCCACAGTACATTCAGTAAAGAATTCACACTGACCATGCACCGTTTCCTCGCAAATCGCCGCAATGATAGGATCGGACAGTCACGCATTTCTCAAACCGTGGGTTTTATACACTACTTGATATAAGCTGAGTCCTACTGTATGCAAGCAACGGTCACCATGAAAGCCCCTCAGCCCCTCAGACAAAAATGATTCCAGAGAGTGTAGTTCACTGCGTGATTCGTTCACCAAGTGATTCAGGTGTTGGTGCCTGTGGTCCCTTCCTCAACTGCTGCTCGCCCAGCAATGCTGAGCAGCTGACAGCTTAACTGAAGTGAGAAACGAACTAAACATTTGAGGAAGTAATTCTGTTCAGTTCGTTCACTTAAAAGATTCGGTTTCTTTGAACGAATCATTCGCAGACGACACAACACTACTAGAAAAGCAATGCAAAACTTTTGTGTTTGCGTGTGCAGTGACCAGCTGACAGGCTCAGTATTGAATGAAATCAAATGTTTGTGTCGAGACATGAAGCAGAGGCCAGCTGAAAGGACTGTTTCAAATAAAGAATTTCATACACAGACATCACATATTTACACAGAAGGAAGTACGCATCAAGAGAATGATCAACAGACAGGGAGAGAGACAGCAGAGATTTCTCACGAGGTGAAACACAGTGTGAGAGGACATAAAGTGAATGATTAGCAGAGAGTCAGGACATGCGGGAGGGAGCTCTTACAGCATGATGGGCAGAGTCCAAAATGCTTCATACCACTGACAAAAAGGCGCACACACTACTCACAGACGGGCAAACACACACCAGCCGGGTGCTGTGATGATCTAGGTCAAATGGAGTGTTTTGGCTCAAGCTCAGCAGCCATGCCCCGTCAGACACCAGCAAGACGAATATAACCACCTTATAATACACACACACACACACACACCAACATGAACTGTGGAAACATGATGCTGTCGTTGGCATTTTTGGGAAGGGAAAATGTGGGTCTCCTTCTCCTTTAGGAAGCACAGATGGCACAGTGTGTGTATGACTGAGAAAAAAAAAAACAAGAAAGAGAGAGATAAAGAGGCGAGGGGACGGGGAGAGGAGAGGATGTGAATGACAAATTTTTTGTCCCCCTTCATGACTACTGCCAACATGGCCCCGAGCAAGACAATGATCCCCAGCTCTTCCAATGGAAACTCTTGTTTCTTTCTATCTTTTCCTCTTTCCCTTTTCTTTCTTCTGCGTATTCTTCCTTTTCTTTTTCTCTCTTTTAGCCTCCAGAGAATAAAACTCATTTTCTCCAACAGCAGTGCAACCAGCCCCAGTCTGATGAGAAAGGATTTTGATGTGTGTATATACCTGAGTGTGTGTGTTTACTGTCCTTTCTGTTTTCTATTTGTGCCTCTCTAACTGTCCTTTTTCTTTCTCTTTCTTTCTTGCTTTCTTTCTTTCTGTTGTTCCTCTTGTCAACCTCTACCTCTGAGCCCGGGTCATAAATCAGGATGGAAACTGCCTAACCATTACATGACAGGCCGCGCTTGTAACAATCCAGATAAATGTTCCTGTCAGTGTGTGATATGTGCTGGGGTTTCTTCAGGATGTTTGGCGAGGATTCGGTTAAATATAGGAAATAAATCACAAAAAATAACCTCCTCCTTCAATGAATGACACAATCTCAAAAAACCAAACTTGAAGACAAAGATAGTTTACATCTCCATTGTTACGACAGAACAGTAGAGGCTTTTCAACGCTTGTGTGGTTTGAATGAAAACCTCCATCCTAAAATTTCTCCTCGATTATTTTTGTTTTATGAAGCTTATAAGATTCTTACTTGAAACATTTGATTACTGAACATTTACCTCCAAATACAGTCACACAGGCCACAGCAGAGTAATGAGACAAGTATATTTTCTTGCAGCTATTATCTATTTTACCATTTGTATTCTGTCTTTGCATATATTCATAGGCATGGATCCAACTTCAGGTTTGGGGTTCATAAAATTGAAATTATAAAGAGAGAAGAGAGATGTGTTCAACAAACTCCCACCAGTAAAATTCTGCAGCAAACAGATCAGACCCTCTGCTGTTTCACTCTCCATCACTGAGCCTTTGCAGCTTATCTACACAGATCAACTCGTGGGATCTAACGAAAAGTTTTGGCATATACTGTTTGTTAAAACTCTGAAGGCGATGATATCACTGATAATGATTTGGCGGACCATTGTGTGGTGCCAGAGTGCTGGTGGTTCTAGTGCACAAATATCAAGTCCAAAACCTCACAGTCCTTCCACTGGCTACCTCCGTCACAACTTTCCCTGTGTTTCTTCATGGAGCATAAGCAACTCTGCTCCACTCAATTCTGATTTAAAAAGATAAGATTCAATGCCACTTCATCTCTCTGACATAAAAAGATCAGATAAATTAAGATCTGGGTCACATATGAGTGCAGTGTGAACACGGCCTTAAAGCACCTCTCTCCTGTGAATCCAAATGACAATCGATTGCTGTAACTTTAAAAGATCCACACTGCTGCCCAACCCATTGACCATTTTGGTCTCTGGTGTCACACCAAGAACTTTGTCATTATCAAGGCATTGTTATTGACATTTTGAGGCACAGTGAGAGGACAAGATTGACTGAAAGAAAGTAAGAAGAAGGAGAAAAGAGAAAAAGTATAGAAAAAAATCGAAGGGATTGACAGACAGAGGCTGAGAACAGATTCAGGGGTAAACATTCGATGGTCATTAATCAGCACTCTCATCCTTGCAATAGCTTCTTCTGTTTTTCTTCTTTGGTGTTTACCCCAGTATTTGTTTTATACTTCATCATTACACTTTCAGCTTATCTACATTCCTTAAACTCAATCTTTAACAAACCATAGAAACTCTACATATCTTTTTCATAGACCTACAAATGCACATCCTGTATTTGCTATTGTTGCAGTTTGTTCTTTCTTTCTTTCTTTCTTTCTTTCTTTCTTTCTTTCTTTCTTTCTTTTGCCACCTGTTTGGCTCATTAAACCCGCAGCTCCTCAAAGGCCAGAATGACAAGCATCACTGACAACAACACAAGCACGATCACAACCACACATTAATTAATCATAGGCCACCACCACTGCACATGAAAAACTTTTGAAGATCCTTCAACTCTTTACCAATGACTCAAAAACATTTTCACCTCACTTTAAAATGATACAACTGATAATATGAAAAATATGATATAGCACCAATTTCCTCAGTAGAAAGGTGAGTCATTGTATTTATGTTATAATGATAAAAGTTTAACTCAGCAGCAGAATATGTATGATTCTCAGAATGACACAGGGCAAATGTTAAATCCGTGCAGCTGAACTAGCTTGTAGGTATCACTCCTCTAATGTTTGCTTCTAAGTGAAATCACTAAATTTATGCTGGATCTGTTTTCTGTCTCGCTCAAATGGCACCAGAAATGTGAGTTTGATCGTTGTCCAACACAAGTAACAGCAATACTTCTAAAGTTCACATAATTAAAATCACACTTTTTTGTAATTATCATCACTGAATTACCTTGCTGGATAAAGGCAAAACATCTTGTTAGAAAATCTGAATGTTTTTCTATCATAACATGCGATCCGTCTTCACCTGTGCCTGTTTCTCATCCTGCTTACACGCTTTGCATCAAAGCAGCATTGAAGAACAGCAGGGGTTGAATGTTAGAGTCTTTCACACAGAAAACTGCAATTTCGGTGTCAAGGCTTAACACAGAGCTCGAAATAAGTCTTGATAATTGTAACCCAGAGAAAAAGCAATTCCACTTTAGGAATAAGCATTTCGAAACATCAGTATTTACCAAGTGTGCCATAAAGGCTCTTTTAGCATCTCCAGAATTAGACATGAAAATTTTATCTTAATGTGTATCACCTTATCTTGGCTAAGAATGTGAGTTTTGATTCCATTATAATGAGTTGCAGCATCTCAAGTACTTTTTTATTTATTGTCCTCTCTGTACACTTCACAAAAAGCTGGAGAGTACTCTGCTATGAAAGATGAGAGGAGCTAATGTGATTGGCCGACACACTCATGATGTATGATAACTGATGACTTATCGTCTCGTCCCATTTTGATAAAACATTGAATTTGAAGATACTACAAAGCAAACAAGCAGGCATCCTGCCTAGGCTGCAATTGAAGGAGATCTGCCCTCAATCGATGGACCGCAGCCTTCGGGTCTTGTGTGCAGTATGTATTGAGTACCACACGCTACGTACATAGACGAAAATAAACACTTGTCTACAGATTGACACGTACAGTATGTAACTGTGTGGGTGTTGCTTTTACAAGGGAATGGCTTGGGAAAAAAGCTGCATTCAAAAAGCGATGTAATTATGTGTGTTCTGTTTGAATACACAGAGAGGAGGGGGTTGTGTATCATCACAAACCAAGCCGATAAATCATCCCATTCTTGATCAAAATAGCTGTCCTTAATGACATCCTGCTTTCTCTCTTTTCATTTTACTCTGTCTCTCTCTCTCTCTCTCTACATGTCTAGAAGCCCAAGGCCGTTGCCATGGATACCAGCCCACGCTCAACCTGCTGTCTGTACTTTGTGTCTCATTAGAGCACACTGGATTTTAAGAGTATGAACACACACAGACACCCCCACACACAGGAGAATGCCCTCACACACAAACACACAAAAAACATACAGCACGCATGCACACATATTCAAACACACATGCAGACACACAGACACACCAAAAACCTGACTCTTCCATTTATTATTCAAATAACCATTGATGTCTCAACCAATATTGGAATTGCAATTTGCATAATAGTACAGTATTCCAGCGTTAGAGTCTAATACATTTCCTTAAGCATAACTTTTGCAAACCAATTTTACACACTGTGGCCTGAGGCTCTCACCCCCCTACTCAGTTCATTCAAGTATAAATAGAAACTGGAGCTCATTTGTGGATGATTAATATTTTTTCAGTAGGTTCTTTCTTGATTATAGAGTCTATTTTAAGCTACTGGTATAGAACTCTCAATTTAAGCAAAGGTCTTTAAGGTTGTGATTTATGTGGCACAAAAATGTGAGAATAGAAGAAAGCTGAATAAAACTGCACCATTACTGCACGATATGAGTAATACAGTGTTAAGGTCCTTACACACACGGGAGCGTTTTTGTTGTGCATTTATTTTAGACGTCAGCATTTTTTTTCGAACCCGTATCCTGTCAATACAAGCGTTCACATCAGCAATGTTTTCCCGTCCTGCAATATTGCGGCATTTATTTTTTCGTATCACGGTCGAATTTTCATTTTCATTTACACATTCATGCCTACATTGAATATATTTCACTAATTTCCTTATTCCCCTTTTCTCTAGTACCCTGGACAATATGTTCTGTTTCCATCCTTCCCTAGTCCACTTGCTAGCTAACCTTTCCAGTTTCCCTTGCATACATTTTCCTGGTTTCTTCTTCATTTTGATCACTGTCCTGTTGTTCCTCAGTTTTTCCTTTCACTTGTTCAATACTTATCCCTAAGTTTCCTGGTCCCCTAATGGTCTTGATTACTTGTTCCTGGGTCCAGTGCACATGATCTGTATTACCCTTCTATTACCCTTGATCACTACATCACTAATCTTCCTATTCCTTGGTTCATCATTTCTTTTTCCCCCAGCTCAAGTTGATGAGTGCAAATAAATTAGGGTGACCATACCTCCCCTTTTACCTGGACATGCCCTTTTTTTTAGGGGTTGTCCGGCCTTGCCCGGGGGAGTTTATAAAATCCTTCAAATGTCAGGGGTTTTGTGTGGAAGTTTTGAGTTAGTGTCGCGTGGACTTACAGAGTTAGCAGTGTGTAACAAACACTCAACCTGAGCAGAAAAACTCTCAAAATTAACTACGCACAACTCTGTGACTCCGCCCCTGCATAGCCATGTCCTCTTTTTGGGGTTTCAGAATATGGTCTTCCTAAGCTAATCCTTGTCCCAAGTTAACATGGTAACCACAATGATAACTAGTTCCTTGATTCACTCTTTTACTTGCCTCTTGATTCACTTGCTCACAAGCTCCCTGGTCCACTCTGTTCTTTGTTGAAATATTCAAGCCCACCTTGTTCACTTGTTCCTTAGTTCTCGCTTTCATGCCTGGTAAAGATTAAGTTCACCCTGGGAAATTGGGTGATGCAGACTTCAGTATGACAAAGTTTTTTTTATGTCTTTGTCTAAACCTGTCAGGTCATCCTTATCTGTCTTTTTTAAATTAAGTTTAGTTGTATTGAGATAAGGGTCTATAAATGAAACAAGGAGATATGATCTCTCATTTTAAGGGTTCACAAACAATTTCTAAGAACAGTGAATCAGAGCCTGTGTTTAAATCAGTCTAAGTACTGAGTAAAGAAATCCCAAGTAATACGAAGTTTTGTTTTTCCTTTTAGGAGCTTTAACTTATACTAGGGTACAAAAAACCTGCTTGTTCCTGTGATCATGGTCGATTGTTTCAGCTCCCGAAAAAAACAGTCACTGATTCTGTCAGGGCTAAATATCGTAATCTGATCTGAAGCTGTGCTGTCAATGGGTCCCCTTCAGAAATTAATGTCACGGTTCAATAATGACATACCACCTGACCCGAACCCACCCACTCTCTAGCTGCCATGGCAACCTGGCAGAGATTCTTAATGAGCATCTGCTGCTTACAACCATGCTGCATACACATACACAAACACACGTACACAAAAACAAATACACACCAGCAGTCCACCAACTAAACCTGACAGCAGTAATTAGCTGGACAGGCAGCACAAAGAACACACACGGACAGACAGTTACTTTTCATGTTGAAAAAAATGAAAAATGAAATGCAGAACAAAAGAAACAAAAAAATAAAAGTCACTCTGCATGTCCTTGAACATGAATAAACTCTGGGAGCCAAATGTTCATGAAGATGCTCTGCTGTCAAATTTCAAACCCAGAAAAACATATGTAGATGTCGTCCAAGAGTGGTGTGAGTAGTAGCTGATGCTCATGTGGGGGGGTGTACCAAAGCAGGAAAACCACATCTATCAAATGCTTTGGCAAAACTAAGGTCAAAGATCACCATGACAACAGTTAAACTCATTAAGCAAATGTCAGAACTGTCTCATACACAAGCATTCCAACATGGGACTGTGTGTGTGCATGTCTCTGTGTGTGCATGCGTATGTGCGTGCGTGTGCGTTAGTTTTCATTCAGGTTGTTGTTGCTGAGTTGTGTTTTACACTTCTTTAATAACCTGAAAATTACATACACAGATTTCATCTCCTTTGTGCTTGATATGTATTTAAATATATTTCAACATTCAGAGATTCTGATCGCAATCAGATGTTTGAGAAACAAATTCATCGTCATCGTATGTGGACCCCCTGAAATAGCCTTGGCCACCCTCTCGCCACCCCTAGAATAAAGTCTAGCTTCACCACTGGTTGTCACTGTTTTAGAGTATTAGAATAAAATTACATATAATAAAATTACGAATTATGAAACAAAAAATGGATTCTGTAATAACTTTAAGCAGATGTGACTAGTGGTGATTTTGGGGACAGTCTCCGATGTTTACCACACACCCCTCAAAAGTCCACAAAGTAGTTTTGGACTCAAGTTCTAAATACTAGCTTGCACCAATCAGAAGCAAATACTGATAAATCATCATAACTTCCTTTACCAATTACTGCAAAGCCGCATTTGTATCCTAAGCTTTGCTCCTCGTGCCTGATGGTGACTTCAAGTCTTGAGGTAAATGGCTGAGATAAATGATGTCGTCCACAAGGTCACCTTACTTGGATTAAAATGAACACAGTCTGGTGTGACAGTGTAATTCTTGATCTCAATCATATAACTTTCCATAAACTCACCCTATAGGTGACCCTTATGAAGAAAATGAAGGAGAAATTCTTGAAAATTAATGCTCACTTTAGACATGTCCTTACTTATTTAGCTAAACAGTCAGGCAAACAAAAGGTCACCCACAAAGACAGACTTTGTTCAGGCTAGTCCAAGCACAGAAAGATTCTCGGTTTTGACAGCTTTGCTGAATTCCCCATGGCCCCCAGGCTTTAGACAGCAGACCCAGTTTTGATATGTGACATAGGGGACAAAACAAAACTGTCAAGGAAGAGGAAACAAGGAGAAAATGGAAAAATACAACAATGTAAAAAAATAAAAAGATGTATCAGCAAAGAGGCAAAGTATCACAGTTAACCGCCTTTTTGTTACACAGGAAAAAGTGATGTTCAGACCCCCCATTATCATTCATTTTGATCCGAGACACTGAAATAAACTATGGCTAAGTGAAGGTCACTTGGAGGGAGAAAAAGGAGCAGGAGAGCGGTGAAAACAAAGCTCCTTCTTCAAAGAGAAAAATGACCTCTTTGTAAGAAATGTTTCATCTTCAGCATGCTCACTTTCGCAGTTCTGTAGCAGGCTTAAGGGCCCACTCAAACTCACTCTTTCACTGTTTGTCATTTTAAAATGTCCTTTGTCCAAAATATTTCCACAGCAAAGGGTATATAAATTAGTTTCTAAAGTAAGTTGCAGTATAAACATCACTAAGAGACACCACTATGGTTTGAGACATTTATCCACAAGGACATACTATGATGGAGTAGTATCGGAGGCCACACACGGGGAAACATCCAATTCAATTTGTTTTCATTACTGCGCAAATTCACATTCAATCAGTGGAAGTGTGGAGGAGATGAAGATAGAAGGAGGAGGCTGAGGAAAAGGAAGGAAGTCTTAGTCATGGCTTTTAAAAGAGCGAAGAAAAAGGCAAAGGGAAAAAGACAAAAGGACTTTGGATAAACAGACAATGACTAAACCAAAATTATATTCCAATGATTGAACATTTCTTTTCAGGCGTGTATGATTTCCCGTCACTTTGAGTGTGTGTGCAAGATTGAAATAAGGCGTATAAAGATCTGAAGACGGAGGTATGGAATGAGTGTACTATTTGTTCATCTGACTTTAAGCTGGTTAGTTTCACACAAGCCTTGAACACAGAAAACAAAAGTCAGTTGAAGTAACAGAGAATGGGAAACTGAGCAGTGAGGATGATTAAAGAAAAGTGGAGCAGAGAAGCGAATAGCAGACAACGAAAGTCGGGAAAGTACACAGGAAAGAGGGGGAGAGGTTAAAGACAACAAAATCCACCGAGATAAGGAAGGATTGAGAGAGTCAGATGGGGAGAGGATTAAGTGACACAGATATGATCTCAAGGGGGCGAGCGACTAACGGGCAGAGAAAGAGAGAGGAGGGTCAGAAAGGAGACAGCAGTGTTTTGTGAGGTTGGATAACTGTTCTTGGAGAGGTAGAAAGAACTGAACAACAGAAAGAGACTCATAAAAAGAGAGAAAAAAGGAGGAATGATGTCTGGGGGAATGAGTCTGAGAGATAGAGGCTGTATATTTAGTCTATTCCTCCTGGTCTGGCCTCATCACTTTTTATTGCTCCACACATTAAAGTGTCATTTCTTATATTCAGCACAGCTCACATTGTGAAATCACCAGCTAAGGTAATGCACCACCACTGCAACATCACTCTCTCTTCTCCCGTTTCTATTGTTTCTGTTTTATCTTTAACACCACGGCGGGTTCTTGATCTCTTGCTCCCTCATCCTTTTCTCTCCATTTCTGCTTTTCCAGCCTGCCTTTATCATTTTCTTTTCCCCCCAACACTCCCTTACTTCTTTATCTCTACCTTCAGAAACAAATGTGCCGAAGCTAAGTCATGTACCTGAACTTTAAAAGCCAATGTCCTACCCTGAGGCCACACTGTGCAAGTAAGTTACTTTGGAAAGTCATTTCAATTACATATGAGCCAAAGGAATAAACACCTCCAGGCTTGAGTTAGAACTTTTCCACTTCTGCCATATAAACATTCACAGGGATATTGGCCATCATGCAAAAAAAATTACACAGATAGTCAACAGCATGAACATTTGTATCTGGAGGCACAAATATTCAATGCATAATGTAAATAACACCATGCTGGGAAAATCTCATCATTCCTGTATGCTCTGAAATTTCTACTCTGGAGAAAAGATGCAACATACAAGACAAACCTTGCAAAGAATACCTTTTCATTTTACAGATATGCATTATGATGTTGTTTCAGCAAAGTTAGGATTTGTTAATTACCGTGACATTGAAAAAAATCTGGTTTCTCCAAGTGCAAAGTCATTGCAGGTATGCCAGGGGAGCAGAAAGCAGGACGTTTTTTATTTGTTTACTATTGGAGTCAACAGAGAAAGAAAATGACAAGGAGCTGTTGTGCTGTAAACTGCACGAACCGTCAAACGGATGGTTCGAAACTGTTTAACGTCCCGAGGGGATCTTATCCTTTTGCTGAGAGAAGAAGTCCCTGTCTCTGGCTGGGCGGGACACCTGCTCTCAAAGTGCAAAACCCTGAACTTGTGTCATAACATTTTAAGTTTTGGACTTGGCCACAAGATACATAATTATACGGGTCCAAAGATTTGTGTGTATGCAAACTGCCCTTTGTGTACACACTAGGCTTCTCGATTAGATAATTATATATGTCGGGCCATATTATAGCTGGCCATTTGGACATATCTGCAATCCATTCCTCACTCGGAATATTATATGGGTCTAGTAATTTCTCACCAGTGCTGAGGTCAAGTTTGTTCAGGTAATCTATGCAGTCTGAGCTGCTGAGGCTGTTCATATAATTGGTCTGAGCCATCTCTGTAAAGACCTAGCCAATGAGCCGTCAGACTTATATTTACAGTGACATTGGCAGGTTTTTTAAAATGTTGGCAGGCCGTATAGTAGCCTTGTCATTTTTACTTTGACTTAGTTAGCATTCACTAACATTACGACCCTGCTCCTGATATTAGAAACATCCAAAACAACGTCACAGCCTGGTAAACTGAATGAAATTCATGGACATTTCTGCAAGTGTTTTTTTGATTTGTGAAGCAATGAAAGACAAAGCGATTTCTCAATGGCATGACACTTTATTGCAATTGTGTCAGGGAGAACTTGCAAACAATACGGCATCTTCATTAATATCAGTTCACTCCGAAGCAGGCTTTTCCCCCCTGGTTGCGCACACACCTAGTATTGTTTGTACACAAGAAACCCGTCTATGTGAAAATCTATTTATAGGGAAACTGAGACCCATTAGATGAGCAGGTGCTCTTCAGCTATAACAGAACACAGGCATGAATTACTCTTGTAGACGAGTCATGAACCAAGAAATCAAGATGCAAATTTTCACATCTCTTTTGTCTGTGTACTCCTTCACGATCCTGTATCCAAACTTGTGCAAGTGATGAAAAGCAAATATTTTCTTAGCTTTCGATCTTGGCATATACTTAAAAAAAAGTAAGGTACATAAAACCATGAATCATTGTACTTACAAAAAATGAAACTCAAGTTAGACGTTCAAAAATATAACTCTGTTCAACCATCTGTTTTGAAAATGCAAATGCAAAAACTCTGCAAAGTGACACAATGTTATTTGTATATTGTATACCTTATAAATTTGTTGCACTGTATTAAACACTAAGCAGTCAACATGACAGTTGTGCCACTGTTGAGAAGAATAACTGAGCTGAATGGAAAAACTGTTCTTTCTTAAATACCATTAAATTGATTCAAAGACCTTTAAAACGATTTAAAAGACACCAAGTCACCAGTTCTCCTCTTGGAGAACTGTGTGAGCCCTGTCACATCAAACACACACACACACACATTCACACACTAACACCACACACTCCTTCCTACACACACACACAGCCATTAATGGACAGTCTTGTTTAACCTAATGATGGGCAGGCGGCTCAGAAGCTGCAGTCAGAGCTTTACACTGTGGCAATAATTATACCGGTTGGGTTGTGCACACACACACACACACACACACACATGCACACATGCAGACTCAAACACACATACATACGCGGCTAGCCTGTCTGTTTGACAGCAGGGATTAGCAAGGAGAGGTGCAGCTAATGCCCAGTAACGAGACATCCAGCTTATCGCCCACAGAATCGTGTCTGTGTGTGCACGGGTTTGTGTGTGTGTGTGATCACAGAAAGGGTGAGGGTGGTAGAGCTACAGAAAACTAGCTGCATGTTAGTCCATGACTTTAACCACATTTTATTGGTCACACATGTTTCAGCCACAGCTCTCTTTTTTTCCTCTTTCTCCATTCCTGTTTCTGTGTTTGGTGTGATAAAATTTGATCAACTTTTGTTAAAAAAAATGGTGAAAACTATTGCTGGAAATACGATGCTGCATGAAAAGCAACATGAAGTTCAAACTATATTCAGTATTATCATAAAAAAAAAACATGGCTGCAAGCATGAAAATATAGTTAGCAATTTATTCGAAGTACTGGAAGTGTACACTGAATGAAAGGTTGGTATGAGGCTGTTGTGATGTTGTTATTTGCTAATCAAGTTCATGTGGCTTCACTGCAATTTTTACCCAACACCCCAGACCTGCTCCTTATAAGTAAACTCTTTTCAGTTACAGTAGATGAACACTTGTGGCTATTTGTTTTTCATGCTTTTGGATTTGGAGGTTAGTCTACTTAAATGTATAAAATGAAATGAGTTTTATTCCATTTTTAATTATTGCAAGCAAGTATCATCAAACTGTTTAGACCATCACATTCTTTTGGCTTGGTGAATGGAACTAATGTCAAAATCAGTGTATCTACTAAGATATTGGATCATTTTTTGTCAGAGGGTAAGTGGTGTATGACTTAACAGTACTCCTTAATGTCTGCAGTAGCAACAAATAGATTTCTTGTTGTCCTCTCAGGCAGCATTTAGCTGCTCTGAGAATATTTAAAAAATGTGAACCTTTCAGAGCGTCTGTCTCAGGAGAAGATGGAGAGGCTGGAGCTGAAGAGACTGCAAAATACCCCATACATTAGCTGCCATGGGAGCCCTTAGCTATTTAACGACAACCGTTCCTGACACCAGGCTGTAAACAACATTTTTTCCTTTAAAAAAAATGTTTTTTTTGGCATGGTGTGTACATGATTTCTAGTGCTTCTGCAGCCAACCTCAAGTGGACACTTGAGGAACTGCATTTTTTAGCACTTCAGCATTGGCTTCATTAAGCAAGACCAGACGATGCTGCTTGGGATCAACCCGATCATGACAGGACTGACTGTCAGGAGGTTCTTCTCACCTGGTCGAGTAGCACAACGACTCGACCATACCTAGCTTTGCTCAATTCATTCACCTGTGACAGGTATGTACTTATGGTTGAATTTGACCATCTGGCACAAAATGATCTGCTCCGGGCTCCGATCAAACCCACAGAAAAGGATGTGGGTGAAAAAATTTGGCAACTGCCCTCATTATAGTAAGAGGACACAGATGGAGGCATTTAAATAGCACACAAGTAAACATCCTGATCCCTCCCTCTCGCTCTCTCTCTATCTCACACAAATTTACACATACACACACAAACTTCTCTCTCAATGAATCTCTGACTTTCTATAATTTTCTAGGTCTCTGTCGCCTGTGTTGCTATGGTAACAAGCTGTGCGGGGGCTGTGATGCGGCACACATCACACCCATCTCACTGAGCTCACTGGAAGAGAGGGAACGTAAGTGAGACAGAGACGAATGAGAGACGGGTTTTGTATATGCAGACTCTAGATCTGCAGTCTGAAAGTTCAAACCAAACCAAAGTTTCAGTAGTAACAATCTGACACGTGTGAGGATTACAAAAAATAAATACGACTTTAAGTCTTGAATCTTTTCGGTAACCGGGTGTTAAATTGGGCTAATACTAGGTCACTGTTAATAGCATGCTGATGCTCTAATAATCACATATTATTGATGGCAGTCAGGTTGTTTGACACTTTTAGGAAGTAACCCAACACAGGTGTAATTACTAATTATAGAAAATTGCCCATGAGTCACAGTTTAATGTGTTTAACATTGCCTGATTATAAGGTCCTTGGTCAACCTAATCAAAATCAAAGTGTTTAAAATGATTGTTAGCTGCCCGCTTGTCAGGACAAGTCTGTTGAGCTATTCCGGCCTAAAATGGACTTGGGCCAGTCCATTACGGACTACAGTGGGGTGGCGCAGCTCAAGGAAGAACATTTATGATCATTTCTTAATGGAAATGCAATCAGACCAAGATGCTAAAGCAGAAGAACTAACGTGTCTGCAGTGCAAAATGATTAATATGATGGTTATAACTTCAAGAAAATAATAAAATAATGATCATAAATGTCCTTCCTTGAGCTGTGTCACCCCGCTGTAGTCTGTAATGGACTGGCCTCAGGTCTCGCTGCAAACAAATGGCTGCTGAAAGAAAGTGGATGAGTTGTGTTTAGTCTCTTTACTCAAGAAATTAGGCAAAGTTAAAAAGATGTTTGGTGGCTAGTGCTGTGGCTGGGACCCTATATGTACTATTGATGAAGTTAGGTGCTGTTCTGAGCATTATTTGTGGCTATAGAGTGGCGTTTTGGTTGAGGTTTGTGTGTGGTTCCTGAGATCGCTGTGTAATGGGATAATGTGGTTGTTACTAAAATTGGTATAACATTCATCTCTCCATGGGGTGTGTAACCCAGTGTTACGGTGTGTTTGACCCTAAATTAATCTTACACCGGAATATCCCTTTGAAAGTCTAGAAACTGTCCCAAGTCTCTGTGTGAAAGGGTTTGGCGCTGAGCAAAACACAACAGGGTGTACAGGATTTTAAAGAAAGGCCCTTGACATCTTTTCTATTCTTCAAAAAAAACACCTCTTCAGCAAACGCAGCAACACTCCTGCAGTGTATTGGAAATCAGTTTCACATATAGGGCAGCAGTGCCATCAGTCAACCAAGTTTCAGACAGAAAAATCAAACTTTCAATCCACTTAAGTTTACAGTCGCCGACACCTCATCCATTTACTAGCCTTAAAACCTCCTTTAGAAGATGTACATCAGCAGGCTATAAACCCCCTGTTCCACCTCTTTTCCTTCTTTTTTATGATTCAAGTTTATGTTTTTTGGTAAATCAAGTTTAAGCCGCTTTACAATGCCAGATTTAAAGCCCTTGATAAGTTGAAGCTGTCTGTTATCATTGCCTTCTTTATCTCATAAAAGAAAAGAGAAAGTTACGACCCAAAATGACAAGATCATCACAAAACAGACCAACGATGTGGCATGTCTGAAAAAGGAGAGCCTGCTGGTAGTATCAAGCAGTTCCTCTAGAGAGCTGCCGTTTTTCGATTCCGACAACTGAGGCAATTTCAACCTATTGCTTCACCCTTAACTCTGTGACTACTCTGCAAATTAAAACCAATCACTCTTTTTCCCCTTGGGTATTGACGAGTCACCAGGCTGTTCAGCTCTAGCAAGGCTCCACAGTATGACAGTTTCCCTTTCCTTCCTGATCCAAACTAAGGCTTCAGTGTCTTTGTGGAGACAATAAACAGTAAATCCAAAGACATTAGTACATTTCACAATGAAATAACGATTTCATTTAAAGACCCACTCTGATGAAAATCATGTTTTTCTTGTTTTTTATATGTTCATATGGCATTTTTCTGACGCTACAGGACACATCATGAGAAAACTAAATGTGAAATTCAATACTCTGCATATAGAGGAAAAATACAGAGGACGATCACGGAACAAGCGTGTGCGTTCGCAGACTGCAATGCTCGTAAGAAAGCTAATTATATTAGCTTTCATCGTGTCCCTAAAGGCAGAAGTGTCCGAGAGCTGAATAGCTCGTATGTTACCTGCCACTTCTACGACACTGGCAGTGTTAGGCTGCAAGCTAGCGTGAAGACGAGTGTGCAGAGCAGTGCTGTCTCCGCCCACGACTCAGAGGCGAATTGCTAACGAGCTACTGGACCTCTGCAGAAGAAAAGCCTTTGGAAATGACACATGTAATGCGATTTTTGGTCAAAACAACAACATCACAATTTAAAGACCACTGAGAACACTTCAAGTAGTAAAAAATAACAATCGAAGTGGGACTTGAACAACGATTTTTGTTGGTGCTGATGTGGTGCAAGAGGGAATGTTAAGAAGTTTCTGTCACTGTTATACTTGACGACTTCTTATCCATCTTGAAAACTGTAAGCCATCCACTGCTCCCAGTATGTTGAAAAGGCTCAGACTTTCCAGGGCACAAAGGGTTTTAACTGACTCTTCACATAAAAAAGCGTTGAGTGTTTCATACTACGGTATCACACTTTATCTTCTGCAGCTTCAATTTTTGGATATATTCACATCTTCCAGGTAACCAGGGGTCTGTCATGTCTTTGTCCATCATCACAGTTCATATTTTTCTTAATTACATTTGCCTGGCTCAGAGTCTGAGCTAAATTAAGAGGCCTATTCATTCCCTGTCGTTACATTTCAAGAGACAGTGAGGCTTCTCATTACAGGCAGCTTTTCAAATAAGTGACTGATGAGAAGCAAATGCATTTCCAGGAAAAATAAAAAAAAAAAAGGCTGAAAAAGTGCTTCACATGATCAAGATTAAATACAGAAGAGAAAATGAAGGATGAAATTGGACACAGTAGGAGGGCATGAAGAATACTGACAGCAAACTTAAGAGGTTATTTATGAGAGCTTTGTTTTCCTCAATTTGTCTCAAACCATGCCAGCAAAGTACAAAGAGTACAGATGAATGAAGTGATGTCCAGAGGATAAAACATCCAAAAATGACAAAAACCCAAAAATCAAAAACAAAGAGAACCCTTTTCATTTTGTGTCATTACTATATCAGCAACTATAAAACCTTTATTTTGTGTGTATCTGCGAGTGTGTGTGTGTGTGTATATGTGTCGACTTGTGAGTGTGTATTTGAGTCTGCTGAGCCACTGACGTAACAGTGGGTTTAATCCCACAGTGTAAATCTCAAAAAATGAGCAGCAAAATGCCAAACTGAGAACTTCTAACGGACAAACTGCGCAAATAACCTAGTTTGTTGTACCAACACACCGATTCAGAAACACACATTCAGGCGAGCACAGACAGATATTTACTGTGGATAACCTCCTTTCTACGTCCTTTTTTTTTTTTTTGCTACTGTTGCTGTGCCCCGTGTCTCCTGCCTGTCTGTCTGTCTCCACCTCCTACCCCCTCTAATTCGCAGCACTTTTCCCATTGGAGTGCTGTAAGAGGATGAGGCCATTCCCTGTGAGAGCAATAAGAGGATGAATATGTGTATGTAGATGTGTTTGTGTGTCAGACCATGCCTACATGTGTGTGTGTGTGTGTGGATTATACACATGCATATTTTTTGTATACTGCCAACCCAACATGCAGCATAATACAGGTGTTTATGATTGCATAGATTTGCATTAGTGCATTTGTGTGTCTACACAACATTGGCAGAGGCTAAGTGTGTGTGTTTGTGTGTATGTGTGTGCCTGTAGGTCTGCCCTACATATGGAAAACCTTATAATTCCCTGTCAACAGACTCTGAGACTATTCATTGTACCTAATTTTCCAGAGATCACTTGTTTTGTTGTAAAATCACCAATGTTTCTTCCTGTAAAACAGCTGACTGTCAGCTGAGCTAACACGCAGAAATCAGACTGATTCTTGCAGTAGTGAGAGAGAGCGAGAGAAAGAGAGAGAGCTATCTTTTCAATTTTGCTGAAAATTGTATGGTATTTAATCATGACTATCATAAAGCTGAAAAGAATTGCAATCATCAGTCTCTTTCTTGTTGTATAATAAAAGTATAAATTGTAAGTTCTTATTCCTAAAAGTGTTTCTATAGTTTATGTAGCGTCAACCTGACATCTTTCACTTTAAACGTGAAAGAAACACCTCTCAAATGTCCGTTGAATGTGACATGAAAGATATTTCTAAGCTTTTCAAAGCTCCAACCAAGAGTGTCTTTAGCCGACTATGACAAAACACTGAAATTACCAACATCTCCACATGGGCAGCAAAACATATACACAACCACCAGCAGCAAAACTTCTTTCTCAGTTGTTTCACTGACTTTGGAGACAAAGTGATGTACAGCATTCTGCAGAGTGCGAACAGATACATTTGCATAATGTTATGGAGAATTGTGGTCAAAAACTCCTAAATTAAGTCTTCTTTAATGCATTTCAGAGCAGTTTGGACTTGAAAGACTGAGATTTGTATTATGCAAAGTATGACAGAAGTAATTTTAATTCAGAGGATATGAGGCTATTGTATTTATAATAAAGCTGTTCTTTAAATGTTGTGTTCTATAATCTAGTGAACAAAAACCTGTGTTGTATACAGCTATGGATTCAGTAGCTCATAGTATTTTTGAGGCTTGAGCAACAAAGGAAAGCTGTTGTGCTAGATTTACAGAGACCTCCCTCTGAAACATTCATGATGAGACCTTCCCTCTTTAAGTTAAACACAGACACCAGAAAGGAAACTCTGAAGGGTAATGACAGGACGAAAGAAAAGTGAAATGTCACAAAGAAAGGAACAGGAGGGGAAAAGACAGTTACTGACAGCAACACCTGTGTGCTGAATACAATCTTCTTTGATATTAGGAGGTGGTTTCAGTTCAGCAGCCTTTTGATCGGCTGTCTTAGAGGACCTCATGAAGTTTGATGACAAAAAATGAAAGTCATGGTAACTTTCAGTGGGATTCATACTGTGGAGACATAAACTTACTGAAAGAATCCTTTGATATGTGGTTGATGCTTTTGACACCAAGGAAGAAAGACATCCGAGGCTCTCCGCTTTAAAACTTTCTTCTTATGCCAACAAAAGAACGCCAATAGCAACAGCAAACGGAAGTTTTATTAATGATTCTGTCCTCAGACAAAAGGTGATTGCTCCTTTACCGTTAAAATCAAACAATACCACCATAATATCAGAATTATATTTGGATTTTATAAAGACATTTCTTGTACTTTTTTTGTTAATTTTAGGATAAATTTTCCTCAATGGTTGGCCAGACCACTTGGCATTCTCTTGATCTGTAGTTTGAGAAGACATCGGAAAGAACAGTCGGTGTAAGTCAGCTAAATCAGTTATGAGTAAGACTTTGAATGGCTTGAAGAGGAACCATCAAGAATCAGACCAGTGGGGCCCAACCAGTGAAGTTTTTACCTTAAAGCAACCCAAATCAAAGAGGTTGTACGCAACCTTGAACGAAATACAGTTTCAAGTTTTGTTCAGCAGGTACAAAAATGTCACTGAAAATGAGAAAGAATTAAAAGTCTGGTGCTGAAAAAATGCTTCTTCTCAACTGTATAATTATAACTCCATACAAAACAATTAAATATCACTGTTTATTTTATATTTCTCATGAACTCCAAGTGATATGAAAGAAACATTCCATGATCGACAAATGCCCCGAGTCTATCTGCGGGTTGAGCGGTGCTGCGAGGTCGGACCTGTCAGCATAAACTGCAGCCCACAAAGGTTTAAGCTGTGTGGATGTTGTCAGACAGCAAAGGAGTTCAAAGTTGGACAAAATTCTCAATAAAACATGTTCCCTCTCTGCTGGGTCAGCATTTATTTTTGTGGGGGCAACTGTTTTTCTTCCTGACACAGTGAAAAGTGAAAGAGATTGTTTGTGTTACAGAACAAAGTACAACTGCGGCCAAGGCAGACATAACAATCTCTACGGATCAATCCCCAGTATTATAACAGAAACAACTTAATTGACCCGCTGACAAAATTGCCTCATTTTAAATATTTATAAGTATCTGCTCATTAACTGCTTCAAACCTTGGTAAGCGTGGAGTGTGGGGTAAATTAGAGACAGTGCTTCTGATTCTCCGTGAAAACACAAACAGTCCTAACCAAGGGAGTAAAGATCAACCAATCAATATCGTTTACTGATTCAAACATTGAAGACCTGAGTGCATCCATCTACAGCACCCTGGATTGGTAAAATGTCACACAGACCAGTCAATAGACCAGTCAATAGAGCAGTGACAGAGCTGGTTTGCGGTGTTTTTCTGAATTCTGTGAGACTCAGATATTGACCTTTTCCTTTCATACTGCTATCAAGTTTCAGCCTACTTTTTATTTGTATACTATAATTTTTCTAATTTGGAAAACAAATAAATGCTCATTTTTAAAAGCTTGTGGGACTTTAAAAAAGTCTGTGAATAGACGTGCAGAGAAGCCAAGATTTCTATTAGATAACAAATTTTCATATTTCTCACCCAAAATATTCCCGAGACACCTGAGCCTGGATGTGATAACGCTTTCACTATATTTGTTATTATTATCATTATCCAGTTTGTACAGTAGACCAAGTCTTTTGACTCTATAATAAACACAAGGATGTTATTTTGAACTATATAAATTAAAGTTTACTTGAGATGAAATTATCAATATCCTTAAACCTAAACAAACTGAATTGTAGACAACACAGAATATAATTTTTCTCACCCCTGCTTGAGATATTAAGTAAGATACTACTGCGCAATATTAGTTTTAGGAAATAGAGTAAAAACCTGAAAATACAGAGAGCTTTTTGGCTTCAAATCTGTATACTGGCGGAGGGCGGAACCAAGTTGTCCATAGTATATACAGTCTATGGGAGAGACCAACATCCCTCGTCCCAAAAATAGAGGCTTTTGTCCAGACTGTAAAAGATAAGATTTTGCCATCTCAGCTTTTTAAACCAAATTCAAAGTAACCTCTTTGTACAGTTAACTCACATAGAATCATTCGCTAAAAACACGCAGTACACAGTATGTAAACATGCATGTCTGTGTGTCCTGTTGTTAAAAGTCTCCACAGGGAAGCCATAGAGCTGCAGACATCTACTGATTTTGTCGTCTTTACCTCTGAGACACACACCGCAGAGAAATCAATCACTCACTAGACTGAAACACACACAGTCACTTTGTCTCATATCAAAAATGCACTTACTGCTATGCAGACAAACTCACACTTGCAGTGCACTATCTGAGAAATACACACCTACATATCAGTGAATGAGTTTTTTCTGCCCCCCCTTATCCATCATCCTCCCTTGTGTGTATTCCCCTGTGTTTAATTTCATGCAGTCTTTTATTGCAAAGCTATGAAAAGGCAAAGCAGAATTAATTTACATCATTTTGCCAATTAAATGACACGAAGCTCCTCTTGTTTCAATCGAGGGTTAATTAACATGAAACTAGAAGACATAACACAAGCCCATACCGACTCACAAACAGGAGTAGACTTGGTTTGTGTGTCTGGAAAGTGCATTTGGGTGTGAGCTGCAACTCTGTGTGTTCGTATGTGTTGTCCCAAATACAGCGGTGACTGGTACATTTCTGTCCTACACTGAGATTTACTTTTTTGTCTGATATGAAATCATTTCTTAAACGGGTATCTGAATGTCACACACACACACATGCGCGCCAAATGCACACACACACGCACAAACACGCCGTCTGCCCTCCACTGCTAATCTCTAACCTTTCCAATCATCCTCTATCTTTTTTTATTCCTGTTACTTGCCTTTCTACAGCTTTCCTGCCCCTCCCCACATGGTTTTTCCCGCTCAGGCTCCACCACGGCTTTGATCTCCTCTCACCACAATGCAGGTGTACAAACCACTGAAAATCAATTTCAAAGGCGCGCAGCTTTGAGACATCTAGAGTCACTCAGATGTTTTGCCTCGAGATGCCGCTTAACCCCTCTGATTCAAAGTCTTTTGATTTGAATTCACGAGAAGATGCGGCTTTAACAGACAGCTGTGGCATAAGTGAAACACTGCAGGGGTCCGACCTGTGTTGAACGATCAGTTCAGGGTCTCTGTTCTGATGCATCACATGCTTTCTAGCTGAGTAGCTTGACAGAAAGAAGACAAGATGAGGAAACAAAAAATATGGGGAAATGGATAAATGGTGTAATTGATAATGAAGGAAAGGAGAATACAACTGAAGGACAGTGTGAAATACATGAGAAACATATCAAATGCTGCCCTTAGCAAGATGATTTATCCCTTCCTCTTTTTCTATTGAATGGTTTAATTGATAATAAATACGTCGTAAAAACACAGCATACAGTACACATTCCCTGGCAGTCGCATGCACAGTTATAAATGCACCCACGCATGCACACAGCCATTCACATAAATCCGTGCGCATGCGCCACATTTCACCACAGCTGCTGTGCTGAATTCATCCAAATATGGTAGGGGATATTTCCATGGCAACAGCAGGCAGAAGGGTGCAGACTTGTGCTGGAGGATCTCCAAAGAGAGTCTCCTTTCTTTGACTTTTGATTCAAACTATTCTCTTCCAGTCTATTCACCAGTACAGTCACTGTTTCGGCACAGTCTGAATATGTGCGTCTAGTGAAATCACAGAAAAATGCCTTGTTTGCATTTATAGGCTGAATAGAATTACGCTACCATGCATTTGTGGTTTAAATAGTACATACATTGATATTAACTTCATGTGTTCATGATACATTTTTTTATTTTTATCTGCAGACTAATGTTTTAGCTTTTTGTCTAGCAGCTTCTTCATATCCAGAACAGACATTGTCCCTGAAATTGGTTCCAGGTTAGAAAAACAACCATTTTTAAAAAGCGCTTATGGGGTTTACAGTAAGACATAATAGGTTGCTTGGGAGGAAAACATATTTCAGACCATAATGGGCGACCATAAAATATAGAGATGCTGTTGCTGTTAAGTCAACTTTATAAGTCATAGCTATTACCACTGGCTGTCCTGCATTGTCGGGATTAGAATTTATAGCAGGACCGGGCAGTGCATCAGCCCATTTTTCTTCAAACACAATGTGTATTTATTTATAGGTCGGGTTCTTATGGATGGCTGCAAAATATTGGAGGAGGGACTGTAACATTTTACAAGTGGCAGCAGAAACAGAATTATTTGAGTCCGTCATTCATGATATCTGATTTGAGTTAATTCAAGGGAAACATTATGATAATAGAGCACTTTGATTGTGTTCAGGTATGTAGTTGCATATGCATAGATGTGTAGATGTGTAAGTGTGGGGTGTATTTGTCCATCCCAGGAGGCTACAGATATTTATCTCAGCCCAGCTATTCATTAGTGGGTCTGTAGCCTGCTGGCACCATGAGGAATTATAGGACAGAAGCAATCAATACACCCGACTCCAAATCCAGACTCTGTGTGTGTGTGTGTGTGTGTGTGTGTGTGTGTGTGTGTGTGTGTGTGTGTGTGTGTGTGTGTGTGTGTGTGTGTGTGTGTGTGTGTGTGTGACTGACATATTTTTCTTTTCTCGTGATGTGATAGTTTGCCCCAGGACCTGTTTTTGCAGGTTTTTAGGATTATTTCTCGAAGAAACAGAAGTACTACATCTGATCTGAATAATAAATTGGCCCCAATCTGGCCCAGGTACCAGATTAACCCTTCATTTTAACCAGTTGGGTGCACAGGAGCTCACTTCTTGTTGTCATGGTATCGACACAGGTATCAGTATAGTTTGATATTAGGTCATCTTTTAATAACTCATTTTGATGCTGTGTTGAGAAGAGAAGTGTTGAGATGCACTCACACTTTACTTACATTAGTCCTCCTTTATCTGAAATTCATATTTGTGCTTTCGGCCATTACTCACCTGATGACAGATATTGGCCTGATATAAACAAATAATTAGGCATTTAGTGAGTATCTGCTGCATTGCATCGATTAATTGTATGAATTAACACAACTGCTGATTGTTATAAGTGCGTTTGTTATTTTTCATTCTTAAAAACTGTTTCATTTCTGGGCCCCTCCAAAAAAAGATGTACATTTAGTTCAATCATAACATAACAGCAATTATTTCCTTTGCTGAAACTGAATTTATTGACAGTCTAAGTTAATGTTATTACAGCCTCAGTGACTTTTTGTAAGTTTGTTTTAATTTTGTTGATTTTCTTTTTCAACCTGCATGTAGTACTGGTGAAGAGAGAGTCACTAAAAGTAGACCAATACTTGATTTCCTGCTGATAGTGATAAAAAAACAAAATAAATCATTTTTGTCCCAAAAATAAAGCACAAACAAAATAAAATATCTATTTTTGATTCCTCAGTTTTTATCCAGAAGAGGTAAGGGTAAGTGTGCGTAAATGCTGTGTTTAGTTTTGCTAATAACTTGGTCATTTTCCAGTCAAGGGTCATCATACTCTGGTGTCAACAGTTCACAGGTCAGGACTAACAGAAAATGTACAGGGAGCAGGTTATATCACTGTCTCTTTCTCTGCTTACAGATCTCTACTCAGATCTTTGCAGTATTTGCCATCTCTGTTTCAGTAAATGGAGCAGAGAGACACACAGCAGAAAGAAAGAAAACAGAAATGTGACTGCAGCTGCAAGCAAAGTAAATCAGGCACAAAACAACTTGGAACTCTTCAGTTTCGCTGCATTGCTTACCACCACTCTCACCGACCAACCCTGCTTATTTACTCTTTCTGTGATTCACCCGCCACAACATGACTGTTTATTTTTAACATAAGCGTCATACCTTTGCTATACAATCAAATATTAAAATCAAACATTTTGTAAGTTTTAACTATCAGAGTATCCAAATTTTTACAATCTTAAAAGTGTCTTGAAGCACAAGGAACAATCTCAACAGTAAGAAAATGCAAAGCTGGGAAGTGGAGATGGAGTCTTAAACTATCAATGACTTGATCTGCCTGGGGTAACTGGATAATCATTTGTATGCTCTTCCGGTCATGTAATCATCCTCATGTTGGACTTGTCTCTGATTGGTTGAGCTAATCACAAGCTCCTTCCTCGTAGACCTTCAGTGAGACCTTCACTGACCCATGACCATCTCCAATTTACAACTACAATCTGTTAATGCTTACAGCCGCTGCAGAGGGCTGATATTTAACAAATCTGAGAAGCAGGAGGCCGACTAATACACAGCAAAAATATCCATTTTAACAGACCATTGAGATCTTCACCATTAGAAACTACTTCCCTCACATAATTAGAGCCAAATAATTTCAGAGCGATGGATGATTTAAATGCTTTCTCACTTAGTTCAAGATATATGATTGTGACAAATGACCAAAAAGTGTTAAATAAGGGAGAGAGACTTCTACTGGTGTCATAATGGACTCGAATAATTTCAGAAAACTGCTGATTTAATTTAACTGCCGGTTATCAAGCCCATAATTCAGGATCAATATCACATTTTGATTTCATCTTTCTTTTAAATTGATCAATTTGTTTTATAGCCTACACCAGCTTTAACACGATGAACACTAGAATTTTTGGTAGAGCTGCTGGACTGGATTGCATTAGACTGTTCAGGTGTTATAATCCTGTGGATAGTCAGGGTAAATCCTTCAATGTTTTCACTTCTCTCGTTGGAAATGTTCTTTCTATGATCTCTGGTGGGTGTCACTGCTAATGTCACTATTGTCCTGGGACAGAGTTAAGCCATGTGTTATCCAGCTGCTCCAACATGTCCATGATCCCCCCTCCCCCCTGCACGACATTGAGAAGCCAGTGACAAGAATAAGGATCCTTGACTCATTTTTAAAACATTAAAACCTCAAAATAGGTTCACTCTTTAAGTCAAAGCCATCTCTGTTAGAAAACAAACCTCAGGTTAAAATCCTAACTAGTTAAGATGATCTGTTTATCTTCCCAGTCTGACTTTTATTCCTTTTTGATATTCACATTTGGGACCTTCCTTTTACTCCCTTTGGTAACTATCGAGCAGCTCCACTGGACTAGTTGGACATTAAGTGTTTTGCTCAAAGGCAGAATTCACAGTAATTGTCAGCTGAGGGAGAACACAGTTGTGGGCTTTTCCTCTTTTTAGTGGCCTCAGGCAAACACTCGAAATAGACGTGTTGGTGTGTGATATCATTTGAATTGACACCATTTATCAAACCCTCTGTATTATGGATAGATATAATAAAAATGTTTCAACCTATGATATAATATCCAATGTCAGCTGATCCACCCCTCTTACTCTTGTTTCCGTTAACCTATTTGACTCATTTGAATAAATTGTGCAGCATATGAGATTATAGTTTTTACTTTACCTGACTCTCAGCAGAATGACGATGATGTGGATGAGGATGATTATGAGAGGATGTGGGTGGTGATAATGAGCATCATGGTGGCGATGACAACAAAAAGGCTACTATTCAGTTACACAGCGCAGGTCACTGTAGGGAGAGTACAACAGAAATGCATTTGTGACATTTAATGGTCACATGATGACAGTTTCAATGTATTCAAAAGCCGTTTTTCTCCCCTCATTGAATATTTATTACCCGGTTGTCGAGGCAACAAGAAAATAGTATAGAGGCAAGTTCCTATACTTTCCACACATGAAAACGCACGCATGTACATATGCAAAGACGCAGATCCAAAAAAAGATGGGAGGTTTTGTGTATTTTAGTGATGTGTTCTCAAAGTTGTGTGTGAAAGCCACCTCAAAATTTCTGAATATAGTTTATTTGTGTGAAGTCTTATGAATATACAGAATCTAAAATGTCTCTGAGTTTATTTGATTGTATCTATTCAGTAGGAAAAAAACAAAAAACTATTTTGTTTTTAATGCTTCGGGCAAATGGCACAATGAGTCACAGTTACATTTGAGAAAATTTGTAGAAAGCAGAACTGCAGGACAAATACCAAGCAGAATTAACTTGAAGTTTGGCTGTCTCTAGCTGGATGCATATTTCATGCAAATAATTTGCCTAGAATTGTTAACTTCTCTATGTTTATTACCACCCGGTCTTGTAAGAGGGATATTTTGCAGTGCAGAGATAAAGCTCTGCTTCTCCATCTGCCCTCACAAACATCCAGTGGCTAAACTCCCAAATGGATCATGCAGTTTGAGTACAGCTGCCTCGCTTTGTAACGCAGTGCACACCAATATGCAAAACAATCTTTACTGTTCTCACTAATCCAACCTTCTGAAGATGTCATAAATTAAAACACAAGTATTGATATATCTAGAACAGAAGATAGAAGAGCCTGTTGACACATCTTAACTAGATAGATTCAGTAATTATGTAAATTTTCCTGGGGAAACCACTCTATCATAAATGTAACTGCTCAACATCGTACAGTCAAACATGTCCTCACTGACCTGCCGATGAGTAGGAACTCTCCTACCAGTCCCTGGCGTCTCATGGCCATTAAGATGTTGCGGACAGTCATGCCCTCACAGAAGCAGGCCACCACTCTGGCCTTTGGCAGGTGGGCCCTCAGTCTCTCCAGCAGCCGGTCAAAGCTCTGCTCTCCGGCATTGCTCCAGATTTTGCCTGGAAAGAAAACATGTCAGAAAAATGAAAACATGGACTGTGACATCTCAGTTATCTTAGTTTCTTTATTTGTTGTTGTTTAGAGTTGTGGTTCAAATTATTTTCTGTTACAGTTTGTCTCTTTTATAGTTTCACAACGCTCAGGTGCTCAGACTGACAACAGTGTGAAGTGTGAAACATGAAACTTCATTGTCGATACACCGTAAAGTATGTGTCTACCTTTTTTTAGATCTGCGTATGCTGAGACAACAGGTAAGTTTATCTTAACTGCTGTTGCTGTGATGTTTTTGACAACAATTTTAGTGCTAATAGACAGCTCTGCCTCCTAGCTGGGTGAAGCCACTTCGAGAACAGCACCCTCTGGTGACGGGCTGCAGTATAGGTCATAAATCCCGTCTCTGCCAGCAAAGCTTATGGGGCTGAGGCCAAACTTTGGAAATTTAATACACAGAAATGTACTTTTTCCCCCTGTTTGCGATATTGACACGTAGTTATTGTTAGACTGGTTTGTGCTCAAGTCCTCTTTTTTCTGTACAGCTCCGTTTTTAAAAGTTATTAGGGGGTTCATGTTTTCTATGATTGACACTTGATACAGCCTATGGGCATAAGGATTGCGTAGCTCACCCGGGGGATACGCTGTTTGAGCCGAGCGTCATCACAGCGACTCTCAGCTACTGCACAATGGTGGAGTGCATACAACGCTACTGCGCAATGTTGGTTTCAGGAAATAGAGAAAAAATGCGGGAATACCAAGAGCTTTTCGGCTTCAAATCCGTATACTGGTGGAAGGCAGGACCAAGTTGTCCATAGTATATACAGTCTAAGGTTATTTCACTGTAGTTGTGTTAACCTTATTATCTTACCAGAGTGAGCAATACAGATGCCCTCCTTGGCCGCCATGTCCTTGAATGCTTCCATCCCACTCTCACCATAGTTGCCTGAAAAAGATAAGGATGAGGGAATTTAATTTGTTTGTTTTTGTTTTAAATGACTCATTTAGCTTTGTGAAAGTGGAAGAAACATCGATAAATGTCAGTACAAATAGATGGAGATGAAGCGATAATAATTACAAGGATCACTGAGTCGATTCGGGAATGTTTTATCAGTTTTTTTTTTTAATTCTCCCTTATCTAAATGAAAACAGTTTAAAAAATGTCCCTTCTGATTTTCAAAGTATGCCCAATGCAGTAAATCACTCACTACAGTGCTACTCATAAATGCTCAAATTTATGTCAGAGAACGAGTCTCCCCACTGTGGCACCCATTTCTTTGCCAGAGAAAGTGGGTGACCTGGAATTTATGCTAATGAAGGGTTGTACACACTGGCAAAGAACATGATAGGATTCCCCTCTTTAATGTCTCTCCTTCTCTCCCTTTTATCTCATGTCTTTCTGTGAGTTGACTGAAGAAAAGATTAAAGACATCTCTTTCCCACTGTTTTTTTTAAGCAGTTTTCCCCCTTCTTGTACCCACAGTGAGGTTGCTATGACTTCTTATGTATGCTCCCTATTACTGATGGTGTAATCAATAATAGAATGAGGTCTAATTGGGCGCTGATCGTTTGAGCTCCGCTTCATCTCTGATGAGTAGAAGAAGAGGTCAAAGGAGAGGAAGTGACAGAAAAAAAAACATTTGGAAAAGTGACAGAAAAATAAATGAGCAGGGTGTGCAGCTGAGGGAAAAGAGGGAGCGCTGGCGCCGTGGCAAAAGAGGAGTCTGAGGAAATAAAGAGGGAGGGGAAATGCACTCTAAAAGAGGAAGTCTCACGACCCCTGACTGCTGGTGCATCTCAGTGTGTGTGTATGTGGTCAGGCCAGTGATGAGTGTGGTGGAGCAAAGTGTAAAGTCCTGTAATTAGTGTCTTAGTGAGAGGATTGGAAGACAGATGGTACAGACCATCCTTCCCTGTCGCACACACCCACTCACACACACTTTCATACAGTTACCGTCATCGAAATCGATAAAGCTTGTAACCTACTTCACTCTGGTCTCATCAGGGATTTATGTGTGAGACGTCTCTCTCTCTCTCTCTATTGCTCAGTAAGCCTTTCATGTGTCGCTAAATCGCTTGGTTTCAGCACACGCACGCTCTCCACGCTACTTTACGTTACCAGCACACTCTCAAACACACATACAAATACACACTTGTGTTCAAATCTTACCAAAACAAAAACCCACCCACACACACTTATACACATTCATCAGTTTTGAGATCCACTCTAGGCTACAGCTAAACAAAATAGATGTCAGTCCGTCTCCTCCTCCTCACTACTACACCACAAATTACCTTGACTTCGCAGGACGCTTTCCGGCGAACAATGAAACACACACGTTAGAGCGCACAGAACGGATCACATGGTGTTGAGCTCATATTTCTTTTAAATCACTATAAACAAGCGAGTCTCTGGCAAACATGGTTCACCGTGATATAGTGCAAGCAAGATGACATATGGATCACAACCACCACTTCAAGGTCTGTGTTCTTTGTGTTGACACGAGCAATATAAGCACTCTTCTCCGTGTTCATGTTCCCGTTTCAAGTCATGTGGTGAAAGATGCATTATGACACTCAGTCCGATTAAGCTGTGCATGTAAACGCACTAAGCTCATACTTCTCTCCTTGTCTGCGTATACATGCAGCTGAGAAAATCGAATTATTGACATGAACGTGTCCTCCTCCCCAAAACTAGGGGGCAATATGGGTCTTTTCAGCGGCGCTGTTTCCAGACATTTTTTAAAGATGTCTACGTTCCTCCCTTTGCACTCTCCTTGTCATTCCAAAAGTGGACATTCTTTCGTGCTTCAGCCATGTTGCAGTTGCTTCTGAGCAGAAAGTTCTTTAAATTATAGTGTCACTTCTTCTCTGGTGTTTTTGTTCCAGGGTTATGGAGGCGTGGCGTACGCGCTCATGCATCGTCCGATCATACTCTGACTATGCTGGTTACATGGAAGAGAAAATCGAATTCCAATTGCATTATCTGGGTGTCTCCGACTCCAATCTGAGTTCTCAAGCTCCGATTATAGTTGGACAAAGGTGTTTACATGCACCTCAGTTGTCCCGTCTTAATCGGAGTAAGCCAATAGTGTCGTGTAAACGTACTGACTGCTACGGATTGGTTGCAGGGTTTGGACAACACCCATTGAGGCAAAAGTATGAATCTTTGCTGGTAACCTACAAGTCTGAAACTGAGGGATTTGGAATAGCATCACTCAATAAAACATCCTCTTACCCAAGTGTATCAAGTTGGGGCAGTTAGCTAACCTTTGTCATTTGAACCTGATTGTTGCTAATAAAAAAACTAACAAACATGTCAGGCTGCATGATTTGACCGGACAATATGTCTGTTGTAGAATAATACAAGGTCATCTACTCCAGCTGTTTAGTGATCATTCTACATGTTGTACGGATGAGAAAAAGCAACTTCAACTAAAAACTTGGATGTTTAATGTTTTTCAGGTTTTCTGTAGAAATTCAGCACAGTGGAGTGAGTGGGAGCAAACACACTGACCAAGGTAAACCTCTCTGCTTTACTGCTGGGGTGGAGAGGAGACAGACTGAACGTAGATCTTGTAAAATTTAGGGGTAATAGCTTTGCACTGTGACTCTTTCTTGCCTCTACCTAAACAATGGAAAAAAGAGTCTGCCAATGCTCGCTACTTTTATTGATTGTATGGGTTTTGGCAATCTCTTAGTGGGACATATTTTTCCCTCTTACTTGTAGTGTTCCTCTGTTTGAGATGTTGAAGTAAACTGGTTAGTTTTATGGCTGCAGCACATTTACGTTTGTTTGAAGCCTGATGCTACAAAATAGAAGTACTTCACTCCCTTGTACCCTCTACCTCTTTTCCAACAGCATGTTTGTCTTTAATCCCTGTATTTAAATCTATAATCTCGAATGTGGACAACAAGAACACAAAAGAGCTTACATCCAAATTTTGGGAGGTAAAAAAAAAAACTACTTCTCCAATGCTTCTGGCATTACTGCCCCTCACTGCCCTCCTCTGCTTTGATTTCCCTCTTCATACCGCAAAGCTTTACAACTTGCAATCAAGTGCGAAACTGAAGGGTTCTCTGCTCGCTCTCTGTGATGCTCCTTCTCATCCTCACAGCTCCTTCCTTTTGGCAACAAAAATGGCAGTTCTATTTAACAAAAAAGGGAGCATCTTTTCCGCCCGCACCCCCACATCCATCTTTTCCTTCTCTTTCTCACATTTTCTCCAAACCTTCTCAATTACCATCCTCACCCTCTTGTCCCTCTTATCAGATCTAATACATGCAATTACAGGCTCCCTCCCCTTTCCTTGTATCCTCCTCTTTTCCTCTTTTAACCCTATTTCCCTCGTTTTAAACCTAATTCCCTTCAGTCACAGCTTCTCTCAAAACAGTCAAACTGTAAACAGTATATGAGGAGCGTATCCTTTCTATTCCTCTCCGTATTAAAATTTCTCTCAACCCTGAGGAACAACACCATTACCCCATACATTATCTGAGGTGCTAAAACAATGTGCAGTTGACTGTCAAACAAAGTAATACCCTGAGGCAGATGCTCACTAACACATATAATGTGTCAAACACAGAGTTAAACCAGGTAACAGAATAACATGACTGCTGATATGAAACACTCTGAGACATGCATTCATACTCAGACATGAACAGACGAGGAACACAGATTGTGAATATATATAAAAAATATCCCATCACCAGGCGAGAAGGTTTTTCTATTTGCATAACGGCTGGAGGTGATTGATGTTAGTGCTACCTATGTCGGAAAAAATAAAAATCAACGATCAAGAGACAGTCAGAGACAAGAGAATTAACCTCATGATTGATTCAAATTTTGTCTCTAAATGTAAGGATGAGGCCGCAAAATTTAAGAATACCCTTAGTCTGGTAAAAGAAAAACAGAGTCTCTCCAAAGCTTATTTAAGATCCACAAGGTTGTCATTACAATTCCTAATTTGCTTTATTAAAATATGTTAATCCCTTTACAAGTTAGCTGATTTATGGCTCTGCAAGTAACACAGAGTTCAAATGTTGGTTTGTAGCTCAGTCAAAAACCCTACTTGGTTTGATAAAAAGTACTTACAGACCTTGAGGGTCACCATAGAGGATTAGGGGCCATTTAGAGCCAGTAGTTGGATTTTTTTTCCATGTCTAATAAGCTATGCCTGGGGCGCCAGTTAAGCTCAGTTGGTAAAGCAGATACCACATGTACAGAGGCTGCAGTGCTTCTCATGCTGGTTGTATTTGGTGCATGTCATATCCCTCTCTCTGTCCACATTTCCTGTCTCTCTCGAGCTGTCCTAAGGAAGGCAAAATAAAAACAAATTGCTTTAAACTATTTTATTATTTCCAAAGAAAACTCCCTCTATTTTGTCTCTGAACAGGCAAGAAGAAATGCAGGATCACAGTCAATTTTAACAACCTATGCCTGTGACCTGATTTTTTCAGTATGGTCCACTAAAGACGCATGTTTTAGCTTAGTTTGAATCAGATTAGATATATTTTAAGAGTATTAACCTTCAAGCTCTACCATTCATACAATTTTTTAGAGCTGAAATTGTAAGCACAACAAAATACTGTGGTATTCAACAGCCGGTTGGACTGCTCCTGCCTAGCGTCTACCATGATAACTTCCTTGACTTGCTGATTTTCGTTTATGCTGACCACCTCTTACAATGTGCCACATTATTGTTTTGAAGGCACACAGGACTAAATGGAAGGCACTAGCATCATAGACTGTAAATAAAATGGACGCCGTCGGCCTTCTCGCTGGGCGAAGCCACCCCGAGAACAGCACCCTCTGGTGACGGGCTGCAGTATAGGTCATAAATCCCGCCTCCGCCAGCAAAGCTTATGGAGCTGTGGACAAACTTTATAAATCAATTACACAGAACATAATTTTTTTCCCCCCTGCTTGTGATGTTGACATGTAGTTATTATAAAACTGGTTTGTGCTAAAGTCCTCTTTTTTTCTGTACAGCTCCATTTGTAATAGTTATAAGGAGGTTCATGTTTTCTATGATTGACACTTGATACAGCGTATGAGCGTATGAAGATTGCGTAGCTCACCCGGGGGATACACTGTTTGAGCCGAGCGTCATCACAGCGCAATGTTGGTGTCAGGAAATGGAGAAAAACCGCGCAAATACAGAGAGCTTTTTGGTTTTAAATCCATATACTGGCAGAAGGCGGAGCTAAGTTGTCCACAGTATATACAGTTTATGACTAGCATAAAGGCAAATGGTGGTGATGGCTTGAATTTTTTGGAACCAGTTCTTGCCCAGAACAGGTTCTTGGTTCCCATAATCCAGGTTATTAAAAATACAATCAACAAGGGTCACTCTCATATTTACTCACTACGACCCCTTCTCTCATTCAACAAGTCTGGGATGTCATCAAATCATGTCTGTGCCTGAAAGCAGAAAATTATGATATCACATGTCACTATCACTATCATAGGTCATTAACAGCATTCTGTTGATTACCTCTTCTACTTTTGAAGGTCATAAAAAGGCATCAAGTCTGATTCTCAACCAGTTGCAGCTGCTCTTTTTAGCCAAGACATAAGTGACAGATGGTGCTCTTTGGTGAGAGAGCGAGGCTCTGCTCTTGAGCATCAGAGTGGAACGAGTAAAAGACCAGGATTCATTTGGCGTTGTTGTCGGTCACAAATCAATCCATCACATCATGATTGTACCCGCCGCCGCCGCCGTGGCTGCCTTGGTTTTGGGGGAGGTAAATCTCTATTGCGTGTACACTTGAGTTGAAATGTGTGTTCACAAAAATCAAAGTGCATGTTTAAACAAGTGAAAATGGAATTGTTGGCTGAACCTGACATCTGTGATGGTATTAAAACTGGTACACCGCCCACCCCTAATCCATGCCAGTCTGAGTTGACATAGTCCCATGGACCTAGGTTCACAGAAAAATAACACACATCAGAAACTGGGCCATAACAAATACTCTTCCCCTTTACTGCCAGAGACAGACTGTCAATCTCTTCCATCCTATTCCCATTCATTATTTCTTTTCTTGACACTTTTTGACAATCCATCCAACCTTTGTCGTCCTCAATCCTGCAGAGACTGTGGCAGTAACATACAAGAAAAGGGTTGATGAGGAAATGTGAATTGGGAGAGAAAATGTTGTCAAAAGAGGCAATATGGAGGAATAAAGGGAAAGTGGAAAACGAAAGGGGGAGTAAATAGGAAAAGGAGGAAAGAAGGTTGAAATCTTGAGTTATTGAGAAGCTGATCAATATCTACTGGAGCGTGCTCGGTTGACACATGTCAAAATTCATGTCAATAAAACCAATTGAGATGAACACCGGGGATAATGCAGAGAGGGAAACCGAGGAAATGTAAAACCAACGAATACAAATTGTCTCTGGAGGGCAACAATGTTGATCCTCATACAGAATCCATACTGAACACAAAAACCAACTGCAGACATGATTAAGACTCATCAGACCATGAGATATGTGTGGAAAATGAGCACGACATAGGCCTTATTTTCTATCTATCTATCTATCTATCTATCTATCTATCTATCTATCTATCTATCTATCTATCCATCCATCCATCCATCCATCCATCCATCCATCCATCTATGTCTTCGTTTCTAATTGGTCTGCTTTTTCTGTCTCCCCTCTTTTTTCTGTGGTAATTGACCTTCCAGCCTCGGAGCAAATGGCTGTTACCAAAATAACAAAAGGGAACTGATACTGATAACAGTTATCCTACTTCAAGTGAACTTCAATTATCTTTGACTGCATCTGCAATTGAACAATGAATTTGGATCACTTATCAGGACGTACATGCTGTGTGCAAAGTGGATCAGCCTGACCATAAGACAACGTTATGTCTGGGAGTTAAGTTAGAAAAACGTGGTGGTCATCTAATGTGAGTGAAAGGCAAATTTACCAGCAGAACTTGATATTCCAGTAAGAGGACACACACGTTTATAGGTGTGTAATTAGGCATGTATGACGCATTCTATCTCCCAACAAGATAGTAATATTCAGTGTTCCTCCCTCAAATAATACTTCATTACTTCAATGTAATTACTATGCTGACATTACATGTATAATTCAGTTTCTTGCATATCAGTTTCTGTCGCCTATTGCCTCCAGATCCAAAATGTTAATGCAGAGAATTAATGAGTCTCTACAAACTCCCCCCACTCCCTCCCATCGTTCTCTGAATCTACAGCTTCTCCATACTCTCTTATCTATCCAGAGCACAAGCACATCTATCTCCATCCACAGCCACATGCACACCTTAATCTCTGTCTTCTTTGGTTTTCTAGCAGTGTTATCATCACTTTTCCCATTCTCTCATTCTCTCCTCTTTGTCTCTCACTTCCTTCCCTCTTTCTTTAAACTCTCAATTTTCAACCTTTGTATTTCCTCTTCTCTTTGCCTTCCTTCCTCCCTCTCTCCACCCCCCTGTGCTTGTCCCTTCTCATAATTCCACCAACACACCCCCTGTTTCTAGCCTCTCTTCCTTATCTCCCTCTCTTTCAGTCTCTCCCTCTCTCTCTCTCTCTCTCTCTCTCTCTCTCTTATCCCTTCCTAATTCTGTCTCCTCTCTGCCGTCCTCGCTCTCTGGCTCTCTGTGTTTGATAATGATTGTATTTGAGAAGGCAGCTACCGACCTTGGAAGACCAGTTCCAAGGTGAAACCCTCCTGTCTGCTGAAATACAAAGACCAATACCTGGATGACACACACATACACACACACACACACACACACACACACACACACACACACACACACACAGAGGCATAACCAATCTCTCAAGCACAAATTCCTAGAAACACACGTACCACCTGTATGCGACTAAGATTCACTTAACCGCATAAACCGCCTTATTTAATATCATGACAAGAGTTACACTTTTGTCATGAAAATCTCTGTACTGTTAATGCATTTGCATAGCAATAACAAACAAAGGTTCAATACTACCAGAATTGCTCATGAATCAAATGGTGAAGCACGCTTGTCGTCAAGGTGATTTTCAAAGTTTTCCTCTTTCTGGAGTAGTCAGTATCCTTCATTATGTATAAACTTCATATCACACAATAACGTACATCCTCTTCACACACATTACACATACTCTCATGCAGATTAGCAGTCTCATTATGCAAATGTTATAGCCACATATATAAGAAATCCACACTGTTCATACCTAAACTGAAATGCTGTAGAAAAGCCTTCTGGCAATGAATGTGTGTATTCTTGACCACACACTTTCAGGTTTAACGTGCCTTCTCTCAGTAGTCACAAGTCTACACTCTCAGAATTGGTTAACAGTCTTGCCCTCCCATTCTTGAAGTGTCAAACTATCTCCCAACAGACTCAACCTAAACTCAGTGTGCATTTCTAATACAATAAACTTCACTGACATTATTATCAGCAATATCTTCACAGCCTGTTCCAAGCAAATTACCATAAATACTTTGCGAACATCCTTTCATACCTTGAAGACCCATGACACTCATTCTTTTTTAACAAGCTGGTTCCTTTCTGAGACCCTCAGGTTTGGCCATCACCAGCTTTTGTCTCTCATTCATCCCTGCATCCACCAACAACCCACTGATCTACACTACTTTTTTTGGGAAACTACTGCTTCATCAACTTCTTGGCATTAAGCAAGCTCTAACCTGGCAACAATAAATCCTTTTTAAAACACCTTTGCTTCAGGGAGGGTGAAAACTGTCTCTTTCTGTCTCTTTTAAAACACTTTATTCTCCATCTCTATTTTACTCTTGACATAAACATTCCTGTCAGTTACACTCCCCTCTCTCTCTCTCTCTCTCTCTCTCTCTCTCTCTCTCTCTCTCTCTCTCTCTCTCTCTCTCTCTCTCTCTCTCTCTCTCTCTCTCTCTCTCTCTCTCTCTCTCTCTCTCTCTCTCTCTCTCTCTCTCTCTCTCTCTCTCGTGTTGCTCTTGCGCTTTGTCCTTGCACCAGTAATACTGCTCTCTTTCTTTCTTTCTTAAAGGACATTTATTCTGCTTTTCTCTTTAGCTCGAATTTCCCAGTAAGATCTTCTATTGTGAAATACCACTGATGTCTTTGAAATTCTGCATCTTAAAGCTATCAGTGACTTTCCATTCCATTTATTCTTGGATCTGGGTAAACAAACAAAAAATGAGTGAAATGCAGAAAAATGAGGCAAGGACAGTGATAGAAATGTACATGTCTGAAGTTAGAGAACAGACAGTACTGTGTGTGCGTGTGTGTGTGTGTGTGTGTGTGTGGGTGGTTGTACCTTCAGTGTGTATGGCAGACACATAGCTCCAGCTGTATCTCTTGACAATGTCCACCATAGCTCGTGCCTGCTGGGCATCTGAAGGCACCACACGCATGAAGTACTTAAAAAGGCTCTGAAAAACAACAGAATTAAAAATTGAGACTATACACACATAGAAGCAGCAGAATAATACTTTTACAATTACATTTCCTTTTATCTACATAGGCTTCCATTTGTACACGTTGATAAGAGTAGGTATTTGCCCCCACCTTATCACTGAGGTCCATACTGGTGGCAGAGTAGGCAATCTGTGGTATGTTGAAGAGCTGTAATAAGTTTTGGACCTGGATGGCCACTGAGCTCGACCCTGGTCCGATCAGGCCCACAATGGGTTTCTTCCCCCGCATTGGAGTAGCAGCGGGGTCTGCGCATTTCATTGTCGTTCCTCCACCTCCTCCTCCTCCCCAAGGAACTCCTCCACCCCACTCCTCCGCCTCATCGGAGGAGACCAGGGAATCCCGTATGAACTCGATACTCTGCTCCAGAGCCACAGCTGAGTGCCAACAAGAGTCCCGGATTTCGCAGCCCAAGGTGATGTTTGGAAGGATGTGCGGGTCGGTGTTGATGCGGTCCAGCGTGTGCATCATGGCCTCCACCCTCTGGATGCCATACTGCTCTCGCACCGCGCCACACTTGCGCTCATGCACCTGTGTAGGGTGTAAAAGGTAGAGGAAAGAAATTTGATCTAGTAAATTGAACTGGCATGTGGATAGTATATGTCTAAACCTTGTCATTACCAATAATGGCACTAACATTTCATTTCTGAGCACACCGGCTGAACATACTTTTAAAATTGTGCATTTAACACATACGTGCTTCACTGTTGGACTAATATCGGTTTTATATTCATGACTGCTATGCTAAAAGAATCACTTCTTCCACTGTGCGCAATTATCTATAATGAGATGGGAAAAAAATCATAAATGTCAGTGGGTGTCTGCAAGTTCCTTGGGCAACTAATGGAGGTTGCAAGTTCATAGACCCATTCTACAAATTGAATGTGTTCCTTGGGTCTTAATAAGCAGAGGATCACTCCTCTACCAACAGAAGGGATTTTTTTATATTTTTATCTCTACTCTGCAATGTTTATAAAGTGAACGTGATTTACAAAACTCGATACCTGAATACTAAATACCTATATGTCCCCGACCATCATGTACACATATGCAATCACCAAGTCTCAGAATTACCTTGTCAGCGGGAGGCTGATGATGGACAGAAAACAACGCTCCAATGATGATGTCACCCGGTATGTGTGCCACAACTCGCCGTTCATTGGAGTGGGCAGAGTCAGCTTGATCAGGCCAGAACCAAACCGACAGAACGAGTAGCAGCCGAAGAATCATCTTGGTCCGTTAAGGTGTAAAAGGAGAAGCAGGTCACAAGTTGCTGTTCCGAGTTGTCACAGGAATCTACTTGTCCGAGAAACACTTTGCTTGGCCATAGCAAGGACAAGTGCTGGTAGCACAAAAGATTTCAAAAACGGATGAGATCGATAAACTCCTGCCTTCCAACTCCCTTGTCTTCAGGATTCAAGGTGGAACCATCACTGCGACAGCTGAGACAGGTGCAGCAGTGCAACCTGGGGAATTTGGAAAAACAATCTGGGCTAAGTCTCACTGGGTGTGACAACATCAGGCTCCCCAAATTACATGGTAGAGTTGGTCTCCACAGTAACAGGTGACAGACAGACATGTTCACATGAACCTGTGAGTAGAAAAGACTTTGTTAGAATTTCAACATCGCAGTTGGTGCACATTTGTTCAAACATGCAGGCGGACTAAAATTTGGAGCTATCTACTTCTACACAACCATAGTCTGTGAACAAAATTTCCTATCTCAATCCTTCACACTTGAGGGAGATCAAACATAGATTTTAGCAAATGTATTCATGATCTATTATTGAAGAAGCCTCTTTATTTTCATCAGCTCCCAGTTTGATATGGACACTTCCCTTGTATCTTTGAGTAGTAAGTTATATAAATGTACATGTTTATTGTAATTTTGCACTGCATGGCAAAATAAGAAAATAGAGGAGGGACTGTGGGAGGATTGAGACTATTGTAAGTTACACTTTCAGTACAGCAGTGTCGAAACTGTGTGATGTCTAGCCAAACAATTATTGTAGTAAGGAGGACATTCTGTGAGACAAAGCAAAGGCTAATATTTGGTTTGGTGAAAAAAAGACTTAATTTCCCCAACTCAGCAGGGGCAGATAGCTGTCTAACATGAGTCTGGTCCTGCTCAAGGTTTCTGCCTATTAAAGGGTAGTTTTTCGTTGCCATTGTCATTCATGTCAGATGAGATGGGTCAAATCTGTCCCATCTTAAAGTAATACATCAAACAATGATCTTGGTCTAGACCTACTCTTTTGTTGGAAAGCATCTTGGGATGTGACTGCTGTGATTTGTTGCTATATAAATAAAAATTCATTCATTCATTCATTTCTGAGACTGCAGAAACACAATGTCAAAATGGTTTGCCAAACGTGGTGAACATTAGCAGAACTAGCACCTTTGGTCCTGCCCATTAAACAAGACGAATCCTTCATAAAACTGAATCTGTATTTCCTGGATTAAAATATTGATGATGTTCTGAACATAATGGGATGCCATCTGTTATGTGTGTTTCTTTACATCCAGGTAGTTAACATCCAACTAGTGGGCATTTTGGCAATATGGCAATAGTGACAGATGGCAGCACTACAGCTATATGGCCAGCATTTAACGCCTATAGAGAAAAAGATATTAACTCATTTAATAGACTAGTCACTCTGGTGCTAACTTGCAAAGGTGACGTCGACTTAACACACATATTAAACATCCCTAATGCAAAGTGAGTAAATTAAGCCTTAGCTCATGTTGATCATTCTCACAAGACTGTGTGTGCACCTGTTTAAATGAAAGCGTAACTCTCAGCAGCACACTTGGTATTTAATTGAAATGGGAATGCAAACTGTGCAAATGAAATCAGCATAATGATCGCAGCGTCAGCCATTACGGTGGCCAACATAATGAGCAGTAAATGCTCGGTCTATAATGAAGTTTAATGTGATGGCTGGAGCACTGGCTCTAAAACCATTGTAGTCACCACCACTGTGACAACATAAAAGCAGTAATACAGACACAACATCATATCACACCTCTGCTGCTGTGAGGAACCCTATTGAATGTCTAACAATTTCACTCAGCACCCACGCCTGCATCTGTAACACCTTCCAGGCCAAATTAAACCACCGGTGGTCATATTTTCCTTTTATGTTAGTTCAGAGACTAGAGAATTAACTCCACAAGTAAGAACAGAACTTTCCACCCCTCCATCCACCCTCAACATACTCTGAATACTTTTTGGGATTTGAATTCACTCCAAATTGTGACCCCAAGCATCAACTTAATTACAATTAAGATAATTTACAAGACTGCAATTGGGTACGTCTTGTTATTACAAATTACAAAATGCATTCATCCAACTTAGTACGAAATGAAAGCAGGTTAAACACCAATTGGAGGCTTTAAAGCACACTGGACACAACGAGTGTCGACACAAGGTGAAATCCACCAAGCACACAGTGTTTAACAGTCATCCAACTGGAGGGATAGCACTTTCCCCCTTGAGTCAAGTTTCAAGTAGCCATTCCTTTGCATTAATGAGAAAGTCTTATAATTTGCTTAACCTCCAATGCTACACAAATACTTAAGCTTACTGTAATGGGGCAACTTAATTGACCGTAAACAGCAGGGGACAGTTAAGCCAGCAGAAGGTGGCCTCTACTGCTTATGCAAAAAAGGATCAAGGTCATGACAGGGGAGTTAGTTGGCTAGCTGAGTGCATTAGGGGGGAGAGAATGTGGAGAAAGTTAAGTATTAAAAGAAACTAAAGGAAACTGAGAAAAGAAGGGAAACAGAATACACTAGAAAAACTGGAGGGATGATTAGAGAGAATAAGGAATAGGTAAAGACTGGGGAAGACAGACAGGATGGGAACATGTTGGACGAAATAGGCATAGGAAGAGAGACAGAGAAGGAGGAGATAGGATAGGAAAGAGTAAAAGAAGAAAGAGGGTGTTGAAAAAAAGGCATCAAGGGACAGAGAGTCTCACTGAACATAATTAACATGACAGTGTCAGGATGGCAACAGGGCTAACTGCTGCTCCAGTAATGAACAAATCAAACACACATACTGTGTACACACACACTGACACCACAATGTCTCTCCTCATCTCCATTTATCTCTCCTGTAAAGTTACAAATATCTCAAACTTGCCTCTCTTAAAGTTTCACCTTACTTTCCTACTCACCCAAAGTAATTTGACCATAAATTTTGATCCTCCTTAGAGCAGCCACTGTTGCAGTCCTCAAGCATGTCCCTCCTTGTCACATATATGCTGTCCCTCCCCTCTGTATCACTCTCTTGTTCCTTAAACCCAAACTTTTGTTATGAGGGAAAAAATCAAAATCCAACTCACTGAGCACATGCCACTGGGCATTTAGATCTACATCCTCATCCGAACTAAGCATAATGGTGTTATACAACCCTCCAAATCAACTTTTACATAGACAGTTAGCTCACAACACTGGCTTGGAGAAATATTTTCCTCACTTTCTAGCTCACTCAGTTCGGCTAATTGACTCTTTAATATGTTAAAGAGCATTTAATTAACACTGCATTAAGAGAGGACAATTTCTGTAAAAGAACCCCTGCACTCTTGTCCTGTGTGACACACAGACATCAGCGTTTGCATTTAGTAATAACAGGGATGGGAAAAGTATCTGCTGTTTCTGTTACAGATTGTAGTAAGTCTTTTTACAAGATAATCAGTTGTAAAAACTTCACTTACTGTGCATTTTGACAAATATAGATAAAGACACATACTGGCCTTGATCATTGACCGTATCAATAAATAAGCATACAAACAATGTAAGCCCTTCTTATGCACCACCATGATAGATGAGCATTCACACACATAATGTAAAGAGCGGTGTAGATCCTTCCTCTACCACCACTTGATGGAGCACCAGCATTAACATTTTGGCAGGTACAACGGGTTATCTATCTGTAAACATAATGGAGTAGGTTTGTGTCTTGCATTGACATACCACTTTTTCAAAACGGTGCCAAATTCAGGCACAGGGGGCTTTTTGCAAACAGGCCTCCTTGATTAAAAACATCAGTGTTTTGTTTTTTCAGTTATTTGCTGGGTCATATGGCTTTATAGATTTTAAGAGTTCAAAATCAGAATCAGAATGTCCTTTATTGTCATCATACTAAAAGTACAACAAGATTGGAGAGCTTCTCCTTTTCTAGTGCAATAGACAAGTAAAAATAAGGTAGTAAAAGTACAAATATTTGTAAGAAAGAAGGTTACTGTATATACAAGACAGGAATTCTACAGAACAGTAAAGTAAAACGTTTGTATAAGAATAAAATAAAAAGATAAATACTAAAGAGAATTATCAAAATACATATATATGTGTGTTTGAATTGATGTTTATATGTCCATTTTTTAATATGTATATGGACATGTATGCCAAAGAGAGTTCATATTTTCCAAAGAAGTAATAATAATAATAATAATAAATGTATTTATAATGTGCTTTTACAGGTGCTCAAATACACCTTACAAAGAAAAAATTAAATAAAAAACACAATTTAAAATAGAGAAAATTTTGAGAAATAAAACCAACAATGTAAAAGGTTAAAAAAGACACAATATGGAAGAGTGTCACTTTGTTAATTTCTCCTCAGTCTCAGGACAACATACTGTAGAAACTTTGTTAAATCACTTCATTTTACAATTATTCATTATTACTTCGTAGGCCATTAAGAGCCTTGCTTGGATGAAAGGCATCCCTAGAGCTATAAGACACAAATACTCCAAACATCCAATTTAAAAATGTCTCTGTAAATAACTGTGATGTAATACTGAAGGACTTTATCTGACGGTTAAGGGCATGACAATGTCAAACACCATCAAAATCTCACTGAAAACCAAAGACAAAGCCAGCACTTCACATCATTGCCAACAAGTATGTCACTGCAAATGCGATGCAGTTAACTCCTGTCATCTATGCACCTTGAGCTGTTGCTGCCAGGGAGTGCCAACACGGTAAGGAAGGACTGTACCTGCTGCAGCAGCACATCAGACAAGGTGTGACAAAGCCTGCACAAGTCCCACAAACAAGATCTGACCTTCTCCAAATTACTTCAACCTGCAATGTTTCAACTGCGACTTGCGGCACAGACTGGTAACCTTGTCAATCATCGGTTTTCAATCGCCTTTTTGGGGTTGGTGTTTTATATCGTGTAGTCACCTTGATCTTTATGCATGTCTCTATTAAAAGAGAATACATGTGATTGTATACCCTTCCTAAAAACACTGACATGCACGCACAGCGTCTGGTCAAAAATGCCTCTCTCCAAGGAGAAACAAAACCCGGAGACAACATGACTGGCGCAGCGCTGCATCCGTCAACCGCAATGGGAGATCGGGAGTCTTTCATTTGTCTTTCATAATTAAACACGTACGATTTTATTACAAACACCATGACAGAGACAAAATCTCAAATGAAGACAGCTCAAGCATGCATCGACGTATTCCACGTTTTTGATCCATCCTTGTCTGATTGGCATGACTGTATCTATCCTATCCTACCCAACTGTGCAACTGGCTGCCCCCCTTTAAGTAGGTTACACAGTTATGGGATGTAACCTCAGCATCATTTCAACAATAACCAGTTCAGTTGTCGCTGCGAGTGCGTCCCTTTAGGAACACATTGTGATAAAGTACGACGAAACCATTTAAAGGACGTTAGAGAGAGGATTGGGTTTATCTGTCCTGCAAAAATGTCAACACTGAGCCTTACCTTTTCTGATCAATGACTCCCTGACACACTCACAAGGTTCGACTTGATGGTGAAGTTACCAGTTACTATCATAGAAAAAAAAACAAGATTACGCCGATAGGTACTGTGTAATCCAAAGTCATCTCACTGGAGCTGCATCTGATCGCTGTGCAGCTTCCGAGCCCCCTTCCTCCGTTTTCCAGTCACGCACACCTGAGCCTCTCTCCAAACACCTCTCTCTCCTTCAGCCCACCCCCTTGTCCTCTCATCTCTGCTCCTCCTCTTCTCAGTCCCTATCTCTCTCTCTCTCTCTCTCCCTCTCCCTCTACACGCACCCCGAGAAGTTTCACCCCCCTTCTCCTCCTGTTCCTTTCTCTCTACCACTCTCAGTCTTTAGAAGTTAATCCTCAAGCCCTCAATGCTTCTTGACTAAATTTCTTTCTTATCCATTTTCATACTATCCTTAAAGAGCTTTCCATTCATGTCACTTTCACATTAACAGCAATTAATAAACACAAAGAAACAGCAAAACCAAGTTGGTGTAACCAGTTTGCCTCTCTGCTTTTGGAAACACTTTACAATAACCATCATATATAAATGGTAAATAGATAGTTTATCAATGTTTAATCATCATTTAGAAACAGCATATAGACCAATTAGAAATGGCAAATAGTTCGTTAATGTAAGTTAATAGTTACTTAACCATTAACAAGCAATGACACTATGGTTAATCATTTTCATTAATCATGAATGGACTATTTATTAAAGGTTTATATAGGGTTTAAATATTGGTTAGATTAAAATGTGTGTCAGTAGCACTTTGTAAATGGTTGATATTTGGTTTTTAAACCACCTATAAACAATACTGAGATCAGAGCCGGCCCAAGGCATAAACGAACTAAGTGCCTGCTTAGGGCCCCGCGGTCAATAGGGGGGCCCAAGAGCAAACAAAAAAATTCAATTTTTTTTTTTTTTTTTTTGCATGTATGAGTGATGCTTTCTGTATGCTCAAATATATGTTATTGTAAAAATAAAATAAAGTAAAAACATTTTTGTTACTGCTGATCTGTCAAAGCTCAGCTACCGTTTTGTGCCTCCTGCTGTGCAATGTGCACTGAGCATCCAAAGTGCAGGTAGTTGTGGGGCAAAAGAATGTCACAAAAAGGGACATATCCTTCAGGAGCAGAGAAAAGAAAGAGGAAAAACAGTAAAAATGCCAAGATAAAGGTATGTTTACATGTCATGAAATGTTAAAGAAGGTGTGTAAATGATCAACAATCAATACTATTAGCAGAAATATAGGGCCCCAAAATCAAATTTTGCTTAGGGCCCCACTGAGGCTTGGGCCGCCTCTGACTTGGATGGTTATTGTAAAGTTGCAACTGATGGTTGTAATACTTTGTAAATGATTAATACGTGGTTTATAAACCACCTATAAATGTGACTTAGATGGTTATTGTAAAGTTAGGGTTAAAGTTAGGGTTAGGTTTTTAAAATTGTAACATTTACAATTGATTAAGGGTCTATAGGCTACTTATAAATGATGATTAAACAATAATGTCAATGTTTATTTATAAAGCACCTTAAAAAAAATTAAAAACAGTAGAATAAAATAAAGACAGAAAAAGAATAATGGCTACAGTTCCTCTGATTCCTGTGTGCTGATTTATTAAAAGCAAGGGGAAAATGGTGATTTAAAAGACCCTAAGTTCTGAGAGGCTCTAATTTGGCCGGGTAAACAGTTCCACAGTCTAGGGGCAACCGCTGAAAAGGCCCTGTCACCTCTAGACTTGAGTCTGGTTTTTGGGACGCTTGACAGTAGCTGGCCAGAGGACCTTAAGGCTCTGGCTGGGGAGTGGTGATGCAGGAGCTCAGACAGGTAAGGAGGGGCAAGACCATTGAGGGCTTTAAAAACAATTAAAAGAACTAAACTAAACCATCTGCTTATCATTTATAAATGGTCTATTCACCATTTATAAGTTATGGTTACTGTAAAGTGTTACCCTGCTTTTTTATACTGACCTAAAGGTGTCCTCTGTTCCCATTTATTCCCATAGCCTTTTGGTGAAAACTTCTATTCACAAACTTTACAAGCGCAAAGCCCATAAAATCTAAATAGACTATATGCTACAGTAAGTGGGCTAGATCTCGCATGACTGAGCCCGGCCCATCTACCACCGTTCGACCAGGTATCAGCGGTGACGCTGTGAGATGGGATAAGGAGTCGGAGGAAGGGATCGATGACATTTGAAGTTTCATAGCAGTCACAGGAGTGAAGAGCCATTAACCTATAAACCTTCTCCTGGCGTCCAACTTGAAAGCCCCACAGAGATCAAATCATTTAGGATTTAAAATCAATACAAATCTAATGGAAACATTCAGCTTCTCTGCAAATGTCTCCAACCGACCGTGGTGGGCGCTCACTGCCAGCAGCATGGTCATTTTATATCTTTCTTTATGTTGTTTTGAATGAAAAATGCTTACTTATGAAGCCTTTATTAACCTTTATTTCTCTAGAATCAACACATTCAGGGTAAGTCTACAATTATGATCATATTTAGTGCAATTCTTCTCCTGATTCTACAGCCTACACACCCCCTTTTTATCAGAGGAATAGGATAGACTACATTAAAAATACACACCTTATGGTTAATTTTCCTTCATGGCATTGAAACATCACATCTGCAATGTCATCTCTTCATCTTATCTCTCTTCTGACTCCACTATCTTTATAGGTTTACTTCTAGGAGACTACTCAAAGGTGGTTATCCCAGACAGTGCCCCCCTTCTTCAGACGCATTTCCAATCACGAACTTGGCTGCCTCCAAGAGGGCAAAAGAAAAGGCCCAGTGGATATGGAAGAATTTGTCTGCAACACCCGATCACGCCACTTCAAGTACTCCCTCATGGAATGTCAAACAAAAAAAGCGTGGTCACATACCTCTGCATGCGGAACAGGTGACTGCTCCTGGAGAAACACAACATCCCTCGCGCATCCATCAGGGCATCATGCTGGCAGCGGGTAATCTACTTTTTCACTATGGCAACAAATAACCCCCCCTCGTCCTCTCTCTCTCTCTCTCTCTGCCGCACCATGCGCTCCAATGAGGAGGCTCCACTCGCGTCACAGGTCAGCTTCCTTCTCTCTCTCTCTCTCCCTCTGTCTCTCTTTCTCTCTCGGTATCACACCTTCCTCCAGGATACCATCTGGAGAATGAAAGTGATCGAGAGTGGCCCGCGAGGAAGAGTATACGAGATGGCGAGGGGGGACAGGGAGCACACGCAGGCTTTGGGATAGAAGAGGGGTATTAGAGCTTGGCTATGACAAGGCTTGGATTAATTTGCCAGCCAAATGCATTTGGGATTAGCAGACCATTAAAAGAGCATAGACATACCCAAGCAAGCACTCACATACACAGCTACATGAGTTCACACACCCTCCTTCTCACACACACGGCTTTAGCTGATAGCCTTACTAACCCTGACCTCTATATCTCTCCCTCTCTGTTGATCTGTTTCACTTCTCTGAGCTAGTTTTGACACAAACACATCCAGCAAACAGGCAGACCTATCAATGCACCTGTACACATAAACACATGTACTTTAACATACATGTGGTCGAATAATTAGTGTTAGTCCTTTTAACACTTCATGAATCTGAAAAAAAGCCATTAGAGAAAAAAAATCAAAGCTGTATTTCCCCCGGGGCCCCGAAAGACCTTAAGGTAACTGCTCGGCTAAGTTTATTGATTTTATTAACTTCTCAATATAAATTTAAATAAAAAGGCCAAAGGCAACTCCTAGTTTTATGCCTGTTTTCATTTTTTTACTTTGACATCTTTTCAATATGCCATGAATAAAAATTAAGCTGCAATATATCATACATGCTTCCTGTGCACAATCGTTAATACATTTAGAATTAGCCAACTTTTAATCAAACTTACCACAAAGGTGCTGATTTCCGTCATATTGATAAGGGGTGGGAATCACCAGTGGTGCCACAATACTATATTATCACGATACTTGGGCCATGATATGATATTTTTGCAATTTTTAACATTTTGCAGTTGATGGGTTTCGCAACGTCATCGCAGGCATGCACAAAAATGACCAGGAGCTGTTGTGCTGTAAACTGCGCCAATCAGCAAAACAAACAATCGGCAAACATAACGACCCTGCTCCTGATATTAGAAACATCTAAAACAACATCACGACCTGGTATTGAGGGACATTCATGGAATATTTCAGCAAGTGTTTTTCCGATTTTGATGCAATGAGAGACAAAGCGATTTTTCAATGAAATGACACTTTATTGCAATTGTGTCAGGGAGAACTTGTAAACATTAAGGCATCTTCATTGATATTAGTTCACTCCGAAGCAGGCCTTTGCCCCATGGTTGCGCGTGCACCTAGTATTGTTTGTACACAAGAAACCTGTCTATACAATGAGTATCGAAATACAATATATCACGATTTTTCAACTGATCAGCTAATTTTACCTAAGTTTACCTAATCAACCTAATTTTGCATTTGTCTTTCCTTTATGTTTGTCATATCAACACAGTATTTTAGTTTCATGTTGCACTTCTTGTAAACCTTATGTACCAGGTCCGTCTCATTTGTGCCCTGCTTGCATTCCTCATGTCTTTCCCCAGTCGCTGCAATATTTGTTGTACTAACTGTCTTCTGCTCTATGATGCCAACCTCACTGGACAACCAGTTGATTTTATTTTTCCACTATCATTGATTTTACTTCATATTAACTATTAATTTGAAAAAAATCTATGCTTGGTAAATTAGACGATACGATATATCACCAGACAAAATATAGATTTTTTTTCTCCCATCCCTAATATTGATACAGATAATGAAATGTATTTATCTCTGACAGATGATCAAAAGATCAAAAATGCAATGGCTGGAATTTATCACGAAAACAGTTGTGCAAAATCAAGGGATTCAGTTGGCTGCAGTCATTCATGAAATGCTGCAAATTCAGTAGAAAACACATTGATGTTCATTAAATGTGACGGGTTTGTTGTTGCTTCAGTGTGACGTGTGGTGTTCAAATGCAGAGGTCATATCCTTTAAGGCTCCCCAAAATCACTTGCTAAATTTTAGGGGCTGGGACTTATCATATCTATGAATAATAATACTTAAATGCTAGTGGTAATTTGTCAGAGTACAATATAGATGTAAATGTTTACAAAAATATGTCTTGAATTGACTTGATCATTAATGAATACAGCATAAGTACACAGAGACTCCAGCACAGAGTTTTCATCTGCTGTCATATCACATTTTGTCTTTGATTTTTTTTTTTTTCTAACAGAGCTGTTTAGAACTAATGAAATGTCAAAATGATCTGGGGTCACATTTCCATGGAAACCCCATCTCTGAAACAGAAAATCAACAAGCAGCCAATGGATCAGCTCAATTTCTCATTTGATGTGAGTCAAACTCGCTCCCTCTCTCTCCCTCTCTCTCTCTCTCTCTTTCTCCTTTCTCTCTCTCTCACACACATGCATAAACATGCACGCATGAACACATGGTTCATCAATCACTAAGAGGGACATTTGGAGCTTGACTGATGCAAATTAGGATCAATAATTGAATTAATATTGAAACATGTGACAGAGCGCAGTGTGTCAAAGCATGGAGAATTGGATTGAGAGAGATGAATATCATCCAGTTAGCACACTGAGTGTGTGTCATCTAACACTGCCAAGAAGAGTGTGTGGGCTACAGCGGAGTTCATCACAATGTGACAGGTCTCCAGGTTGGGAGAAAATAAGATTACGGCAACACAACAACAACAACTGCAACAAAGGGACACTATGCCTGCTCAATGTGTGTGTGTGTGTTTTATGTATAGCTTGTGTACAACCCTATTACAAATGTTAAGCACACACATATTGACATCTGTAGGGTAAAAATCTCTTTTCACCACACTCCTCTGCAAATCGCAAACACAACAGAGTCAGTGTCACAGTCTGCAAATCAATTATTCAATGGTATTTCAAAATAACAGTGGATACCCATGGTTGCCATAGACACATAGCTGATTTACAGGGTTGTCATTTAACTGTGATAGTCCGACTCTAAGAGGAAAAAATAGAGGGAAAAAAAAAAACTGTGACCGCATCATGCCAACAGAGAAATGGTTATGAAACATTCACTGTCATGTGATGTGATTCCTTCTTCATTGAACAGGGAGGATTTGTATTTTTATGCTGCTTTTTTTTTGGGGGGGGGAGCTTCATTACAAATTTTTTAAAGTGGTAAAGTCCCTCTTGTTTTATCCTTTAAGACCCCATTTATTTTGATAGTTCTGCCAAAGACATCATACTTTTTTGGATTATCTATACATAAACTTGTTGAAAAATGTCCCAAATACATTTATGTTGAAAGAATGCCACTTGCAAATGTTGCATTATGAAACAAAGGCAGATCTATCCACCAACTGTCATAGATGGCAAACATGTTAAAACATAGACTGTATAAAGAATGGACAGTGTCTGCCTCCTCTCTGGGTGAAGCCACTCCGAGAACAGCACCCTCTGTTGCCGGGCTGCAGTATAGGTCATAAATCCCGCCTCCGTCAGCAAAGCTTATGGGGCTGTGGACAAACTTTAGTTTAGTAGTTACTGTAAGACTGGTTTGTTCTCAAGTTCTCTTTTTTCTGTGAAGCTCCGTTTTTAAAAGTTATTAGGGGGTTCATGTTTTCAATGATTGACACCTGATACAGCCTATGGGCGTTCAGGGATTTCGTAGCTCTCCCGGGGGATACGCTGTTTGAGCTGAGCGTCATCACAGCGACTCTCGGCAACTGCGCACCTGAATGCGCACATCGCTACTGCGCAGCGCTGGTTTCAGGTAATGAAGAAAAATCACGTAAATACCGAGAAATATTTGGCTTCAAATCCGTATACAGGCGGTAGGCGGAACAAAGTTGTCCATAGTATATACAGTCTATGTGTTAAAACCACTGCAACCACTGCACTGTGTTGTAGTGTACATACTTGTATATTGTAAAACTGTAAACATATTGCATATTTTGATTATCTCTTTATTTTTACTTATTTTATCTATTATTATTCTCCTCTTTCTACTTTATTTCCACTGGAGTTACTGTAACAACAAGCAATTTCCCCCTGGGGATTATGAAAGTATTTCTGATTCGGATTTTGAACAATCATTGCATCAAAAGATTACAGGTACCTCCCTCACAGAAGTCCATTCAAACAGATGTGTTCGGTACACAACAGTAAAAACCTCTCTTGCTCATTACGATTCAAGCACAAAATTGTTAAATTCTTTACACTTCATAGAGTCAAAATGTCCTCATATCCTTCTGCAGGCTGTTCCAGAGTCTGGATGCATACTAACTAAAGCTGCCTCAGTGTCGATGTTAACTGTCAGCACAGGTTGACAAGCTGCCATGCTGTCTCCAGACGCCTTGATAACAAGGACAGCACACAAACTTGGGAAGCTGCAGCAATGTTTGCCTGCAGAAATGAACAGAGAGACACTTTTGAAATATCTATCTTAGAGCTGCAACTCAAAGTTATTTTCATGATTGATTTATCTGCTCATTTGTGGAAATTAATTGATATTTATTTGGTCAAAGGACAGTGAGGGAAAGAGCATCATAAAGGATCTCCAGAGTCCATGGGAATGTATGAGAATAGGTTTTTTCAGTAAAATCACCAGTTGTTACTCAGTCATCTATAGTTAATCTATCTTCCTCTCTGCTCTCAGGGGTTAACAGCTCACACCCACCGACTATATCTGATTCTGTACAACAAAAAAATATCTAAAGCACTATTTATTTTCTCTGGCACACAGTCATACTTCTGATCGACACTAATATCAACACTTTCCTCCCCCAGTCACTGCTGTGATCCAGCTGCTCACTTGATTTTTTCAGAGCATACAGAAGCAGTTCAGTACAGCTGCACCTGTTTGCAAGATTCTGGCTGAGACACAATTTCCAAGCCGATTTCCTCGCTTCGAAACAAATTAGGTGCAAATTGTTTCTCTTCCCTGAGCTAGATTTATACTTTTCATCTCGGCAAGGCTGTGGGTGGATTTTAATATGAATGATCTTTCTTAGATGAGAAAGCAAGAGAGATAACCAGAAGACACACCACCAGCTGGTCAGATCATCAGTGTCCCCCCCTCTCCTCTTTTCTCTCTCATGACAAATGATGAGGAGGAGGAAACTTACTGGGTGCACTCGGCATGCTGTGACAGCCGGTCACCCTGTTTAATGCAACACACAGGTCATGCTGCCCTCCAGTGGCCACAAAGGAAGATGATTGTAAGTAATTATGTACTTAATCTCACGTGCTTGTTGAGTTGACTTGGGATTTTATAAAGTAGGTGAAGTTCTCAGTAGGTTCAATGAAAAAGCTCATTATCTCTGACTACACACGCGCCCGCACACACACAGAGTTGGTGCAGAGGAGCCCTGCGGACAGCTTCATCCTGTGATGGTCATTCCTGTGCGCTCTACTGCGTTCCTGCAGCGGGATAAGCTGCATCCCGTGCCTGGCTAGGGTAGCATGTGACCGGCTTGTGATATCCAGGATTGCGCAGATGACTGTCTCCACCTTAGCCGGACTGTATGGGCCGGTAGAACCTCAGGAAACAAAGCATGGTCTCTCTCTCTCTTCTTAAAGTTTCGACAGTGTTCATTCTTACCGCAGCTGAGGACGCTTAAAGAAGTCCAGCAGCCTATATTGCAATGCATTGTATAATGCATACACTGTCTTCTCTATAATCATGATAAAGTTCCTCTTAAAAAATATCACTAACTTAGTGAACACGACTTATTACATTAAACACATTGATGCTGCTAATAACCCTGCTTAACAACCATTTTATTATAGCCTACTCCTTAACACTCTATATCCATTTCACTACATTTGAAGAACTAATAGGTATACTTTTTGCTGTACACTTATATTTGAAAGTTACAATTACTACCATAATGCTACTATATTACTACTATTACTACCAATAGGCCATACAGGCAGCAGCAATGCCAATTTCAATCATAGAAAATAACTGATAACATCAAAAACAACGTGATTAAAATAAAAACATGATTGATATAGCTGTGACAGTTGAAGTCAAACAGCTCCCCAACTGCAGGCAATCTGCAACGAACCACAAGAATCTGTGAAGTTTGTAAATTAGTAAGTAGAAGTTATTAAAATTCCATTAACAGGACATTAATCTGCATGGATAGAGACATGAAGAGATGCAAACTTGGTGTACCAAGTTTTACAGACCACAAGCAGGCTTACATTCAGGGAGGGCAAAGTTCTGGAGAGGTAACAGAGCACTGTGAATTGTCTTTAATATTTCAATATATTTATTAAGAGCTATGTTGGTGGACATGGAATACGGCTTTTAGATTAGGTTTTATATTTAAAGATGGTGACGTAGAGAGACTGATATAAATGATGATCTCTCTTACTGTCATTGTCTGTTGATGTCTGCTGCATTTTGAGCCATGAAGGCAGCCTGTTAGAGAATCTTCTGTAAAATCTGAGAGTGAGCACTAATAAACCATTTCACCAATATTTCAAGTAAAACTATCCTTATGAGGACTTAAAAAGGTAAATTTTACGTAAGGGATCAGTCAGCAGCTTCCCGATCTTCAGGATCACGGGCTTCTAAGATTATAATAGATGCCCCACATGAGTCTATTCTTATCCCCACTGATATACCATGAATGTTAAAACCTCAAAATGTGCTCTTACTTTATTTTGGTGAACAACAATCAAAGTTGTTATGTCATATTGGTGCCCCTTCAAACCAAAATTGACAGCTACTGCTAAAAAAGCTCTTGTTCAATCTCTTCAAAGGTCTTACTGGGAAAAACCACAAAGCTCAAAAGCCCAATGGGACTCATGTAGTGAAATGATTAAATGAAACAACACTGAACAGCGCTCCTTCAGTTAGAGTACAAATAAAGCAAGTAATAAAAAAATTGTGCAGGTCACTGTGGTACACAACTTGATTCCTGTGTGATATCAATTTTCACCCCCTTATTCATTTTTTCCTTTTTTTCTGTCGCAACAGCCTTTCAACTTTACGCATAATCATGCAGAAATTCCAGGCAGGCCAAGTGGAGGGGGTAGTGCACAAAGCACCCTCAGGCACGCACACACACACACACACACACACTAGCAAAACCCTATTTCTGCCTGAGGTACAGTGGAGCAGAGGTCAGCTGGTCCCAAGACAAAATGAAAGGGGAATCAGGCAAATTATCCCGAGCATGTGATGGTTTGTGAGTGCACATGCTTGTTCTACGTGTGTGTGAAATCACAATGAGATCACACACTTTGTTAGAGGACGGCCCCTAAAACGCCCTAATGAGTAGGGGGAGAGCTGGGGACTGCTGGCTGGGTGCAAGACAGAGCTGAAAGGAGGTTTTCGTCTGAGTTGGATGATAGAGTAAAAGATTAGCCTGTTTTAAAATCCTGCAAGCTGTGCTCTTGACATTTTTTTTTTTTAATTTCAATTCTGAGACAAAAAAGTGTGTAGGTTTTTTTTGTTTCTTCTTTTTTTTTTGCTTTGGTTCAACCACAGGAACCAAATCAGGATCAAAATTAAAATTAAGACTCTTGAGGTGATTCTTCCCCTCTGTGCTGCTTCTACTAAATCAAGACTTGTCACCTGCAGAGTTTGTGAGTCTGGCAGGCTCTGCTGTGTCGGTTTTTTTCCACAGGAGTCTGCCTTACCGCGGTGGCACAGACTGGACTTCCTCTGACTTTTCATCATGAGGATCTTGTGTGTATCTGTCGTTCTGCTGCAGCTCATCGGCTCCTGTTTCTGCCAGTTCCCCCGAGCATGTGCCACCTCAGAGGCCCTACGGACTAAAGTGTGTTGCCCGGTGTGGGAGGGGGATGGCTCAGCCTGCGGTGCCCTCACAGGCCGTGGTTTCTGCGCTGATGTGGTGGTCTCAGATGAGCCCCATGGGCCCCAGTACCCACACAGAGGGATTGATGACAGAGAGCAATGGCCTCTAGCTTTCTACAACCGGACATGCCGCTGTGCTGGAAACTACGGAGGTTACAACTGTGGAGAATGCAAATTTGGTTACTGGGGTTCAAACTGTGCTGAGTACAGGGTTTCTATGCGCAGGAACATCCTGACCATGTCAACTGCTGAGCAACAAAAATTCATTTCTTATCTAAACTTAGCCAAGAACACCATCAGTCGAGACTTTGTCATCGCAACAGGAACCAGAGACGAGATGGGGCCAGATGGTGAAAACCCCATGTTCTCCAATATTAACACCTATGATCTGTTTGTGTGGATGCACTACTACGTGTCCCGGGATGCCTTCTTGGGAGGGCCGGGCAATGTTTGGGCAGACATTGACTTTGCCCATGAATCGGCAGCATTTCTACCCTGGCACAGAGTCTTCCTGCTAATGTGGGAGAATGAGATAAGAAAGCTGACAGGAGATTTTAACTTTACTATCCCATACTGGGACTGGAGGGACTCTCAGACCTGTGAGGTGTGCACTGATTCTCTAATGGGTGCACGCAGCTCTTTTAATCCAAACCTGATCAGCCCAGCTTCAGTCTTCTCCTCGTGGAAGGTAAGAAAAATCAGAGTAGTGTATAGGTGTAAATGTAAATGTCTGAGCAGGTCCCACGAATAATGCCTTATTTGTTTCCTGCTTCAGAACTAAGAAATGTGAGATTTTAATTCATCTCAAGCGATCCAGCAAAGTGAAAATCCTTCTTCAGAGGCTTTGTATTTACATCCCAAAGAATGTAACAAAGACAGAGACTTTATTCTGAGCAAATCCAACACAGATTTGTTTTAAATTGCAGCTTGTACCTCAACCAACAATTACTGTCTCCTGGGTTTCCATTTCTCATCAATAACAGGCTAAAAAATTGCGATGCAAACTGATTCTTCTAAGGTGTGTTATTGATAACAGTAATTTGTTAATTTCTGATCTGAAGCCTTTGGTATGCAGGGGTAAATATTCCCGTATGAGAGCTGTGCCATTAAACTTTAACTGATGGATGAAGCTTTATTTTTATGAGGTTTAAGTTTTATTGTAACTCCCTGATGTGTGTCTGTGTGTAGGTGATTTGCACCCGGCCAGAAGATTACAACAACCAAGAGGTAATTTGTGACGCTGCCGGGGAGGGTCCTCTGTTGCGTAACCCCGGCAACCACGATCCAGGCCGTGTGCCACGAATCCCCACAACAGGTGATGTGGACTTCGCTGTGGGCCTCCCCATGTACGAGACAGGACCCATGGACCGGTTTGCCAACATGAGCTTTAGAAACGTACTAGAGGGTAGGAGACCTTAAACTTCCACTGATACACATATTTGGTAATTTCACGCTAATGTTTCATCTTGTCCAGTGAGTGTTTTTTCATTTGTTTGTTTTGGTTCACCCAAGCATGGTTGTACAAATCCATATGTATGTCTGCATGCACAGACACTTGTTTAAATCAAACCAATTGAACCCCCTTCTACTTTTGTATCTTTTGCAGGTTTTGCCAGTCCAGAGACAGGCATGGCAGTGCCAGGCCAGAGCACCATGCACAACGCCCTGCACCTCTTCATGAATGGAACCATGTCCTCAGTTCAGGGGTCAGCAAATGACCCCATTTTTCTGCTGCACCATGCTTTCATTGACAGGTATTAAAAAATACATGAGAAAACGCCTTTAAAAAGTTCAACAAGTGCTATAAATGATTAATTCTTTAATCATTTAAGAGTAAATACTAGAAACTATTCTTCTCTTTCCTCTTTTTTTCTCTTTAACTTTCATCTCTCTGCTCCCTTCCAGCATCTTTGAGCGATGGCTCAGGACACATCAACCAGTGCGCAACATTTACCCTAGTACTAATGCCCCTATTGGCCACAATGATGGCTACTACATGGTGCCCTTCCTGCCTCTCTACAGAAATGGAGACTACTTCCTGTCCAACAAGGTTTTGGGATTCGAGTATGCCTACCTATTGGACCCTGGTCTGTACAAAATAATCATATCCTGCAAATAAGTGTTTCTCCAGCTGTTAATTTATGCCTCACTTTCTCATCATGTGTATCTTTCTTACAGGTCAGAGGTTCCTGCAGGAGTTCATAACACCATACCTTGAGGAGGCACAGAGGATCTGGCAGTGGCTTCTTGGCGCAGGGATGCTTGGGGCTCTGATTGCTGCAATCATCGCAGGAATAATTGTTGTCATACGAAAGAAATGGAAACGAAGCCAAAGGAGGAAGAGGGTGCCAAGCTTTGGAGAGAGACAGCCGCTCCTGCACAGCAGCTCAGACGATGGATCGGCTTCATATCAGAACACTCTGTAAAACAGAGATGTTTGATGTGGATGCAGACAGCATTAAGGACACAACACATTGTATATCATTGATTTCCCTGAACATTTAAAAAAAAAAGTATGAAAAAATAGTTAATAAATCAATCTTAAATTAATATATTAAGTCACAGACGGGGCAGCATCTTTACACAGTATATTTGTATTTCCCTGTTGTTGTCCCCAAAATTGACCTGAGATCAGTGTTGTCAGATGGAAAATATAGAATTAACGAACCAGAGACTCAAAATTATCGCATTTTGCGGAAAATTATCGTACACCCGTCATGATCAAAACAACAATCTTACTGTTGAAAGATAGTCACACATAGTCACTATATTGGGCGCCCTACAGGCACTCGGGATTTTGTGGCTAGTTTTGTAGTATCCGCAGCTCCAACTCACCTGTGTTACACTAATGCGTCCATTTTAAACAAATGACAGGTGGCAACTAATGAGACAAACCATAAGACCGTAAGGTCACCTACTTTTTTGAAACAGTGTTCATAATAACTGACAAGGAAATAAAGAGTAATCTGACCTAAATGAGTGGAATCTATTTTAGACTCAAAACTCAGCTTGTCCTCTCGCGAGAATTCGGCTCCCGGTAATCACCCTCCTCTTCAGCGGTGCTCATTTTTCTCAACTAACTAACCGGAGACAACCGCCGCTCAAACTACGACTGGGTGGGAACGTCACGTGGGAAGAGATGCCTTCAGGGTTCGCTAATGAAAAACTGAAAAATAAAATGTCTGCCAGATTGAGATAATAGTACGTGTCTGCAGAGCCGGAGAGCCAAGCAGATCCACAACCGTCTTTACGCCCCTGCTGGATGGAGTAGGTCATTGCATGACAGATCCACAACCCTTTTTTTTTAACCGCTGCCTCACATCCGTTTTTGTACCCAGAAATTTTATTTAATAAACAAGTTAATAAATAAATAAGTGACTGCAGTCACATGTTATTATCTAATCAAAATAAGTCTTTGAAATTTGTGGAAAATATGTTCAGTTCTTGGGACTCCTTCCTTTCAAGGATTTGAAATTTATTTTTTAGACATCCCCTATTCGACTGAGACAGTCCTAAAAAAAATCAGTCCTATTGCGCCACGCGTTCACGAAACTGTCAAATTATTATACATTTAACCTTTTTTTCTGGGTTATTTATCGTACATCGTACAGACGGCAAAATTATCGTACAAATACGATAAGTACCGTACGCCTGGCAACACTGCTCAAGATACCTACAGGATATATGCATATCTACATTGACAGGACTCTAGAGCCATCAAGTGTTTGGATGTAACAACTTCTAAACACAAGAATATTCAAACTGTGACCTGTGACAGGTTAGAGCCATAGACTGCATACAGTCTATGGTTCGAGTGCTGAGTACATTAACTGTCTGTGCACACAGGCTACACTTCAATCGAATGTGTTTTGATTATCTGTGAGCTGTATACATTACTTCCTCTGACCTGAAACACTGAATCATAATACATCATTTATTCATCCATTGTATGGAGCTCTTTCTATCTGTAAGCCTGTTTACAAATCACACCTTGTATCTGAATGCTGTGTGTTACAGAAGTAAATACAATTCAACTGTACTTGACCTGAGGAAAAGTTAGACGGAGATATAGTGTCACAGATCATTTGAAGCATGGCCAGGTCTGCCATACTATAGATTTAGAGACTGCTCAGGGTGAAAGAGTTACATTATATGCACCTGCATAGTAAATAAATGAATGTACAACAAATTCTTAAAAGGTACAACAAAAGAAAATTAATGATAAAACTCATTTTTGTGTAATTTTGAGAGTAGCTGAGAACCAAACTGCATTTGTAGGTCTGAAATCCTTTAGAAAAAGTGTCTGTAAAATACTGTATCTTGACTTTGTAAAGGGCAGACAGTTCACAAATTTATCCCATTAAACTGGTTACATCAAGTTTTTACAGGTTGCATGTCTTTAAAAACTCTGTTTTCACTGAAGCGACATTACAGACCAAATCTCTGACACTTTCTTGAGTTACTACTGGTGCTGAAAAACAAAAGTGAGTTGTCCATAGTATTTAAAATGAAGTATCAATATCTTGAAGACATGAATGAATCATGAGTTTGTACATATAAAGCATTAAAATACCTTCTGATTGGATTTTCTCTGTGATTATTTTAGCACTGCTCTGAAAGGTCTAGGTGCTGCTGCTAAACAATCAGTACTGTTTCTAAAAACACTGTTTCTTGATGTGAATTGTGACCTTGATGGATGGTGAATAGAAAAGATTTTCTATTGACTTTAGTGCAAGTAATCAGGATAACATAATTACAAAATCTGTTTTATTTCAGGAGTTGTCTGCTTTTTCAGAAAAGAGGACGATCCTGAAAATAGACGCACAATTCAAATTATAAATACTTTTAAATCGAATACAAAAAGTCAATAAATCATGACTAATAAAAAATGATGTGGAATAACAGGTGTCTCAGTCCCAAAAGTAGAAATGAGGAGGAGTCTGAAGAAAACTTTCTACGTTCCTGAATAAACAGCAGAGTTGAAAACCTTTAGTACAGCAAAGAGATGGAACAACAACTTTACGCTGTTCAGGTATTTGACTGTTTTTTTAGAAATGGCATTCGATGGAGAAAACGCTAAAGCCCTGAAGATATAAATAACTTTAAACAATATAAATAAATTCCAAAAACTAAATAACAATAATGGTGTGAGGTGCAGTGTAGTTTGTTTTGAAACTGATATTTGATAGACAAAAATGATCAGGAACAGACGGCAACAAGTCAAACCAAAAACATGAATCATAAGTCCATACAAGTCCTTTTGCTTTGACTGTTTCCCTCCATGAGTGGCAATCCAAAAGACCAGAGTTAGAGTTTAAAAAAGAAATAAGGTAACCCTAAAAGGGATATATTCGAGGAAATCACTCTCTCTTTTCTGAAAGTTTTAGTCAAATGATCACACTGAATTCCTTTTCGGTGTCAAGTTAAAGTTAAACTAAGTTTGGCTATCATTTGACCAACGTTGAATAAGCACATGCTGCCGTGATGTTGCAGCTTTGAGCCACAATGGTGAATTCCCTCTTGTGTAACATCAATATGCTTTTGTGTTTGTGGACAAGAGAAAACTCTCTGCTCTACAGTGATGTCTTTCTTCGAAGAAAAATGAAATCCAAGGGCAGCCAGATCAAATGAGGAATCTCAGCACTGAGCAGGTCTCTTTGGCTTTGCTCAGATGTCGGCTGAAAGGTTGGAGAGCAGGTTAAAAGTAAGGCTGCTCTCTGAAGAACTGGCCTCATGTTTAATTATGAGGTTTTATCCTGCTGTGCAGGGATGCATGGAAGAGAAGTAGTCGGTGAATATTTCAAGTTTTTTGGCCAATTGGCCTACATGTCAAATTGACATGTACAAAATTCAAGTAACAAAGATTGTCCAAATAAATTGACTTCAAATGAAGGACATCTGCAACATTGAAAATCTGTCCATCCTCAAAGTTGCAGTATTTTCTCCTGAAGTTGGTCTGGACATGCAGCACCAGCTCTGATGTTTGATCAGCTGAAGGACTCCTTGTTGAATTCAAACGTTGTTCCAGGAAACCTGGATGAGTTACACAGTCTGTGGAGAGTGCTTGAGATGCCTTTTGGTCCACAGCAGAAAACCCCGACCCGCTTCCTGAGACCAGAGAGAAAGGGACTATTAGCTAATATGAAAACCAGATTTATTTTCTATTGCTGGTCTTGCCAGCTTTACTCACTGCTGATTGGTCTTTGCAATCTCATCAAACAGTAACTTCCACTTGGGTCGACCAACTAGCAGCCTTGATGTAAGGGGACGGTACCTCTCTTCAGACATGCTCTGAAACAAAATTACCACAGAAGACATCTCTTCAAAGACATAAGCTTGTAAACCTGTTAGTAGATAAACATGTTTAAAACAAGCTGGTGAGTAAATACAGAAGAGTCAGTGCAAATAAATGAATGTTTGTGGCCAGTTCACAAATGTCAATCCCAATATCTGTCCAGTTTTAAGTCTCTTACCCCCTTGATTAGGTAATAGTCAGCCATAATATGAGCTACCCCATCAGACACAAAGATCAGGTCTAAGAGGGGAAAACAACTGTAAAGAATTGAGCCACCTGACTGGGAAATTAGACAACTCTGTGTCCCCCATATACAGGAGAACAGTGATGCCAGACACTTGCTCCACTGGTACTGGAGAACAAACTCCTTTATGGGCTGGCTTTGCAATCGAGTGAGACAGTCTGGATTTCAACACTGGTTGGCCAAGGAGCTCCAGTTTACCAGCAGACCAGACAATTGACAGAACATTGACTTTACATTGCATAGTACAATTTTTTTAGTCAGGATATATTGTCTTTGCGTTTACAGGAAAATGGGAATAGCCAGATCAACTAAAACAGAGAATCGAGATACTGCAGTAGGAATGTTGAGTGAGCAATTCAGTTAGATGTTTTCTGACAAATTAACTGTATAAGGTAATGAACAAGACACATTTTAAGAGCTCTAGTTGAGACACTTCAGCAACACAGCTGCTGCTGAAAGCTATAGGAGATAATCTATAGGCTCAATAATCTGTCCCAAGATCCTCCTCTTTCTTACTTTCTACTGATGGCCTATTATTTTTATTACAGTCTGGGGACTCTGGTTTAAGAGCCACTGCATGCTATCAGCAGTGCGAACAGCTTCTGTCAATTATTAGTAACACAACTCAGAGACTGAGTAAGTGGCGAGCCTCATCTGAATATAGAACTGAGTTATGTCAAGTCGAAAGCTTTCCATTATACATTTAACATCAGCACAAATGTGCTGAAAATGGCACTCACAGTGTCAAACATAGATCTTATGTTCATCTACATTTACATTCAGTTTAGACTGAATTGTACAACTCTGATGTAAATTTTTTCTGTGAGCACTTCAAAGTCTTAAGCCACTCTGTAGCTAGAGACTCAAAAGTCTCTAGACATTTTCACAGGACTAAAGCATGCGGTAAAGGTCAAGTCCCGCCTTGTATGCCTTGCTGGTTAATTAAAAAAAGAACAGTTCAATTATTTTCCTCAGAGTAGCTTCAGCTGATCTCCTAGTTTTAACAAAGCCAAACAAATATGATTAAAGATCGATGTTTGTAGAGAGCAAAAGCTTTCTCCCTTTTCAATAAGATACACCAAACAGAAGTGCGGTGTGGTGTGGAGCTCTCAGCATTGTTCACCAGCCGTGTTGCTACATCCTTTGAGAAGCCTCTTTTATTGTCTTCTGAGTCATGTCAGACCAGTTTTACGGCTTCTGTTACGCTCTGTGGGCAGGCCCCCTCCTTTAAAAAGGATTTCCACTCCCCGTCGGGGAATCGAACCCCGGTCTCCCGCGTGACAGGCGGGGATACTCACCACTATACTAACGAGGAGATGAACAGTGGGGATCACATGACCGTATAAGTAGAGAGCCAATGGGACAGACCATTTTTTCCCCTCTAAGAGACGCGTTATCTACAATACAAGGCCTGACATTTTAATGGATAATAAAGGGTTTAGATTAAATTCAAGGACATGAATGAATAACCACAAAGGTAACACTGGCTGCTGTTAAGAGTATGCCTGTATTGTGGTATGGTATATAAGGAATGAAATCACTGTAGACAGCATTGCCTCAAATAGCTCTTTAAACTTTGTTTTTCAAAGAAACTATGACAAAAATACTTACAGTGTTATTTACTATTTAAACCTGTTCTGTGTTTTTTGATTGTTACGTCAACTCAAAGAACGAACAGTAGACTGTTTTTGTCTTTCTTTGTCCAGTGCTGCCCTCTAGTGGAAAAACACTTGAAGTGGGTCATGGGATAGAGGTGTATGTAAAAAAATAAAAAAATATATATACATATATCAAAGATGAAAAAAAATGAAAAGATCACCATAAAAAGTCAGACCAGGTTTGTGAGTGTGTATTTTACCCACCTGCAGGTTGTGAGGCTGACTGACATATAGTTTCAGATTGAAGTAGTCTGGTCTGTTTTCCTGCCAAAACTAAGTGAAAAATACAAACACACAGATTTAATATTTAAACATACTTTAAATTTAAACATTAACCTAAATTTAAACAGAATTCCTTACATCTTCTAAAAATACGGCATGTTATTACACAAACAACCACAAGATGGCGCTAGGTGCAATCATCCTGACCCTGACAACTGTTTCTTCAGTTTATCTGCATTTCTTTCTTTGCAAAGAACAACAGAATCGGCTCATTATTAGTGAATTATTGGTTGAAGCTAAGAAAGGCTTGGTACCATGACGAATGAATGCTTTGTCCTGATCAGCTCATTATTTAGGGTGACCATACGTCCTCTTTTACCTGGACATGTCCCCTTTTTGGGGAGCTGTCCAGCCTGTCCGGCCCTTTCCGGGGGAGTTTATAAAATCCTTCAAATATCCGGGTTTTGTATGGAAGTTTTGAGTTTGTGTCGCGTGGACTTACTGAGTTAGAAGCGCATAAAAAACACCCGACCTGACCCAAAAAACTCTCAAAATTTATTACACACGACTCTGTGACTCCACCCCCATATAGTCATGTCCTCTTATTTGGGGATTCAGAGTATGGTCACCCTAAGTTATTCTGTACAACTACGTTTAACAAGTTGACGTCTCTATGGTGGCGCCCCCTGTGGATACTTGATGATACATGATACTTTCGTTTGCTATTGTGCGACATAAAGAGGCATCACTTTTAGTTTCTGTCTGTTTCATAACCAATGACAACTCTTCACGGGGGCTTTTAGACTTCAAAAGCACAGGTGCCACAGTAATGACTCCCTGTTTATCTGTTGCCTTTTTACACCCTCAACCTCTGACCTGTCTCTTTCTCCTAAACCTAAAACACGGAAGAAAACTTGCTTTGACATGACAGGCACACACACACACACAAGCACAGGATGCAAAGTTGCTAGCCCCAATAGCCTGTGGCATTTGGATTACATTTGAAGGAGGACAAGATTATCTTAAATTATCTCAAATATATTCTTTTCTTTCTGACAATTACAAAAATTAACCACAGCTTTGATCAAATTCAACTACACATTTGCGCTAAAAATACAACATGAAGGCTACAGGATCCAGGCTTTGCCCCTGACCTTATGATGCACGGCACACAGCAGCTCTGCAAACCAGTAGAAGGACTGGAGCTCCCTGCAGACCCACACAAAGTACAACCTCTGCAACCTGAAACCTGCCCAGCCGTCACTGATGTGCAGCAGGAAGGAAGGAAAAAAAATAAACATTTAAAAAAAAATGAGTACTTCAATTTGAGTGCTCAGTTAGAGCATGATTTTTCACAACTCACAGCAGAGCATGAAGTACACAGGCGAATGGCGTGACTCCTATTCCACCGGCAACACAAAGGCTGACGTCATAGTTAAAAACTTCCTCTGATGGACTGCCAAACGGGCCATCGACATAAAGCCTGAACACACACAGTATGGACAAAATCACAGCAATTACAACACAAAAAAAGACAAATACACACATACATATTTATACTTTCCCCCTCAGGACTAAACACACATGAGCAGATAAACATCCTTCATTTGGAATCCCAGCTTGTGCATGCATGTGTGACTGTGTGTGTGTGTGTGTAGACAGGCAGCAAGCGATCATCCAGACACACACACAAGCGTCATCTCCCCAACAGCTGCTCAAACACTTGTGTCATGTGGACACACACACATACACTCACACACACACATACACTCACACACACAAAATAAGCTAGCACAGTCAGATTTCAGCATTTCTCAGCATTAAGGAAGACTGTAAAAATATGAATTGACAAAACTCTGAATGAATCTCAGAAAATGGTTGTTAATACTAAAGCAGTATTAGCACACCCTTACACCCGCCACAAGGCCAAGTGAGGGTTGGCTCAGCATTACTGTCACATCATAACATGCACTGTGATCTCGGTAACACTCATGAGATTACTCTTGTTCAATATCCTGTTTCCAGTAATTGTGCTAAGTTAAGCTTAGATATGCATGTTCCACCACCTTCAAAGAGATAACATCTGCTGCTGCTTTTCAAATATGATTCTGTTCATATTTTACAATTGAAGATAAAGAAGAATACACATGTAGGATTCTGTTATTGTGATAATGTAAAAGAAATTCCCTCTTTTTGATGAGCCAGATGGGTCAAGATTTTGTTTGTTTATATTAATGGGAGGGAGAGGGATTGCCAATAGGTGATCCATCTTGACTTAATTGGAAGTATTACAATGAAAACAAGGCTTGACAGTGCGACCGTTTCACTCGCATTTGTGACTAAAAATAGATGTGTGCGAATTGTAAAATGTATTTAGGGGCACGTGTTCATAGAAAAAAATCAGCTAAGGCAACAAATGTTTTTTCATGTAAATTCCACGGTGAAGTTAGTTTTAGGTTGGATATCCGACAGACATTCACTGTGGATCTACCCGTGTCTTCTTACTCTCCCTAACCGGGAACGGCAAGAGCAGCGCGGTTAAATCTACCCAGCAGCCTCGCTGTCAGCATCAGGTGTTGAATAAGGGACCATCAATAAATTACTGGTTAATGTTCTCAAAGAAGGCTGCTCTCTGTCAACAGCTCCCATGTCATATGACAATTGACTTCAAATTGATTTCAAATAATAGCACTAGGGTCGGACAATAAGACACACCTCTTTATTTCCCAAATTTGTCCTCTGAAAAATTTTTGTGTTAAATTTAAAGGCAAATTTTGAACATTTTCTTTAATAGCTTCCATGTCATGTGATCAAAAGACCTAAAATTGGTTTCAAATAATAGTACTTATGTCGACCAATAAGACACACATTATTTGATCAACTTTCATTGTGCCCCTAAAGTTCTTTGTGTGCTCTTTACTTTTTCAACTTAGGAACACATGTGCTCCTTGTGAAAAAAGTTAGAGTCAAGCCCTGGAAAATATACACTTGCTGCACTACGCTAGGAAACAGGAAACACATCCTAAAAAATTCTGATCACGAGTGGACACCACTCAAACTATTTAAATGAGAGAGAGAGAGAGGGTTTAGGATAGTTTGCTTAACTCTGGTTTACGGCCACAAAACAAACTTTCCTTCCTGTCACACCCACATCTCCCTCTTTCTCTGTCTCTTGTCTATCTCTCTGCCTCAAACAGAGAGCAGGAAGAGAGCAGGTTCAGGGGTCAGAAGGTCAAAACCTCTGACCCTGATGTGATTCTGAGCCTTCATGAGAAATCACGTCAGCCAAATCGCTCTTAACGCACACTCACACACAAACATACTTGGGATATCTCCTCTGCTGCACCATGGGAAGGATCTCCAAATCCATCCTCTGTTCAGGAAGTAACAGCTGTGTGAACCGTTCTGACCACAAGAGAGAGAAGAGAGTCATTTCAATTTAACACGACAACAAATGCTGATCTAACTCTCTAAAAATGAACAGTTTTGTAAAGGTTTTCATACAGACGTGTGTACTTAACATAGACAGCCATTGTAAGAAGTGTCTATATGTTCCAGTGTAATGTTTTCCAACTCACAACATGCACTCATAGCAGATTAAGGGGCCAATATAAACAAGCCCACTTCCCTTCTTGTGCTCTGAAAGCGTGTGTGTGTGGATGTGTACAGTAGTGAGTGGAAATGAGTTTTCATGTTCTTGCTTTTGTCAAAGTCTCTTCCTTTTAGATGTGAGTCCGTTTCTAGACTTCCACTGAACAACTTAAGCAGGCGAATCATAAAAAAGGTGCAAAACAAAAGCGTGTTCAAGAAGTGGAATTACATCATTGCTTCCTTTTTTAAAATCCTGCACAACAGTGTCAAGTGAATGTAGTTGCACGTGTAAGAAGTCAAAAACACTGCAGAAATCTGCTGACCAGTTTTTTATCCCTCAATAAAACTTTCTTTTTTTTTTGTAAAAGTTGATTAAGTGTGTGCGATTTTATCAGTTTTTTAACCAGACAAAACACAGTTAATCATCTTAGCCTGAAGGTAGAGAGGAAGTAATCTAACAATGAGGGGGAAAACACACATATAACAGCTCATAAAGACAACGGAAAGACACACTTGAGACTTTAAATGTTTTGTTTTGGTGGATATGCACTGTCTGTAGAGAGGAGACGAAGTGAAGAGGATGACAAAATAAAGAAAGAAAAGTGTGCAAGTCTCTGTGCATGTGTGTGTGTGTGTGTGTGTGTGTGTGTGTGTGTGTGTGTGTGTGTGTGTGTGTGTGTGTCTAGAACCCACCAGTCCAGTCTCCCACGACCCGGAGATGGATGCCAAAAGTTGCCTTGTTCTCCGTAGGACACTGCGATGAGTTAGAGAGCAGACAGTGAGTCATGATTAAATACAAATACACACACAGACACACATACACACACGGACACACATACACACGGACATACATACACACAGGGACACACATACACACTAGCATAGACTTATTCAGCATCACAAAAAAGTACAAAAATATACACGTGAGCCTAACACAACGACGCAGACACACAACCCGGAGCAGCACATGGCTACAACTCTTTTCATTACATTTAACAACACTTGCATGCAGGCGCACACACATGTACACACACACGTACACACACACACACACAACACACAGCCTTCCTGTTGGCAGACAGAGTTACTAGCCTCAGGGGTCTGTCTGCTCTCTGTCAGTGTGATTCTCTGCCGTCCTCCTCAGAGCTCCATAACACATCAGGCATAGGCATGCACATGCTGTAATGTGTGTGTGTCTGTGTGAGGGAGTGTGTGTGTGTGTGTATGAAAGAGTTCATTCCTGTTTGCTGTCAAAGCTTTTTCTTTGTGTTCACACATCTTTGTCTTGTACAGTCTGGACTGAATCTAAAAGCATCATTAATAACATCTAGTTAAAACATATATACTGTATATATATCTACATTTTACTTGACAACGGAGCTGTCAATCACAGAGGGCGGGATGTTTGAAAAGACAAAGAACTGCATGTTCCTTGCCGGGGGGATGAAAGTTTGAGAAACTGTAAAAACATATGTGGGTGTCTCCATAAAAATAGACACGTGTGTGTGTGGGTGTGTGTATATACCTGTGTAAGTGTGTGTGTGTGTGTTTGCATTGTGTCATATGTGTGGAATGTGTTGCATAAAGTCTTACCGTTGTTAGTGTGAAGGGATGGTTCTCAAATGAAGAGACATGTGGACAGTTGAGAACTATATACTGGGGAGAGGGGCACACAAATATGGAGAAAAAGAATAAAAAAGAGAGGGGGTGAGAATGAGAGATATGGGAGAGCCATTTAATGTTTTTATTAATTTGATGACCAAAGTGTTGAACAACTCTAAAATTACATGAAAAAGGTCTGAGGTGAACAATTTAAAGATGAAAACATATTTACTCACCTGTCCAGGACGAGCCTTAAAGTTTTTCTTCAGCATGCGCAACTCAAAGACATCACAGGGGTGCCTGATGACCGTCACTATGGTAACAGGGTCGCTGCTCCTGATGTAGCGATACAGACGCTCGGCGCAGTAGAGACAGAGAGGACCAGATACCCACAGCCAAGTCTGCAAGTACAAACAGAGGAACAAACAGAGCTTGAGACTCTCTATTAAACAATTTAAGAAGATAATCAAAGAAAAGAAGTGACAACAGTGTAAAATAAAACATTTTATTTCCATTCATGAAAACGTAAGTGACTATGAATCTCGTATGCAGGACTCGGAGAACATCCATGAGAGTACATGCTAGGTTCTGTGCACTTTACTGTCGCTGTGTGTGGTGTATCTTTCTTCTTATTCTGCCTGTAACTTGTAGCTGACTAATTGCTCACAGCTTCAATAAAGCCAGTACAGCACCATCAGGTTTAAGGGGGATTTTATGGACCCAGCTTGTTGCTTAACAACCATGTGCAAACACATAATCACACATGCAGGAAAAGACACACACACAAACATGGGCCTTGAAGTGGAAAGAGGACGCCCGCCCCTCCCTGACAGCCCAACACCTCTAATAAATGGGACCAACTCCCTCCATCACCTCCCAAGTACTTAAATGCAGGTACAACACTTCCACACCCACAACATCAGACACACACTTTCAGGCACGAGCACTTCTCTCAACCCAGCCATGTACATTCATGTGTTCAAAGGCCCGGACACATGCTGCCCACACACAGACAGAGACAGAGACAGACCTGGGGGCAGTGGGGCTGGAAGTGAGCCTCCTCTCTACATCTTCTCTCCTCATCCTCACTCTGCTCCAGCTCCTCACCCTGCTGCTCTGTGCTGCTCTGATTGGCTCGGAGGCAGCCGGGTGGGTGGGCCTCCAGGTTTGTTTGGTACTTCAGGGCTCCTCTGGGACAGATTAGAATCAAGTTTATCTAAGTTAGCGTTTTAGATCGCTGAGATCAAGACTCTGAAAAAGACCACAGAATGAATGTGAAGGTATACTCTAGGAGAATACAGTGATGCCTTTGCTATTGTCGCACCAGGATCCCTTGGAGTAAAAAATACAGTTAAACAAAGCTAAACCTACTGGAATTTGCCATTTTTTCAGTGAAAATGTGTGTCTTTGTATTTCAGAATAGTTTAATCCTTTATACCATAATTTCATGTTTGGTGACTGATGTGGGAAATTGTGAAAAACAATAGGGTAGGGCTGGGCGATAAACTGAAAATTTACCAACACCGAAATTTACGACAATAACTAATGTCATTTTGCCCATATCAGTATATTCGGTGTCAAAATAATAAATAGATAAAAGTTGGTTTTGGATGTGTGTAGGTAGGCTATGGTCTCATGTCCCTTTTAAGATGCTGTCCTACGTTGGGGACATGACTCCACCCCATCTTTTCAGAGCCACCTCAAATAATCATCTTCAAAGTTGTAGCAGCTGGAGCGGTGGCTGATGTAGACGAACTTAATGTGGGAGCAGCTTGTGGAGTAGTTATCGTCCATTTATCGTTATCAAGGTGAACTGCTCAATATATCGTGATATTAATTTGAGGCCATATCACCCAGCCCTATAATAGGGCATTTCTAAAATCTATCATTTATCAGGGAGATTTAATGAGATAATAAAAAATTTTGAGATGGCTCTCAAAAGATGGGGTCCCATACTTTTTAATGTTTCTATGTATTGAGGTTTCTTACACCATGTTTTTTTAGTTGGAGGCAGATTTGAGCATAGAAAAAAATTAACCAAAATGAAACACAAAAACATCAACAGATACAGATATAGATAGGGCTGGGCAATATAGCCTCAAATCTATATCAAAAACTACTCCACAAGCTGCTCACCCCCTCCCACATTAACTTTGTCTACTTCAGCCGCCACTCCAGCTGCTACAAATTTTGAACCGTCCTCCATCTCCTCACCTGTCTTTCCCACTTTGTTACGAACTGGATGTCTCCGACATAGGACAGCGTCTTAAAGGGACATGAAGCCATAGCCTACCTAAACACATCCAAAAACAACTTTTATCTATTTATTTTTTTGACACTGAATATATTGACATGGGCAAAATGATGTTGGTTATTGTCGTAAATTTCGGTATCAGTACATTTTCAGTTTATCGCCCAGCCCTAGATACAGAGGTAAACCTTCACACAAACACATATAGACTTTCTGCTGCAGATGGTGGCCTGAGACTTACCCGACCATGTGCACCATGAGGATGATATAGAAAATGATGAAGAGGTTGTGTGTGTACCAAAAAATCTCATAGTTGGACACCCTGGAAAAAAAGACAAAGTGTGTTTGATTATTTATCAGGAAACTTTAATCGCTAAGATATAATGTCAAAGATGGATGTTAATGTGAGATTATAATGTGCAACTTGATTCGAGAACACAAGAGAGTGAGACACAGAGGAGCTGAGACAACAAAAGAAGAAATCCGGGTCAGAGTTCATCCAGCAGCAGACGCGTAGACTCCGAGCCTGAAGTCTGAGTAAGCAGGACATCAGAGGTCAATATTAAGGGGGTCATTACACAAGACTACCCCCCATAAACACTGCAAACAGTGAGCATCATCAGACCCTGTATTCATCCTCTTTGACTGCGACTTCTTTCATGTTTGTTTCTTTGAAGACCAGCTTGTTCCTGTACAGCATCACCACAAATCAAGCCGTTGAAGCTCACCCCTGTTTGGAGGTCAGTGCCTGATAACCCACAGTGACTTAAAACAAGGCCAACAAGGGGATTCACTCTCTCAATTGTATAAAAAGAGACGCAATGCATTACTTCCATTAAAACCCTCTTTCTAACTCATTAAAAGTAAAATCACATTTATATTTGTTTTCACTACGCTACCATAGTTTCCAGTGTTTTGTAAATACACTAAAAACAGTGGTAGCTCTTCAGAAAGCAACAATGGTGATTAATATAAATTGCCTTTACTAGTATTCATCATAACCGGATCTTAGACGCCTGTGATCAGACAGTGATTTTACCGTCACTTGATCATTGAGGCTCATGAATATCTCTCTCCAGGGCATCAGCCGTCATCGCTCTTCTCCATCCACTTACCTAAACCCTCATCTAGCCTCAAGGGGTCGAGAAAAGCTTCTTACTCTTTGTTCAATTGCCTTAGCAAGCATAGAGCGCGCATAAACACACCCCATTTCTTCAACACCTGCACAAGGTAACACACATGAAGACATGCATAGTAGGTGACCCACTGTGACCTGTTTAATGACAGAGCTGTAAGTGAAACACTTAGTGGGGATTTTCTTTGCAAGCGACCTCGGTTAGCACATGTCTCCTCATGGTCTTCATCTCACATCTCTCACACACACTTAGTGAGGTTAGACAGAGAACAATTTCAAACACAAACGGCAGGGACAAAAGACACCAAGCAGGGAAAAAATTGATTTTCTTGTCTTGAGAAAACTTAAAGTTTAAAGTAAAATCTAGCTCTCACCACTCTTCCCACGCTCACTTTTTGCAGAAAAAAAAAACACAAATAAAATGTATGTTTGTGAATGTGTATGATGGTTTGGTTTGGCCTACCGCACATAGTGGGAGGAAGATGTGAACATCAGAAAGAGGATGAGGACCAACAGGAGGCCAGTGACTCCTGGGACTGAAAAACAGCAAATTACAGAAAAGAGACAACTTTAGATCCCAGGACCCAGATATGCATGTGCTTAACTTGACCGGGAAATGCAGCTCACTAATCATGATGATTAAAATTGTCACATAAAAAACTTAAAACTGTTAGTCTTATTGTTTTTACACAGAGTGGAAACTTTCCAAAAAAAAGGACAAAAATATAAGTACTTAGGGACTTAGGGACTCTCTTAATAGGGAATTGAAAGAACTAAACACAGCTTGATTTCCTGCTGTCCTCTTGGCATACAGCCACTCTAATCTGCAACACATTTACTGCCTTCATTGTTTCAGAAACATACCAGCACATATACTGTGAACATATACAGACAGTGAATGAGAAAGAGCAGCCTTCCTTACCTGTAGTCAACATGATCAGCTTGGGATCCTATAAAGAAAAGCAAAAGTGATCAATAAACTCAGTGTGTAGTCTTCTTTGTTATTTTATTTTTTTTATTCGCACTAACACATGCTTATTTCTGGCACCCTGAGTTCGCCAGCTTGCTTTAAGAACTGACTTTTTCACACTATTTAGAGGAGTTGGAATTTCTGTATTCCTCTATTTCATTTCTAAGATAAGTGTTTACTTATTTATAAATTTAAACAGGCTGAATTAGCGAAAAGGCATTTCCGCATTTTTTCCTTTTCGTTTTTAAAGAGAAGCAATCTGCTCTTTCCTGCACCAGAAGCAAAGAAAGCGTTATTTCTGAGTACGGCCTCTTAGGGCTCTATTTACATGTCCGCTGGCGATGCGGCAGAGGGTGGCGGACCCCACGCAGTGATATTTTTGTCTGGCGGAGCCCGGCGTACAGCAAGTTTGGTAAATTGGTGGACTGAGGCGCACCGAGGTCCGCCAAGCTGGGCGTGGTGGCGTGGCAGGAGGGAGGTGTCGACAGGATCAGCTGGCGCAGTGACATTTACGTGCTTGCTGCTGGCGTGTAAAGTGCGCTCAAAGCTCGCTGATTCAAACCTGGTCAGCTTTCAGCGCAGGCGGAGTGCAGCTGGTCTAGAGGTATTTTGGTAGACCGGCAGCGTATCGGCATACGTCACCGATGCCTCACTTGCAGGTTTCCATAGTGTCAGGCACATTTCAGTGCAATAAATAACCATCAACAACCAATATTCTGAGTCAGCACATACATTTAGATCTATATTGATATATTCTGATCTATATCTGATCTGATGAGCGCGTTTGGACACTCAACCTGACCAAATTATGTGATTGGTGAAAACAGGTCTCGGCTGTGTTAATCCCACTCCACGTCCTCTCTCCTCCCTCCCTACGACTTATGCCCCTGGGAGGAGCTGAGTTAGGGAGGGGGGATACTTATGCCGGGCTGCGCCACTCACCAAAATACTAAACTGTGCTTGGGAACGCCTTGTCAGCGCGGCGGACCTAACTTACGCCGCACATGCGCCGTGTAGCCGGCGAGGCACGAAAATAGAGCCCTTAGTGTAACCATTGATCTGACATGCTTATAATGGGTTTCAGATGTGTTTGACTGATGTGATTCAATATTAAACTGTTTGTAATCATTAGTTTTGATAGGACAAGAGGAAGTGTTGATAAAGACAACACTGTCACAACAGGACAAAAGCTTTAAACCATGAATATCTCACTGCTCTGAATTCTGTTGGTTAATATTACAGCACACAGTCTTCATTAGATTATAACTCCCAGCTGTGCTCATATTCAGTACAAGTGCACACCCTCTTGTGTGATATAGCTTGGCCATATATCAGATGATTAGAATAAGGAGATTCAGCATGTAAGCATTAAGAGATGCATGAAGTCATAAGGGGTTTTCACGAGTTTAAAGTACATCTGTGTCTGTCTGTGCCTCACCTCTCCTCTGTAGCGAGCTAAATTCAGAGCAGGAAAGTCATCTGAGTAACTCGCGCTGAAGTTGACAACATTCACCAGGTGGGCAGACACATGCACAACTGTAGATGAAGAGGAAACGGTTACACAATAGTGATTTAACAACACATCTTTTGGCAAAGACACTGATAGACACACAATGAACATCTCCTCTGCCTCGTCACACAGACTAACACACACACACACACACACACACATTGAGTTAATTATAAAGGTCAAAATGAACTGCTGGCAGACACTCTCACAAACATTTCTTTGTCCATTCAGCAGAAAGTCAGCAAAACATCCTCCTGACTCATGAGCGTGCGACACACTCACACACGCACGTGCACACACACACACACACACACAAGTCTCCTGACATCATAGACCAGCCATGCAGCCTTTCGACAGCTGATGGAATTAGAGGGCGTAATCATGAGACACAAGGGTCCTTTTTTTCTCCCCTCACATCCTTTCCCACTCCCCCAGCTTCCCACCCCTCCTCCCCTCGCTCTTTATTTTTCCTTATCTCTCATGCATCTCTGCTGCCTCCCAGTCTTCATCGTGGTTTGTTGTGTCAAAACTTTGGAATTTTCTTTCATGAGAACTTTGTCTATAGTGAAGGGATGTGCTCCGTCTGTGTTTGTGTGGACGTGTGTTTTCCTTATGTTCTCGCCTTAGGAAGTGAAAAGGTATGATAGGAGATAGAAATGTCACTGTTGTTGTGGTTGTTTTATAGTCTGTGCATGGGAATGACAGATCTTAATCCACTATTTTGACCACTCAACCTGACCTGGTAAAGGACCTCAAATGGTAACATTTATGTTTTATATTTCATGTTGTCCTTTTAGGAATAAAGTGAATGAATAAATTGAAAGCATGTTAATGGGCTAAACTAAATTGAAGACTATCAACATAGGAGTGGACACAGAAGGTGGGACGTCTTCTGAATTTATCACTGAGCTAAACTGACATCCCTGAACATGATCAACTTTATAACTAATGTGCTTGATGTAAGCATGTGTTTTCAATCTATAAATACAGCCTTATAGATGCACAGACTTGTCTTTACAAACCCACTTTGTTTCTCTTGTTTATTATCTACCAATGAAAACAATCATAGGAAAGACTGAAAGGCTTGAAGTTGCTTTGTCTACTCAAAATATACAACAATAAGTCTGTAGCTCAAGGCAAGAAACAGGAATCCAACAAAGAGACAGCAGGCAATGAAAGGCTTCATCCAACTGCACTGATGATATTTTGGGCTCTTGTTTTCTTTTTTGATGTCTCTTTTTTCACTTGTCGCTCCTGATGAAAAAAAAAAGTATAATTTCTTGTCCTGATGTCTGCAACTACTGCAAGGAGAGTAGAAGTTAGATTTGGCTACTAACATAATAACCAAAGAAAACCCCTTGTTGCCCTTTTCCAAAAAAAACCAATGTGTGATATATCTGACTGTTCAAAGATTGGCAGAATGAGTCTTTGTCATACATTTAAATAAAACATGCCTCTTTCTGTGCATGTGCGCCTCACTGCAAAAAAAATCCAATTTCACTAATACTGTGCAAACATCTCCTTACAGTTGGTGAAATTTTATCACAATCCGGTGTGCTGGATTATGTTAGCGTCATTAGACAAAAACTCGTCAGTGAGCAAGACAACAATTTTCCCTCTCCGTGACCTAGGAATGATCGATCTGTGTGTCCAGTCTGTAAATTACACCTTGAATTACTATTCTTATAATAATCAGTGATCTAATCAGTAGGGGTGTCCAGATACAACTTTTTTAATTCTGACACGATACTGATATTGTAGCCTTCAATATTGTCCAATACTGATATTTAACCGATATTGGCACAAAATTGTGCACGACAAGTTTTGCACTCAGCTGCAATGTCTTTTTCAGACTTAAACAAAAAATACTTCCACAAGGCCAACATCACTCCTACTCCTTGCTACTTTGCTTGTACCATAGTACACACTGCTGTTGTGATTACATGGGCTCTGCATGCTGGATCTGGGTGCTGCTACCTAGAGGTGCCGGAGTGGAGTCTGGGATGGACTGCTTGTATCAGAGTGCTGATATCAGAGATTTTAGATGCAGGACGATATTATCCGCTATTTGTTTTTTGCCAATATCGGACTGATATCTGATATCAATATCGTATCGGGTCACCCCTGCTAATCAGTCTGGGGCTGTGTGGGGCTTCATAGCTGCACTTACAAACTCTTCCATTCTGGGTAATGGAGCATGTTTCTTAGCTAGATGTAGGTCTATAATATATATAATGAACTTTTTATGTATTAAAATATAATTAGCTACCATTGACTGAGTTTGTTTTCTTTGAGAAATGATAATAATGTCTCACTGAACAGATCTAAAGTCAGGTTTCTCAAGAAAAAGCTGCTGACATGAACAGGAAAGCAGAGGAAGACTGCGAACCAAAGACCCAACAGACGCAGATACTCAAGGCTCCCATGATGTCATGATAAGAGTCTCACAAGAGCAACAACACAGATGCGCACACACACTGATACAGACACACACCCACACTAACACACACACACACACACACACACACACACACACACACACACACACACACACACTCAACTACAAAACTCATGTGACCAGATGGACAGGCATCACAGCTGGTACTCCAGGAATGCTGAGCCAGCCTGGGTCCGTTTATCCACACTTCACGCACGCACACTGACACACACACACAGGGTGAAACGTGAGGACCTATGAGCTGTGGTGATAAGTGACAGTTTTTACCAGAGAAGATGCAGATGGCAACTCCACATGCCACATGAAAGGTCTTGCTCTTGTCCAGAAGTCTGCGAGTCTTTCTGCTTGATACCTGTTGGAGCGTGCAGGTTGAAACACAGACAATCACACTTTTTGCAGGAATATTTTCCAACTTAACTTCCTTGAAAGTAATTCCTCCTTACATACAATTAGCTAGATAGATTTTGCACCAGAACAATACTTTTTTTCTTATATAATTACATGCAATGTCACTTTTTTTCCTCAAAAAAACTGTTTATTTAATTTGTGTGTTCTCCTTAATGAGCACATTTCCATAAAATACTTCAACACTAGGAACACTATCATAGATTTTTCAACATCCTCACATTCAATAGTTTTTTGTAAATCCCCAAATTTTCAGTTTGACCAAATGATATAAGAAAAAACTTGATGTACAGCAACGACTTCTTATGCTTTTAAAAATTCAAGTGCGTAGTTGGTTTGTTTTTAATGGTGCAGCTAGGGCTGGGCAAAAAAAACAAAATTTACTCAATTTACTGAAATTTACGATGATAACCAACGTCATTTTGCAACTGTACACCAGTAAAGTTAAAACCAAATAAATTCCAAGTTATTCACAAACCAACCAATACTCTTTTAATTTTCCCTCTTCTTTCCCCCATCATGCACCTTGGTCCCTCTTACCGTGTGTGTTCCTCGGACAAAAGTGAGCAGAGAGCGACACATAGGCAAAAGCACCAAGCTGCAGTTCAGGTTCAGCACCGATGCAGACGCTCTGCTGATGCACAGACCGAGCTGGGGAGAGAAAAGGAAACATAAAACACACATTGTTGGACAGGTGACAAAGATTGAACCAGATTAAGTGGATGTCAAGTGATAAAGTTCCTGTTGTGTACAATAAAAACTACTGCGCTATTCCTACCAAGATGTGGACTATTCAGTTTGTGCATTGAAGGCTTAAGGCATGATTTCCTCACCACACAGTTACTTAAAACTAACTTTGTCCGTCTCTCCATGTGGAGCTAAGATTTGTTGTACTTCAGGTGATCATCTGCTGAGGCTTTCCTTCTCAAAGACACATTTTACCTCTTTTTTTTGATTGTAGCAGAAAAACAAATTCCCATTTTTATAAGGAAGTGTGATTACCATTTGTAATTCTGATTACATTGTACCTCATACCAACAGGTAGTTCTGAAAAAGTCACCTTTTGCCAGCAACTAAAATGCAACTTTGACAGCGTGTGCTTTATTTACAAATGCTTTTATCAACAGAACTTTAAAGGAGAATAAATGGACATGATACACTTCCAATAACTCACATCTGTCTGATACATCTGCAAATGTTGGGATAAAAAAGGAGCAATCCCCCTGAAGTGGAAGGGGCATCTGTTATGTAATCCAGCTCTGGAAATCTTGATCTTTGACTCATCATGTAGAAACAAGAGAAGTTCTTTGGGGTCCACTAAACTCAGCACATTCAAACACTTTCTTGGCAAACCTCGGTGAGCTCCGCAGGTGCCGTCTGTTCTGATAATCCCTCAGACACTGAAACAACGAGTGTAAGAGTTGAAGGTGTGTGAGTGTACAGTTCAAAGAGAGAGCAAGAGAGGTCATGTGTGAACTGTAATCCAATATTTTAAGAAATAATCCAATCTTGAGTCTTTTTTAGGATTAAACTCTTTGCCTTTGTAGGATGGAAACGTGGCTGTCAAAAGGGTTTCCTTTTGGGTTTTATCTACAAACGTGCCTGTTTTCTTGTTATCTCACTGCCCCACATCTATTTATCTGTTCTTTTTTTCTCTTCTGTGATATTGTCTTCTTATACGTTTTTTTCATCATCTTTCAATACTTTTTTTTCTCTTTAATCTCATTTTTCATGATTTTTTTGCTCTGCTGTCATGGAAGATTTGTCTGTCACATCACTTGTATTTATTTATTTTTTGTACATTTATTGTTTTGACCTTTTTTTTTACATTTAGTTCTTTTACAGTGTTTGAATTTTGTGGACTTCTCTGTCTCTGATCTAACCGTTAAACATTTGTATTGTTATCCTCCTGTGAGGTCCCACCCTCAACTTCAAAAAGTTGTTCTTGAAGGTACTTTAGTATATTAATTATATTATTAGTTATTATCATTATTACTGATTTAATTAATCATTTATTATTGCAAAGGGTTAAACCGGAAAATATAGTAACAAGCACCCTGTCACCATAAGATTATTGATTTAAATATTTGTCTACAGTATATATGACTGGTAAAGCAGTTACATATACTGCAGACGAGTATTACAAATACAAACCTATTTGGTAGTATGGTAAGAAAAACTTCATGACTCAGAAAGACTAAAGCACAAGGTATACTGTCAAACAATAAAGAGTGCATTAGCACATCTACAAATCTACATCTATCAAGTTTACGATTGAAAAGACTGATACCTTTACCCTTTCAAAACTTTCCATATACATACTTTCACACTGCTACCACAGGAGAGCAGCTGATGGCAAAACCACAAGCAGGAGATCTGATATCCTGCACATCTTGAACTTTCCGAACAACCAAAACAAGCTGAACGACCACATACACACTTACACATTCACTGAACCGTACAGGTGAAAAAGATGAGAGACTTTTTTGAAGTTGAATCCAGAATCTCTAAAGCAGTAATACAGCTTTTGGAATATATTTCCATCTTCCACACACACACATACACACACTTGAAGATACACACACACACACATAAACTTAAGCCCTCTGGCAAGGCATTCAGTCAAAGCCAGCGGCGTGCCCACACTTGCCCCTTGCTCTCCCTGCACCTCCCACTGTACAAGCGATGCATGAATGGCTCACACATGCTGCTGGCTGCCACATCCTATTTTCTATCCTATTTCATACTGCATGCATCCCTTTGAGTCATTTTCATTGTGCATTTTAATACTGACTCAAATACCCACAAAAAGGAATAAAATGACACATCTTTTTATTCAGTTTGTCCACGGAAATGCTCGAAATGTTCTTAAACTTTTGGTAGTTTGCCTGTTTACTATAGAACTTTTCATCCAGCAAAAATATCTTAAACACTTTCAGAAGTATCACAAACATGACACCACTGTAATTCATATTGTTTTATTTTTACAGATATACTGAATAACTTTTTTCTAACATACTGGGGGGAAAGAGATAAAACTGGAAATTATGCAAACTTTGTGCTTGCTTTTGTTTGGCTTGGTCTTACAGGAGCAAATACAGTGATCAACATCAACATGTAGTGTCTGAGTTATTCTTCCATGAGAGAAGGGACAGCTGGCACAAACAACCAACCAACACGTGCAAACCATCTGAAACTTGTGACAACAATTACAGCACCCCTCGCATGAGTCAGAAAGTTTAATGTCTGCCATGGCTCATGTCAATATTGTCCAGTCCAGAGCTGCCATTGCCGAGTTTAAATTCACAACTCAGACTCGTTAAACCTTCATGTAACAGTCGGCCATCCATTACAAAGCCTGCTACTGTGATATAAATAGAGGTCTGTGGGGGCTTAAAGCAGCAGGTCTCTTTCTAGACAGAGATTAAGTCACCACACTGATAAAGACACCAGAGAGGCTCACCTCTAGTGTCATCTATTAGGATGCGATCATCAAAAAATATTGACTTCAATTTTTCAGGATGCATCAGTGCAAATAACACTGCCTCTGATAATCATAATCTAATTGTTTCCCTCTGTCCAGACTGCTATGTCAGTGCTGTTCTTAGAAACAATAACTATTGATTTGTAACTCTGTGTGTGTAATTAAAATCTACCAGCTAAGATAAGAAGATGAGTCAGTATAGAGCAACACACACTGTGAACATAACAACACAGCTCAGATCTACTTGTGCTAAAACAGTGGAAACACCTGTGTTGGGGGTAGGTCAGAAAGATGAAGAATTTTGATTTACTTTGATATAATAGGAGACTGTAGTTTAAAACTATTAGTAAAGAGTGTTTAGAGAACAGAATAATAAAAGGGGAAGATAGTTCTAGATAGGTTTGTGATTGGTTTTAGCAGACACGGTGCATTAGATGTTTAAATTTTGAACTATAATATTTTGTCCTCATAATGTGACGTCAAGTCAGAATGTCTACCATAAAAAGTTAAAGGGATATTCCGGCGTAAAATTAAGTTAGGGTCAAACACACCATTACACCGAGTTGGACACCCCGTCAAGAGGCGAACGTTGCCGACTGCTTGTTTCTCTAGTTATACCAACTTTAGTAACGACCGCAGATAGTAATACAGAAATAAATAATGCTCAGAACAGCACCTAACATCATCAACAATACATATAGGGTCCTAGCAACAGCACTAGCCACCAAACATTTTTTTTTACTTTACCTGATTTCTTTAGCAAAGACACTAAACACAACTCACCTACTCTCCTCCAACAGCCGCTTGTTCGTAGCGAGACCTTAGGCCAGTCCATTACTGACTACAGCGGGGTGACGCAGCTCAAGGAAGAACATTTATGATCATTTCTTCATGGAAATGCAATCAGACCGAGACGCTAAGGTAGAAGAACTACCGCGTCTGCAGTGCAAAATGATTAATATGCCATTTTACGCCGGCACATCCCTTTAATCAGTAAACCAGTATAAGAATGGGGTGCAAACAACTTTTTGTCTCTGGGACAACACTTAAAGCTCCAGTGAGAAACTTCCGGTTTGAGTGAATTTTGGCACCAGAGCAGCCTTTAATTATCTTGTCTCCAATGTTTAGGTAGTGTCACCTGACAAAAACCAAAAATCCTCATTTTCAGATACTTGTGAGGCACTGTCAGGACTTATGATGACTGATGCAAGATTAAAAATGTTCAGAACAGTAGGCTATAATGATGAGTCAGGTCTTACCCCCAGCATCTTGTAAAGGTAGTGGTACTGCTTTCCAGTGGAGTACAGCAGGAAGGTCTTCATGAACAGCCAGGTGTTGGTCCCCAACCACAACATCTGCACACACACACACACACACACACACACACACACACACACACACACACACACACAAAAGATCAGGCAACAATGGAGTCGAAGCTGAAGCATCATGAAAGTAAGACATTTAAACCCAGTATTAACATAAATAATTTTTTTATGAATTTTAAAAAGTAGGATAAAGCCACTTTAATGTTCATGACCTAAGTAAGCATGTCTTGTATGTTCAATCTTTCAGGGATGTTATTTTACCTTAGGATAAAATAGGCTACAATAAAAGTTAAACTCCTAGCAATAGCAGTTGTAGTTTTTTTGTGTAGATGCAGCATAAGCCTAAAACAAACTCATTGTTAGCAATACCGAACTGACAGCCAGGATACATGAAAGGTATAACATTAACCATCAAAACTTAACAGGCTATGCTTAAAGTGAAGTCGTCGAGCTGTAAAATAAAGCTGTGCAAAAGTTTCACACACCAGGACCAAGTGCTTTCCTCCCTCGTTGGCGACCCAGCTCCGCAAAGACACAACCATGATGCCTTCACTAGCTCCGCAGCTGCCCGGACTTCGTAGCGACAACTTTGGGTATGAAGCCGAGATGTGAAGACTCGTCGTAGCAGCAGCTCCGTCTCTGCCTCTCTGACTGTACGTGTGCAGCTCGTCCACAGACCGGCCGGTGTCTTCCTTCCTGCACCCTCCCGTTACGCTGCTGTCTGCTCTGAGCGCATTTTGACTTTTCACGCCCCCTCCCCCGACCCCCCCCCCCACAACCAGACAGAGCTGCTAGGAGCTCCAATTGAAACACAGACGCCTCTTTTCAGTGGGCTTTACGGTGGACACGGACAGTAAGTGAGAAAAAAGAAACATTGCGTTGAAAATGACACCGGGCTGACTTGGGTTAATGACCAAAAATGACAGGAGAACAATAAACATCACTCCACTGTTTTCAACTGCTGCTGTACCCCGCTAGAGGGCGCACCAGTGCAACTTTTTCAGCACAGAAAGCCCCCTCATCAAAACTTCTGTCATACAAAATCGAGGCATCTGTCTACCTATATATGTTTGTAAGGTTATTGTACAAAGGCATTATAAGGCATAAACATCTGCCAGTTGGATGCTGTATTTGACATGTAGGGGAGACCGGGGCTTGTTGTCACAATTTTTACACTCATTAATATATTTCTTGGAATCAACTCAACTTTATTTGTAAAGCACTTTAAAACAATCACAGCTGAACAAAGTGCTGTACATAAATAGACAAAAAAATGCAGATATAAAAAACAATCAAGAAACAATTAAAACAATGCCTCCCTTTATCGACTGTATTATGACATACCTTCCATTGTCTGGGAGGTATGTCATAATACAGTCGATAAAGTGTTAAGACTATAAGTCCAAAGTAAAAAATGTTTAAATCAGTATGAGAAATGCTGGTAAACAAAAAAGATTCAATGCAAGTCATTGTTTTGTAAAAACTCTTTTTTTTGCAAACATTAACTGCAGCACTTCCTGTTTTCACCTTGTCGTTGCACTAAGTTAATCTGGGTTGATTTTTGTCTGTTTTGTGATGGAGTGTTAATTAAATAAGTGTGCAGCTGATGTGTTCATACAGTATTCAGAACTCCAAGCTGATACAAAGATTACATGTTTTTGGAATGCAAATGATATCACAGCCTTTTGCTTGGATTATTTGTGATGTTCTATAAGATTATTTACATTTGATAGATGGTCTCGATCAGTTTTTGTTTTTTATAATACAACCTTCGGACGTGGGGTATTTTGGATTTCTAGATTTAAAAATGATCTTTATAAAACGTATTTGTATACTTTTAACTGCCTATATAGAAAAGTTTGAAGACAGATGAGTCCATAAGAAACTTTATTTTACAGAGAGCAAGTAACACATGACAGAAATCAGAACTAAAACTTTTATAATACAACAAGGCTATGCAAGGAAACTTCACAGCTAAACTTCACAGCTGGTCTTGCAGAACTGAGCAGGTTCACCTTTACTGCTGCAAAACACAAAACAAACAAATATGAGTGTTTGACCTGAATCACGGCACATTTTATTCTAGTGTGCAAATGTCTACTGCTATGATAATATGTGTATGAGTATTGCATAATTAATTGATATTTTATTTTACATGTGTGGAGGTGTGTGTTTCACCTTGGGTTTTTGGTTTTGGACGGGTAGATACAGTTTAAACTCGGCAGGGAGCTCATCCTCGGAATAAAGTCGGTCCGAAAAATACACCCTCCGAATTCGGCAGTTGGCGTGGATCTAGAAGGGAAAACAGAAAGTAAGCCATTGCTTTAGAGATTATTCAGAAAACTGAGTGTAAGCGCCTTTTAAGGACTGTTTTGGGGCTGTCTGAGTTTGCTAACCTGCACACGCAGCGTCTCTAAGTAATTGGTGCCGTAGGCTCTCCTGGTGAAATCAGACAGATTAAACTGTATCTGGTTCCAGCCATCGTCCAACCTCATGGGCATCGTGCAGATAAATGGCTTCACCCTGGTCGTGCTTTGGTAATTACTTGCTCGAAATCGTCTGCGTACATTTTTATCATCTAACACCTGAAAGATACAAAAATTTAGAGAAAGCATGAAAAACCATTAAACTCGTACAACAAACTCAAGATTCACTGTATGTTTATGTCCCGAGTGAGAAGACGTGTGTTCTGGGATAACCTGGACTTCAAAGGTGAAGTACTTCTTAAGGTTCTTAATAATCATGACCAGGAAAGGAAGCTTGATGCCCAGTGTCTTCTTGGGGTCCGCTGGGCATGTTATATAGGTGGTGCTGCAGGTGATACATAAGACAACAAAGAAGATGAATGAATGAGGTGAGAGAGAGAGAGATGGAGAGTCAGTTTAACTGACAACAGACTCACCTGACATTTGCCCCCTCGACCTCCAACACCTGAGAGTGAATATCATTGTCTGTGACTCTTTTTATGGTCCCGTTCCGCACCTGTGACCAAAAGAAATCACACAGAGGAATCCTTTAGTATCTGTTTATCAAAGGACAGTTGTCAGGTGAGTTTTTGCACAGATGTATTAGTATGTTTATCGGCCAAAATAATACCAAGAAATAGGAAAGCAGGAACCCAGAAATCATGTTGCTGTCATTCAAATATGGATGTGGAGGCAGGAAATAAGACATTTTGAATGTTAGGAGAGGAGTGTGGTAAACAGTAAACCTGCAGTATCTTAAATAAGGATAAGAAGAACTTTATTAATCCCCGAAGGGAAATTCAATTGTCTGTTGTCTCACCTAATATGTCTCTAAATGTTATCTCATATTTACACAAGACGTATCAAGCCTGATGGCTGTTGGTACAAAAGATCTTCTGAATCTTTCTGTTCTGCAGTGAAGAGAGAGGAGCTGTCCATCACCATCGAGGTGTTGTGAAGTGGGTGATCTATGTTCTTTAGAATAGATCTCTCCACCACATCCTCCACTGAGTCCAACCACAGAGCCAGCCTTTTTCAGTTTGTTCAGACATGAAAACATCTACACTGAGGAAGGCGGTATTAAGTTGTTGTTGTTTTTTATTCACAGTTTGAATGCAAATGTAAAGTTAAAATGCTGAACGTTGTGGTTGGCTTTGCATGGCAGCAGTGAGGGAGGTCTCCAGAATGCCGGGTTCTGGACCACTGGAAGAGCCTTAAGGGACAGTGGTTTAAATTAACAGTTAACAGTTCAGGAAAGCCACCAAAGAAGCTAAAGATTGTCGTAAAATTGTTCTTTTGTGGAAACGATTAATCCCAATCCCACTGCCAATGTAAAAGGCCTACAAGGTACATACCAAACAGCGTTTTCATACCCTTTCGATTTAGCACACCTTGCTAAGGAAGCTAACCGCATTTCCATCACAGTCTAAATCGCTGCTTACCTTTTTATCCCAGATCTGCAGGGGTTTGCTGCCGATGCTGTACAAAATGGACAGAAATCCGCTCTGAAACGTGTTTTTAAACATCTTCCTTTTGTGGTTGGTCCAAAGTCAATTTACTCTGCGTTTGAGTCAATGAAAACTGTTGAGACTGCTGCTAACGAGTGGTATGTTTGTATACAAATGTGGTTTCCGTCTCAACGCTTTATGCTTCCGTTCCGTGTGACATGGATAGCCATTTCCGCCATGTGAATTCGAATGTTTAAGTAGATAAATTGATTGGGAATCTCTTTTAATTTGGTTTTCACAAGAATCTCAGTAAATGTTAAAGAAACGTGTGACAAGGTCGTTTCTTATCTTGTTTTGTGTCGCTAGGAACAAAATCTCTTCACGTTGTTCACGACGGTCCATAGACGTTGACGCATCAAGGTTACCGGGGCAACGAAATTCCCGCACGCTGTAAGCCAGTAGAGACCGACGTCCGCGCATGGCGGCCATGTTGCTTCAGGCAGCTCGTCCACTCATTACATTACAGTCTATGGTGCATGTAGCGTTTAAATAACCATAGATTGATTAATTTTGAACCGATTTTCAACCTCGCAGTTTTAGTTATGTTCCTACATACTCCAAAATAATTTTAACCATGGATTTTCAAAAAAAATAAAATTAACATACAGGTAGAGCAATAGCTATAGTCCTACACACCCAAGGCAGTTATATTAAATCATTTCTATATAAAACATTCAATCATTCCATGTATATTATACTATTAATATTTCTATTGTAGGGATAACTATAATAACATATCACAATAACATATATGTATTTATTTTCAATATAAATTTCTGCCTCATGTTGCCATTTTAGATATTTTAAACTATCAAGATACTTATAAAGAAAAGTACAAAAATCAATGCTAAAACCCTGTGTTAATGACCTTTTAACATTAAACATTGCAGACTCAAGCACACTTTAACAATTGTTAAAAATTTATGAATGACAGATTCATAACTGCCTTCTTTCCTAACAAAAGTGACAAACAACTAAAAAGACTTTCACAACTTTCCAAACAAAGCAAGTTCTAGTTGAAAGCTTTTTACTCATCCATCCTGGGTCAGGGATTTATGTGATTTGCAAACTGCATGAAAAACAATAATTCAGAGTAAAAAACTAATTAAGTATATGCCATGTCTTATGTAAGAGTTGCATAAATAGTGTTTATAATCTCTGAGGTTGCCATAGAGTTGATAAATGTGTTAGCTCATGAAATTCTCTAAAGGAGAGCTTCATAAATGCAAGTTTGTCAACCTGTAAAGTGGATTTAATGCTATACTTGAATGTTATGTGTCTACATCACATGAGTGTATCAAATCTTTTTGAGCATGTCAGTGAAGCCCAGACAAAACTGAACAGCTTTATATTGCATGGTGTTTTCCAGTGTGATGGCAACGACTGAGGGAGCCCTCTCCTGTTTCAATATTGTACTGCCAGAATTCCCGGCCTGCTTCATAAAGAAATTAGTTTTTTTAGAACTTGATTAGCTTGCATAGAGCTCTGATGTGAATTAAATTCCATGTAATTGTGATTACTTGGGGCATCGAGAGCAGTCTTATCACCTGACATCTTTGTTAGATTTCATCATAGTTGGGTGGGGTTATGATCTCAAGAACATAAACAAACATCAGCAACTCTTGTGGATTAGCTAAACAACATAGCTCCCCATACAAATACAAATCGAGGTAAACAGTGTTTTGGGGACGAGGCAGAGTGCTTTGTGGGTCTGTGTCCTCCTAACATTCCTGAGGGCAGAGAGCCCCCTCCCCACTTCACGCTCCAGCCCACCACATGAAAGAGGCGTCCTTCACCCACACAGCTGCTCATAGAACAAGGAGGGGTCCAAAAAAACAGGAGTCGTGTGTCTGATAGTGTGGGAAAATATTTCTACAATACATCCAAAGATTAGCTGAAGTTCATCCTGAAGTAAAGGTTAAGTGGAGCAGGCTCGAATAAAAGCCAAACAGACACTTTGTCTTTCTTTCCTTTTTTTTTTACATCCCAATCCACCTTTTTATTTAAAGGGAACCTGCTTAACTTAAATTGCCAGTCAAAGAAATTACTATAAAAACAGAGTGCATAAAAAGAGTAGAAAACACTCCCAAATATCTTATGAGAGTGTTAAAAAAGTAATCAGAAACTTCTTTAATATTTGGCACTATTTCTCCAAGTTTCTCTTATTGTACATTTTTAGTCATAATAGCATTCAATCGCCATTATGCACATACTTTAAATACCTTCATTGATTTTTCTTGACCTTCCTCTGTTACTCGTGTAAACTTTGTTGAACATGATTTTCACTGATAAATTTGGAGTGAAGTATGCATCTTCACCCTGTGTTTTTAAATAAGTGCTTATAGTGCACCCTTGGCCATGTAGTCTTGTGTTGAGTAACACTGAGGCAGCAAAGCAGTGGCCAAGGTGCACCACATAATCATCAACAAACTCAGGCCAAACGCAGCACTAATGACCAGCTCCCTCTTTGTATTCCTCTCCAACTTTTCACTGCCTCTTTCTTTACCACAGACCGTCACTAGCCCCTCCTCTCTCTCTCACACACACTCTTTCTCCCTCTGTCTCTCTCTCTCTCATTCAGTTTGGCTCAGCCATGCCCCTTCACTGCACTACAGAAACAAATGATTTTGTACCTCTGCAAATGTGCTCTGCAGAGTTGGTTGCCTGAGCTTGTGGTGGTTTCTTAAACGTGCTCTTTTAACATGAGAAGGGAGAGCAGGTTAATCGTTTGGATCTGGTGGATTGTGGTTGTGACAGCTTTGTTTTTGCTGGGCTTTGTCATAGGTAAGTAAACTATCACAGAAACTATTTCTGGACAAATTTGTAGGGCTGTTTGCGGTACATCTGGTTTCAATAAAAAGTATAGCTTAGCTGTGTTGCAACAGTGAAAATATTGAGATACACTTGTAAATCAAATCTACTCAGAGTTGCACTAATGTGTGCGCTCGTCTCAGTTTGCCACTATTCTGACACATTTCACGTCTGCTTGCTCGCTGCAGGTTAACACATACTGTCCATAACCACGACTCCATTTGAATATGATTTACCTTAATGGCACAGCCAGACAGTGAATGTAGAGATACTTTGTATGCTTCTCCCTCCTTTGCCTATCTTGTACCACTGTAATTTAATCTTCGAAAGGGTAATTTTAACCACATCATGAAGTCATGAGGTGGTAATAGACTTAAATAGAGAACTAACACTGATGTCATTCTAACTTAATGTCTGGTTTGTCTGTGTGTTGATGTGTTTGTGTGAGTTGCAGGCTGGTTTGCAAAGCCGACACATCCAAATGCCGCAAACAACGGTGCATCCAGCAAATACCTGAGAGAATTTCTGGATGAAATGAAGCCAGAACACATCAGAGAGCATCTCAGGTACAAAAATAAAGCACTGACGATCATTTAATTTTTCTCCATAAAAGTAATGCAGTCCTTATTCAGTGAGGGTTATTCATAAAACAAACTGGTTCAAATCTCGTTAAGAGTTCTTTGAGTCCATACAAAGGGAACAGGGATTACACCATGACAACTATTTAAAGGTTGCCATGGAATTTGGTGATGAAATGTGTATTGTCCCTCAAGCATGATTGTTGTAATTTCCCAGAATATTCAGGTTACAATCTCTGTGACAGGTCAAACCTTCTTCTTGATAAGGGATCTAATTTAAACTGATGATAAAACCCCTGACTTTAACCTCTTGACCCTTATGACTCTTCAGCAGATGAGCCAGAATCTGGGCTAAAAGCCAAACTTCCTCAACACACATCTTCAACACAAATTCAGCAGGGGTTTGAACATTTACAAAGATACTAAAAACAGCCTTTAGTGTAAACATTAGAAACATAATAAACATCATCATCAACAAATATGCTGCCCTATGGGAAATTTAAGTTAAGAAACTGTCAGTCAGAGATTTACTGTACATCTCTCAATAGATTTCAAGATGATCAAATGTATGAACAATGTAAAAGTTAGTATTGAATAATGCTAAAATGACCATATTCACACATGTAGAAGAAGCTCACAAACAACTTCATTACTTCAACAAAACAGTGTAAAGTCTCAGTCTTACAGAAGTGACAAGGTAAAATTAATTTAAAGGACAAAACCAAAAGCATGGTGTAAAACTCTATAATGTATGATGGCTGAGTTCATTTATTTCTTTAATGTAATAGTTCTTGTATTGCACATTCAACTTGACTGTCACCTCTTTGCACTCCTGAAAATTCCCAGACATTGTCCAGGTGGTAAAAGATGTGTAAACACAATGTCCAGAAGACATTCATTCCAATCTTGTGAAGACTCTTTCCCATCAACCCCCTTGTGACTTGTTAGCGTAGGGCCAGATTTTGTTGATTACTAACTAGGAAACATTTACTGTTTTCAATGAAATCTCACTTTCCTGGACAATCAAACAAAGTGCTCACTTACCCGTTGTCAACATTTATATTCTGTACATAATAGTTACCATGTCACTAAGTGCCTACAGTGTCTTCACAGGAAATTTACCCAGCTTCCCCACCTGGCTGGTACTGAGCAGAACCTGAGGTATGCAGAGCAGATCAAGAAAGAGTGGCTGGAGTTTGGCCTGGACTCAGTAGAGATGGTGCCCTATGACGTCCTGCTGTCCTATCCCAACAAATCAAAGCCCAATTACATCTCAATCGTTGATCATCTTGGCAAAGAGGTATCTATATTAGCTCAACTCTTTTTCAGTGACACTGATGAACATTTCAGGTTCAACTCTTCTGCTCACGTATACGCAACCTGTCTTGACTCATGTCTGCAACCCCTGTAATCTTTGAACAATATCATCATTATAGGACTGTTGTCATATGCTCCATTTTGACATAGTTTATTACACTACTGCCCTCTGTTCACATTGAATGACTGACTTTAATGTGTGCTGTAGTCTCATAAATGCCAAACATTTTGTGAAAGTAACCAATTTTTTCCACTGGAAGCACTGATGAAAAATATTCGATTTTCCACACTAAGGATAAAAAAAAAACTCCCAAGGGATTAAAAATGTTCTCACACACATTCACAAAAACTCTTCTTTGTTCTAAACTTCTGGCTTCTTCTCAACTGTTTGGAAATATAAGAAAATAAGCCAAGTCCAACTACAGGTCCTATTTCTACCTCTGTTACCCACATAGCTGCAGGACAGCTGGTTAGGGTCCAAAGTCCTTTTATAGCCTTGCTGGGAGATAAAACTTCTGAATAGAGATAATAACACAACACAGAGGCAGAATGACAAAAACAAACAAAGGTCTGGGTGGCACGAAGCATGCAGGTTGGGGGATACATTTTGGGCCTGACAGAGTTTACCCCTCAGCTAATTCAGAAACACATTTCAGCTTAAAAACATTCACTGAGTTGCGCACAAATGTCGAGTTGATGCCATGATTTGTGCAGTAACCATGTTAGTCGACACATTGCAGCCACACAGATAATGAGCGTTCATATCCCAGCCATAGGCAGGACAGAGTCAGCCCATATCTGCAATGACTCATATAATCTGTTTTGTTATATTTATACTTACAACACTATGAAAATTACTTTCAGTCGCTGTCTTGCATTACTGATGTTACCTAAAGTATGTATTGTAAGGGTCCCCTATTATGAAAAATCCACTTTTGGGTGGTTTTCTACCAATAATATGCAACCCCTCTCAACATGAAAAAATGTCATTCTCTCCCGCTCTCTTGCTCTGAAAATATGAGTCCAAACAGGCGGATGGAAAAGCTGTGCAGTTATGACTTCAAAACCACATAAGCCTCTCCCACATGTTGGTGGCACTGCCCCCGATAATCGTTAGCCAAGCCCTCTAAAACTTCTTTGCTGAAGTAGCATCCACCATTTTTTCCCCTCGCATATGCCGCTCCGGTACAGCAATAACCATGTCAAAGCTACGACCCAGCTGCTGCTTGGTTCTCGGCTGCACAGACAGGAGTCTTTTTCTGCCGCCTTCATTGGAAGATTTGAGGAGCCAGTGGATTAATTTTATTTTTGATGGATGTGACATAAGGAGAGAAAATTTGGTCTATTAATTGTCACTTTCACTAACTGATAACCAAGAAAAAGAGATACCAACACAAATACCTGTACTCCTACAAATCAAAACATATCTTTTCCAGTTTCTAGGGACAGCTGAATAAAAATATTTTGGTATTTCAGTGTAATTTCTTAAATCTTGTTCTGTTAATTCCTGCTCTTTCAGTTAATATTGTACATTTTGGGATGGTTTAAGTTAATGCACATGATGCAATGATAAAAAGCAGAGTCTTACCTGTATTAAAGATGTTCAATTTAAAATGGAACAGCAGCTATGGACGTCAGATAAATGCATCCTGACTTCTTCTGAAGACATTTCCTGTGAAGACATTTGAATTTTAAAACATCTAGTGTCATAAACAAACAAGTCTGTCTGATCTAAGTTAATATGGTTATACTTCATCTTCTGGACAGGTTTTCAACACTTCCTTGGCTGAACCGGTTCCAGAGGGCTATGAAGGTGTTTCTGACATTGTGCCTCCATACAGCGCTTTCTCTGCCAAAGGACAACCTGAGGTACATACTAGACACATAAATGTACTGAAATAACTTTATCAAATTAAATAGAATTTAACTGTAACCATACCTGCCCTTACTCACGTCAGTCTGTCTACTAAAGAAACAACCAAAAAGAGTCCTTTTCCTGTCTTTCTCTCCAGGGTGAACTGCTGTACGTGAATTACGGCCGTACAGAGGACTTTTTCCAGTTAGAGCGGGAGATGGGCCTTAGTGCTGCTGGGAAGATTGTCATTGTCAGATATGGGAAAATTTTCAGAGGCAATAAGGTAAGAGAGTGTTAAGCACTCCTGTCATGATGTACAGTAGATGTGTTTACTTCCATTTCAAACACAAACAGCCCTGATTTTAGTTCAGATGCACTTCCACAAACCTCAAAAATATCTTCAGTGTTCATCTACAACAACCATTAAGGAAAGTGAAACTGAAAAATGAGCTGCTGCTCTCTTTCTGCTTTGCTCCACCAGGTGAAGAATGCAATATTAGCCGGAGCAAAAGGGATCATTATGTTCTCAGATCCTGCAGACTACTGGGCTGTCGGGGTTCAGGTAGAGAGATCCGCTAAATCTCTAAATTTTTTAATGTTGTATAAAGAATAAATCTGGGGATTCAAATAAAGCCTGTGCAACTGTCTATACACAGCCCTACCCTGATGGCTGGAACCTGCCTGGTGGAGGAGCTCAGAGAGGAAATGTTCTCAACCTGAATGGAGCAGGAGACCCACTAACACCGGGGTACCCTGCAAAAGGTTTGTGTCTTTGCGTGCCTGTAAGTTCAGTGTAAGTTTTCCTGTGTGACCTTACTGAGCATGGTGCTGTTTCCTCATTCACAGAATATACGTACAGACTCAGCCTCAGGGATGGAGTGGGACTGCCCAAGATCCCTGTGCATCCCATTGGCTTCCATGATGCAATTCATCTACTAAAGTACCTTTACTTTTTTCTATCTGTTTTTGGTCCTCTGCCCTTTTTCATCAGTCTGTGCTAAATTTGAAGTCAACCTATATGATATTTATTTATTTGGATCTCCATTAGCTACTACCCAAGTAGCAGCTACTCTTCCTGGGGTCCGCAAGAAGACAGTAACATTCACATAGATTACAATGACAATAGTTCAAACAGGAGAATTATACAAGATGTTACAATTATGTTTGCATCTACAAAAGACACCAATAAAGGCCAAGATAAATCTACTAGTAATTAAAAAAGTAATCTCATTGGCATACATTGTATGTTTTCACAGCCCAGTCTAGGTGTTCTGTTTCCTTTTGCAGCGATAAATAAAGTAACTTCACCATGACAGTGTTACATAGATGGTCACCAAAAAAATACGTACTGGGTGTAAAATTAAAGATACCTTATTTGTGGAGAAATTTAAGTCAAATGGAAGGACTGGCAGACATCCATAGAGCCAAACAGCTCAAATGGATTAAAAAAACCCTGAATCTTATTGTTGAAACTCATAAAAGAAGTTTTTGATTGGATATAAGATTATCTGCCAAAAAAGTAAAACTCCATTTTTACTTTTATTACAACAAATATTCACAATCTATGAGTGATAGATTCGAGGAGGTATGACTTTGCCCACAGAAGAAGCCAAGCAGAAAGTCCCTCACAGAGACCTTCAACTCAATGCAGATTTTAAGACACAGTTGATCATATTATTTCTGGGAAATGAGCATTATTTACCATTCAACAGGAACATGGGTGGACAAATACCACCCAACAACTGGAAAGGAGCTCTGAACGTCTCCTACAGGATTGGTCCGGGCTTTACGGATGACTTCAAGAACCAGTAAGTGCTCAAGTGAAGCTCTATTCATGTCCAGTATTTAAATGATCACTTAACCTTTTTATCCATTGTGATGAAAATCCCCTCATTAGTCTGCAGCCTCTTTTACCACTGTTTCACTGCTGTCTACACTCTGTGTTTGAGTGTTTGAATAGAGGCACCGCTTTTGTTGCTCCTTTTCTCTTGCTGAGCTTTAATGACCCGTGTGGCAAGTGGCCAACTGAAGTACAAAGAAGGGCCTTGTATCTCCTGTGTGTGAGAGACATATGTAAATGACACAAACAAACTATTACTGCTTTATTAATTAAGAAAACATTGAAACATGAAGCAGCTGTTCATTGTAAATCCAAATGTTAAGATACGTTTCTTTAATGAATGTATCACTGCTTTCTTTTTTGTTGTTGTTGAGGTCTAGGTCATCTGTTTCTTGTCTGCCTTTCACTCATCTGTGTGTCTTTCTCTCCACACAGGACGGTGCGTATGAACGTCTACACTAACAACCAGGTAACCAGGATCTACAATGTCATCGGCAAGATAAGAGGAGCTCTGGAGCCAGGTAACACAACCCAGTCTGCTCTAGTACTGTATATTTGAGCAAGCTTTTAGCAACTATAAATACACAGTCAATGCTGGTATCAGTAATATTGTAAAACATTAAAACAGGAACAGAAATCCTAGCTTTATGAATAAATTAGAGCATACCTTTTTCTCAATTTTCATTTTTTTTGTTACGCATTGTTGCTTCTGGTTTTGTTCACAGACAGATACGTGATTCTCGGGGGGCATCGGGATGCTTGGGTGTTTGGAGGAATTGACCCCATGTCTGGTGCTGCAGTGGTCCATGAAACTGTCAGGAGTGCTGGGAGACTATTAAGTAAAGGTACGGCTGAAGAGGTGTGTACTAGTGACCTGTGGCATCTATCATCTAGGTCAAATGTCTGTCTGTTGAAGGATGGAGGCCCAGGAGGACGATAATATTTGCCAGCTGGGATGCAGAGGAGTTTGGACTGCAGGGATCTACTGAATGGGCAGAGGTATGAATAAACAAACCCATACCCCATCACATTAACACATTTTAACAAACAGAGGTTTACCATACTTCCTTATTTACAGGATAACGCCAAGCTGCTGCAGGAGAGAGCTGTTGCCTACATCAACGCTGACTCTGCCATCGAGGGTTAGTGCGTTTACTTTCTCTCAATAAGTAATCACTAATGTTCAGTTTTACTGTTTGTGTGAGATGTGGGTGTATCAATTACAGGTATGTACACTCTGAGGGTTGACTGCACGCCGTCACTACACACTTTGGTGTACGACCTCACTAAACAGGTGAGCACACACTCAAAAAAGGGAGTATATGGAATGGACTGAGTAAATCTGGTGATTCATGCTCACTCTCATGCTGCGTTTCTTTCGTCTACTTTTGTGTTTCTCTCTTTCGGTCCATGTTTGCATGTAGATAGACAGTCCAGAAGAAGGGGAAGATGGAGTTTCACTATATGAGAGTTGGCATAAGAGGGACAACTGGACGAATGACCGGGATGCACCAAAGTACAGTTGAAAAACCTTAAACTATCAAGAGACGTGGAAATCTATTTTAAAAAATGACTTAATCTGTTGTTCTTTCATTCTGTTATTTTAAAGGATCAGTAAACTCGGGTCAGGAAGTGATTTTGAGGCCTATTTCATTCGTCTGGGAATCGCTGCAGGCAGAGCGAGATACACCAAAAACAAGGTGAGCCATACTGCATTTGAAGATACACAGATATGCATAAAAAAGGAGATTAATTCTGATTCACATCTAACTATATGTGACTGTTACGTCTTTGTGAGTGTCTGTATTTTGTGGGAACCGTATAAAACATATCCTAAGTACATTTGAGTGAATTGCATCCAGCTACACTGATTTAACTTGTTTGGCTGGATATGACAGTTGAACATCCCGACTAACAATATTCATTTCACAATTCATGTATTCGTGTCTTCAGAAAACAGAGCGGTACAGCAGCTACCCGGTCTATCACAGTGTTTACGAGACCTTCGAGATAGTGGAAAAGTTTTACGACCCCTCCTTTAAGAGGCTACAAGCAGTGGCTCAAGTGAGAGGCGGGCTAATCTTCCTCCTGGCTGACTCCCAGCTCCTCCCGCTTGATGTAAACGAATATGCAGACTCACTGAGGAAGTACGCACAGAGTATCGCACAGCTGGCACAGAGGCACCCAGAAGAGATGGAGCTGTATAAAGTGACGTTTGGTGAGTGTATTTTGGTCACTGCGTGTTCAGACTAAAGCAACTAAAAAATGAAGCTTCATTTTAATCAAACTGATTTAATGAGTGAGAAACCTGCAGACTTATAGATCTCTCATTTGAACTTGTTGCATTTGAATCATTTCACCCATCTGTTTTCAGATTCTTTGTTTTCTGCTGTGGAAAACTTCACGGTTGCAGCCAGTGGCTTGCATGAGCGCCTGCAGACTCTTAACAGAGCAGAGTAAGGGGGTGATGATGATGGTGTGCATGCTCTAGTTTATCCACTCATAAAGTGTGTAACAATTTTAGATGTATTATAACTTCATAAGCTGCACAATGTAATGAAATTCAATACAGCAGCTCTGATATAAATTTCACCCTCAACAAAGATCCTTAAAGTTCAATAATCCTGATAATTTTAAGTTTATTTTGTTCATTATTGAACTAAAAGAGTGCAATTGTCTTTATTTTTTTATATACATTCATCTAAATAAAGGCAAAATGTGATGAGAACTGTCATTTTCACAAAGTACTTTACCTCAATGGATCATTACCCTAACGCCAAATCAGATTAACAATGACTATTTGAAATTAACTTTCTTTTAAGAGGATTATGTGGCAAAGGGATGTTGGACAGCATGTCTGATAGTTCAGAAATAGTGTTCACTGAGGATGAGATCAATCTATTTGAAGCAGTCAGAGGTTTAATTGTGTGTGTGTGTGTGTGTGTGTGTGTGTGTGCGCGTGTTCCAGTCCTCTGCAGGTGCGTGTTATGAATGATCAACTCATGTATCTGGAGAGAGCCTTTATAGACCCACTGGGCTTACCTGGCAGACCATTTTACAGGTGAGTGATGCACATGCTAAAACACATATGAAGACACACGAATACCCTCTCACACTACCTCTGCACATTTTACATTTTGTTAACATGCTTCATATGGCGGTGTATCAGTATCTAATTCAGTATGATTCATTTATGAAGTAACTTTTTGATGGTCATAAGTACTTCAACTCTACTTTACTTTAAAGCTCCTATGAGGAAATTTCTGTGTGTTGACTTCGGTGCCCCCCTGTGGACAAAATGCTATGCTGATTTCACCTAATCTTTCTGAAAGTAGGATTTTGTCTTTTTAAAATTAAACTCATCGTTTACCATGAATATTTAGCTGAGCAGCAAAGGTTGTTTCTTCAGTGTACCTACTCCCTCACAACAGTGACGGATATTAAAATCAAAAGGTGGAGAAGGGTCTCGTGTGCTTTTGAGATGCATCACTTTGACAAAAACTCCTCACATGAGCTTTAAAGGGATATTTCGGCGTAAAATGAAATTAGGGTCAAACACACCGAAACACCGAGTTAGACACCCCGTCGAGAAATGAATGTTGCCGACCACTTGCTCCTCTAGTTATACCAACTTTAGTAACGACCGCAGATAGCAATACAGAAAGTCATGTGCTCAACCAAAAAGCCACTCTATAGCCATGATTTCTTTAGCAAAGAGACCTCCAGGCGAGACTACAGCGAGGTGACGCAGCTCAAGGAAGAACATTTATGATCATTACTTCATGGAAATGTAATCAGACTGAGATGCTAAGGCAGAAGAACTACCGCGTCTGCAGTGCAAAATGATCAATATGATGTTTAAAGAATCAGCAACAATCCCTAGTATATCACTATTGACCTGTCTTAGCAGCAAATATGTCAGATTTTTCTGACACATCAAAACTGTCTGAAGTTTTTCAGGTGAATACACTTTGACACACATCTTCCCTCCTGACCTTGTTTCAAAAACTACCACACAAAGATCTCGACTCTGGTGCTTCTTGAATACTTTCTTTAACAAATCTTCTGTTCCGTTTCAGACATGTGATTTTTGCCCCTAGCAGCCATAATAAATATGCAGGCGAGTCTTTTCCTGGGATCTATGATGCATTGTTTGACATTGAGAACTCGGCTGACCCACAGAAGTCCTGGGAGGAAGTCAAGCGTCAAATCAGCATCGCAACTTTTACTGTTCATGCTGCTGCCATGACCCTAACACCACCAGCATGAAGCAGCGAGAGAAGAAAACTGAGTGACTTGCACTGCACACAGAAATGGACAATCTTTGTTCTTGATGCAGTCCAGAATTGCATGCAGCTATTACAGGTAAAAAATTAACAAACTTTCTTGCAATTTTTGGTGTCTGATTTGTAGTATGGCTGCAGAAAAATTATAATTTATGAAGTTTGTTTATCATGTTGTTTTGTATCAGTATTATCTGGCTAAAATCAATCCTGCTTTTATATGTGGTGAAATAAACCTCTTATCACCTCCATGTGATAAACTGAGAAACATGTCATGTTATGTCATAGACCGCACATGAAGTTTTATACATGTATGTATGTGTTAAACCAAGCACAGATAATTCCTCATTTTGTTTGTGATAACAGATTAACAAAGACACACTTATTTATATACACAATTACTTTTTTTGCTGAAAAAACTACAGCCAGACTTCATTGGGTTTAAAAAACTTTCAACAGACTGTTTTTTTGATTGTACAAAGTGACCACAAAAGCCTAACAAAGAATAATGACTGTTTGACATGTCGGGTGACGACCAGTGGAGGGCACCAAAGTTGTTTAAAACTCCCCATAGACAACTTTTTCTTGAAGAACTTTATTTTGACTGAAGAGTAGGATGTTTACTTACCTTACTAAGTGTATACTTTATGGAATTTTTTTTTTCTTTCCAATACACTCTTGGATTTTTTTCCACCTGAAATAGTAAGATACAAACAGCAGAGTTAATCAGTAACAATGTGATTTTAAGTCACAGAATCAACATTGGATCCTCCCTTATGTTCACACAGTGTTTATTTGCCCCCTTATCAGCCTCTTTTATACAGGTGCAATGTGTGGTGTTTATATATTTCCACTGTACCCTCTCACATATGTGAGCCTGTGTCAGAACTGTCCGGTAGTTTTTAACATTTTCAACAGTCTGTTAATGTGATAGGGAAACTATATTTTCATGGCACTGGCTCTGTATCACTCAAACTGCGAATACAAAATACGTTTTTTTCCCCCGCAACCATCATAGTTATCTGCATTAGCTTTTCCTCCTCATTCTTTGTTGGAATCACAAACATGTCTGGCATTAAAATCTGTTTATGAAAATATCTAAAGTCTCTCCTTTTGTTGCGTGCAGCATTTATTCATGTCTGTTTGAGTTAGTTTTGTTTAATGAAAAAGAGTTCAATGCTGACTTTGTGGTGAGGTCTGTGTCTATAAACAGACTTGAATTTCAAACACTATATGACTCTGATCTTGAGTCAGGTTTATATCGTCACACTTTGACATTGTTATTAAAGGATGAATCACAATGTTGGACATGGTTAAAAGTCAGTATTAAATTAATGGGTGGGTGTGTTCTCTAGTAAAGGGTGGAGCAGGTAAACACCCTTATAAAGAGATGCACTCTGAAGGCTGAGTTTCACTTTGCCCTGCCAAAATCATTAGAGTGTGACGACTTACATTGCTTCTCTGGGTATTAATTTTCAGTTTTTAGTTTTGTATCTAGATATGTTGATCACTTTTTGACACCACATTCATTTCTTAGCATCTGTAAAGATGTCAAATGTCAGCCAGAAAAATGGAAGGAGAAAATACTACTTTGGTTTGTGCTCACACTGCATTAACTTTCAGTTTTTTCCAGGTCCTTATTTTATGCCCATTTTTATTTCATGCCGGCAAAGTGTCTGAAAAGTGTGTTTCATAAGGTTGATCGCAGCATGTGGAGACATGACTGGGTGTAAAACAAGCATCCCAGTAAGCTTGAGTCATTTTAGTGCGCAGACGAAGAGGGGTTTGCCGTTCTCTAACAAAAGACTGTGGTGGCTATTACTACATTAGTATGAGAGTAATGGTTGTCAGCATGAACTTCCTAAGAGTCTAAGGAATTCATGGTCTGCTGCACATAATAGGATTAAAAGTTGGGGAATCTTCTTTTACAAAAGGGACAAGACTGAAAACCAACATTGTCAGTCATGATCTCCAGGCCCTCGGGCAACTCTGCATGGAAGGGATATTCCGGCGTAAAATTAAGTTAGGGTCAAACACACAGTACCAGACACACCTACCTGCACTTAGTATAAATCAGAGGAGTGAGCATACCCCCGTCCAAACTTTTTAGGAGTGTTACTCGCATGAAATTGACTGAAAGAAGAATAATTTCCCTGTTTCAACATTTGACATCTGTTCATGTTTCCCAAATCACTGCAATTTTCATTTTTATTGAACACATCATCACTTATCATGAAATGGCTATTGCTTTTAAAAGTTAATCAAACTTTTTTCTTAGGCACATCAAAATGTGTCATTTTTTCCACATAAGTACATGGCTCATTGTAATTTTCTGTTTACATAAAGAAAATCATTTAAGCTTTGCTCTGTCTGACTGTGTTCAACTCTCCATGTCCTCCAGTTTTGGCTCATCCAGCCACAGCAGGTGGCATTTGTTTTTGCCCAATGAAAAAGACTTCCCTCACCTCTGTCTAAAAAGTGCCTGCAGATACATGGTTAATGCTGGACCTTGAAATAGCACCTACACCTGCTCTTTATGTAAAGTCACAAGATAATAAAAACGAATAAACATGACTTTATGTCTAATAATTCTTTGTAAACTTTGAGTGCAGAGAGTTTCCTCTGAATGGATACAATCAGATAACATATTTTCTTGACTGAAGCATTTGATGCAAAGAGAAACAAACAAGGTGATGAAAAATGAAAAAAAAAAGGCAGCAAAATCCATTAGGAGAAAGATATGACCATCATTAGGCAAGATTGCGTAAACTTATCTGGACCAGCTTGAATAGAAAAACGACTTATTACGTCTATGGTGCAAAACTGAGTCACAAAAAAGCACGAATTTTGTTAAGTTCTGTTGAATGTTGTCAGTTCTTCTATCCATCATACCCTCATGAGAGACTTCAGTCCTGAACTCATTCATCTTCCTGGGTTAATTCTCTAAGGCACTCTCTTAAGTTCTCCGCTCGATCCTGATCCTGATCACTTCCCAAAGCAGTCCGTATCTCCTGTTCCAGCAGCCGCTGCACTTCATCCACTCTAAGCTTAGGCGTGTTGTGGCAAAAGAGATACCGGCTCAGCTGATTGTCATGGCAGGTCGGGGAAAGTATCCCGCACAGAAAGCGCAGGAACATGTCATACTGGCCAGCTGTAGAGTTGGAGGTTCGCGCCAGGGCACACTGGACCAGGCCTACTGCTGATTTGGTCTGATCCTTGGATGCAAAGATCTTTGACGCTCTGGAATCCAGGACATTCTTCGACTCTGTGCGAAACATCATGAAGACGTAAAGGGCAGCCATGAAGTCCTAGAGAAGAAAAGACACGTTTTTTTTTTTGTTCTTTTTTAATCCTTGCTTTTGGGTCTCTTTGTTGCAGAGGGTCATGTCTCTGTTAGGTAGATCTTTGCAAGCACTTCAAAGTTCTAATCCTGTTTGACAGAAATGTAGTGTTTTTATATCAAAATAAATATCGTTTAGAGCTAAAAATGTATATACACTTCTAATTGTATTCAAACATTCATCAAAAAAAATCTGACACTGAGAGACTGTAACTTAATTAAATCAATAAATCTGGTGCACCGATGGCCTAACGTCTGGCACCCAATGTCTAGAAGCTATTTGGCTTGATACAGTGGCCACTGATTTAATTTCTGGTCATGACCTGTTGGCTGCTTGTCTTACCTTGCCCTTTTAGCTCCCTATATTTTAGCTGTATTATGTAAGAGCGGCAAAAATACCCGAAAATATACTTAAAAAAAAAAAGCTCAAAGATGCAAGGGAATGTGTTTGGATTCTGGGTGGGAGGGAATATCTGAAGAAACATTCATAGGTGAATTTTGACCCGCCTAACTATACACATCAAGCCTGATGCGATTTTGTGACTTAGTAAGTATGGTCCCAGTGTGAAAGGACCTTTACTGTGATGTCACATGGGAGCTGTGCTCTGGCTACTTGATTTCTCCTCCTCCCTGAACTATTTCCCGCATGAGTGTCGAGCAAGTTCCTTTTTTTTTTTCCTGAACTGCACAGAAATAAATATGAGATTATATATAAAACAGTGTTAGAAGCAACCTTTCAAGATAAACCTACAAAAGTAGCACCAGCTTTGATTTAATATTGAGGCACTAGCAGGCTAGTTTGCTATAACCAGCTTGCTCATCACAGGGAGATGAAGGATCTGGAACAGGCAAGTTACTCAAATTTCACTCAAGCCTAAACACTAAAGGAGATTTCTGAGTGATTCTTTGGAAACCTCACCTTGCACAAATTTTCACTTTGACAAAGAAATGCATCTTTTAAGTACGGTTTGATTTCCAGTTCACTCTTATGGAGCGTAGCAGTGCACTTTTTTTGACAGGTATATCCAAAGAAAATAATGCTCAAAGTCCGTTCCAGTTGGAGGGATTTTCATTTTCACTTTTAAAGATGCTTTTTCCTTTTAAAAAGATCAAACGCAGCAAAAAGAGAAAGACTACGATAACATTATCACTATCATTATTTTGAAACAAATCCTGTCCCTTCTGCAACTGTGATCCTAAAATAAACAGAACGACTCTATGTCCCTACATATGCTCACGCTTCTCGCTGTCCTGCATCTTTTCATCAGGAAATGCACCTTACCTGTATAGTGGGGTGTACAAAGCAAAACCTCCTCCTCCCATCTGAGGCTGCAGTGGGGAGTTCAGTGCACAGGCCAGAAAACACCGTCACCTCGGTCAACTTCAGGCCGCACTCCTTCACATCCTCCTCTGAGAATTCGGTGGTTCTCCTCTCTAGCATCTTGAAGGCCATCTTTCCAATATTTGACAACTGGTTTCTGTCGTCACTCGACCATTTCTAAACGGTGATCAGATTTACAATTAGGAGAGTTGTTCTTTCAGTCAGATTTTCTTGACATGCAAACTCTTGAATTTAGAAGAGGAGCAAAAATCATGAATGTCCCAAGAAATACTGAAGCTTCTGAAGAAATAACTGTTTGGTCATTTGTATCAAAATGCATTAGATAAATGGTTGCCCATGATCTTATATCCTCCAAATTACCAAACCTGAATCTTTTTAGAGTAAATGCAGGGTGATTAAAGTTGGGAAAACTTGAGAACAATACGAGCAAATGAACTCACTCTAACAACAACAACAACAACAAGACAACCCAAAACAACGAGAAAAACCAGACCAGGGCTCATTACCAGTTCGTTTTCTGCCTTCCCCTGGTAGAACTGCAGCTTCCGGTTGGTCTGGACGATCACAATGCTGGTGTAGAAAACTGTCAGTCTGGGCGGATGCTCCCCATAGCCCTGTAACTGGAAGCAGCGCTCAAACACAGTGGCCAACATCCAGCAGACAAAGGGCTGGTAAGCGAGCGCCCTGAGTGTTGGTAGTTGCTTGTAGTGTGCCACAATTTGCGCTGCTAGACGATTGTTAAAGCGCTTCCTCAGGTAGACATCTTTATTTTCATCACTGATGAAAAGAGAGAACGACAACAAGAGGATTAGCCCAAAACTACGACTGAAACTGATGCAGTGGATTGATTTCATTGGTTATAAATAGCTGTTAGTACAGTGAGATTTGGTGGACAAGAACTACAAGAAAAACGACAATGGGATGCAACAGTCAGACAGTATTTCTCCTCACACACCTGAACCCCTGAATTTCTGTGACAACATCTATGAAGTTGGATGGTATTTGTGAGACGGCTGCGGATCTTCCCAAGATCCAGACCCAAGCACCAGGGAGCACGTTTCCTCTGATGATATTTACGATCAAGGTATCGGGGTGCGCCTTGGTGTGGTTGTCGTTTATCACACGAGCATTCTGGAGAGAAAACACAGACATAAAAATACAACTTTACAACAACCCTACCAATGTGAAAATGTTTCTTTTACTTGTTGAACATGATGTTATCTCATTTTGTTAACGGTCAGTTCTTCAATTTGTGAGTTAACTTAACCACACCTACAGAATGAGGAGATTTCTAACTTTATATTCAGGGTTAAATATAAAATTCAGAGTGGCTCACTACAGGTGTGTGTGAACATGTGTGCCAGTGGGATACCTCCCAGTCCAGAGAAGCTTGGTAACAGTCAAATGAATCCATTATGACAGCGAATTTGCAGCTCTCATCCTCGAGGTATAGAAAGTCTTTGCACTCAGGATGGTAGTACTCTACCATTTCTTTGATGGACATTTCCTGTGGAGGGTTTTTGTTTCGCAGAATCCATAAAGATCGGAATGAAAGTTTGACGATAAACTGCAGGTCCTAAAAAAAGACAGGATGGGGTCATTTGAAGCAGGACAGGTAGAGCATATTAGGTTAATAAGAGTTTGAAATGACAGTTTAACTGGGAAATCACTTTGTTTGCGCGCATTTCGGCCCAATCCAAGCAAAATTTCCCCACAGAAACCGACATGCCGATTCCTGGGATACCCGTAGTCACCACTGTCCTCGCTGGCGTGCCGTCTGCTTTCTGTAGTCGATACAGATTATTTACGGTGACAGGTCTTTGTTCATGGGAAGGGTCCATTCTTCCGTAACCACAGGTGAACATCTCAGGCTCAACATAGACGGTATTCAGAAGATTCTGCCGTCCAGCTCGAACAACCCCCTCACGAATGACGTGGTACTTCCGGGTCAAATACTGCTTCAGATGAGCGCGAAACAACGCTGGTAGTGGGGGAAAAGGATGAAAGATATATTGACTAGTTGATATGACGAGGTCATTTGCCTTTCTTCTCAATCCAATTCATGATCATTTCTGCAAAGTGTTTAGACTTACTTGAAGCCCATTTTAATCTTCACCTCAAAACTAGCACTTAAAAGCATTTTGTTCCACTGTAGCTTAGTTATAAAGCAGTCTTTTGTGAAAAATTATAGGTATGGTAAGTATAGTTTACGTCAATTTGGATTTCACTGAACTTTTTTTTAAACAAATGTCACCTATGTTTTGATAAACCAGTGTTTACTTGCCTCTTTTGCACTTTATTCTCAGCTCCTCTGCCACCTCTTTCTTACCAATGCTTTCAAGGGTAGTTAATGTGTGAAACAGTGAGCGATCCATTCCTGCAAAACAGGATTTTTAATAAATTTGTGTCAGCATATACTACACACTTCAGATAAACCAACCCAAAAGTCAACATTTGTTTCCTCCATGTGTTGAGCTCTAATTGTAGACCAAATACACAATGTATACTCTATAAATGTGTTGTTGTGTTTTCTCACCGAGGATCTCTATAATCTTGTCCACAAAATCCAGAATGTCTCCGTCCATCACATGGGGCAGGGTTATGTTTGATTCCCATTGGTAAAACCACATTTTAAATTTAAAAAGCTCTTCTTTGGCGAGGGCAGACACCGTGTCCTGGATACTCTGCAGATATAAAACACACCAGAGTCAATACATTTTTGTGCAGAAATGATAAAGGCACCCTTTGGGTCATGATATGATGGAGAATAGGGAAAATTTTTGCTTTGGAAAATGCACCATGATGTAAAGAAAATTCTGATAGTCATGAATCAAATCAGATCAAAACAGTTGCACCAACCTTGAATATGTGGGGCAGGTCTTGCTCTGGGTGGAGTATGCCCGGCTGACCATGTTCATCCATCTGCATAGTTTCATTGAATTCAACAGGCTCTGGTGGTTCTGGGGAATTAGTCACCAGAAGTTCATCTGCATCCTCGTCTTCCTCTAAATCAGAGTCAGCTTCAATATCAGAAGACCTGCAAGACGACAGGAAGTCCACAATACCATCAGAAAGTGGGTTGCAGTGGTGGGTAGTTCCCACAGCTGTTCCTTCTTGTCCAGATAAATAAAATGATTCATGCATTTGTGTTTTCAAACCTGGAGGCAATGACAACAGCTCCTGGTGGTTTGCTCTGCATTGTGGTCATGGTGTAGAGGGTCTCTGGGGAATCTGAGCGATTCAACCGAAACCTGGCAAGAAAATGTGACAACATAAACCAGGTGAGGTTTGGTTTACCTCCTGTAAGTAATGTCTTGGTCACTGAAGCAAAATTAAACTTTAAATGTCAGACAGTAAGCTGTAAGCGCAATAGGGGAGAGTGGGGTAAGTTGAGCCACCCCCTGTTGCTTGAAAATAGTAAAAGAAATTGATCATGACTCCACTCCTATGGTCAACTTACCCCATAGTGGTCTCCTAAGTTGACCATAGGAGACCACTTTTTTTGTCATGCTATATTATCAAGACAGTTATGTTTACACTCATTCTGTTTGTTTGCAGGGATGCACAACATCTTGAAATATATGTAGATACATTAGTTGGAGACAAAACTATAATTGTCTTGATGCAGTGATCCGAAATATGAAAAATGGCTCATCTTACCCCACTCTCCCTTACCAGGTAAGGTTTGGTTTACCTCCTGTAAGTAATGTCTTGGTCATTGAAGCAAACTTTAACTCTAAATGCCAGACAATAAGCTCTCAGGGCAATAATGTTGGGTACAAAATGGCCAAGAAACACATGTGATCATGCTTCACTATTTCATCAGGAGACAGTACCCTGGTCCTTCATTAGAAGGCAGATCAGCTGGTGGCACCGGACAGGCTGAAGGAAAGGCCTCGTTGACATTCCCTTCTGCATATCCTCTCTCTGTCATCATCTCCTCCTCCTCCTCTTCCTCCTCATCTTCACTGTCACTCCTCATGGAGCCATAGCTGGAGGGAGGCCTCTTCCACTTCTCCTTCTCTTCCGCATGATTCTCACCCTCCTGTCTGAGGATGCTGAGGGATCAAAAAAGGTGACTTTAAAACCTTTCAAATGAATTTACCCGGAAAATAACTCAAATGTTCAAATATTACACACAGTGTTAAGTGAACCTGCGTATGTAGTACACAACATAAAAAGGTGCATGACAACATGAGTGTATATTAGTATGGTAGCTCTGCTTGTCAATATGTGTCAAACTCGTATTTACAGTCAACAGGGAAAGATGGCAGCCGAACTCGTATGCTGACATGAAGCGAATAAAAATTCACCTACCTCTGGACTTCAGTGTCTGGATCCATGTCTCTTCTTAAACAACATAACAAAATGTAGCTGTCGAGTTGAGTTTTGTAGACCCGATATTACAGATCGCAGAAAGTTGACGTCTGACGAAGTAAACGAATGTCACAGCTTACACAGGGAACTGCTCTCCGCCCTATAAACTTACGGACTTACTCAAACTGACCTTTACCTGAGACAAAACCGGACTTTTATGAACACGAAGTCTAATCAATAGTTGGAGAATCAATAAACAAGCAAGACAGACATTATTTCCAAATTTCCAGACCTTTCTGTCAGTTCCTACGTCTTACTTTCTGTTTAGAATCCACTGTTAGTCGACATACGACAACAAGACTTCCGGAATTGAACTTTCAGAGTAAATTCCAAAAGACCGTCTGTGAAAACGTATCTGCCCACCAAACATCGGACGTCGAAGAGACGTGCAGATCAAGTCAGTACGTGCAAAAGGTTAGAAATTTCGACGTCCAAAGTGGACCTTCTTTAGACGTCGCTCTAACGTTTAGAATTTGGACGTCATCTTAAGACTTTAATAGATGTCATTTTGACGTCGCATTGCGCAGTGGGTGTGCTGGAAAACATGGTTACACTATTGTTTATGGCTTTCACCACCTTTATTTGGCTCAAACGTTCCCAAAGGTACTTATCGTTTTACATTGGAACTGATTAAATTATAGTTTGGGTATATATTTTCATGCGCATATTAGATGCAAAATTACGCCACATCTTTGTGATATCATTGTCTTCATTTTCTAAATTCAAAAGAAAGTACTACAGGATAGTCACTCACTGCGTTGTCACAATATTAAGCTTCTAATAAATAAATTAAATAAATTTAAAAAGATAATTTTGAACAGTTGTTAAAAGGAGCTTTTATTCTGAAGGTTTGAGGCACGTACCGGAAAAAGTTTGGTAAGATATGAATCAGCAGAGCCTTCACAAGTCTGTGTTTTAGTCGGCACTGAAGTCCAGCCTTCGCAAAGTCCACTTTTTCTGCACAAAATGAATTATACAACTAACCTTCATAAGGACGATTAATTAATTCATACATTTACATTCATTTCATTAATTTACAATTCAGAAAATGCAATATTTAAGGATTCTGATATTTATAAGTAAGCAATACTGTGCAACAGATAGGCTATGTTAAAATATGAATACTTTTGTATGGCCGCGTTCAAAACATGATGAAAATTGGATTTAAGATTTGGAAACTTTGCAAAAAAGACAAAAAGAATTGTGGCACTTGAACCCCAAAAAAGAGTTTCCTTAAAGTCTTTTTATTGACAAACATGTAAATATAATACAGATTAAAAAAATCAAAGGAGATCAAGACAAGGATGTTGAGATATCAACAAAAAAAATGAAAAGGTTAAAAATTGAATTTCAATAGTAAGGAAAAAGAAATGATTGATTACAGCAGAAGAATATAATCTTTCCAGCGAAGGAACCAGTCATCACACCTTCATCCTTCTCATCATCTGTGGAGAAAAAAAAGAGCTGGTAAAACCTGAGACCATGATTATTTTACAAACAACGTCTGTAAAAAAAAAAAAACAATTAAAGCTGAAGTGCTGATGCTTTTCGTGCTGCTATACAAACATGCGGACACCCCTGAAGTGGTTGAAGAGATATAATCACATGGTGCATTATCTATAATGACAGTGACAGCCAACAACCAGCCAGTGGGAAGAAACCACCCCCCAAATTATTGAGACTTTCAGTGAAAATGGACCTTTTGAGATTTCCAGCTGAAGTCTTCACATTTAAAGAGACATGCTTCTGAAAAAAAGTTTAAATTCAGCAGTTACTAAGCTGTGTTGACGAAGCACGTGACTCATATACCAAGAGGCTTGAAGTCAGAAATTAATAGGGTATATTTTAACATGCTAATGCACTTTGACACCAACCCAACACTAGATGCTGCGTTGTATTCTATTTTTATGAAGAGTACACAGTAAAGGAACTGGTGTAGGACGCCTCTGTTAAATTGATTTAAAAAGTGAGTGTGTTTATGTTATGAAACTATTAATTTTTCTTGTGGCTATGTTTGCATTACAAATACAATAGCCTTTAAATTTAACCTTGGCTGTATGACTTCTCATAATAAAAGTCCAACAAGTAAGCAATTAAAGGAAATGTAGACAATATGATGTACATGCCTGCAGAAGCAGAGGGCAGACATGGCCATAAAAGGAAGTTAAACCCATGGCTTGTCTATGTGTTGTGAAATCATTCAAATGTTTTGATGATGTGAGGGAAGTACCATTAAAATGTGTTTACTATGATTTGGCACCAAAGCAAAGCATACAATTTGCTACTTGGACAATGTTACAGTTATGCAAATACAAAAGACCTTGAACATGTGATGAGAAAAAGCACCCACAAAACTAGCAGCAAAGCAAGAAAAGCCCGCTGCTGTTTGACATCAGCTGATTTTCTATCATCCCTGATGCTACTTCACAGTTACACAAAAACGTGTTGACAGAAATCTTCTGTCACTACCTGAAAATTGATCCCTTTAGAGTGTCCTACATTGGTTGGTGTTTGTTTACCTTGCGAGCACTGGAGGTCAGTCCAGGAGACTTAGCAGCCATGCTGTTTGCTCGTGGAGACTTCCTTTGTCCTTTAGTGGACACCTGGGGTGACTTAAAGCTTCCAAGTCTGCCTGCTCGTCCAGTCGTAGCAGTATTTCCTGAGAGTGCGTTCTCCTGGTACCTGCGAGTGGATGTCTGAGCAGGAGACTTCTTAGAGTTTTTTCCTGGAGATTTTCGAGTGGAGCTGCGCAGTTTGTTCAGCCCTTTCTTTAGGTAGTTGCTGTTTTTAGGGGTGTTGTCGATACTGAACATCATAGACTGTCTCCGCTCAGCCTGGGATAATAAGGAAAAAAAGCATGTTTAATCCACAACTGTGGTCAACATAAAACTTTTTTGCCAGTCGCTATTTTATACTCACTGGACTGAGTGCTGGGTGCAATTGAGAGCTGGAGGGCCCGGTGACCACGTTTTTGTTTTTGGGTGTGAGTGGGCGAGGGAAGCAGCTGGCCTTCACCTTTTTCTGAAAAGATGGACAAAGGGAAAGACAAAGTTAGAATAAGAAGGGAATGAAATGGAATGGAGGATTTTAGTTAGTTGTATCTCTTACTCTCTGACAAGAAAAATTAAATGGTATAGTTTAAGGTAATACAATAGCTTATGAGACATTCATTTATCATGGCCAAAAGATCTATCAGTGCCTATGCAAACCAACCTCAGGTGATGTTTGGTGAACAGTCAGAGTGGATGCAGCCCGCTTTGAGCCTTTCGGGCTTCTCAGCTGAGAGGAGCTGACAGCTTTTGATGGCAGCTGTCCTGGCATCAAAGACAGGCGATGAGAGCGAGTGCCGGCTGCAGTGCCTGAGTGCCCCACTGAGAGAGAGTACCGATGGGAAGCGAGAGAGTCATGCAGCTGGCCGGGCATCATAGAAGCCCGACGGATTGTGTCGGATGGGTCACCCATACGGAGTTCTTCATCTGTGAAATGGAAGGCACCACCAAAACCAGTCTAGGGAAACAGACAGGGAGGAAACATATTCAGTCAGTAAAAATATCATAAATCAAAATTTAACAGTGTCTTTTAGAGCTGCGAACTAATTTCTCTTGAGGCAACCTGTTGTGGTTGTTCAATCGTCCCTTTCTATTTACCTCAGACTCAACAGGGTAACTGCTCTTCAGATGAGGAAGGCAGGCTTTGTTTCTGGACTGGAGCTCAGCGATCCTCATCCAATCATCAGGTCCACCATCGGGCTCATTCTCTGTCCCCACACAAAATGTGCTTGTGGCTGAGGACAAACAGACAAACCAAAAGATAAATTACACACACACACATACACACCTTTTAACCATTAAAAATCCCATCTGCGATTAAGTTGAATTTGAGAGGAGAGTCATTGAACTTTCTTTATGCACAACTGTTTTTATGGTTGAATAGAGGATAACAGCATAGCAAACTTTGACCAGTTCCAAACCCAAGCTTTGATTTGAGTTACTCCAAAATCTTTCTAACAGAAAAAGGGGAAGGAGATGTAGCGGGAGGTTCACTTGCAACTCTGACTTTGCTGGGCCAAACAATCCATAAAATTCCCTTTTTGTTTTCCTCACGCTTTTACAGGCCAACAGGTTAATTAATTCATTAAAAAAGTCTGCAGACAATTGAAATAAATGTTACCTGTAGCCATAGTTTCATCATGGTATCATGCATTGACTTGAACTTACGCTGAGAGTGGATTGTGCTCCTTCTGTATCCAGGAAGTCCGATTAGCTGGTCGCTGGCCGAGCCGCTCACTCTGGCAGGCGTGTCAAACAGCTCAGTAGACACGGGTCGAGCAGATTTCGCACTGGAGAGGTTTGGTTGGGAGTGAGCTGAAGTCAGACTGTAGAAAGTCTCATCACCATCACCGCGGCCTGGAGTTTTCTACAGATCAGAGTTTAAACAGTTGGGTTAATTATTCTGATGTTGTTTCCTGCACTGATAGGAACTGAGAGAAGGGCTAACTGCTTGGAACGACCAGAACAGAACAGAGTTACAGTTGTGTAAGGGTAGTTGATGAAGAACCAGGCTATCAATAGCCTAGTTTAGTACACCATATATAATCAAGGGAACACAAAACAAATCGATTAATCAAATGCATCATTGTCAACAGTGAGTGTAATTGTGACCATGCAATCAAGTGTGCAAGTGCTTTTCCTCCACCTTTGTCAGGGTGATGTTAATAACCTGCGTGGTCCTGCGCCGTTTGACTGAAGAAGATGGGTTTTTGCGGGTTGAATCCACTTCGGCGTTGTGCCCTGCACTGCTCCTATGGGATAAAGTGAATACAAACAGGCTCCATTAAAAAAGGACATATTTTACACTTCCATTAATAAACACCACAGTAAAGAACTGTAGATCAGACAATACTCAAAGGTAGTTAGAAACATTTAGCAGTGATAGATTTCAAATGAGTAGTGGGTCAAAATGAACTCAAATGTCTTCCATTTCTTCCAGTGTTTTCTCTTGAGGACTTGTGAGCTTTAATTGTATTTTATAGAATCAGACTATCCACGTGCTGTTTTGCCAAAGGATGATAAACTCTAAAAAAAGCTGAAGAAAATAAGCCTTAATCAACCTGAATACAGCAGAGCAAGTGAAAGCAATTATGGACTCTATATATCCATTTAGGTCATCTTCAACTGAAAATAACTCTGCAGAACTCTGTTTCACTCTCCTTATCAAATAGAAAACTTGGCAGGTGGCTTGTCCGTGAACACCATGACCGTCCTTGTAATGTGACATACCTGTCCACATGTTTGTTGTTTATAGGTGTGAAGTATAGGGTTTCCAGAGACTCAGCTTGAAGACCTCGTCGTTTAGCCGCCAGGCGTTCTGAACTGCGAACAAGTGGTGTGCTCGCTTCATCGGGTGCATAAAGTTTCCTGTAAAATTAAGAAAACTAAGTATTGTGCGAGTTTACAATCAAATATTCTTTAGACCCCTCTCATGTTTGATTTTACAACTTTTCTTGTTGTTTTTTCATATCTGGTCTATCTTTTATTAGAGCGGGAAAGACATCTACGTTAAAAAGTGTCAAGAAGACATCTAAAGCCAATGTACACTGCCTTCAATGTTTGGGTGATTCAGATGACATTAAAAAAACTCCAATAGCCCATAAAAACTTTGAGGTGTGTTTCACCTGGTGGTGTTCAAAGAGTCTTCTAGAGAGCTCTGGTCCAGGCTGTCAGAACTCATGACCCTCTTCCCTTCTGTTCTAGACGGAACACTTAGATAACCAATGCGATCCTCCAAGTACATTGATTCTGTAGCGCTTCTTTCATTTCCGTGGATCTTGTTTTGTGCTCGTAGGTTACGGTCAGCAAAGGCCAGCTAGAGGTTAACAGAAACAATGATAGAGATCAGGGTGAAATGCAGAAAATAAATGTTTCATCTTTTATTAAATGTAATGGTCTTCTTTCTTTTACAGTAATTGCGAGTCACCAACTCTGGGTGTATAGCACATCAGCTATAATGTTTCAATAAACAATACCAACCTGTGCCTCCAAACTAGCCACCATGCTACTGAGTTTCTTCTCATTGGTTTGGACCTTCTCCAGATCGAGTTGAAGTATCTTGCTCTCCATGGAAACGGCCTTTATTTCCCGCTCTTTGACCTCTAAAGTCTTCTTAAGCTCAGCCACCTGATCTTGGCTTTCCTGGAGGAGCTGCTTCTTGCCATTGTAGAAAGTGACCGCCTTGTCCATCTGTGGCATTGTGATAATTAAAAAAAACAGCTCTATATTAAACTGTATTTGATCATATTTGTCAAACATAATGATAACTTCATTAAGGAGAGGAACATCAAAATGTGTTTGTGGCCACACCAACCTGTGCTTTGTAGTGTTCTGCAGCCTGTGATTTAGCCGAGAGCTGTTCCTGCAGGTCTTTCTTCAGCCTCTCCATTTCATCAGCCTTCTCTTTCTCTTTCAATAGTTTCTCTCGCTCCAATTTCAACAGTTCCAGTTCCTGCTGTAGCACTGATTCAAGTTTACGAGAGGCTAGATTCTCTCGCTCCGTGGCTTGCATAGCTTGAGTGAGTCTGTCTTTTTCAAATACGATGGCTTCCAGTTGTTTCTCAAGAGCTTTCCGATCCGTCTCCACCTGGAGCATTCTGGCCACGAGCGCTTCTTTTTCATGACCGAGAGCCTCTCTTTCCTTAAGAGTCTCAACCTGCAGCTTCTGTGCCGACTGTGACTCTTCCTTAACCGACGCAAGGTGTTGCTGGAGGAGGTCTATTTGCTGAGTGGACTCCTGCTGAATTTCAGCCAGCATCTGTTCTTTCGCCACAAGTTTTTGAGAAACCTTTTCCACCTCCATTTTTAGATCCTGGATCTCACATTGAAGGGCATGTGTCTGTTTGGAGCTCTCCATCTCTATCCCTACCAGCTGTTTCTCAGTGGCTTCGGCTTCCTCTTTTGACTTTTGAATAAAGTTGGCTTGGGCAGCGAGCTGTTCTCTAAGAGCGTTGCACTGTTGGTCTTTTTCAGCCACGAGTGTGTTGACGGCAGAAATCTCTGCCTGTAAGATCTGAAGTTCCTCCTGAGCATTGAGACATAGGCTTTGTTGCTTCCTCTGAGATTCTTTTAGCTTGCCAACCTCCTCTTTATATGAATTAATCTGTTCATGCAGACCCGGCACTTCTTTCACTACAGCCTCCAGGCTTTGGAGGGCTTGCTTAAGTTCAGAATTTTGTTGTTGTTGTTGGGCCAGCACATCTTCTTTGGATTTCATATCCTCTTCAGCCTTTTTCAGCGAGGAGCCATGGACCTCTACTTGCTTCATTAAATTTTGGATCTCTTGATGTAGCAGATCTGACTGCTCTGAGCTGTCAGTCCTCAACTGTGTTATTTGACCCTCTTTTGCTTTGATCTCCTCTTTTATCTTCCTCACCTCTTCTTCTGAAACCGAGAGAAGCTCCTTCTGATGAGCACTCTCTTCCTCCTGCTTGCTTATCACAGTGAGTTGAGCCTGAACCTGCTCTTCAGCCTTTGCGAGAGGCTCTTTCATGTTACAGAGTTGGGTCTTTAAGCATTGTATCTCTTGTTGCAGCACATCTGAATGTTTGGAGTCTTCTTCTTTAATTGTGACAAGCTGGTCCTCTTTAGCCTGAATCTGCTCCCTAAGCTCTCGAATTTCCTCCTTGGTGGTTGCCATGAAGTTATCAAACTTGTTCTTTTCCTCAGAAATCGCCGCTTCTTTCTGGGTCAGCAGATTTTTTTGGGCCTGTACTTGCTCCATTGCGGTTGTCAGGGATTCACTCAAACTTTGTACTTGGTCCTTGAGAGTTTGGATCTCACTCAGCAGTTCCTGAGACTCCTTACAACTCTCAGTCCTCAGCGTGTCTATCTCTGCTGTTTTAGTTTGAATCTCTATCTTAAGTTGACCAACCTCTGCCTCTAAAAGTGCACTCTGCTTTTTCAGTGCCTCAATCTCCAAAGAGCTCTCTTGCTCCTGTTTTGCAATCATATCATCTTTTGCTTGAGCCTGGTCTTTGGCCAGCTCCAGAGAGCTGCTCACAGATTTTAATTGTTGATTCAGATTTCCAATTTCCTGCTGCAAAACTTCAGAGTGGGTTGAGGACTCAGTTTTTAGCAGACTTATCTCCACCTCCTTTGCAGAAATCTCAGCTTTTAGCCTCTCTACCTCATTTTGGGATGTCGTCATCTGCATCTGGAGTGCCTCCATATCCTGGGTGCTCTGTTGTTGCTGTTCTGCAAATAGATTTTCCTTGGATTGTAAATTCTCCCCAGCTTGTCTCAGAGACGAACTAAGACTCTCAGTTTGTGTCTTCAAATTTTGGATCTCTTGATGTAGTAGCTCCTTCTGCTCTGAGCTCTCAGCCCTCAGCTGTGTTATCTGATCCTCTTTGGCTTGTATCTCAAGTTTCATCTTTCTTATCTCTTCTTCAGATGTCGACAAAAGGTCCCTCTGGTGAGCACTCTCTTCCTCCTGCTTGGAAATCACAGCCAACTGAGCGTGAGCCTGCTCTTCGGCCTTTGTGAGGGAATCTTTCAGATTACAGAGTTGGTTCTTTAGACATTGTATCTCTTGTTGCAGCATGTCTGAATGTTCAGATTCCTCTTGTTTAATTGTGACGAGCTGGTCCTCTTTAGCTTGGATTTGTTCCTTAAGCGCTCTCACTTCCTTTTCAGAATCTGTCATTAAGTTTTCATATGTTCTCTTCTCCTGAGAAATCTCCACTTCTTTCTGAGTCAATAACTCTTCCTTATCCTGTAATTGCCTTTTTGTAGTTTCTAGAGCTTCATTCAAGCTGTTTACTTGGCTTTTAAGAGTTAAGATCTCATCCTGAAGCCCTTCAGAGTGTTCAGTTGAATCTGTTTTTTGTTGATTGAACTGCTCCTCCTTAGCAAGAAGTTCAGTCTTCAATCTTTTCACCTCATCTTGAGATGCAGCCATCTGCATTTTGAGCTCTTCCACATCCAGTGTGCTTTGTTGTTGCTGTTCAGCAAACAGGTTTTCCTTGGATTGCAAACTCTCCTCAGCATCTCTCAAAGATGAAGTAAGAGTCTCAATACGGTCCTTTGAATGTTGGATCTCCTCTTGTAGTAACTCAGACTGCTCTGAACTTTGTTTTCTCAGCGAGTTCATCTCCTCTTCTTTAACTTGAATGTCCCTCTCCAGACTCAGTACCCTCCCCTCAGAAGCAGAAAGCTGCTGCTGCAGGAGCTCCTTTTGGTGAGCACTGTCCTGCTCGTGCTTTGTAAGCATAACCTCCTGAGCCTGGACTTGGTCCTCTGCCTTTTTGAGTGATTGATTCATAGTTTCAAGTTGGTTTTTTAGACCTTTGATCTCTTGCTCCAGCATTTCAGACTGTCGAGAGCTGTCATCATTCAAAATCACAAGCTGCTCATTTTTGACCTGAATCTCTTGGTTTAACCTCTGAACCTCCTTTTCACTGGTGGCTATTTGCTGTTGAAGTTCCGCTTTTTGTTGGATGCTCTCTTGTTGAGTCGTGGCCAGGATCTCTTGCTTAAGCTGAATTTCCTGCTCAGCCTGTTTGATAGTAGAATTTAGTTCATCCATTTTATTCGTCAATGTCTGGATTGTCTTCTGAAGAACTTCTTGCTCATTCGCCTTCTCCAGAAGTACTTTGGCCAGCATTTCCTCTTTGGCTTGAATTTCATTTTTGTTCTTTTTGGTTTCATCCATCAGAAAGTTAACTTCTTCCCTGAGACTACCGATGTGTTGCTCTTTATCAGCCAAGAGAGAACTTGCAGCAGATAACTTCTTCTCAAGATCTTGAACTTTTTCTTCAGTCTGTAGCAGAAGGTCTTCCTTCTCTTTCTTTATTTCCTTGAGTTTCTCAACTTCCTCTTCACAAGCAGCAATGTGCTGCTGCAGTCTGGTCATCTGCTCCGTTTTCTGCTTCTCCACTTGTTCAAGTTGAAGCTGGAGATGCTGGATCTCTTCCTGCAGGACTTCTCTCTGCTCCATGATCTCCTTTTGTAATTTCTCTAAAATGTCATCCTTTGCTTGAATCATTTCTTCAGTTTGAGATTTCTGTTGTTTTAAGAGGTCCTTTTGTTGGGTAATTTCTTGCTGATGCTCTGCAAGCTGTTGCACTTTGGCCTGGATCTCCACTTCAGCCTTTTTCAAAGAGATGACAGAGCTCTCCAGCTCATTTTTCAAGCCCTTTATTTCGGTCTCAAAATTTTTTTTCTGGTGATAACAAGAGAGAGAAAAGTAACCACCTGATCTAAAATAATGATCCAAAACCAAGACACAAAAACTTAACATTTCTTAATCAAATGATCTCAGCTGACAATTTTGAACCAATTGTGTACTTGGACCTCACCTCAACCAAAGCCCACATGTTCTCTCCAGCTTCCTCCTTTGCGGCTTTACTTATTTCATCTTCCAAACAAGAAATCTTCCCCTGAAGGATCTGAATTTGTTCTGTCAGCAGTTCCTGAGAAACAAATGGGATCATATGCTCGTTTTATATCATCTTGCACACAAATGCTTTGATCATCGGGGAACAATTTGATTTAAGGGAATGACTTCATGATAGGGAAAGTTAATGATATTAGTTAAGGTCATGGTTATCCAGTTCTTCATTGACAAGGCAACTGGACTTGCTTGAGGTTCTTGAAGACGTTTTTAGTTCAGTTCTCAACTGGAGAAGCCTTTTGGAAAAGTAGTGAACCTTAAGAACCTTGAGTCCAGTTGCCCTTTCAACAAAGAATTGGTTAATCATATCACATATGACATTAAAAATTTCCACTAGCAATCACACAAAATTACACAAACTATTTTTTGGGGGGATTTACATTTTGCTGTAGTTGGTGTAATCAACCAAACTACAAAGCCCAAAAAAAAAGTAGTGAAACAGCTCCTGTTTAAGACAACATCTACCTTTTGAGCGGTGGCCTGGTTGAGCTCAGACTCCAGTAGTCCTGTTTTGCTTTTCCAATCCTTCTCAGCAGATGCTTGGGCTTCTGTCAGCTGGCCAACTTCTGCCTCAAAGATGGCCAACTGTGAGCACACTGCTCTCATCTGTATAAAAGTAAAAATAAATAAATAAATGAATAAGTAAAATTTAAATATCACAGAAAAATGGTTTCAAAACAGATACATGTAACTCAAGATGGTGCAAATTACTTGCTCTACATACTAACAAACGGTGTGTTTCAGAAACAGACTGCTCATAAACTTTCAAGGATGCCAGAATTGCCCGTAACTTTTATTGGTGGTTAAACTCCTACAAATTAAAAGCCAAACACTGGATTAAACAATGAAACTTTGTCTGTGTGTTGTGATTACCTGTGAAGATAGCATTCCATTTTCATCAGTCAGCTCATCCACTTTGCGCTCCATAAGTGAGGAGTTGCTCTTATAGTCTTTGTTTTCTTTATACATCTCGTTAAGACGCATCTGCATTCTAGAAAAAAGAAGGAAAGACACTTCAGCTTTCTCTCGTACTTAACTATATACAACCAAAACTTTCCCTTTAAGTCCAATTAAAAATATAACAAGGCAAAAAGTGGCAAGGAAAAACCTCACAGCATGTAAGTGTAACTCACAAAGTCAAGATGAACATGGTGTTATTTGACAAAAAAGGATTATGTCTTTGTCATGTATTACTAAAGAAGCCTTAGTGAAAGTCAAGAAAATAAACATAAGTATTTTAGGCCCTTCTACTGGGTACTTACGTGTCGTTCTTGGTCTCAAGCTCATTGATCTGATCCCTGGTAGCTTTCTCCTGATCATTTTGTTCTTCTTTCATCTTATCCAGGCGATACTGCAAATGGTTGATCTGAGACTCTGAAAGAAACACAGCATGATGCAGCTCATTTGAATAGAAGAAACTAAAGGACAAACAAACATTATAATTGACATTTTGTTAACTGCAGTGAATTTTTTGAAGATCCTGCTAGTACATTCCATGCTTTTTTTTTGTCTCTGGTACAAAAAAAAGCTGCATAACTTAAGAACTAAAAAGTTCCACCTGTCTTTGTCGTCCACATTACCAAAATGAATTTATCAAAACACTGATGTTAAAATGCACTACCTCTTTGTGCAACAAGTGTAAGCTTGCTGGCCAGCTCCCTCTCCAACCCGTCTCTGTAGTCTCTCTCCTTGATCATCTGTCGCTGCATCTTCCGCAACTGAAATTTGGGTGTGTTCATGATATCTTGCAGCGGTGATTGGCTGTGGGAAAGAAAGCAGATCAGACAAAAAAAAATGTGATTTAAAAAGTGAAACATCAATAAGTCTTAAATACATACATGGTATGGAATTACTCTATGTGTCATGGCTAAAACCCTAACTGTGACAAGGGGACAAACATCATCAAACAATAACACAGAAAAATGTCAGTTTCTTGCTTTTTATATCCGAGCGGGTAACATTCAACATTAGATGTAAAGCTTGATAACTGCGCCGAAATCCCCTCATGCATATATCCTGACAACATTAAACCCTTGGCTGTTTTAAAATTTTATCTATAGTGATACCTGGTTGAAGAGGAAGCCACTGTTTGCATATCCACAAATGTGATTTTCTGTTTTCGAGGGAACACAGGAGACTCGTCATCTGTGAGAGATAGTGTAGACGACACACTGGAAGTGGAGGTGGTTGATGCTCGGTCAAATACTTCACGGGGCACGGGCAAATCTGAAATACGAAGACACTCACTCTTAAAAGGAGTTCATAGCCAAAAGAGAGGTGTAGATTGTGAAAAACCATTAACTGTTAAAACTGCATATTATAGTGAGAAATAAGGTATAATTAATTTGTCTTACAATTCCTTGCCAAATAGGCATCAAGTCCACTGCTCAGATAAACACAGCCTTCGCTCTCCATCACATAGGAATGCGTCAGGTTTGCTATTTCTCGCTAATAGAAAAGGTAAGCATACAAGGAGTGAGTACAGATTTTAATAGTTGTAACAGATGGAATAATAAGAGCTTTTATGAGTCTCAGTATGTAACTTAAGAAGCCTACCTCAACATCACAGTCCAATGTGTTGAGAGTGCAGCGATCATTCATTATGTCATGGTACACCAGCAACAAGAGTACCTGATGATATAAACAGGAAGAGTCAGGATATATCCATGTTGTGTTTTCTTTTAAATATATAGTTTCCTTCATTTTCTTGTACCTTTGTGGTCTCTATTGTAAGGTTGACTCCATCTCTTATGTTGTCCCATGATACTGAGGTACCTTTGGTTGGACTAAATCTGCAATCTCCTATTGAACAAAACAGATAAAAGGTTGAATTTCCATGCACTGCAGCATTCAACATCTACCTATAAAACTTGGAAGAGCAAATCCACATAAAAGGAGAAGGTAACGGTCGATGCAAGTTTGATTTGATCACTATCTGGCGTCTTGACAGGTACAACAGAGCTCAGTCACAACAAGCCACACCCAACAGTGAGGGTGTGTCAAAAGGTGCAACAGATTTGAAAGTCAGAGAATGTAGTTCCTAAATACCTCGACTTGGCTCTCTCCGAGCCATCACTCAGTTAAGTGGTTAGACATTTGCAAGATAAGCATTTCCAAACACATAGACAAGACATCGCTCTCAGAGTGTACATTTCAAATCTTTAATAAAATTCAGGGCTTAAAAGAATTCTTTCACAAACCCTGAAGTCCAGACCCAAATCAAACTTACAGAAAACATGTGTAAAAGAAATCATTTAGCAGACTTACTTTCAATAAAGTCTGTGATGAGTTGAAAACGATCCTCGACAGAATTGCTGAAACTGGAGGTGGATTCCTTTTTCCTGAGATAACAAGGTTGAAACTACAGTTTAAGCCAAGAAGATTGTAAACAGGAAGAGATTAAAAGTAATTGACCCTCACTTGTTTACATGGGCCACACTCTTAAAAAGATCAGGTTTCCTACTTACAGCATTGAGACAACCTTCAGTAAGATTGTCCCATCTTGTAAGTCCTCGATATTTAACTCTCTGTCTGATAGATGTATGCTGTTGATCTGGAAATAAACAAAAAGTTGTTACAGATGTCCAACAGCATTGCTGCTAACAACATACTGTATTTGCATTGTTTCTAATTTCATCAACTTACCCAGCCAAGAAGAGCCTTAACCCCCAAGTTGATCAGCATTTTGGCTGACCCTTTGTCTCGAAGGGATTCACACCTGAAAATTAACAAAAAATAACGTGTAAACAACACTACGAAGACAGGCAAACGAATGAGCACACCGGTTACTTTCCTACACGCCTTCAGCTCCTTCACTTGTCATGTTTAACCTCGGCTAGCTGGAACAGAAACAAAATTAATGTTTAAAATTGCCCTTCTCGAAATCTTTATAAAACCCATGGAAAACCAACGTGGTAGGAGCCATTATATAGCTTTAACTGCATTTGTATGCTAACAGTTGCTCCCAACACTTAACTGTACGTAAACTTGCGAATGCTGTTTACTTCATGAAACGCAAAGACAGATATTGTTTCCAAGCATTGACTCACCTTTAAAGCGCGGTCCAGTTTTCCAAATATCGTAAAACTATCACGTTTGGAAGAGAAATACAACTCTTTCGACTACCTCCGTGGGGTGTTTGCTACGAAATAAACAGTTTCGAAATTCAAAAAGGGTTGCTGAAGATGAAACAGCCAATCCGTTTGTACTTAATGACGCGTCTGTAAAAGGACGGATATGATTGGTTTGAAATCCGGAAGTTAACTAGCGCTACGTCTTTGCGTATGATAAAATCCAAGGTATGTTACGTCCAAACAAAAAAACTTTCAAATGCACATTAAAGTCCACGATTAGATGTTCAAATTACTCATTGTCTTTATGGTAATTTTCCCTTAGTTTCAGCCCGATAGCAGCACTTATTGTTGACTGTCGACTCTACCCTTCAGAGTAAATTTCGACAAAACGCTGAAAAGTGGATATAAGTGTTCCCAACAGGCAAAATAAAATATCTGTTCCGAATTCCCCCGCATTAATAAATGCAGTTCAAGTGCCGGTTATTTGGCGATAGTACTCCATTTTTTAAACTGGATATCGGTGATTAGAACATTTACATTCCAGTTATTCTAACCCCCACCACAGCCAAACTACAAATCCCGTGATGCACCCGTTCGTTTCCTTGGAAACAAGTTGTTGTCAAGAAGTTCAGTGTTTCTCGTGTGTGTTTTTTGCCTGTTTTTGGTCAGTTTCTCGTTAACTTGAGGAGAGTTTTTTGATACCGAACCCAGGTAAACAGTTTATGAAGGTAAAAACCTGAACGCCAGACTCAAATGCATCCACGGGCTTGCCACAGAAGTGTATTATCCACGACTGGATGGGAAAAGAAACAGTATATTTGGACATAAATGATAGGCCTGTATAATATGGGAAATTTGGAGCACAACGTTGTTGTTGTTTATTAACACATACACATGTTTCTTTATGTAAGGTAAATAATCATGATGGTCTCTTACAGGTGTTAATATGTATGGACCTCCCGTGGATTTATCTTTTAAAAACATCGCCAGTTTGTCAGGTATAAACCTTTTTCTCTGTCATATTACTCTAAGGCTTTTATTCTTTGTGATATTTCATTAGCCTACCTTTACCTTTGGGCACAATATGCTTGCAGTACTAAATGGGCTAACCTTCCAGAAACATTCCCAGCGTTAATGGTTTCTGGTAACTTTTTGCACACAGGCAATGAATATTTTTCTGTAAAAAAAATAAATGAACAAAAAAATTTGGATGCCGTCTGCCTCCTCACTGGGTGAAGCCACCCCAAGAACAGCACCCTCTGGTGACGGACTGCAGTATTGGTCATAAATTCCAGCAATTCCTATGGAGCTGTGGACAAACTTTAGAAATGTATAACACAGAACATAATTTTTTCTCTCCCCTGCTTGCAGTGTTGACATGTAGTTATTGTAAGACTGGTTTGTGCTCAAGTCCTCTTTTTTCTGTGAAGCTCCGTTTTTAAAAGTTATTAGGGGGTTCATGTTTTCTATTATTGACACCTGATACAGCCTATTGGTGTACAAGGATTGCGTAGCTCACCGGGGGATACGCTGTTTGAGCTGAGCATCATCACAGTGACTCTCGGCAACTCTCCCGCCGAATGTGCACATTGCTACTGCGCAAGTGGTTAAGTGCGTACAACGCTACTGCGCAATGTTGGTTTCAGGAAATGGAGAGAAACAAGGAATTACCAAGAGCTTTTTGTCGTCAAATCTGTACACTGGCGGAAGGCGGAACCAAGTTGTCCATAGTATATACAGTCTATGGGTCCAACACATCATAAATAATTTAACTGTCAAATATCATGTCTTATAATCCTGATACCTGGTGAGAAGGTCCTAGTTTAGCCAGCTGGTAATTTAATATATTAACTTGAATGAACTATAACATAAAGTTGAACTTATTAACGACTGTTTAACATGATACCTGTATCTTAATTCCAGATGCATGGACAGAGGAACCAAATAGGGGTTTACGACCTCCAAAGAGAAACCATGAGATGAAGTATGAAAGCCGCTCCCTTCGTCTTAGTAACAACATCATCACTGATCTTCATGACCTCCCAATGACTGTCAGTCACTTCCTGGTTAAGCCCTCTCTGCTTGCCTGGTTGGATCTTTCCTTTAATAAAATCTCCTGCATAAATCAAGTAAGCTTCCTCCTTCCACAGCTTGTTTAGTGTCTTTTTACAGTCTCAGTAAACCTGTAGTATGTTTGTGTGCTTATCTACCAGGTTTTGTGCGAGCTGCGAGAACTGCGTGTACTGTATCTTCACGGCAACAGCATTTTCGTTCTGTCAGAGGTGGAGCGGCTTGGGATGCTCCCATATCTACACACCATCACACTGCATGGAAATGTCATAGAAACCAACAAGACATACAGGTGGGGAGTTACAAATTTGCCCCAGACACACTCATCTTTTGCTGTTAAATGATTGTATGTGAGATACTCCCCTTTGGGACCAAAACCAAAACAGTGAATAAAAATTAACATCTAAAACTGTAAGCTCCTAGCATAACTCTAAAACAGCAAGGAATTTGACAAGTAGCAGAGGAAATTAACACACTATCAGAACCACAACCTGTCATCCATTTGCCATGTGTATAATGAGGGTCCAGTCTCATCTTGCATGGAGTGATTTGACATTGAGAGTTTGTGTCAATGGTAGGTATGAATGTTTGGCAAGCCTACTGGTGGATAACACTGCAACAGATGTTTAAATATAGAAAAAGCTCATATTACATATCCTAGTCTGTCTAGCAGCACTGAATACGAACTCACACTGGAAACCACACACACACTTAAGAAAAAATGCCAGTCTTATCCACTGACTTGACCCATCATTAACCATTGAAGATGAACTAGCTCCAAAGATTTTGTTTACAAAAAGCAGTGGATATTTAAGACTTTTCCCATACTCAACATGTGTATGTGTACAACATTCTTTTAAAATATCTATTGATTTAGGTTGAATATTTTTTGTACACCCAGGAATCATGTGATTTCTGCTCTGCCTGGACTGAAAACAATGGACTTCAGTGCTGTAACACACCAGGAACGTGAACTGGCAAAAATTTGGCATAAAAGCAAAAGTAGCAGCAGTGGAAAAAAGGAGACCCTCCAGTGACAGCTTGCTTATCTCCATCAGGGTAAATTCGAGCCACAAAGTTACCCCCTATGCTCTGTGTACAACTTTCACTCCAGTGATTCTGAAAGTTTTTGTGTTTGCCCAGGTAAAATCATCTGTTAGTAATGTGATATTTTACTCCAGTTTTTCTGAAATGGAACAAATTCTTCATGGATTGTCCTAAAATACGTAGCATGTAAGTCAGCTGAATTTGCTCAATTTTTAAAATTAGACAAGTCAACCAATGACTATTACTTTTAACTTGCTGTGTATCATTCCTGTACTGATTATTTTTCAGATATGAGTTTCTATGTGGTTATGTGATGACAAACAACTGCTTATGTTGAAAATCTTTAATGAATTAATTAAACCAAATGACAAACAAAAAATAAACGCAAATCTTAAAACTTTTTGGTACTAGCCTAAGATATAACAAACATACGTCAGGTAGTATAACACATCAGAGTAACAAACAAAACAGAAAAAATGCCAAGAACCCGTTGCAAAAAGCTCAAATCAGTTGCGGGGTTGAAATAATCACAGCCTTGCAGATCATCCCTTCTTAGAGACTCAAGAGCAACTCACTGTGCTCTCTGCCCACGCATACAGTCACATGCTCTCCTCCAAAGAGCAAATATACATTTAAAAAAACACAAATAAATAATCACAGAAAGGTCTTGGATCATTTTATCTGTGGCGGTACATAGATTGTTAATGCTCTTCCACTCTGCTACAGCGGTTAGTTTCTGATTAATATGGACAACTTGATCATATAACAAAATGCGATCTGATGAGCGAACGAAGGCGAGCCTTAAAAGTGTTCTTGTGTTTCATAAAAACTGTCATAACCACAAGATATTGGCCAATCCTGGACAACAAACTCTCAACAAAAAGAGGAACTTCATACAATCCATCAGGTTTTATATTCAATCAGAAAATTCTGTACAAAGGCATGAATATGAATAAACTTCCATACACACCCACCCCCTTCATCTCCATATGCTGCTATTTAATATGTGAAGCTCTTTGATTTGATTGAAAGAATCGGCTAACTCATTTTCGTTAGTGCTAGAAAACTGCAGAAGACACATTACTGTCTGTAAACAGGAGATACCTATGCCCCAAGAAAACTCCATTTCCCACCCCCAGTGACATCTGCAGGACCTAGCATCCCCCTCGCTGTTTTTGTTTGCATCCTCACCCACCAAAAGACATTAGCCATGAACAAGCCTTACATAATTTGGCCTCAGTTGGAAAAACAGGTTCAATTTTCAATTTTCAGGTTGTAATGAGATGCGATTCTTGGGTCAGGATAAATAAATAATAACCACCAACTTCATGAAGACATCTTCTCCTTCAAAGACATTTTTAGCTTCTTTTATCTAAACTTAAATTTTTTTGTAGTGCGAGGAGAAAAACCGATGAGTGGGCATTATCAATCCAGAACATATGAAAGACAATTTTGAAGTCATGTTGCATGTCATTTTATGCCCAGATATGGGGCTAAAATACTTCACATGTGCACAAAGACCTATGGCACTCTAATCTTTCGTTTATTTCAGTGCTTGTGAGAATCCCCATTTCTCTTGTTTCAATGTGGATTGAATCAAGCATTAACAACCAGAGCCGTTCCAGTTCCACAAGCTTTGGAGAAAAGTCTTGTGTATGCTTGCCTGAGTAGACAGCCTAGGAAAAAATAAAAGACACTGAGGACAATCATACAAATCCTTATCAAATGAGTTCACCAAGAAGGTTGAGTAAGAGTTTTTCCAGGGCTTATTCTGACAAACGGCTGTGCTGTATATGTGATCACACCTCGATGGTTGCTTATGATTATGATTAATTGCCCACCCATAATTGAGTACACTATGGGACATCCACAGGGTGCAATCTTACATCATCTTTGTCTTTGTAGCAGTGTGAGGCAAAGCTAAGAAGCACAAGGGCCAGGATGCTTTAATATAGGTGGGCTGGAGGGTGAGGATGCAGAGTGACAGAGAGAGCAAGATGGGACAAACAGTAGACAGGCCAGAATTGCAAAATCAAGGAATAGCAAACTGGACCACCAGGTCTTCTTTCGCATCCACTTTGATTTGAGAGATTGCACTATAAGCATATGCAGCTATCTTGGAGACCTGCAAGATAAAACAAATAAAAACAGCATGAACAGAAAAGCATGAGACATCATTTTGATCTATTTTTAGCGACACATTTGGCTGAACCCACCACACGCTTAAATGGCTCTCAGCTACACTTGAGGCATATCACTTTCTAATGAGTAGCTCTCTGATGCAAAATGTAGCAACAAAGAGTTAACACATGCTTTAATACAGTTTATTCAATGTATGCTGGTGTATAATTACCTGCTGAACATCTGAGTATGGCACCAGGTCACTTGCAAGCACTTGATGGGGCTGACTGGTGAGGGAGGGGAGAGCAAGGGCTTTTTTCTGGGGCAGACTGTTACTCAACACAGCCAGCTTTGTGCTGAAACAACAAGAAAACACAGTTTGACATAGGCTGAGGTAAGCTGCTGTTCAAGTAAAATACATTTTATCCACAAATCAGATATTTTAAAAATACTTGTGTCTTGTCTTGGGCTTATGTCGCTGCAAATAAAGACTTTTACACTTCTACGTGGCTTGACGGAAACATCACAAATACTGTCAACAGTTGAAATCCTTGCACCTTCTTTTATGGAGACACCAACCATAGGTTTTTGGAGTAACCCGTACACATCCACAAGTAACTTCATACCAGATCATTCTTACTTTAAAATGGTGTGCAGAGAATTTGAAGACTTTTTCTATAGCTCTATAAAGTTCAGAGTTTGGACTTATATACAATCATAAACTGAGGTTTCTTACCACAAACTTCATAGTACCCCAATTCTGGTGTGCTTCCATTGGCTTCCCGTTCATTTTCGAATTCATTTTAAAATCTTACTGCTTGTTTTAACTCTTTTAGTGTTAACCATGTTCCAATCAGTACAATAATAACAAAAACCTTGACCACACTGTTTGTTCAGACCCCTATAATGTTTCTTTTTATATCATGTGTGAAGTATTCTGAATTTACTTGTGCTACAATAATGATACTTGCCTTCCTCTTTCCATACCCATACACTACAAACTAGTCACAACCCTGCATCAGGGCAACAGACCTCCACAACAAATATAACCCGAGTGAGCACCCTCGTACCTGTATTGCCGAGCTTTGTCCATGTATTCATGCTGCTCCATCATGACGGAGTCAGCTGCTGAGACATCAATAATGTTCCTAACAGACAGGAAAAAATAGAGTATGAATAATGCCTATAGTAATAAGGGAAACATGCCAAGTCTGGCTCATGAAGGAATCTCTTACTGTGCTGTCTTGGTTAGGATGGATGTGAGCAGGGCCTGTTCATCTGTCCGCGCTGAAGGGACACTGGTAGTGATCCAGTCTGTCCCATTTGGGGGTTTGCTGACCGGAGGAGGGATCAAAGGCTTACGTTCATCATGGTCCTACAACAGAACAGAAAATACAGATAATAAATAGCATAACACGTAAGAAGAATAGTGTCACATAGCCAGAGAATGGCAATAGTAGATTCCAGTCAAACCCTGCTTAACCCAACCACCCACCAAAACCATATCTGTAATCACAATCAGCTAACAGCTAAAACCAACATTAATCTGTAATCCAACACTGTACTACTTGTTCCCAGTAAAATTGAACTTTCAATTGAATCACTAAAACAAATCAATTTCACACTAATTTTAACCGTATAATCTCATCATCTGATGGTTATCTGACAAATGAAACAAATGTTGTATTGTCAGATCATTTGTTATAATTTCAGTTTAACACAAAAGTAGATGTGTGCTTTGATTCATTCCTTAAGCTACCCTAAATATAAAACTGAGTCTAACTGAGGGAAGCTGCTCAGCATATGAGAAGAACTGCCTTGTTTCCATGATCTAAAAATAGCTCTGGATCTTCAGGATCATGTGACAGAAAACATAAACAAGACAGCAATACTCAAATTTTTAATTACTTTTTGATGAGATCGGTTTGAGATCGGATGAGATCGGTTTATGTCATGGTTCGGTACGTTTATTTGTTTGTTTTTATTAATGCTTCCGATCTGCACAGGGTTTTTCCAGTTTGCTCTATATCATCAATCCCATAGCCACAAACTATAATGCCACTATTCGTCAACATAGCAAAAGCATAATAAATGAACACATAAACAACCTGTGTGTATGTTTCTTTGCTTACAGATTGCCACAGATATTGGTCTCCCTTCGTAACTTTGATCGTTTTAACCTTTGTGAGCTAACTTCAGAGCCTGATCTGAGTCAGGCCTTTCCCGAGGGCTCAAACCAGCAAGCTAAAGCTACTTCTTTTAGGTGACATATCACATGATCGTCTTTACAACCACCTTTCACGACTCTATGGTGCAGTACTTCAATGTATATTATGTGTGAAGTATTCTCGAAAGACTAAAACAAAACAGCGGGGTTTGTTTCTTAATAACAAGCAAATATTAAACGTGATAGTGTTGGCTAGCTAACTGCTAACTACCTGCTCGGGAGTCTCGTTCTCGCTGCTGTAACAGCAACCCATGACGGCATCCGAGGGGCCCAACTACACAACCCCAGCTCTCCTGTTGACCGTCAGAAATAAGCCACGTTTATCTTCTCCGAAAAACATAAACCTCCTCTCCGGTTTCGTTTTACTTTAGCTTCATCTAAAAGTAGGAAGCTACTGTCAACAGCAGCTCTCTGGGCGAGCTATCACATGACAGCAGCCCTGGTGCAACAACAAAACGACCAGTTCCGGTATTTCTGGAGCAACTACGGCCCTCGTCACGTGACGGGGGAGATTTCAAAATCAACCTCTATTAAAAAAAAAAGAGGTAGGCCCACAAAGGGGAGAGTGGGGTAAGATAAGCCATTTTTCATATTTCGGATCAGTACATGAAGACAATCATAGTTGTGTCTCTAACTAGTGTATTTGCATATATTTTAAGATGTTGTGCATCTCTGCAAACCAACAGAATGAGTGTAAACATAACTGTCTTGATAACATAGCATGCCAAAAAAAGTGGTCTCCTATGGTCAACGTACCCCGTGTATGGGGTAAGCTGACCATAGGAGCAGGGTAAGTTGAGCCTTATCCCTCTTCACTCCCTAACCTTCTCTCTCCCTAAATAACAGTCACTTCTTCACATTCATGTGTATTTTTATCTATTATAGGCTATTCAACTGGCATATTAATTTTTTAAAAATTATTATTGCATATATCTGCTGAAAAGCTGTTTTGTGAAAATCCACTTTAACATGAGAATGTCTTTAAGTGATTCAGAACATTCACAGCTGTATTTCTGAAAAGAAAAGTAACACATTTCAACAATCTGAACTGAAACTCTGATCCTCTCATCAGACTCCTTTACTTTCTCAGTTGATCCACTTGCTTAACTTACCCCTGCTGGAAGAGAGTAGGTGAGTTGTGTTTATTCTCTTTGCTAAAGAAATTAGGCAAAGTTAAAAAGATGTTTGGTGGCTAGTGCTGTGGCTGGGATCCTATATGTACTGTTGATGAAGATAGGCGCTGTTCTGAGCATTATTTGTGACTATAGAGAGGCGTTTGGTCGAGGTTTGTTTATGGCTCCTCGGACTGCTGTGTATTGCTATCCTGTGGTCATTTCTAAAGTTGGTATAACTAGAGAAGCAAGCAGTCTGCAACATTCATCTCTGTGTGTTTGCCCCTAAATTAATCTTACGCCGGACTATCCCTTTAATATGGTATCACATAACTTTGTTTCATAAACAGATAACAATTTTCTTAAGGTAAGATACATTTCTTGCAGCCATACTAGTTTTAAGTGCCAGTTCAGCCAGTTACCCTTATTCTGTGGAATAGAACAACTTAATCACATGATAGTACTGAGTAAAATCCATCAGACTGTAGGAAAAAGCAGGATGAGGCATGTTTCTGTCTTGACAAAGATGAAAGGGTCTCTAACACCCTCTGGCAATGTAGGATGGATGACAAACACTCAGCACAGCTTCATGACACAGAGCAGCTATTTCATTTCCCGTACTCTCATTTCACAATAGAAGTGCTCTGTTGTTCAAAGATTTCCAATGTTATACAAATACAGGGAGACTCACCCGCTGTCTCTGAACTCGATTAGCACTCTCATTCTCCCTGAGAGTAAAGTTACACTTTTGGGAGTTTTGTGCAATGGGCCTGTGTTGAAGTCATTTTCTCATAATTTCACTGTATCATTAAGACTGCAAAAGAAAAAACAGAAATCAGAGAATATTAAGTGATTGAGTGAGGGAGTCATTTAGGTCCACTAAATTCACTGAATCTCTGTTTCTTCTTTATAAAACAGATTTTTTTTCCCTATACTGCACAAATTTTAACTTAATAGTATGAAAGCCAAATAACAATGTGGAGGCAGACAGTGGTCTGACGGGGAGGGAGGATGACTGGGAGGCGCCTGCCCTCTCATTAAACCCCCGTTTCCTCCACACCTCTTTGTTTACACCTTCAGGCCGGTCAAGTCCAGGCAGACGTGTGGCAGCTCCTTAGACCTCATTCCAACAAAATGTTTGTTTTTGGGCTCAGTTTAATTCTCCTCTCCGGAGTTTCTCATGCGTCTGACACCGTGGCTCCGGTTCCGCCATCTCTCGGATTCAGTTCCTCGGTTCGTTCGGTGTGTAAACCCATCCCGAGCACCCTGTCTCTGTGCCACGGGATCGGCTACAGACAAATGCGGATCCCCAACTTGCTTGGCCACGATACCCTGAAGGAGGCCCAGCAGCAGTCGGCGGCCTGGCTTCCTCTCATCTCAAAACTGTGCCACCGGGACACCAAAAAGTTCCTGTGCTCGCTGTTCGCCCCGGTGTGTCTCCCTGAACTCAACGAGCCGGTCAGCCCCTGTAGGAGTCTGTGCGAGGCGGTGCGGGACGGCTGCGTGCCCGTGATGAGCGCGTTTGGGTTCCCCTGGCCGGAGATGTTCAACTGTAGCCGGTTCCCGCGCGGCACAGAGCTCTGTATCGCGGCAACAGGAGAGCAGGAGGGGCGGACAGCTGAGGAGGTGAGGCACGAGGAGGCATTGAAAGGTCAGTGGACTAAGGATTCAGTTTTCCCTTCTTGCATTATCTAAGAAAAGTGATGCGAGGCTGTCAGCTAGTCATAATCTTTTTTTTAAAGCCTACTATACTATAAGAAAACTGCAGAAATGTATCTTGATAGAACATTTCCTATTCCCATGGCATTAGGTAAAAAAAGTCACTTAAGGGTCTATGCTGCTCCAGTGTGGCTCCTTTAAGCTGCTAAACTGATATTCCTGCATGAACAAAATTGCCCAAAACAGGTTATAAACAGATACCGTCATGTCAAAACTGGCCTATATTCACATAAGGTGTTAAATATCAATGTTAGGGCATTTTCTGCTCATAAATAGCAAGAAATTTCATATTGTTAAAGCTCCTGTGAGGAACTTTTGATGATGTTGGTGCCCCCTGTGGACAAAGTAATAGTCATCTGCAAACTCTTTTTTGACGTCCTGTTGAGTTTCCTGACAAAAAGTTCACCCTGGGTTATTAAATGTCTCACTTCACTCAAATCTCTGCCAAGGAAAATTATAAATTAAGGTCCTTTCACACTGGGGCCGTTTTTTACGTGCGATTATTTATCGGACGTAAAAAACTTTATGGAACCCGTATCCTGTCAATACAAGCATTCACATCAGCGACGTTTTCCCGTCCTGCGATATTGCAGCATTTATTTTTTCGGATCATGGGCAATTTTTCTCAAGTTTCGCATACTGTGTGTCCACTTCTGACCAATCAGATAGCGTGTTGTTGCGACGTCAGATTCACGGGTATATCCAACATGGCCAACCTAATTGTTAACGTGTCGGAGAACAGAGTGCTTTTTGATAAAATACACAAACATTACATCATCTGTGCTAACGTAAACTAATGGTTGTTACCATAGTTTCATGTGCTTATCTTATCACCTCTGATTGGCTATAAGTGCTGACCGTTTGGCTTGAGCGTGTGATGACGTTTCCAGCTTTTCTAGCCAATCAGAGGCGAAAGAGGCGGGACTTTCCCCGGGAAAAGTCTTCCCTGGGATGCCAAAATCTGCCTTTAGATTTAACACAAAAAATGTATGAGGACAAATTAGGGAAATGAATGAAGCGGTGTGCCTTATTGGTCGACATAAGTATTATTATTATTTGAAATTAATTTTAGGTCAATTGGTCACATGACATGGAAGCTATTGAAGGAAAAAAGCCTTTTCCAAGAACATCAACTGGTAATTTATCGATGGTCCCTTATTCAACACCCGACGTTGACAGTGAGGATGCCGAGTAGATTTAACCTCACTGCTGTAGCTATTCCCGGTTATGGAGAGTGAGAAGACACCAGTAGATCCGCAGTGAATGTCCATCGAATATCCAACCTAAGACCAACTTAACCGCGGTATTTACATGAAAAAGCATTTGTTGCCTCAGCTAACTTTTTTTTATGTGCACGTGTCCCTAAATACATTTTACAATTTGCATACATCTATTTTAAGTCGCGAATGTGAGTGAAACGGTTGTAATGTTGAGTCCTGAGACACCCCCACCTTTGGGCTTAAGTTCAATAATATAAACAATGCTATTATCTCCATTATTTCCATTGTTTAATACAGTGTAGTTACAATCCAAAAAACTGAAGTTATCTTCGTGGGATAAGTTGAAGTTTAACCAGTTTTATCTTATCTCAAAGTTGTTTTGGTATGCTTAGTTGAGTTTGCAGACACTACTTTGCATAAGCATAATACCCTCTCTGTTCCATCCCCCAGGCAGTGTTATCTGTGATGCTTGCAGTCTGGCTGCTGAAGGAGAGACTGACCTCCAGGAAAACTTCTGCAACAGTCCATATGGTGAGAACAAACTGATAGTAATTCAGGGGTTTTGCAGCATGAGCAAATCCTCACGAAAAATCTATGTAATGAATTTGGTTTAAAAAACTTCATTCTTATCAAATCAAAAAAGAACAAACAGTAGCAGAGATTAAGAGGCTCTTTTACAATGTGTCTAAAGTATCACCTACTGAAGAGCGTTCTTCTGTCTGCTGCAGCATTTAAGATGCGTCTGAGCAGTGTGTCAACAGTGGGTGGGGACCGTCAGCTGGTGCCTACCGCCCGTAGCCGCATCTTGAGGTGGGCAGGGGGAGGTGCAGAGAAAGCCGAAGGAATCGGAGGTGCGATGGCCCACAGCGCTTTGTGGCTTCAAGAAGGAGCCACATGTATATGTCCTGGATTAGACTCTGCAGAGACAACAAAAGACAAAGTGTTGGAGGAAGACCAGAAGAATAAAAGACACGTTAAAGAAGGGGGAAAGGAGGGGAACGGGGCCCCAGCTGGATGGTTCCTGACTCTGGCGCAGGCTGAGGAGGGAAGACTGGTGCTGACTCGTGTGGTGAAGTGGAGCAGAGGGGACAAAGAGCTGAAGAAGTTTATCCGAGCTCTGCTGAAACAGCCCTGTACAGAGCTGTAGACGGAGACTGACTTATCTACCACAATTCTGCACAAAGGATGTGTGCAGCTTATGAAAACTCTCGATATTAGGAGAGTCACTGAGAATTCCAGTCAGATTTTTTCTTTTTTTCTGCAATATACAACACAGTAATCCACTTACATGTAGACTTAGATACATTATGAAATATATATATTTTTAAACATCTATTCAGATATCTTTAAGTCTACATAATGACCATTTTTCTTGATAAGTTGTTGGTAACCTCTTACTCAAATACCAAAAATGATGGTAAGACTGTATTAAGAAAGTGACATGGCAGAAAGAGGTTGATATAACCCCGGTTGCTGCAATATTTCTAGGGTTTTTGTACATTTGTCTATGAAAAAGTAAATAAATGACCATTCATTGAAAGAGTTGAGTAATCTCAGCAATGATTGCAGGATTGAAGGCTGATTCCATCACGTTTTCCACTGATATGTTAATTCCAAGCTTCAGTGTTATTTCTGATATGTTGAAATGTTTCTGTTTATCGTCTGTTCTGTCACTATCACTACATCATGGATACAAAAGAACAAAACTAACACGTTTTATAACCCCAAATTTTAAATGTGATGTAAACAATATATAATTGATTCGTTCTTTTTCTATCTTAGCCTATTATGACATTTGTTTGTGATATAAATTACTCGACTGTATGTTCATTTAATGTCTGATTGATTTTTACATTTTAAAAGTTTTGATCAAGAAGAGCCTTTATTTCTTGCACTGACTCACACTCTTTAATAATCTTGTAATTGATGTCTTTTTGGGGATATATTACTAGATCTTTCCATCATGACATTGCAAAAAAAAGAAATTTGATTCCTCTCAGCCACACAAAGACACACACCTGTTGATGTTAACCTCGTATATCAAATGTCTGTTTCACTCTTCTTCTCACTGTCTCTGCATTTATCATCGGAACCGAACTTTTTCTAAACATCTGAACAAAGGCTGCCCAATCATTAATGACGACTGTTCAGTAGGCACCGACTAAATCAGGGTCCTGTTTATGCCTATTAATTGTAAATAAATGCAAGACTTCACTGTCATGCGTGTGATGCATGAATTATTCAAAGCCCCAGGTCTCTTAGCTTCTCTTACACAGCTATAAGGCCACTCTGCCGTTCCTCACTCACTCACCTCAGCTGAACTGCTACTTTCATCTCGATTTGACAAACCAGGTGAGTAAAACTATTTACAAATTGCTGTTCGAAAAACTGTATTTGGTTCAAATATGTTACCAAAGTATCTGTTTGGTGTGGAGTCTAAAGTAACCCAAGGTTGGGGAAATGCCTGTAGAGAGAGCTCTTTCACTATCTACTCCACAACAACTAGAGCAGAAAAGATGGCTCCTGTCTAAGTTTTCTGTTTTGTTTTGGTTCAAAAATAGTTGTGGTGGTCTGAGAGTATAATTATAATCCACAGTAAAAGCCTCACATAGTCTTATGGGAGCACTTAAGTGTTCCTTAAACAGACTTATTATTTCTTTGCATTAAATAGAGCGCCTGAGAACATTCTTTCCATAATGATTCATAGTTTGATCATAAATAAATGTATTAAACTGGTCTTGATGCAGAGCCTTTGGTACAACGGGGGAAAATGTGGTGTTTTAATAACCCATATACACTAAGTGTTTCATGAAAGAATAAGGAATTTCTCCTTCAAAACAAAAAGGAAGTGATCATAAGTAAGGATGTATACTAAATTTATATGCCTCATAATACCAAATAAGTAAAATCAGATAGATACAAATATCATGTGACCACGTTTACATTGTTTGCCTCCATTGATATTGAAGTAGTGTGTCTGGATATATGCAGAAAATAAAGGAGAAAATCCTGATTCAAGCAGGTCTTGATCCTGAAAAATATTCATCTCTCTTCACATGAAAACCTCTGGGGCCAAATAGTATGATGATAAACAGAACATCTCTGACCAAATACGATTTCCAAAAAAGAAAGAAAAATTCTCCTGTGCTTAGTTAAAAAAAACACAAGTTAGATATTTATGTAATTAAAAAAGGTGATGACTCAAACAATGGGAAATATACAACCAGAACCAAATACAGCTGGTTGTTCTTGGGGCATAAGACTACCCACAAAACAATGGTTAATAGGTGACGCCTGGTCCCTCATTGTGTGTGTGTGTGTGTGTGTGTGTGTGTTACCTCACAGGATGGTGTCTCCTGCTATCGCTCTGGCCTTTCTTCCCCTCCTGCTGACACTAATCATCAGGTACCGGTACTACTTTGTGCTGTTTTATCGGGCTGTCCTTGTCAGGATATGGAGGGACTGTGTCACCGGTCTGAGCAGAGAGGAGCGAGCCTTCCAGTATGTCCTCACTCACGCCACCCCTGGAGACCCTGACAGCATCCTGGATGCCTTTGATATCTGGTGCAGCAAGGTGGAGTACATTAGCAACATTGGGCCCAAAAAAGGTGCGGAAAATTACCTTGAATGACAACTTCTCTTTTTCAAGACATGATCTCATACTTATGCACCTATTTTTTGTTTGTGAAAGTAGGAAAGATCCTGGATCGGCTTCTGATGGAGCAGAGCCCTCTGACAGTGCTAGAGTTGGGTGCGCACTGCGGGTATAGCACTGTACGGATTGCAAGGGCTCTACCCCTGGGTGCCAGGCTCTACAGTGTTGAGATGGACCAGAAGAACGCTGCTATTGCTGAGAAAGTCATCCGCCTGGCAGGGTTTGATGATGACACAGTAAGACAGCATAAACATGTTCTTTATTTACAACATTTTGGCATCTATAAGTTTTGATTAAAAAAAAAAAAAAAAAAAAAAACCTTGGGGATTTTTTTTTGTCAGGCATAGCATATTATATAAAATACAAACAGTGGTAAAAGCTCCTAGCAGTCAACCCATGGAGATGTGATCTTAGGTCCCATTTTTGAGTATTAAACATAGATTTTATGGGGTTCATGCCTCCCTTCTCCACCCCTTAATTCACCCCTGATAAGCTCTAAATGACTCATGAACAAGCCACCACTATTATTTGCTCTTACATTTATCTGAATCATTTGTCATACGTGAAGCTTCATACCCATGTTGTGTCTATGCTCTGTTTTCCAGGTGGAGCTTATTGTGAATCCGTCTGATGAGGTCATCCCTCAATTGCGGTCTGACTATGGTTTGGAAAAGTTGGATTTCGTCTTTATGGACCACTGGAAGAAATGTTACGCCCCAGATCTGCAGGTGACTACACCACATATTCAGACATACGGGTTATTACAATTCAAAATAAGGGTTTAAAGTAAGCCTCAATAGATTTATTGAAGACTAATACTTTTGTTTAGCTAAAAGGTTTCTATAGCTTGTTTCTTTAAATACAGTTCTAGTCCCTGTTGTTACCTTGCAATGATCCTTCGTCTGTGTTTCACAGATGCTGGAAGGCTCTGGCCTCCTGGGAAAGGGGACCATGATTGTGGCTGACAATGTGCTGTTCCCTGGGGCACCGAAGTTCCTGAGACACATTCGCAGGAGTGGACTGTACGAGTGGAAGGTTCACCGGGCCACTCTGGAGTACAGCACAGGCATCAGGGACGGGATGGCTGAGCTGGTGTATCAGGGAACCAACTAGATTATGCAGACTGGGATATCACTTTCTACAAGTGTTACACAGATTCAGGTTACACGTGTGGCAAGCCAGGTGGTAAATTGATCATGTGCTTACTATTAAAAAAAAAAACTCTGATGAAAGACACATTATGCTGCCTGAAAATTTCCCAATCCAGAAATGAATCATAGCTCAATTCCAGAATCTGTGTGATTATTACTTTTAGGGTCGTGCACTGCCAGTGCCCTCTGCTGGAATAACAGAGAGCTATAAGAATAAGCCATGATCAAACAGTTGAACAACCCCATCCAAAACAATACAGGCCTCTATGTAAAAAAAAAACATTTACCTTTTAGTCCTGCTGGGGTCTTCCTTTCTTCTCATAAACCATGCTTTCTTACATATTTGGAGAAAATAGTATGAGACGGACTCATAAATCTGTTATTCAAACATCATGGCTTCATATGTGAAAAGAAAAAAAGGACAAGAGTATATGGAGGATGTTGTGCTGATTCAGCCAAATAACTTAATTGTCATTTGCTAAATAGATCTTTTTAATGTTCAAGTTTTTATAATGCAAATATTTCTATTCATTCATAACCTTCATAAATCTGATCTGGTTTTGAATGTTGAATTATTGTGAATAGTGGACTTCCCGAATAAATTGTAGAAATTATTTTTAAAAATTCTGTCATAGTAAAAGACTCTGAGATCTTTAAGTCATGAACATCAGCCAGTCCCAACCCACTGATTTTTTTTTCCAAACTCAGTCAATCAGAAAAAAATGAGGTTTCATCAAAAGTATTTATTTGTACATTTTACTATAAATAATTCAAGCTCTTGTAACCAAACCTTTAACTTAAACATCAGAAAACAAGATGGATTTACTGCTGTATTCATGTTCTAGTCAGCATTTACCAATCAAAATGGCTGTTTCCACTATTTCCTACATAGTTGGAAAATATTAAAAACAATACCTGAACATAACTGCATGTTACAAAGTTTTACAAATAAATTTGTAACAAAAGATTTGCAGGATTAAACACTGCTATGAATCTGCATCGGATGAAAACATGTAGTTTCTGTGAGTAACTTTCATAGATAATGAATTGTTCTGCTGACTGAATGGTTTTCTGTGCTCAGTCAGCTGTTTGGATATGCTCTGAAGAGTGACACATGACTTGAGATACGGCAAAGTTAAAATTTAATTGGTGGGTGACTGGACTGGTATCTGCTGTCATAGTTTGTGTGCATGTGTATTTGACAAGATACAAACAGTGAGTTCTTGGATGAGTAAAAGTCCATCACAGAATCACATGTTCTAGCAGAGAGAAGAGCAAGTGCACAGGTGCCAAAATGTACATTCGTGCCACCTCTATTTTGACACACACCACTTCAAAACAGTTTCATTGCATTAAGACCGCAACACTCACAGCTCCAACAATTTCCAGAGCCTTCAAGCCCACCTCTGTCTGAACAGCACATATCAGTGACACAGCTTGATTGTAGCTTCTTCTCCTCCCATTTACACAAATAAAAAAATATATGTATCCATGACTGAAGGGACAGCATTCATGTTGTTGGAGGAAAGCAGGATATTCTTTACCCACCAGCTTGATGTTGACTGGCATTGAGTTTTGTCTTAAATCATCCATTGGTCTTGGTCTTGGTCTGGTCCTTCCATGTCAACCTAAGAGAAAGCAATAGAGCCAGATTAAGAATAATAATCTTTCTGCGTGTGGAGATATTTATTACGACGCAGTACTGACTTCAGGGCTGTAAAGATATTTTTAAAAATTCACCTCATTGATTTCACCATCATCAGGTGACTCATTATAGTCATTCATCTCATCCATGTCCTGCATGTCCTCCTCATCTTCGGAGTCTTCCTCACTGTCCTCCTCATCCTCATCGTCCTCTTCCTCCTCATCCTCATATGCTCCCTGCACCAGAGTAAAATCAAAGGAGAGAGATGTGTGCTGGGACGATATGCTTTTCTCCTGAGTGGATTCTTTAATGATTTTTTTGAATGCCGAGCCAATTTAAATTGCGATTTTTACGTTATTGTCGATTTTCTCTATGTTTAGTCTGCATTTTTAACACCAGTGAAACAGGTGAATGACTATGATTGTCTACTGACTATTCCAGGAACCATATTTCCCCCAAAAAATCCCACCAAACATCGGACGTCAAAGAGACATGCAGATCAAGTCAGTATTGGGTCAGTCTGTCAAAGACCACATCTAGATGTCAGTGCAACGTGCAAAATAGGTTAGAATTTCGACATCCAAATTAACGTTTAGAATATAGATTTCCGAAACAATCCCACAACAAAAACAGTCTCGGTGTGAAAGGACCTTCAGACGTCATTATTGCACCTCTTTTATACGGTGAAATGACATCCATATTTGTACCTCATTGTCGAAAAAATACGTTAGATAGATGTCAGTTTGACACTGCATTGCACAGTGGGATACACATCACATGAGGTCTGTTTTTAAGAGTTAGTCTTAAATTTGAAAAAAAAAAATCGATTTAAAAATTGTAAAACAAAAAATCGCGATACTTATAAGAATCGATTTTTTTTTACTCCCACCCTAGCATATTGCCACGGAAACGTAAGTGTAGCATTGATTTCATCTCAGAGTTACATACCGAAACATCAAAAATCGGTTTCCCGATGGGCATCAGGTTGTTGTCTTTCTCTGCAATGCTCTGCAGCTGTGGTGGAGACACGGGGAACATATTTCAACAAATCATGCTGGGGGTGTGAAGGAGGCTGTGTTACAGCAGCATTAGTCCATACTTACCCATGTTTGATGCTGCTGCTCCTGCTGGTGGAGCTCGCTCTCATCCACGCAGGGTCGGTCCAGGTTGAACCATAGTGATTCCGTTATTCGTGGGAATAGAGAAGGGAACAGCGTGGACATGACTGAGACACAGAGACAACAACAACAAACGGCGTTTTAACATCAAACAGAGCGGGCTGAACGACTGAGAAAGTCAACACGACACCCGTTTAGGTCTTAAACGAAGTTTTGCTATAACATACATTTTGCGTTCATTCGTAGGATAATATATTTAAAGTCACTTATTTTGCAAAACATTTGTGAATCCGGTTATTTAAAGCGAAATTAAAGCTTACCGTGGTGCCGTGACTTGCCCGGCTGCCTTTCGAAACATTCAAAACACTACAAACCGGAAATCATTGGTGTTCGCATTTAGTGTTTCCGAAACCTACTCGCTGCTACTCGGGTGTCATTTACCGAAGGTTCCGCAGGGTTGGCAGTTGTGGCGGTTTAGCGATATAAAATGTATTATTATTATTATTATTATTATTATTATTATTATTATTATTATTATTATTATTATTATTATTATTATTACTACCGTTTGTCAGATTAAATTGATCCAATTTACTTCAAGAATAATAAGAATAATAATGTTATAATAATTAATAATGTATTGACCCCCATACTTTCAAATCACTCCTAAAAACACACCTTTTTAAATTGGCTTTTAACCTGTGAACTGTTTCTTTTATTGTCTTTTCACGTTGTGTCTTTTTAACCTTTTACATTGTTGATTTTATTTCTGAAAATGTTCTGTATTTTAAAATGTCTTTTTTATTTTTTTTGTAAAGCGTCTTTACACCTGTAAAAGCGTGTTATAAATAAAATTTATTATTACTATTACCGTTTGTAAGATTAAATTGATCAGAATTTTCTCTCCAGAGGCACAACTTACTCTACGCCAGGGGCAGGTTGTGCAACAAGACCACTTTTTTTCTCTAAAGCTATATTTTTCAAACAGTTCATTAAAAATCTGAAGTGACTATTCCTAAGGATGCACCATATCCTAAACTGTATGTACATATTTTAGTTGGATCTATTACTGTCAACCCCTTGCTTTAAAGAACTTTTAAGTAAAACCTGGCAAAACTCATCCCACTCTCCCCTACTCTAAAGGGCTTCACATTTTAAATCACCTTGTGTGCTCTGAATCAGCATAGTGTCTTGTGAGACTTGTATTTTCAGCTGTAACAATTTACAACCAGAGAACATTTGTTTAAGTTTCAGCTGAATCAGTTGACCGACACTACATGTGCAGCAGAAACTTATCTTAACTGCCGGCCTATAATTGCCTCGAAGGTCACAATGCCATTTTGAAGCAAATGTCCACAGCGTGTGTGACAAAGCTGTCTGGACCTTGAGATAAGACAAACCTTGTTGTTATTATGACGTTACAAAACAGATTTCACATACCTACCACCTCCTTCAAATTTTTTTCTTCCACGAGCACACACAGGCACACTTGAGGTAGACTTTGTACTTTGGAGAGATATTAATTGAGAGTGAAGTTCAACTCAAGTTCTCTAATGTGTGTTTGAAGGTGGATCAGTCCTGGTGTAAGGAGTGTATCTTGGATGTGCCTCAGGAGGAACTTTACCAGCTGTCACAACTCATTCACGTTGGAAACAGATGTGTGTTTTATAAATTCTTAAGAAGTCTGTTTATTGCGACAAGCTACAGTTCAATAGGATCACATTTTTATTAGGAAGTCATCCCAGAATCAAACAAGGTATGTTCTTTTTTTATATTATTTATCACATTTATTTTTTTAAGTTGATTAATTTTAGAACTCTTCTCCGCTTTCATTGAATGTGTTTCCTCAAACTGTAGAGAAGTTATTGAGCAAATAAATCACATGAAGCTCTTGTGAAACTTTGGCTATTTCTGTTTTATCATGTATAATCTTGATAGCTGATTTATAATGAGCAATTTGGTTGTAGTGGAATTTTCTGGCATGATATATCTGGAAATGTTTTGTTTTAGTGATCCCAAAATATTCTCGACTTTTGAAATCACAAAAATGAGAAAAGCCGGTTATTTTGAGTCTCATCCCCTGGGACCAGATGGTTTAACATTTAACAACGTTGACTATCAATCGATGCTATCTTTGTCTGTTTTTTTTTTTCAATAACCTTACAAAAATACAATGATAAAACCTCAATGCCCCCCTGCTGCAGTGCCATGTGGATTGTCCCTGTCTTGCTGCTAGCCCTCTCCAGCGGGGTTCTATCTCTGGATAAACTTAACATATGTATGGATGCCAAACATCACAAAGTATCTCCTGGACCTGAGGGAAAATTATACCTTCAGGTATTGAATAATAAAGTCTAAACATATTCCAGATTTTTTTTTAAATTGTGCTTTTAATTTTCTTGTCTCATCTAAACTTTCTGATACTATGACATAAGAATAACCTCTTTTCTCTCCCCCTTTCTTCTAGTGTGCTCCATGGAAAGATAATGCATGTTGTACAGCAAACACCACTGAAGAAGCCCATGAAGATAATTCCTACCTGTACAACTTCAACTGGAATCACTGTGGTGCCATGAGTGATAGGTGCAAAAAACACTTCATCCAAGACACCTGCTTCTATGAGTGCTCCCCTCACTTGGGGCCTTGGATTCAAAAGGTGCGTGCTTCACATATTTGCAGTCAGCTTCTGCTGTATGTGTGTGTCTGCAGCACTAGATGGCAGCATAAGAGGCAGGAAGAGCTAGTAAAATCTACTCAGATGTGATTACAGTAATAAAAAGATAAGAAGCTAATCACTTTTTATTAAGATGAACTTTGTAACACTCACCTGTTCAAGCTGAAGGAATCTTTACTCTATCTTTACACTAACCTTACAGAAACTGTAAGGTGAGTTAAGGTCAGTTTTAGGAATACATGTCTCAGGTTCAGATCATGTGAAGTAGCTGTGTATGTCCGTCTGAAGGTGGATCAATCCTGGCGTAAGGAGCGTATCCTGGATGTGCCTCTGTGCAAAGAAGACTGCCATGAATGGTGGGAGGACTGCAAGAACGACTTTACCTGTAAGACTAACTGGCACAAGGGATGGGACTGGAGCTCAGGTATGCATTAAATATGAGCACACACAAACACCTCATCCCTGAAAACTTACAAGAAGGTCAATGCAGACATGCTTATTGTTTGTACACTCAAAACACAGATATCTTTCATGCAATCTAAATAAAATCCAAACATATATGAGAAACAAGTGGACTCTGAAAACTATCTCCCCTGCAGGTATGAACAAATGCCCCCTTGACAGTAAATGCAGAAAGTGGACCGAAGTTTTCCCCACACCCAAGGATATGTGTGAAAAAATCTGGTCCAACTCCTACCTTTACACCACCCACTCCAAATCCTCCGGCCGCTGCATGCAGCTCTGGTTCAACGGGACGAACCCCAACACGAAGGTGGCTGAGCACTACCTCAACAGTGCTCGGCAACAGCAAAGCTTTGCTTTGACCACGCTGCTTTTCCTGGCTGTCACAGCTTCATCTATGATGCAGTAGCAGAATCATAGCTTTGAATCATCCTTTATTATTGCGGTGTAATCAATAAACTTATTTTGAATGCCTCTTTGTCTCTTTTGGTCCTTCTAATTTTAATTTCTTGTATCATAAATATCAGATTTGTTTGTTTTAATGTCTAGAGATGTGGTTAGAATACTTGAATACAATACAAAACTTGCCTCATTTTTTGTAAGATCTGCATTTCATCCAAGTGAAAAAAACTCTTAGTTTTTCCTTGAAATAATTCTTCACATTTTTTTCCAGTATTTTTTTTTTCCGTACAACCTGTTACTCTGTGATCATTTTCTACAGTTTCATATGGAGTATTTGATGAACAAGATCAATATTGGACCCGTTAGAACCTTTCCAATCAATGGTGTGGCAATATATAATAGCCTATGTTGATTTCAGGATAGAAAAATGTGTGGAAAAATCCCACACAAAAACAGGATTATAGTTCCAGCATTTACAGCACTGCAGTTTTGTGACATACAAAGTGAAGCAGATTCAAAAATCTACGTGGGTACAGCATACAAAAGTGGAATAAACTTTTGCACTTCAACGAGGCATGAAGGCTCATGCAGCAAACTGTATTACTCCACAGCTCTGGCATGACATTTTTTGTAACTACAGATCAGTTTAATAACCCCTTCATAACCTCAACAGCTGGTGAAACTGACCCAGGATCTGCAAGGAAGGAAACCTCTATGCACTGGTCCCCAGTGATCACATCATCACATGACCATTCTGAGCCAGCTAGTGGTTAGTGGGCCCCACTGCTAGGTAATTATGGAGTTCCAGTCCCGTGAGTGATGTGTGTGAGTGAGTGTGTGTGTGAGTGTGTGAGTGTGCATGCATGTGTGTGGAAGTAGAGAAAGTAAGTGTGTGTTTAAATGCCTCTCTTCATGTGTTCCCTGTGTTTAAGGGTTTTTTTTTGTGTGTCACACAATCTTCATATGCATGCGTTATGTGTTAGTGCCACGTGTGTATGTATTCCACCAGATCTGTTAAATTGACTCTGTGATTGGTTAGCGCGTATGATATGGCAAGGAAGGACTTAAGCTGATAAGAGATAAATATGACATATACATTTGACAACTTCTGTGTACTCTGTACTTTTACAACCAAGATTTGAGACAATTATCTCATAGTTTTAATAAGACACAAACAGTGTAGTTAACAGTGTCATATTGGAGAATGTTACTGACCAAGACCATACAGTAGGTATTAAAGTTCTGCTCCTCCCTTTTCACTGATAGTGACATCCTTCCTGAAGATACCACTGCATGAGTCAATATTGCATATTCAGCTTGGAACCTCAGAACAGTCTTTCCTGCCTCATTTCTCTGTCAGAATCACTCACTAAAGCAATTCACCTAGCAATAATGTTGACCAAGAGGAGTATGCATTTTCACTTTGTGCACAAATACTGTGCATTTACCAAAGAACAGTAACCATGAGGGGAATTGCGAAAGATACAGGGCAGTTGGTTGTATAGTTTGTTATTGTGTGTGATGTGTTTTATGTGTAGAGAATTAAAACACTTGGGAATGGTTTACATTAGATGATGTAAGGCATTTACAGTTATTCAGTTATTTCCTCACCTGATATTTACAGAATTGATGTTAAAAAAATATGTTTTTTGGCATCCAATATGTCTAAATCAAACTACTGTAGAAAATTCTATGTGAGATGGATGCTAAAAGTCACACTGTTGTGCCAAAAATGGGTAAAAATGTTGCTGATTCTGACGAGGGAAGTTGATAAAAGTTGAGCTTGAAAAACTAACACTGATCACACATACAGCAACGTGTCTAAAAAAGTGTTTGTAGACATCTGTCTCAAAACATGGCCACTGGATTAGAGAACAGGATAATAGAGTATTTTAGCAGCCACATTGTCTGTTATTTGTCCTCAACCTCTGGCCTAACTTGGCAGGATTTAGAAATAGTCCATTCAGTGTCCATCCATCCAACAGTTAAGTTTTCCAGCCAAGCTCTTAGCACAGCTTTAGACCCTTTTCTCTGTTTAAAAACTAAACTGTGGTAAGATGCGAGAAAAAAGTGCAAATTGAGTTATTTTTAAATTGGATTTCTGGCAAAGCAGTGTAACCATGATCCAACATCTGGCCACACGCTTTTACAATCCCTGCATGCAGACATATTGTCAAGCCACATACTTTTACAGTCTCTTTTACACACTACTCACACATACACAGACACAAACGAGTGCAGAGTGTGATGCCATCGCCAGAAATAGCTCTGGGATGGCTGCTGTCCTTTCTGGCTATTAATACTCGTTGGCAACACAAACCACCCTGCCCAGTTCTCGCCCTCTGTCTCTCACTTTTACTCTCCCTCCCTCTGGATTTATGCATGTGTGCAGCCACACCACATTTTTGGAGTCATACTTATTTAAGGACTACTAAAAAATAAAAAGCTGTTTTTCTCTTACTTTGGATTGGCTGTTTCTAGTGTTTTGACATCCTTTCCCTTCTAAGTAAACAGTTACACCTTTGGGCATGTGTACATAAGTGTAAATGTGTGAGTGTGGTTTGTAAAAGAAAAGTATTGCAAAACTGGGACTGGAACTTGTGTTAAGAAATGACTGCCATGCTGTAGGTCAAAATTAAGAAGAAAACCGGTTGACATAACTGTTAAGAATACAAAGTAGACCAATAATATCAGATTAGTAAAGGAAAAGGCAAGGTTTATACTGGGGATTTTTGAATCATAATGAAAACTGATGAAATATCAGCAGCTGAATTATCTTTTTCACTTAACATTGGTGGGTGTACATTTTAGAAAATAAGTTTGCCTTAGAATACTTAGATCATGTTAAGGAGACATATTATGCCCATTTTCACCATTCAAAACAGCCCCTGTGGTCTATGAGAACTTTCTATGTCATGCTGTGGTCAAAACATGATGAGGATCAAGCACCAGAGGAGGTTTTAGACATTGTATAAACCAGCTCTAAACAGCTTTTCCCAAAGCTGTCTGTTTAGTGTGCGGGTATTATTACTGCGATGTTATAATGCACAATTTTGTACCTCACTTTTCTCCATCCCTTATTTCCTCCTCCCTCTATTCATTCTTTACTGGGTTCCTTGCATGGACTGTATATAGAATGGACAGCGTCTACCTGGGTGAAGCCACTACCAGAACAGCACCCTCTGGTGACGGGCTGCAGTATAGGTCATAAATCCTGCCGGACACTACATGGCAAGACGCAATGCATGACGGGGTGCCCACCACCGGTAAGTGACCATCGGATGGTCACTACATTTTGCAATGCTCTATGGGAAATTTTGAGTCGCCCAAATGGGGCATTGTAATTGATCACTCAGGTTTCGAACACCCCTCAAAATGGCACTAACACACATATAGTCGCCTATGTAGGGGTTAGGGATCCTTTTCGGACACAGTAAAAATATCACACACGGGAAATATACTGTTTGAGCTAAACGTCATCACAGTGACTCTCCCGCCGAATCCGCACAATTCTACTGCGCATGTGGTGGAGTGCGTACAACTCTACTGTGCAATGTTGGTTCCAGGAAATGTAGAGGAAACGCCAAATTACCCAGAGCTTTTTGGCTTCAAATCTGTATACTGGCGGAAGGCGGAACCAAGTTGTCCATATTATATATAGTCTATGGTCCTTTCCCCCTTCTATCGTCAGGAGAGCGGTGTCAAGGCTGTCTGGTTTTGTCACTTTGTCTAGCGTCTTTATTTACATTCGTCAAAAGCCTGTCTTATTTTGAAGGATTCAACCGGAAGCGCGTTTCATTCATATTAGCGGTACTTGACGCAGGTCGCCCCACTGTTGCTCTCCGGTCTCCAGTGTGGATTTACATACCCTGATTTCCGTGGGACTGGGGAGCTGAAGAGGAGGGTAGTGAGCCTTCCAGGAACTAAGGAAACAGCCGCAAACAGCGAAACGTTACAAATGTACATCCTGTAGCCTTAATGTTTGTTGTTTCACGACTTCAAACCACCGGAGTAACAGTCCATCCACTTTTCTGTCGGCTCCACGCAACTCCACGCAGTATTTAACAGTCTGGAGGAGGGCTGCGAGGTTTTCAGAGAAGCCTGGAAGCAGCTCGAGTTGAAACCCGGTTAGAAGGGCTGTGGCCATGGCCGGGGGTGGTGGCGGTGGTGGAGGGGTTTCTCCGCTGGGGCCCGCACCGCCAATGTGGTATCACCGGGACCTGAGTCGAGCGGCGGCCGAGGAGCTGCTGGCCAGAGCCGGGAGAGATGGCAGCTTCCTGGTGCGGGACAGCGAGAGTGTCAACGGAGCATACGCTTTGTGTGTACTGTGAGTAACTTTCGCTGAAAACACAAGCCTGGTAGAACTTCTTAAAACTTTTGTTTACAATTTCTTGTCACTTTCAGAGCAGATAAGATTGTATCTTTACTTTTATTTTGGATTTGACAGTGTTTTTATGGTCAACAGTTTGTAGATGTATTCAGGGAATCCTCGTTTTTTCACGTTAAAGCCACTGCTTTGTTTGCTCTACCAAGTTGTAATGTTTTCCAAGCTGTACCTATGTAAACTCTCCCTTCATTTGCTGTTGTATGAGCTCAGCTTGTACATTAAACCTGCACTAAACTGCCTCCAGCCAAACATGTTTACTTGCCCCTTGAAGTAAGAGGCAGAAGGAGAGAGTCTGTATGTCTGCCCGGCAGTGAAACTCCAGCATGGCACTCAACTTTAGGGCTGTCCCTGTCTGTCTTGTATCTGATGTGGTTGCCTGCAGTGCTGTTTTTACAGGGCACTGGAGCTGAATGGTGGTGGAGGTATATATAAGCATCCATGGGCTGGTGAGGCCTAACTGATGTTTTAATTGAAGGCTCAAGTAAAATGAGCACAGCAGGGGCACAGCTGCTTTAGTCCATGAGTTACACACAATTTACCAAACTATGACAGCATTATGTGTGCCGTGCCAGGATTGACATCCTCTGTTTAAAGGGGGGATGACAAACTTTGGCTGTGTCCGGAATGAATCACTCAATCCCTAACCCCCTTATGGGGTTTCACTATATAGTTGACTATGTAGTGAACTCAATCACTGGAGGTTTCGGACACTACATGGCAAGACGCAATGCATGACGGGATGCCCACCACCGGTGAGTGACCATTAGATGGTCACTACATTTTCAATGCTTTATGGGAAATTTTGAGTTTATGTGGGGCACTAGAATTGATCACTGAGGTTTCGGACACCCCTCAAAATGGCGCTAACCCCCATATAGTCACCTATGTAGGGGTTAGGGATCCATTTCGGACACAGCCTTCGTCACCTTTTGTGCAGAGAGTGATGTTTTGACACCAAATAATCTCTGTGGTTAGGAGGTATCCTGACCACAACAACAAAGTCACAGACTTTGATATAGAGATACCCAAGAGATACCCAAGTATCAACACACATACTGTGCCAAAAGTGTTAGAACAAAGAAAAGGGATGCTGAATTTATTAGTAGTTCAAATAAGTTGTGTGCTGGAAATAAAGTCTGTCTTGTCATGTGATCAAACATTGATTTGACCTACATGCCCCCCCTCCATCTGGTGTTTACCCAATGCTGAGTTCAATGTGAGTGTGTTTACATGTAAACCATAACCAACTGGTGCATAAATATCTAATTGACCGCACTTAAAAGAGAATACATACCATGAAGGAGTGGTTGTAATGTTTCTGCTTTGCCTTCTGTGGCCAAGTCTGCAAAAGTTCAATTCCTGGACTACTAAAGAAAACACAGGAATCACAGGAATGACGTTAAAGAGTGACACAATCACACTTTTCATACTTGCTGAATGCACCAGTAATTCAATGGGTCACTCAATGCCAACAACATTCCTCACATCCATGCATCATCCGTCGCCGGATGTATTCCTGCCCCCACCTCTGCCTTCCTCTCTCCTTTCACCTTTCATGGAGTGTTTAATCGGAGACAGTTTCTTTCATGATACTGGACTATGATTTTGGATGGACATAAACAGTATATTATATAACCGCTGCTTCTTCATTTTAGCAAAGGATTTAGCCTGAACAAGATGACATGACCCAGTCACCATTAGTATTTACTTTAACTCTTAAACAGATGACAGATGCAACCACCTATCCATCCATCCATTACCCCCTATCTCTTCCAGGGTTGTAGGAGTGTCGAAGCCTATCCCAGCAGTCACTGGATAACATACAGGGTTGCCAGTTGGTCTCAGGACTGACACATGAAAACAAACAACCATTCACACACACTTACACCAATGGTAAATATAGATACAAACACAACTAGTGTGAAGATTGGCAGGTCTTGCACTTGTTTGTCACTTTGTCTTGATCACACAGCAGACTGATATCAATGAACTAAAACTATCATGGTCTCAAATGTGAGCTTCAGTGTTTTTTCTTACTACATCCTTCAGTAAATCTTGGTTATTGTATTGATAGTTGATGGATATAATTGACTCAAATAAGGATGTTGGCTTTTTTTGTAATCAGATATTGAAACCAGATTTGTGAAAGAATAGGGAAAGTGATAAGAATCTCCTATTTGTGTTCAAAACTGGCATAAACATGGAGCTATACATGCCATTTATAGATCATTTTCAAAGCTCTGACACTTGAATATAATGCAGTTGTTCATGGCACAGTTATTTTCGTTCAATACTCAACACCCAGGCTGAGGTCAATAATCAGTAGGATGCTAATTCCATATGTTGGTTACATCAAGAGAAAGTTGCATGTGAAGTGGTGTTGATATGCTGCCAACAGCGCCATTTGTGGTGTTGATTTTGCAATATCAGTGTTGGATGTTATTGAGTGTGCTTTATTCAGACCAGACAGCATGTTATAAGCAGTTAGAAGCTTCCCTCTCTCATGAAACCCTTTTTGACAGTTGAGTCTTTTCAGGTGAGCAATGTGTGTAACTTTGTCACAGAAGTAAACTACAATCAGTGACAGGATACAAACCACTGTTGTTACTATTGTGCGACAGAGAGAGGCTGTCTGACTTCATAAATTATGTCCTTTAGAACAGGTTTTCCTGGTACTTCGCTAGAGTCCCTGAAGCTGTCGTGGAAAAACATGACACCATCAAGCATGGTCAAGCATCTCAGTCTCGTGTCCTGAATATCACTGACTAAATAAATGTATTTCCAGGAAGTATACTCTGAATCACCAGAAGTGTGAAAATGTTTCAGACAGTAGTAAACACGGCACCAGTGGCTTCTTTAGATATATTTATTCTGTCACTTGATATTGAATGTTTTATCACAAATAGCTGCCAGTGGTGTATGAATAACTTAATTTCAGTGATATTTAAGGTAAAGACAATTCACTCCATTTCAAATAGTGTGTGTCTCTCTACTCTGTAAATGCAGCATTTAAGGTGGCAGTTTAATATTGGATGACTTGCTGAATGCAGTCAGACTGTTTTGCCTAGAGGACTACAAGATGGCACAGCGGAGGCACGGCTCATAATTGGGTCAGTGTGAGGATTTAACATGAAAATGAGCTCAAATTTGACCACACAAATCAGGTGACCTCTTTTACATCCCTGCACACGATTCACATACGTGCCCCTTTTTTTTTACAAACTGACTGCATCTACTAGACATGGCTGTTTGTCAGACTTGCCCTTGTGACTTCTAAAAACCAACAAATGCACTTCCTTCTCGAGGCAACAATGTGTTGATTACATGTTTCCACTCTGTCAGAATAGCCTGGTGTGAAAAGAGTTTATTGGTGTTTGTTGACTCTAAAGAAGCTCTTCCAGCCGCAGCATTGACACCAGGTCAGGGTCACTTTGTCTTTTAGACCTTTCACTTCCTCTTGAAGAACATCTCAGTTTGCAGACGTCGAGTTTTGTGTGTCTGCAGGCTAGTTTTTAGGTTATGGTCTGACATTTTGGGAAGTAACTGCTCGGATAGGTCCACTTACTATTTTGTAATAGAAAGAGTGACAATAAAGAGACGTCTTTATTCAAAATGTGATTGAAAATTTAAGACTCTATGAATCTGCTTCTAGCTCTCAGCAGCTTCTGTGAAATTCCTAATTTGTTGTGACCAGCTTCAATATCCCTTTATTCTAGTATGCCATACATCAGGTGACCCTACATGTTAGATGAGCTTATGTATTTATCAATATGGCAGCTACAGAGATATTGAATTGTCCTGTTTCTCCTGTCAGGAAGGTGTTCTCTAGTATCAGTAAAGCACGTCTAAACATGTCAGGGGTTCAGGCATGGCCCTCTGTGTATCCGTGTGTTTGAAACATAGAAACATTCCTCACCAGAAAGGCAATTCAGGGTAAAATTTAGAAACATCTGAGTATCTTTTTATTTTGCTTCAGAAGGAGTGTGTCCGTTTTGAATCAATACATGTCAAGATTCAAACTAGTGATTTATTTTCTGTTTCTGTTCAGCCCTTGAGGCTTAGCGCCTTCGATGGAATTCACCTTCACTTCTTTAATTTTAGCTCTGCAAAGAAACACTGCGGAGACAGAGAGAAGTGCGGTAATGTATTGTTGCAGCAAACATGAAAGCCATAGGCTTATGAAACAGACAGATCCAAAGAAGACAGTAACCATGGACACTGCCCCATGAGATGCATTATATTGCCATAAACTTGTCTGCTATTTAAATGTTTTTACTGATCTTAGTCAACCCCAATTCCAAAAAAGTTTAGACCCTGTGGTTAATGTTGGTTAAAAAAAATCTTACCCTACATATAAATGACAATAATGTTTGACAAATATATCAAAAGTTGAGGGTCTTTCTCAGAAGTTTTGATGGGAAGAGATTCAAAGACTGAAGTGAACGGTGCTGCAAGTTAAAAATGATCTTTCTTGATGCAAAACTGCAAGTGCTTCAGGATTTCATGTATAGTATCCTTAAAAGATTCAGAAAATCTAGAGAAATCTCAAGGCTGAAAAACCAGCACTGGCTGGCTGTGATCTGCTGACCCTCAGATAGTATAGCATTCAATATAAACTCAACTCTGTATCGTATATCACTGCTTTGGCACAAAATTGGCATATATTTTTTCATGCATTAATATTATTAATATAGTTTTAATATTTTTGATATGTTACCTTTGCACCATTTCAGTCAAATTCAGGATATAACGCATGGGCAGACATCAAATTCTGTTTTTCATTAATATTGTGTGTTTTATCGACAGCTGGAATCTGCCTCTGGACTTTGTTGTTACAAAGAGTTGCTACAAGTTGCCCTGCATGAATCTTTCTTGAGGCAATTTCAATAACTATAAGTAGCATAAAACCCATTCAGAGCAAAATATAGCTTACCACTGTAGCCTCCAGTGGCGAGTTTTAATTAACATCCTGGTCAATGTTGTAGTTTACAGTGATGTGGGGACCACACTCAGCTGATGCAGTCAAGGGGACATACTGTATGTATTTAAAGAGCTGAAGAAATATGAGGTGGCATGACAAGCCAGCAAGACAGAGGGAGGGAGTCAGCGACCCTACACACACAGACTATTGTTGACAGCACACACACTCACACTCACACATATTGTGTGCTTTGGGTCGATCTGTGTCCATCCCATAATACACACCCCTCTCCTTCCTCATCTCCCTCCCCCTGTTGTATCTTTGCTGCGTCTGAAACAATAGTATTTACTCCAGAGAATCTCTTCAGCTGCCAGCAGGAAGACACACACACGCACACACACACACGGACACACACACACTACTGTAAACTGCATCGCCTCCTGTAACTGTATCCTGTGCCAGGGGTCCTACAGTGCGTTGTGTTCATCAAGTGATAGGACTAAATGCAGATAGGAGGCCAGACAGACAAAAGCAACAGTTGTCATTTCACTGACTCTGCTAGCTGCTGAATTTTGGTATGCAGGAGAAAATATGTATGTGACTGCTGGAGATATGATATATGGAGCTATTATTAGCCTCAGTGTGATAAATGTGCAGTAAAACAATCAATATAACATTGTGTCTGTCTTAGACCCTTCCATTGAGGATTTTTTGGTCTTAAAGAGGTCTAATAGATGTCTAAATGTAGCCTAGATGACTGGTCTAAAATCAGGTTACCACAGGTATAAAATGAAAGTGTAGACCAGTGGTTCTCAAGTCCAGTCCTCGAGCCCCCTCCGTCCTGCATGTTTCCCTGCTCCAACACACCTGATTCAAATGATCAGCTCGTTATTAAGTCATTACAGAGCTTGATAACGAGCTGATTATTTGAATCAGGTGTGTTGGAGCAGGGGGGGCTGAAGGACTGGACTTGAGAACCACTGGTTTAGACTATAGACTGGGCTATATCTATACTACACTATATATCGCTCAACAGCTATCATAATTATTTTGGTTAAGTACTTGGAGATCAGTTATGCAACTCACAGTTTCCTTTTGAAATAAATAGTGAATAATGGGTTAAAGTGCAACGCCTAAATTCAGTCTAAAAATATACAGAATCTAGATGGTTGAAATTAAGTCTAAAAAAAAAATAGGCGTCAAACAGCCGTCTATTGCTCAGTGGGCTGTTTACACCCAGCATTATCAGAGATTCATGATCTGATTACAGATCGCACGCCTGAATTCACCTTGTCAGTTCTTATCCGTGTGTGCTGAGATCTGGTGAGTGGTCGGATGATAAGTCTGTTGTGGGTTTTGGGGAACATTAAGGTTCCTCTTTAGCCACAGTAATGATCACTTGAGTTGAATCGGTGTTTATTGTCACAGACAGAGTCCTTGTTTGCATCTGAAATGGTGGGAATAAGATCTGGTCACTGGAGACAGATGATTAATGTACAGTGTGAACACTTAGTACTTATCGCTTGTGTCCTGACCACTAAAACCCACATGTTGATGCAAGGTCTGGACAGCCTCCGAGAACTTCTAAGTGTTCTGGTTTGATCTGTCGCCACTGACCACGGACACTCAGAGCTCAAAAGCTTTGTTGCTTGTTTTCCCCTCTTTCCTCTAACGGTTGTAAGATAAATTAAAGAGCGGGAGTAGTGATCAGGGAAGTGCAAAAACATAACTGCCTTCTGTTCCCATCACAAAAGAGTTTAGCCACCGGGTTGAAAGCAGTCAGATTAGAGCAGGAGATCTTGAATTGTCTATAGATGTTCTTGAGATTGTTGTGAATTACCGGTTAGACATTGGCTCACATTTGTACTGTTGTGTATTCAAAACTCAGCTAGTTACCTTACCTTTAATTCCAGTTCATATCCCTGTCAAACCATGCTGTCGTACGTCAAATATGTGTTTATTCCATGTCTGTCTTAAGGTGTCATAACTGTTTTAACAAGTTAAATTTGATATAGCACATGTGTAAAAAAGGTCATGCTTCTTGATAAGTAAATTTGGTTTTGTTTGCATTTGGTGTCGAACAATAATTATCCTCTTGTAGTTTGCTCTTGAAACACTGCTCTATTGAAGTCCAGTCCATGTTTTAGTTCCTGTGGGACACTGACCTGGAAAGACCGGAAAAACAGCTGAATGGACGAGGCAGGATGAACACCCGGCATGGATTCACCCCTCCCTCAGTTCAAACACACACATATATAGTACAAGCACACTGAAAGTGGAGGTTTAAAAAAAAAGCATAATCCCTTACTTCTGAACACTCACCTGAACAGACAATAATGATGACACTCAGAGTAAGAACTGCAGCGCACAGAAACAGAGATGAACCACAACATTTGCTTTGCAAATTGAACATTTTGCGTGCGGTCCACTGAACAGAAGAGCAGACATGAAAATCATTAAACTCCGGCTTGTGGCTGCAGGCTTGTCGAGTCGGATCTGCAGTCACAATGTCAGAGCATTGATCTTGAATTGGTTCTGGGGGAAATAAGCTTTTGGTCCAATCAGAAAGGCGGTTCATGAATGAAAAAATCACAAATGAAGTTTGTAAGAGACGAGAAGTGAACATGTCTTTTCATGTATGTTGAAAATATTTGAAGACTTGGGACCACTCTTCTCTGCTCTCCTGTATCATACTACTGTAAGGATAAAGCCCTCTCACAGACAGCTGTGATGGACAGCAACAGGTTGAAGCTCTCTACAGTGTCTGAACCCCCCCTCACTTTCATACATTCATACACATACTCCATCCACCCAAGTGTGTGTCTGCATTCAGGACTTTTGTATAGAACAGTAGTCCCAAAGTCTTCTTGTTTGCTCCATTTGCTTAAAACTTTTGGGACTTTTTGTTTTGTGGTGCATCTCTTTTTGAATAACTCTTCCCACTTTAAATCCTACTTTTTTTCTGTCTTCACAGGTTTCAGAAGCATGTCCACACGTACAGAATCCTCCCAGATGATGAAGGATTTCTGGCTGTACAGGTACAGATTAAAGCGCATAAGAACTTATATACACAAACACAAACACACACGCACGCACACACAGACAGCTAAAGGTTAAGTGTGTGTACATGTGTGCAGCAAAAACTGTATTTGCCCCAGTAGCAGCTGGCAGGCAGAAATGCTTTTGTTGGCTCTGAGCTCTCTCGCTCTCACACACACACACACACACACACTCACACACACATGAACAGCGACCTCTTTGTGCGTCATGCTCAACAGCTGTGGAGTCCCCGCCATGAACGGTCACACACGCACAAGCTGGTGCTCCAGTTGATCCATGTGGCCACATTACAGACATCTGTGTCCCCGACTGTAAGATTTTTTAAGGTCCAAACCGTGACACTAAACAGAGTCTACTTTAGCTTCCTGGAGATGAATATGTTTGGGAAGCGATGTTTACCAAAACATCTCTTCCTGGTTCAGATTATATTTAGACTACTGGGTCATATTTGCTTACCCAACATTAAATGTGGAACAATAGGGGGCCACCAGAGATTTCAGTAACAGGACATCTCACTGCCAAGAAGATTGGATGTAATTGTTATGTTGATACCAAGTAGAAAATAACTCCCTTTTTGTCCTTGTGTCAGACGTCTCAGGGTGTTCAGCCGAAGCGGTTTAAGACGCTACCAGAGTTGGTCTCATTGTACCTGCAGCCCAGCCAGGGTCTAGTCGCCACACTGCTTTTCCCCGTGGACAGAGAGGAAACGGCTTTTAGCGATGACAGAGACTATTCAGGTATCCCCTACAGCCAGAACTCAGCGATTTTTCTCACTTTACGTGCATGCTAAGTTTGCTTTTCTCTGATTGGTAGACGGGGAGGACGAGAAGCCGCCCCTCCCGCCTCGCTCTGCCTCCACCTCCACTCCTCCTGGACCAGACACACCCACGGAAAGGTACAAAAACCCACATGAGATCTCTTTCTATACAGTGGTTATTGATGCGAGCTGAGAAAAAAACCCACAAACTACCGGACGGGCTCTTTTTAACCTACTTCATGCTTACACACAAACAAGACACACGCGCAGAGGAAGGATGTGCTCCACTTTGACACCAGCTCTATTCATGAATCAATCCAGCAGAGGTACCACTGAGAATGTGAACACACAAGCTCACTTTCACCGTTTCTGCCGTCTAACATGCACACACAAATGAATCGCTCCTTTGGTGTTGCAGCACATTAACGTCAAGATCATAAACGCCGTCCTTCACTCGCAGCTTCATTAGCACACACACACACTTTAATAACTTCTTCTTTCCTTGGTAGAAAGAAACCACATCCTGTTGGAAACCATGCTGGTTGCAAGTGTTACAGGCTCTGGTGGAAGGGTGCTGATGTAGTTCATGTTAGTGTGTAATACTGAAAACTGTCAGCGCCCTCACACCAACAAACGTCATTGATTGTTTGCCGTCCTGATATATCAGTCAAAGTTCAAGCATTTGAAGGACGCAACTGATCAAACCCAGAAAGCATTTTATTAATCCTGTAAATCATCCTCGATGCTCTGGATTTAAGATTCTGGGATCATTCAGATTAACCACTAAATGAGCATAATGAGTCAGACTGGTAAGGGAAGCATAACTTTTCTTCTGGTGTTAATTTGTCCGCTGCATGGTAAAAAAAAAAGCCAGGTGCAGAAAACTTTGCTCAGCTTCCTTTTAAGCCACAGGAGTAGGAATGTAGTAGAAGTGCGTTGCAGATGCAAAAGTTGGTTTAGTTGGAGAAGTGAGACTGAAACAGGGATATAAAAGTGTTTTATGAACTGTTAAAAAGTTCTAAAATGAAAACCAGTGAGATAATCTGTTAGCACCAGATAGCTATCTTTTCGTGTGTGTGTGCGTCTGTGTGTGTGTGTGTGTGTCTGTGGGTGGTAAGTTAGACCTAAGTCAGCGCTCCGGTTTAAAGGAAGTGTGTGATTCTAAAAATCCTGACAGCACAGATGCAGCGTAACCTGACTTGCACTTGTGCTTTGGCAGCGTTTCTGCTATGAAGTCCATGATAGTCCTCTTTTTTTTTTTCATATGCGATCTAAAAACCGAAGTACCACCTGAAAAAGAATGTGACTATTTATTGTACAAACTTTCTCCTTTTATGATGTCACCTCAGTTGATTTTATTTTCCATTATCATAGATTTGACTTCATATTAGCAGTTAATTTGAAAAATCGATGCTTGGTAAATAAGACGTTACGATATATCACCAGACAAAATATCACAATACTATGCTGTATCGATTTTTTTCTCCCACCCCTAATTAATAATAATAATGCTTGACTGAATTATAGCCTGTCTTATTATTTTGTGATATTTCAGCTCGTAGTGAAGGTGGTTTCATGATTATCAATTGGACCTTATTTTTGTTTTAGTGCTCCAGCTGCGAACGGCCTGAGTACCATTTCCCACGAGTATCTGAAGGGCAGCTATGCTCTGGATCTTGAGGCAGTCAAACAGGGAGCCTGCTCCTTACCTCACCTCAACAAGACACTAGTGGCCTCCTGCAAACGCCTTAACGGGTAAGAGAGACACACCAACCCATCAGCAGAGACAGTTGTACTGATACTGACAAACTGTGTGAGAATTAAAACCCTGATTTCTTCTCTAAAGTATAACCAGGTTGGAACTAACTAAGCTGTTGCTCTCTCTTTGTTGTCCCTTCAGGGAAGTAGATAAGGTTTTGTCTGGTCTGGAGATCCTGTCTAAAGTCTTTGATCAGCAGAGCGCGTTCATGGTTTCCAAGATGATCCAGCAGGTATGGACCTTGTTGTCTGTGTGTTGATGTTCATGCTTGAATAGAATACAATGGTCCCCTAAATGAGGACAATGTGACATGATGTCCTTAAGTTACTTAAATCCACACGTATACTTAAAGCCTGCTAACACTCTCTGGTTCAGAGCAGCCAATCAGAACAAGTGACCATGTTCACACAACAAGTTCATAAAGAAACAAGAAGAGAGAGACTTGGTTAAATGAACTGAACTCTTATTTGCCGCAACACCAACATTAATTTGTGTGTAGCAGTGACATCAGGTGGTTTCATATACACCCAAACTACTCACATCAGTGGTTTTATGAGGAAATGCTTCTTGTCTTATGTAAAACAGTGCCATAAGACCAGTTTTTAGTTAATTCCTGTTTTTACTGTGTAGTTTTATACTCTGCACCTTTTTTCATTACTGTCTCACTGAAAACTTCTATATAAAAACTGTTGCATCCCTCAAATACATACCTCTGTTTGTGAAAAGCTTGTATCAAGTTCTCTCTCTCATTTTCTCTATCCGTCAGTCTGTGAATCAGGGTGGAGACCAGGAGTTGGAGAACCTTGTGACCAAGCTGGCGATCCTCAAAGACCTGCTGTCCTCCATAGAGAAAAAGGTGCATAGTGAATTATATACAGTCTTGTGTATATAAATGCATTCAAATGCATGGTTACTTCTGCTCTGTCTCAGTTTCACACATATGTGCACATACACTCACACTCACACCCACAGACAGCTACTGTTTAGAGGTGGTTAGTTTAGATAACCTCATACATGTAATGGATTATTTGTCCACCTCACTGCATTTGTAGCCTAGCATGATGGCTCCAGACTGATGTCTTTGTCGGGGATCAGAGGTTAGGATTCTGTAATACATTAGTACAGCGCCCATGTGTCAGTACTACCCTTAAAAATTCTGACAAGTTTGAAGGAAAAGCCTCTTCACTGTAAAAACTAACAACACACATAAAAAAGGCTTTTATTTTTAGTTTATGCCATGACTACTTGAACTTTATTTGTGGGGAGGGGCTGCAGCTCCTCAGGAAGGAAGTGTCCTCAGTATAATCACTACACTACATGTAATGACTCATGTGATGTCACCGGCTCCGCCCTCTCTGCTCCTGTCCACATCCAGGAAATGGGAAACGGTTTCCTTTGAAACACCAACATTTGAGCTGAAAACAAACAATGCATCTTACTTGTGACTCCGTGTGTGTGTGTGTGTGTGTGTGTGTGTGTGTGTGTGTGTGTGCTGTTTCTCACCTCCTCTCCCTCGTTTTCTCCTCAGGCTCTTAAAGCTCTACAAGACATGAGTTTGTCTTCTCCATGTTCCCCTCCTCCTCTCTCCATGCGTCACAGCAAAGCCATCCCTGTGCAGGCCTTTGAGGTATGCATCACACCATCACACACACACACACACACACACACACACACACACACACACACACACACACACACACACACACACACACACACACACACACACACACACACACAGATTTTAAGACTTTTGGAGAAAGGCTCGTGTCAAAGGAAGTGGGGATGATGTCAACTGGTCTGAGCGGTTATTTTTATGGGAATTGCATTAAAGCTCCTTTTATGAAGCTGACTGAAATTCACATTTATGCCATTTCATGATATCCAAAAGTGACCATCAACAAGAACACAGCCAGTTTCTATATCATCGTTTTTAAGGCCTGAAACCAGTGTGTGAGACAGTAAGCAAAACCTGTTTTTTTCCACAGGAGGTGCCAAAAATAAAATACCTAAAGTTTCAGGAAGTGTGACAAGACAATGAGGTTCATTTAAGTTATCTTCAACATACATCTAAAATAAACAAGACGACATGGTGTCAAAACCAAATTCCTCATGAAACAGTCAAGCTTTCTCCAGCTTGGTTTTCACTTTTGATTATCTAAACAGAAACGACAGATAAATTACAGTCGGCTCATGTTACAAATGAATCTTTGTTTTCATGTCTCACAGCATATGTTATTACAGAAACATTTTTATACAAGACACAGACAGCAGAGCTCTGGATCATTTAAAAACCATACAGTCCTGCTGTTCGTCCAGCACGATGGAGAAATGCTATAGTTTCAGCAGTGTCCATCGCACATGTAGCAGATGATCACAGCTGATCAAAGACAGATCCACTCTTAAAATAATGATGATTATTTTATTTTATTCTTCAAAAAACTTGCTTTGTGTAGCTGTACCATTACAGAATAAATACACATTTTCAATCATCATCATTTACAGCCTGAAAACTCATAATTTGGTCACTGTAACGGTGGTGTTTAAGTTTTTATCTCACTCTGAAATCAGTTTTGGACTCAAAAATTCAGAGAGAGGGCGAAGAGATACTTTCTGCAATCTGACATAAAACATGCTGAGTTACAGAAAGAACTGTCAGCAATTACTCATCTTCCAATTACTCATGACACACCGCTGATGTGAAACCAAAGGAATGCTTGATATGCACATCCTGTTAATGCCTCTGTCAGAGTATAAAAAGTAATCGTCACTGTAGGTGACACATCCACACATGAGCACAAAAGTATTTTTGAAAGGTCAAAACAACAAAGTCCCAGAGGAGGAAGTGTTGAAGTGTTGGAGGAATATTATCGATTGAAAGCATTTTAGAAAATGAATCAGAAGAAGTAAAAAGACAAAAATAAGGCGAATAACTCCAGGGAACAAGTGGGGAAGTTGTTAGTCAGAAAAGAAGGAAGAAATGAACTTCTTTCTTATTATATGAGTTGTCAACACAGGCTGCATGTTCTGTGGTAGTTTAGAAGCTTCCTGTTGCACAGAAACAGAGATGACACTCCGATACAGGAATATGTTTCAGATGTGGCACCTGATTCACCCTCAAACACGTATTAGCAGAGATATCTTCTGACATCTTTGAGTCATACTAAACGGGGTCTGTCTTCCTGTTGACATTTTTCTTTGACAGTTTTTCAGGTGTGTTTAATAGAAATATTAAAAAAAGCTGTCCACAGTCAAAATAATCAGAGTATTATTTGTGTTCTGAACTCTGTCCTTTTGCTGTCTGATAGTGTCATAGATTCCTGTTTTAAAGTGATAAACATAGAGGATAATGGTCCTGGCATGTCAATAACTTTGACTGTGGAGCCCTCTGGTGGTGGGGAAATGTGATCTAACTCTAAAGAAGCGTGCTAACCCCCTTAGAAATAATGTGCATCTCCTCTGACTTTGTCCAGGTGAAACTGGACGTTTACTTGGCCGAGCTGACAAAGATCGGCAAGAGTCAGAAGTACACTCTGTCCGTGGATGTAGAGGGAGGACGCCTGGTAGTGATGAAGAAGGTGAAGGACAGTCAAGAGGACTGGACGACGTTCACGCATGAGAAAAGTGAGGAATCACCACAGCTTGTAGATGCAACCCTAAACACTCACAACACTGATTAAAACAGTTGGTATTTTCCCACATGGAGCTGCACCGCTAATCTTTACCTGATAATTATGTTTCATAACATACATATTCTGGACATTCAAAAGTTTATACTTTCATTAGGACAATTTCTTTTAGTTTTACATCCTGAGAAGAGTTTTCAGGGCAAGAGGCTGATCATATCTTTGAATGAAAAGCTACAGTAACATAATCTTTTTAGTATCTCTTTGAGGTACATTTGTGGTAAAGACTCAAAAACAGTATTAAAGTTTAATGGAAACTTTAATAACTTCTTCCTTTTAAGATAAAATGTCTCATTTAATTTCATTTGCCTTTTAATTATTATTCTTCTTTAACTATAACCATGTTTGACCTGACCAATCTCCAACTGTTCTTCTTGACCTTGCTTTACCTCCTAACACCCCCCACCCTCTTATCTCGGTCCCTCCGTCTGTTTTGTCTGTCTCAGTCCGTCAGCTGATCAAGTCTCAGCGGGTGCAGAATAAACTGGGCATTGTTTTTGAGAAGGAGAAGGACAAGAGTCAGAGGAAAGACTTCATCTTTGCAAGTGCCAAGGTCTGCTCACTCACACACACACACTCTCTCACACACACACACACACACACACACTGTCTAGAGCGTTCTTTTGTTTACATGATGTGTGGAGCAAAGGTCTGAACAGTTACTTAATTGTTCGAGCTCAAAACCTCTCATCTGCAAACATAATGAAGGTACACATGTTCATATTCATGCTGAAGGGGAAATACACGTTCATTTCCTCTTCTAGGTCTTGCTTATTCATGATCACACAGCAGAATCTGTCAAGGTCAAGATTTGTGGCACAAACCCACACACTTGTCATCAAATTTTTCCCCTTCATGCGACTCCAAACACAGGCTTTTGTTAAAACTTAAAACTGTATATTGAATTAGAAAAATTCAATGGAAAACTGATTCCTAGTTGTTTTTGAAGTGCTGATGGCTAAAGATAAAAACAAGGTCCCTGTAATGTGGCAGCTTCCACTTTCTCATGCGTCTGTGTTTGTGTCTGTGTGTGTTTCAGAAGCGGGAGGCGTTTTGTCAGCTGCTACAGCTAATGAAGAACAAACATTCCAACCAGGACGAGCCAGACATGATTTCCATCTTCATTGGCACCTGGAACATGGGTTAGACACACGCTCAAACTTAATGTTACTTTTCTTACAAGTGTCACATGAAAAGCAGCACATACTGACTTTTACTGGGTATCTGCGGGGTTTGAAAAAGTCTTAAAACATCTAAAATCCAATAATTTGAATTTAAGGCCTTAAAATGTCTAAAATATGTCCTAAATACGATTTTGAAATGTCTTAAAAATGCATTAATTCTACTTATAAATAACGAGCCACAAGAATAAAGATTGATTTGAAAGATTGTAAAATGTTCCGATTTCCCTTCATGTGTTTTGTACTTTTTTGCCTGTGTGGATGTTCAATGGGTCTTAAATTGTATTCATAACATTCTATAAGAAGTCTTAAATTCGACCTGTTGAAACCTGCAGAGACCCTGGTTTAATAGCTTTCCCATACATTGAGGAATAACAAATACTTAATATCCTCAGGCTCTGTGCCTTCCCCGAAGTCTGTGGCCTCCTGGGTGTTGTGCCGCGGCCTCGGGAAGACTCTAGACGAGATGACGGTCACCATCCCTCACGACCTGTATGTGTTTGGAAGCCAAGAAAACTCAGTCTGTGATCGAGAGTGGGTGGAGTCTCTACGTGCCATGTTGAAAGAACTTACCGAGCTAGATTATAAACCGGTGAGGAAAGCATTCGTAAACAGAGATTGTGGATAAACATGTAACCATAATTTGCCTCCTCGTGCTGTACTTATGTGTATACTAGAGATGGTAAAAGACAGAGCTGTAACTTGTGCAGTGAAGTGATGGCTGTATGTATCTCACGATTTGTTATCGTTACTGATTTCAGATCGCGGTGCAAACTCTGTGGAACATAAAAATAGCTGTGTTGGTGAAGCCTGAACATGAGAACCGGATCAGCCATGTCGGGATGTCCAGTGTGAAGACAGGCATCGCCAACACGCTCGGTAACCAACACTCAGTCTGTGTTTCCCTGTTGTACCCCTGATGGTTCTTTTAAACAAAATACTGTTGGCTTTTAGTCTTTTCTTGAAATGCAAAATGTATCTGCCAAGATGAGTTAGCATAAGTTTAGTGATAGCATCAACTTCCTTGTTTCACACTCTGCATTCATGTGATCATTTATGGTGCAGAAAGAAAATGTTTGAGTCCTCAGTAAATTTGTCTTGCGACACTCAAGCTGTGTTCACAAAACAGACGCATGACATGAATTTCTTGAAATAATGCACCATCATTTCTAGTAGAATCATAACTTCCTCAGCATTTTAGCTCACATGTTATTATCTCAGATCTCAGCTATGTGTAAAGTATCCTTTGGGATGCATAAACCGAGGGTTATGAATCTCTTTTTTAAAATCTTAATGAGAAATAAAAAGTCATAAGTTTGGCATCGGTCTTTATTTTATGTTTCTTTGGATGGTTTCCAAGGTAACAAAGGAGCAGTTGGCGTGTCCTTCATGTTCAACGGGACGTCCTTTGGCTTCGTGAATTGTCACCTCACATCAGGGAACGAGAAGATCGCCCGGTACATCATTAAAGCTGTTTGACACATTAGAAATGACCTGAAACACAAACGCTCCACTTTACTGCTACTACTACTGATGCGCACGATCTCTGCCTCTTACAGGAGGAACCAGAATTATTTAGACATCTTACGCCTGTTGTCACTCGGAGACAAACAGCTGAGCTCCTTTGACATCTCACTGCGCTTCACACACCTCTTCTGGCTGGGAGACCTCAACTACAGGCTGGATATGGACATACAAGTAAAGCAAAGTTAACCTACATGTGCAGAGTCATTAGACGCAGCAGTCACTTAACCACGTTGTTTTTTTCTCTGTGTGCAGGAGATTTTAAATTACATTAACAGGAAGGAGTTCGATCCCCTGCTGAAAGTGGACCAGCTCAACCTGGAGCGAGAGAAGAACAAAGTCTTTTTACGTTTTGGTTCGTAGAGGAAAAAAGAAAACGATTGGAAACTCACAATACTGCCAAAAATATGCGTCATATTTATCTGTATTTGAAATTTACACTTGTGAATATATGTCCTCTCATTTTCAGCGGAGGAGGAGATCTCATTCCCACCCACCTACCGTTATGAACGCGGCTCAAGGGACACATACGTCTGGCAGAAGCAGAAGGCCACAGGGGTAAACACCATCACAGATAGATCTAGATCCAGCTGTTTCTTGAAAACACTCAGCAGCTTCCTCTTTTTGTGAGTTGTTTTGATAACTCGGGGTCCCCTACTTGTCTGTCTGTCTGTCCCAGATGAGGACGAATGTCCCGTCCTGGTGTGACAGGATCCTGTGGAAGTCATACCCAGAAACGCACATTGTCTGCAACTCCTATGGTGAGACATTCAACCAAAAAAGCATCAGACTCAATTCATTCTGAGAGAGTCAAGTTATACCTTAAAGTGCATTTTATTTATTATAACACAGCCATCAATGTGATTGTTGTTTTGCCAGGCTGCACAGATGATATCGTAACCAGCGATCATTCCCCTGTGTTTGCTACCTTTGAGGTTGGAGTGACCTCGCAGTTTGTCTCCAAGAAAGGTATGATGATATGATGTTCTCTGAGTCCTGCATTTATTTACTCTTCAAAAGAAAGGGAGCGAAGCTGATGGTGACCTGGTTTTTCAGCTTACATGTGGACCAGTGTTGTTTCCTCATCAACGAAAACAACACTGTAGAATATATGTTTAGCGTTTGACTGACGAAATGCTCATGAATTTTGCGACTCTGTTCGTTGTCCACCACTAATGTTTTCGTCTTGTCTCGTCAACGTAAACACACATTCGTCTCGTCACATTTTAGTCATCTAAGACTTATGTTTAGCTCGTCAACGTCACGTCTTCGTCGTGGAAAAAAAGGGGCGTTGACGACATTTTTTCGTCAACAAAAACAACACTGATGTGGACAGTTTACAGATAAACTTCTGCTGTCTAGCTTTTGATTTCTGCATGAACAGTGACCAGAAATAACCCAAACTCAGTTCTCTTTCTGCTAAAATTCCTAAAATTCGGTTGTAATTCTGCTTCATCTACTCAGATTTTTTTTTCTTCAACCTTTTTTACTTCCTGGGCATCTGTCTGTCTCTCTGCAGGTCTGCCAAAGTCATCGGAGCAGGCCTACATCGAGTTTGAGAGCATTGAGGCCATCGTGAAGACGGCGAGCAGAACCAAGTTCTTCATTGAGTTTTACTCTACATGTCTGGAAGGTGAGAGAAAGATTCACCCAAACCCGCTAAGAGCTACAGCACAGACCGGGTGGATGGAATATGTCATATAAAAGTTTCTGTTTCTTCTTTTTGCATCTTTCTCCCACCTCTCTCCTGACCCCAGGCAGTCAGTATACCTTTTAGCTAGAATCCAGTTTTACCTACTCTGCATCCCCCATGTACCCTTGAATGTATTGCATTGGAAATATCACCCTCCTTTTTTTCCTCCTTCCTTGTTCCCTTTGTCCCCTCCCCGCCCTGCATCTCTCTCTCTCTTGTTTCTGTAGAATTCAAGAAGAGTTATGAGAATGACAGTCAGAGCAGCGACAACATCAACTTCCTGCGTGTAGGCTGGTCGAATAAGCAGCTAACGACGCTAAAACCTCTCCTATCTGAGATTGAATACCTCCAGGACCAACATCTGCTGCTAACTGTGAAATCACTGGATGGATACGAGTCCTACGGTATAAAGAGAGCAGCGGTCTGGTTCAGTTCAGTGTGTCAATGCTTGCCTTGTTTTCGTTTAAACAACCGTGTATGTGTGTTTTTCCCTGTTAGGAGAGTGTGTGTTGGCTCTGAAGTCGATGATTGGCAGCACAGCACAGCAGTTCCATACTTACCTCTCCCACCGCGGGGAGGAAACTGGGAACATCAGAGGGTCCATGAGGGTTAGAGTTCCCTCTGAAAGGATGGGAACCAGGGAGAGACTCTACGGTAACGCTATAACAGTTCAAACTGTAGACTTCATGTAAAACTCCAGGGTACTTAGCTGTTTTACCCCTAAATTACAACAGAAATCCACCATATTATAGTTAAGAATATGAGTTTTACTTGTGCGAAGTGTTGTCCTGGTTTGAATCCAATTTCCTACACAAGTTTCTGATCAAGAAATTAACTTTTTATCATTTTCCCTCACTCAGACTTCTGTCAGAATAGAAAGATGTCTCAGACATGAAATCTCCTCAGGTTTAGATTTTTTGTGTCCTGTGTTGTCAGTGACTTGCTTGTTCATTATAAGTGATTTTATTTTAGTTCTAAATAAATTTATTGTTGCGTTCAGAGTGGATCAGTGTGGACAAGGACGAGACAGGTGGACCTAAAGGGAAATCGACTATGGTGTCCAGAGTGGGACATGAATATGTCAAGTAAGTACAGTCTCAAAAAAAATATTCAAAGAGCTGACTCTGTCATCTAAGTTTCTACACATTTTTAAAGAGGGGATTTTCATATGTTCTTTCCTTCTCTGTATGTATATGCACAGTAGAATGAATATCCTCAAAACTGATGGTCTGGTAAGGAAAAAAAAGATGGAGTGTTTAGTTTAGGTATCCTGCATAATGGGACAAAATATAGATTTGAATAATAAAAGTATTTTTGAATTTTTATAAAAAATATTTTCATTAAATCTTTTATGTTTTCCATTTATTTTATTTTATTTCTTTATTGCCAGTTATGAGACATTAGGACATGTAGTCTGAGTTTTAGTCATGTCAAGGCTCTTTCTCTTGTTGTTGTTCTGTTGTTTTTATCTTCTTTGTTTCCTGCATGTTAAAGAACTTTGTAACTCTTGTTTTTAAAAGTGATAAATAGATAAAGTATTAATAAAATGTATTATTATTTTTTGGAAACATGCAAAAAAAAAACCTGAAGTGGCAGCTGCATTTTTCAAGTACAGTTACAAGATGAAAAGTGTTCAACTTTACAGAACAGGAACTCAGCGTGGGAGAAGTCTCGCCTTTTTCAGTGTAAATAGGTCTTGAGAGCTCTAATGAAGCATTTAGAAACTCTCATTTCCCCCCCAAAATTGAAACATATCGTGCATCTTGCACCACAGAAACTCACACTTTCATGACGTGTAATCAATACAGGCCATCTATGGTTCGAAAGCAGCTTGGTGAGCTCGGAAAGGTCAGTGAGGAGGGAGAAAGGAGCAGCAAAGAGGAAACAGCAGCAAGGTACAAGCCAAGTTATGAACTTCATGGACTCACTCTTTAAGTGTCAAATTCACTTGTGGGCCGTCATGTATTTGTTCTGATTTTGTTTATTGTAAAGGCCGAAACAGGATGCGTCTGACGGGGATTCAACCATCTGCAAGAACAGCTACAATAATCCTGCCTACTACATCCTGGAGGGAGTCCCCAACCAGTCTGCAGCTGCTCTTTCACCAGAGCTTCTTCCATCCCCTACCTCTGCAAACCCTCAGGTAGCTAAGCCCCCTCCGCCCTCTGCTGTAGCTCGAACCAAGCCCCCCTATGGAGCCTCAGGGCCCTCTCACCCACGCAGGCCCATGACCGGGCACCCGGTGCGGGCCATAAGTGAGGAAGGCTCCTCAGAGGATGATGGAGGAGCTCCTGTCGCAGGAGCACAGGGAGGAGGCGTTGTGACAACCGTTGGGACAACTCTGAATCGCCCTCCTCCTGACTTCCCTCCTCCTCCTTTACCTAAAGGAGCACTGGAGATGGTTGCAGAGACCCCCTTCGCGAAACCTCGCCCTCTTTACCCAGACCTAGCTGAGGTCAGGATTCCAGCAGCCACTCCTGCCGGTCCGCTGGCCCTGGGAGAGGGTTTCAGGCGAGGAGGTGGAGGAGCTGGTGGAGGAGGAGGAGCACTGGACGACCAGTCTTGTTCTGTGCTCCAGATGGCAAAGACATTAAGTGAAAGTGAATTTTCTGGACAACCTCCACGTGCTCCGTCTGCTCCGCCTCCTCTCAGAGGGCAGCCGATGGGTTTAGGTTTGGACGCCTGCCGCACCTTTCCACCCAGAAACCCCATCACAGAGAGTATTGCAGAGGACATGCCTGAGGAGGTGAGCAGTTCAGTTAAATGTGCTTTTATTACTGCTGAGGTGTTGTTGGTTTGAAACATTCTTACAGAGATTTACCTTAAGCATGTTGTAGTTGATCATGTGTCTATATCCCTATTTTGCAGGCACTCTGGGGCAGCAGCAGCTCATCTTTGTCTGTAGGGGACTCTTCAGTTGGAGAGTGGCTGCAGAGACTGGGACTGGAGAGGTATGAGCAGGGTCTCCTACACAACGGATGGGATGACCTGGAATTCCTCAGGTACATAAAGTCAGATGTGTTCACATTCATCCTGTTATAGGGAGGTTAAAGGGATATCCCTACGTCAAATTAAGTTGGGGTCAAACACAAACTCAACCACTCTCCTCCAGCAGCCACTTGTTTGTAGCAAGACCTCAGGCCAGTCCATTATGGACTACAGCGGGGTGACACAGCTCAAGGAAGAACATTTATGATCATTTTCTAATGGAAATGCAGTTAGACCGAGACGCTAAGGCAGAAGAACTACCGTGTCATATATGATTAATATGATGATTATTAAAATGATTAATATGGTGATTATTACTTCAAGGAAATGATAAAGAAATGATCATAAATGTTCTTCCTTGAGCTGCGTCACCACGCTGTAGTTTGTAATGGACTGGCCCAAGGTCTCCCTACAAACAAGCGGCTGCTGGAAGAGAGTAGGTGAGTTGTGTTTAGTCTCTTTGCTAAAGAAATCAGACAAAGCTAAAAAGAGGTTTGGTGGCTAGTACTATGGCTGGGACCCTATATGTCCTGTTGATGAAGTTAGGTGCTGTTCTGAGCATTATTAGTGGCTATAGAGTGGCGTTTTGGTTGAGCGTGTGGCTCCTGAGACAGCTGTGTATTGCTATCGTGCGGTCGTTACTAAAGTTGGTATAACTAGAGAAGCAAGCGGTTGTCAACATTCATCTCTCGAGGGGTGTCTAACTCAGTGTTACGTTGTGTTTGACCCTAACTTAATTTTACACTGGAATATCGCTTTAATAAATAAATCAACTTTCTTACACAACATACCCACAATGTTCCTATAAGAATATTTTTCCCTGTCTGGTATTTCAGTGACATCACAGAAGAGGACTTGGAGGAGGCGGGAGTGCTCGACCCCGCCCATAAGCGGATCCTGCTGGAGAGCCTCAGGCAGCAGCAACAGCAATAAACTCTTTTTAACTGGTCTACAAACTAGCCAGAACCGGTCCTGTAACCACACCAGGCTAAATCTAGGCTGAACTGAACTGAGCTGGACCATGTCATTTGATGCCAGACTGTGCCTTCTAAAAGAGAATTTGCACTCCATTTGTACTTTAAAAAAAAACACTCTTTGAACCACAATCCTTTTTTTTTTTCATATGTACTGTATGTGTGTTGTCATTGTCGAGTAGGCGGCCTTATTTAATAATAATCATTTCAGTCCATCTAGCATCACTACATAACATTCAGCTGTAAACCTAGTGACAAGAAGCAGGATAAGATATTATAGTCTCATGTAGAGCAGCTGAAGCCTTAATGTCATTACCGTCAGATCTGACCTGCAGATGTAAGGTAATGTTAAAACAGCCTCTTCTCTCTCTCTGTCCTGAGAAATCACAGCTGAATGGTAACAGTTAAAGCCACCTTAGAGGATTTTTGGAGCATTCAGAGTGAAAACACACTGTTTTACATTTCAGTATCCACTTTGTTTTCAAGGTTTCCTCTGGAGTTTTCACTCTCTGTTGGGGGGGCGTTATTTGAAAGCACTCAAGTTTTGTTCACACTCAAGTTGGGCGGACTTGCACCCTTGTTTCCGTGATGAATAATTTATCATTTATTTCTAAAATGTCGTTGCTGTTCGCGCCGCCAATGTTAAAACCACGCCACATATTGTGTCACTTTCTGTGCATGTATTTATAGATTTATGTTTGTATGTTTTCAGATGATAAAGGGAATTCGGAGTAAGCCAACCAAACCAGTCCAGTTTAAATTTGCAGACCTAACCTCAGTTCAATATTTTTTTGTGAGGACAATCTTTTACTTCTTACATTGTAATACCCAGTTTTGATGGGTCACATCCTTTAAATTTTCACTGTGGAGTGAATGAATATAGCTGTGTTCAGGGAACTGGTTAACATATTTAACAGAGTAACCAACACTTGTTGTGCTGAAGATGTACTCAGCCGGATGTCATTCTACTGGAGAAGCCAAAACATTTCATTGTCTTACTTTTTATGTTTGTTTTTTTTTTGTTACATGACCTGAGATTTGACTAAGTGGGACAAGATGACACTTCTTTCAATAGATTAAAACCAGAATTGTTAGTTTCTGCTTGATACAGCTGATGTAAGGGTCGTTGTTGTTGTTCCCTGATTTAACCAACAGGGGGTGCTGCTACTCCACAAACCCAGACAGCAGAAGCAAACTGGAAATATTCAGAAAAACTTACAATCTGGTCAAATGACTCTTACTAAGATTTAAAAAGCTATTATTTTCAAAGAGGTGCAGAAGTGAATACCTTCATTTCTACAAATTCTGATCCTGCACACAAGACTAACCAGGTTAGCTATGATTGACTTTTGCACGTTATCGCAGCTAAATGACAAAACGATTTTTAGATTCACTTCTGTCTGGAAAAAAAGAATCCACACATCTCCATATTTACTCACCTGTTTTGTTATATTCTGTAAAATGCATCTCGCCGTTTCACAGCCAAACAACTATCACGTTGCTCATGTGGCTCATCTGTCAATCAGATGTGTTACATCTTGAGTCTTTTTAAGTCTGTTTGCCTTTTCAGTGTTCTCAGTGGTGTTTTTGAATGTGTGTGTGTGTGTGTGAGTCTGTGTATATGTGTGTGTGTGAAAGGTAATATTTGTGTGCATGAAGGAAAAAAGGGGGCTTGTTGTGGGCTTTAACACACTCCTGTTTTTTCTTCTCTCTCCATGTAGTCTCTTTTGGAAATGTTAAGTTAATGTATGTTGTTCAACCATGTCATTTTTTTTTCCAATTAAAATGTAACATCTTTTCTTTTTTTGTATATCTACACATTTTTTTATTTTGCTTTGTCATCTACAGGGAAGGCCAAGAGGATAAGAGAGTCATGATGTGTGAGCTGTAGACCTACCTCAGTTGAGGAAAAGGAAGGTAACAGTTTGATAAGTGATAGTTTTTAACCCTTTAATGCCTGAAACCACAAATTATGGCCAGAGAATCCAAATTTTCTTGGAGCTGAAATGTTTATTTCATCTACTACTGAAAACCAAAATAATCAAAATGTCCTTAAAATTTTAAAAAGATATTCATCTTGTTTGATTCATTAGATGTTTTTAGAAACTAATAAACTACAAAAGGACATGTTTATCATTTATCGGATTGTATTCAGGTGTTTTTTTAGTAATTTTTTGATCATATTGATTTGATAGAAGTATATAAAAGTATGTATCAAATATGATACAAAAGGCATTAAAGGGTTAAAGGTTTATTTTTAAGTCTTAGTTTAGACAAAAACAGCCAGAAAATGTCAAAGTTTGACTTCGCCACACAACACACTCATCACTCTTGTGTACGCAAAAGAATCCAGATCATTAAACACATCACATAGTGCTTCCATAATGTAGATTTATTAGAATATTCAGAGTAGTGCTATAACCTTCCATTCACTAGCGCGTCCGTCAATCATGAATGAATCGGTCTGCGAGACAGGCGCTCTGCAAAAAACAAAGTAAAAATCAACCTGTAAAGCAACATGAGGGAAATAAACAAAAACCTATCTAGTATTTATATTACTAATTGTAGAATTTACAGTCACAAAATTTCAAGGAGCAGTCCAGGTTTTTAAAGAATATCAATAAATACATGTTTTCCTCCCTTTTTGAGGTATCTGGGCTAAAATCTCACTGAAAAATCAACTTGGAAATCAGTCCTGTTGCAGTGATAAGCCACAAAATTAAAATCGGGATCATACACAAGCAATTCTGTCCAGGTCTCTCTCAGGGTAGCCAATGTGCGACTGGCTCACTCTGAATTTGAAAGAAATAGCCCAATATTTGTCCCCCCCCTCTGTGGTAGGAGCATCGATTGAGGAGTCAGAGTAGGTGATGAGTTGTAGGTCTGCTAAAAGTTCATAACACAAGGCAGAAATAACAAACTCATTTGTTTTCCTCAATCCAGAGGGAGACTCGTCTGAAGATTCTCTCAAATGTGAGAAGCCAGACACGGTTTGCGGGACACCCACAAGCTCAAGTCAGTTGTAGTTGGATGCGTCTCCTTCCTTTGCTACGTTTTAACAAAGTGCCCTCTGTTTGGTCGAGAGAGGAAGGGAGAGGCTGGGAGGGAGTCACACTGAGGAGGATGAGATGAGAGTGAATGACTTGATACAGTAAAGAAGAGGAGGAAGAGGAGGAGGAGGAGGGGTGAGCTCGGGATGTGTCTGGTCTGGACCCCGACATTCTAATTGGATTTCTAGGTTCCCTGCTCTACCCAGCAAAGAGATTTAAGGGGAACCCTGTTCCTTTCTGGTGGGACTCTGTGTGTCAGAGGGTTTAGAGAGTGTTGTGCTTGAGGGTAAAAGTTTATTCAACAGAGACTGAAGCGTGATGTTTGTATTTCTGCTTTAAAATCGTACCTGACTGCCATGCAGGACAGGGTTTGTCGCGGCGCAGAGTGTGGGAATGTAAGTTCGATCGAGACGAAGGAAGAAAAGATGTGTATGTGGGTTGTTTCTCTAATGTGTTTACACGTCCAAGTAGTTCTGATTTGGCTGCACACAAACATCCTCAACATTGTGGGGTTTAAAGGTCTGTAGGAGGAAATGCTGTCTCTTGTCAATCTGTTTAAGCAACTCTGATTTTAAGGTGAAAGTGATGAGTTTAAGTCTTGCAGGGAAGAAACCGACCATATCCGAGTGGAATACTGTGAGAGGTGATGGCTTGTTAATCTGAGCTTTGAATCAGTTAAGCAGGACAGGTTTTCAGAGAAGGTAAGAGGACCTCGCTCAGACTGTCCCAACTCTGTTCTTGAAGTAGCGCTCAATGTTTGGTTCTCACTCCCTCTTCCTCTGTGCTTCAGAACAGGTTCGTCTTGATAGCAGGGTTGGGTTTTCTGTGGAATGAGGACAGAACTCCAGCAAAAGGCCCGGTCATACTGTCTGCCGGCTGCCAGGCCTTCAGGATCTCCTGAGTCTGGACAGTGGGCTGGGCCATGGCTGGGTTGGACGGCCCCAGGCTGGGCCAGCTGGGAGGCTTCAGCCCCTGGAGAATCGGTGAGCTGGAGGTGTTGGTGTAGCTGCTGTTGGCAGGAGCAGGACTCGGGCTCAGGCTGGCCGGGCTGCCCAGGTTGCCGTTGGCTGAGCCAGGCAGGGAAGCAGTGCTGTCAGGTGTGGGGCTGCAGGTGGATTCTTTGGACTCATCGTCATCCGATGAAGATCTCGGCTCCCCACTCTTCTTCCCTCCTGAAGAGCTGCTGCTGGTGTTGCCGTTGGGGCCCCCAGAGCTGTTGGCTTTGGCGTTGGCTGCACGCTCCTGCTTACGAAACTTGGCACGCCTGTTTTGAAACCACACCTGAAAGACAGATGGAGGAGCAATAAATATCTGAGACTGCACTAAAAAGATTGTACAAGTAAATTATAGAAACAAGGTTGTGCATAAGTACCTGTACTCTGGCCTCAGTCAGGTCTATCTTCAGTGCCAGCTCCTCTCTGGTGTAGATGTCGGGGTAGTGCGTCTCGGCAAAAACTCGCTCCAGTTCCTTCAGCTGGGAGCTCGTGAAGGTGGTCCTGATGCGGCGCTGCTTCCTCTTCTCGTTCAGGCCGGAGGGATCCGAGAAAAACTTGTAAGGAACTAAAAAAGGAAGAAATGACAAATGTTAAATGTTAAATGGATAAGAAGTTCAAAATAGCAACCCCAAGATTTTATAGAAATACAGAAGCACAAAAAGGCCCTGCAGTTTGTAACTCAAGGCAAGATTAACCAAGTCAGACATACAGTTTTAAAATAAAATAAAAACTTTATGTTCAGGACTGTTGAGGAAATTTTCTTCGTAATTAATAGTAAGCCTTTTTCATAATCGATTGTTTGTAATTGATCCGTGGAGAAAAGGTTTATTCATTTCATTTATGAATTCATTTGTTTTGTGAACAGAGAAATTATGTTACTAAAAACTGAAATTCATTTCAAACAAAATGTGAAGAGAAGAGGTTTTTTTTTAGTTAATTAAACAATTTTTTATTTTATTTTCCCTAAAAGACTTTCCTAATTAACCAAATTCAATTAAAGTGTTTGGCCTTTTGAAATGAACCAGATTAATTGCAGTCATTTTTATAAGCTGTTTATGTAAAAAGAAATTGCACAATAACTTGTCATTGAATTGCTGTATGTACATATTTTTAAACAAGTATCAACGCATTCAAATGAAGATAAAAGAATATAAATTTGTTCCAAGAAATTTAATGAATGACTACATATTTTTGGAGTTGTGTTCAAATGCCAGCATTTAAAGGAATAGGACTGTGAGCATTAATCAAATAAAATAGGACTTTTCGTTGTTAAAATGGATCTATGGTTATCATATAAAAATCTGAAACTGTCTGAGGCCACAGGTGTGTGTGTGCGATTAATGTATGCTTCTATAGGCAACATGTCAACCTTAAATTATTTTAAAGTAAAAAAATTATATTATTGACGTTGTGTTAGATCCAGATTATTGTTATTTGATCTGCTTAATTTATTTGTATTTAAATTATAGAAAAAACAGTATTTTGTACTTCAAAGATTGTTGCAAATATCCTATTTGCTTTTGTCAAAATTAGTGTATCCCATTAATTTCAAAATGGCAGTTTTCAATCATTAAATTCGATTTTTTATTTAAAAATGATTATCATATTAATATGTAGGCTAATTGATTAAATTACCATGGAACAATTTTCACTATAGCCTATTTAATTTTCGATAATGCACACAACAACTAATCAGACAGTCTATAAGAATATCAATATTTGCACAACAATCTGCGCTTTAACTTTATAGACTGCAGTTATTTTGATAATAAAGTTTATTATGTTATTATCAAACAGTTATTTTTCCCCTTTTGGTTTAATTTATTAGACTATAGATCTTTTATTTTGTGGATATTTTGTACATTTTGTGCAGTTCACGCCCAAGGAAAACGATTAGATTCTTTCCTCAATAATTTTTCTCAGTCTTGAACCTTTTTTAGATTTCCCCACAGACCTTCCGTATGAAAAGCAAAGCCCCTTTTGTACCTGAGGAGTAAGGTGTGGGCTGGTGCTCCCTCAGGGCTCCCAGGGTGCAGCTGGCCGTGCTGAGCGGGGTACAACCCGGGTTGGAGAAAGGTCCGCTCCGGATCGGGTTGTACTGGAAGGAGCTGGCCTGGCTGCACGAGCTGAAGTCCGCGTACGCCGACGCTTCCATGGCTGCCATGCAGGAGTCATAGGAGTTCAGGTAGGAGTAATCCATCTTATACATGGAGCTCAGCCGGTACAAACACCGGACTGCAAAGGAAGCGACGGTGGGGACTCTGAACCGGAGTGGGTCTTCTTGACTTTTCTGCACAGAGACGGTGTCCTTCTTACCGGTTAGAGTTGGCTTCTCTTTCTCTTATCTCCGGGGTCTTCTGCTCGACTTTCCTTAAGTCCTCTTTCTCGGTCTTTAGGTGGCTGTCACGTGGTTGTTGTTTTTTCGTAAATAATCCAGATGTTTGCCTCTTCCTAAAGCCTCACTTTCTCCTCTTCCCTCAGTTTTCCTCTCTCTTTCTCTCTAACTCCGTGTCCTCACTTTTCCTCTTGGTACTCTGCACTCTCTCGCTCTGCGCTCGCGCTCCGTTTGACAGCGAGCTGCGGCTCGCGCAGTGTTTATAATAAACTTGGCAGAGCGCGAGACAATAGCGAGGCGGTGGTCTAGTTTCCATGACAATAGCAACCAGTGAGTGAGTGTGGACACGGACGGCCCCCCCTCCTCCCTAACCGACCGCCCCCTCCCACCACCACTCTCTGCACCGCCCACGCACTCTAGAGCATCGCGCGCAGGTGTCAACGGAGCAAAACCAACCAGACTATGTTAAAATCCGAATAAAGACAATTTTAGTGAGGCAGGTCTGCTCTTCTAGGCCAAATAGCCAACCTTAAAACAAGCCGATAGTGATTAGAGATGGGTTAGTTTTGACATTAGTGCTCCTTGAGTGGAATAGTAAAAAAAAGTGAGAGTTTGTAGCCAAACAGGCCATTAAATGTAAATTTCCCCCATTAGATTTGGTTAAATTAATGAATGGACATGAAATTTCTCCTCCTGTATCACTTTGATGAAGAAATTAGCCTAATTAGACTAAAAGCTAACCTTAAAATAAGCCGATAGTGATTAAAGGTAGGTTTGTTTTGAGATTTCTACCCCTTGAGTGGAATAGTAAAAACAGTGAGGGTTTGTAGCCAGACAGGCCATTAAATGTAGATTTCCCCCATTGGATTTGGTTAAATTAATGAATGAACATAAAATTTCTCCTCCTGTATCAATTTGATGAATAGATTACTCTAATTAGACGAAATAGCCAACCTTAAAATAAGCCGATAGTGATTAGAGATGTTTTTGTTTTGACATTTATTCTCCTTGAGTGGAATAGTAAAAACAGTGAGAGTTTGTAGCCAAACAGGCCATTTCCCCCATTGGATTCGGTTAAATTAATGAATGAACGTAATGAAATTTCTCCTCCTGTATCACTTTGATGAAGAGATTAGCCTAATTAGACCAAAATCTAATCTTTGCCAACCTAAAACGTCGAAACCATTTATAAAAACAATTTCATTTTTTGTGTTATTTTTAGTTACTCTCTTTTGAATTAAGACAGAAAACTGCGCAGAGCTGTGTGTAATTGGTGGCGTTTCCCAGGCCTTATTGGAGGTACAATTTAACAAAGCATGTTGACATTCAGATAGGCCCACGTTAAAACAGTCTTTATAGGAAGGCCCTGCTTTTCTGGTTTAGCCTATCTGCCCGATAATTGAAACACCCATATGGAACAATCTAGCGTCTTTATTAATAGTCTCTTTTTTTTGTTTTGTTTAGATACAAACATGTGGCTGATGCATTTGAATATCAGGTGAGAGCTAGAACCTCAAATAGTAAGGCTCTTTATCCGGTCAATATTGTTTCAGCGCCTCCACAAACGGCTCGTGAAAGCAAGTGCAGCTCAGCCACAGAAGTCTTTATGTGGTGGGAAACGTCCAGATGTGACGGTGATTGCTGAGATTAAAAGCTTTGATTTGATTCCGATCACTTTTACGGAGATGTCACCAGAGTGAGCGTCATTTTGATGTATAGGACGAGAGAGAGGGGGACTGGCTGTGTGGAGAGAACTGAGCTCACCACGACAGGCTAACCATAAACGCATTGACGCTTCATAAATTGGTTTAAGTTTATTGTTCGGTGTCATACAATGTGATAAGTCACATCCCACACGGCCCCCATCACATAGACATACACACCCACACCCATACACACACGCGCTCACACACACTGAGAGCTGAAACAGGCGAACGCTCCACTCCATGCGTTTCCAGATTCGCTGCATTTCAGGCTTTATTCGTCAAATTAAAAGGCTGTTTATTCATTCTGCGGATAAATTACACAAATATCATGAACCGCAAACCAAAATCCACGTTGTGCGTGCACCAGAGAAATTAATTAAGTTTGGTTTGTGCGCGCGCAACAGGGCTCAAAGTGCGCCTTCTTATCTGTGCCTGACCAGAGGCTGCGTGGAGATGCTGCTTAATGTCATTAAGCCACCAAACACGGGCGCATGCGTGCATTAACCGCCCTGTATTCACTTAACAAGAAATAAGTATTAATAATAAGATTTATTTAAAGCGTTTATTGTGTGGTTGGTGAGGGATACTGGATGTTAAGGGCGGGGCAGCACGAGGAACTTGTGTTGATACAGTCTCGTGCCAGTGCATGGTGGCTTGAATTGAGCAGACATCCTCATGTCTGCCCTTTTCTCCGAGGCTCAGTGACATATGGTCGAGCTCTCTTAATGTAGGAAAAATCCATTTAAGACGAATGAAAACAAAATACTGAAAAAGTTTGAATCTTTATTTTGGTTTTGGCAAAATAAGCTGTTGAAGTGACTTCTTAGACACCAACACCACTCTTGAGTTTGTGCTTCAACAAACCTGAATGCACCTCATCTGCAAATGTATTGAAAGCCCCTGTCTCCTCTGAAACAGGCTAACTTGGCTCCCTTTAGCCAGCATTTTAACCAATATGATGTGTAATTTAAAGCAATATTCAAGTGTGGATGAGTTGAAACTAAATTCATAGGCTACAAAGATAGCTACTAAATATAGGGACTATTATGTAGCTAAGTAAATACCGCAGACACATTGGTTTTCACACCACTTATCAGTCCACAAGTAGGGGAGACAGGGGATGGTTGTAACATTTTTTAAAAATCTGTTTTTATGATTTTTTTGAACAACAATACATATAAACAAACAGTAGTACATTGTTAAAAAAAAAGAGCAAGTATGAAATGAGATGTAAAGTGTCTATAATAAACCCTCCTACCCCGCATCCCCTACCCACCCCACCCCACCTCACCCAGCCCTACGTTGGCCACAACATCACAAAGACAAGAAAATTAGGATACATATTCATTTATACAGATAAAGTAAATTAATAGATGATATATATATATAATATACTTATATATAATATACACATATACATATATACACATTCACATAAATAAAAAATAAATGATAATCGGTTGTAACATTTTTGACATTTCTGTCTGTATCTTTTAGCTCTTTTAAGCCAATGCACTCAAACTGTGATACAAACTAGGTCTATGTATCTGCTATTAAAGGCTGTAACAGTTCCCCCAGCAACACAAACAGACTACACATAATTTAGTCTCAAACACAAGTAGTGAAATGTTACAATTCACCCCACAGTCTGGGTTAGTTGTAACATACACTGAGGTGAAATGTAACATGAAAAAATCAGGATAGTGACAAAACTTTATTGATTGGAAGCTTTTTATTTGACACTCTAAAGGCATTTTAACATATCTGGTGTGTGTGTGTGTGTGTGTGTGTGTGTGTGTGTGTGTGTGTGTGTGTGTGTGTGTGTGTGTTTGAACCTATAAGTCCTAGAAGTGACTGACAACTGAACAAAATGCTAAAAATTACACTGACTGAATATTGGTAGGCTATGTGTGTGTGTGTTTGCAGTGGCTTCAACAATTACACAGCAGTGTGTGTGTGTGTGTGTGTGTGTGTGTGTGTGTGTGTGTGTGTGTGTGTGTGTGTGTGTGTCTTATATTAACATTTGAATATAATAAACTGAACACAATGTTGAGAGGCACATATTTCATTATTGTTACAACCAACCCAGACCCTTGTCACCAGGAACTAGCTTACTTTACAGTTAAAAGCTCAAACAACCTGCAAAGAAAATACATACACACACAAAAAAACATGATTTAAGTTTGATGAGTTCAACTACAAAGCAGGCAATGCAATCATAAAAATATCTGAATAATAATAAAAAAAAAACTATTTTTTTACCTCAAAATTAGTTATTTTTTCTCTTAAAATTGTCCGAGTCTACCACAGGATCCTACATGTACACATGTGAAACAAGGACTAAACTAAGCATGTGCAGAGTGAGTCAGGTGATTTGTAACTTGTTCCGAATTGGAGAAATTAGAAACACAATTGACCCCTGTTACAACCATCCCCGGTCTCCCCTAGTATTAGCAAAAAATCAACTATTGTCAAAGACAGCTCTCAAGTAGTATAAATTCAAACACACTCTTTATTGCAACAACAATGCAAAACCTCGTGGACAAAATTAGTGTTTTTTTCCCTCTCAGTGGGGACACCATTTGCAGAAGCCACTTGTTATAAATATGCATCAATAATGGTTGGGGTAAGCAGTGAGCTCCTAGGCCGTCTGTTGTGTATCACCGTCCCGTCTGTTGGGTTCAGAGGTGAGTTTACCGAGAAACTTAAACTGTTTCAAAGTTAAACTCTTCAGACCGTTTCTGCCTCCAAAAAAAAAGAGCATCCAGGAGCGACCCTAGCTCTCCCGCTTTAAAGCATTTAAACTTTAATCCCTTCAAAGAGGGGAGCGGTCTCTTCCAGGCCACTAATCCGCCCTTAGTACTCCTGCGCAGGGGGAGACTTCTCCTCTGCATGCGGAGGCTTTAACTTTGGACTTTTACATTCATGGACGGAAACAGTAACGGGGATCTTTGGCATTCATGACGTCTGAGTCAACAGAGGGGAGCCTCTGGTCCCCTAGAGGCTCCTAAGAGCCCCTGAGGGAGGAATCCTGACTATAGGGATTATAGGCCTATGAAGGGCTGGGTCAGAAGACTCTTAAGTTTTAGTGTCCCTGCATGGTCCTATGATTCAGTTGACATTAAAGGGACAACTCCAGTTACAAAATACAGCAGAAGTAATGTGAAAAAGGCATAAATTGAATTTGATTTGTGTAATTTTTGCCTTTATTCATTAATTTATTCTCTCTTTTTTAAGATTAAGGTGCATAACAAGTGGAAGTCAACAAATTTGTCAACTGTGAGGATGTTCGAGGAAACATCTTGACAGGGTTTTCCCTCGTCTTTCCAGATTTGCATAACTAATGATTCCACGAAGAGAGACTGTTAAGAGTCTGTTCATTATGTCACCTCTTTCTCCACCATTTATAACACAAAAGAATCATAATTCGCTTCCCATAATTCCCTTTTCTACTCCCATATTTCAACGATTTGGATTTTGACAGCCTGCACTACGGCTGCACATCTGCAGGCTGAGCTCTACGAACCAACAGTGGTGTGTGTGCGTAAGGGTGTTAGAGGTGGTTGGAGAGCCGGGGCTCTATGATGGATGGTCTTGATAGAGAGATGATGAGGTGTATTGATGGAGACAGGGGATAAGGGATGAGGAAAGGATGGGACACTGGCGACACTGGGCTGAAAAGAAAAGCCACGCGGGAGGCCTACAGTCCGGTATCTGTCCTGCGACATGCGGTGGTGGTCTGAAAAACCGAGTGAAGCTGTCAGTCACAGAGAGAGCCTGCCGGGTTCATTCATCACGAGAGCTCAGAGAGGCACCTACACGGTTTTCTGCTGCAGACTGAGGATGTTATTGATCCCCAGAGCAGGATAGTAACCTCCTCTTTGTCCAACACGTCGTCGAACATGCGCGTAAACGAGCGTAAAAAACGTAAAAGCGAAGAGGGGGATATTACTGGACCATTATTTTTGTCTTAAATTAAGAATTAACTCATGTCAGTGATGCTGCAGTCTTTACATAAACAATCAATAATCAAGTCAAACTGATTTTGGAGACAGCAGTAAAATGTCCATGCCCAGGCCTAAAGCTGAGCTCATGGAGAGACTGCAGATTTTGTCCTTTGGAGAATTTACATTGAATTAATATAAACCAAATAGGCTCATTAACACGAGAATATTTATTGACATATCTGCTCTGCTGTAAAAAATATTGATGAATTTTAAAAAATCATTCGTTAATTTTTTAAAATGTCCTTAATTATGTATGAAAAAGTAAAATTGGATAGACAAAATACATACAGAAAAATATAGACGTCTAGTTCAAGTTTGGTTTGCCCGTGCGTAAAACAGTGTCTGGTTAAAGTCCCCCTCTTTTCTGCACACCTCTATGATTTCTATTGTTAAAAAAAAACTCCACAAGAATATTCTTATCTAAATATTTAAAGTATAAGCTTGAATAAAGGGACAAATCTGCTGTTACATCGATACTTCGTGTGTTGGAGACAGCAGGCCCACGGCATCCACAGCCCTCTCCCCACAGTCAGTGTCACTAAAATGTGTCGTGTCATCGCCCCACTTCAGAGCCTTTCTCCTCTCTCTCTCAGGTGGATTCGATCGCTTAAAATAAAATCACAAATCACAGGTCTTGCCGCCAACACATAGAGGCCCGTGTCTCTCCAGCTGCAGAAGCACGCGTTTTTTCTTGATTGTCGCAGTGATGGATGAGAGACGAAGCAGCAGGAGGAAAGGGGGTGGTGGTGGTGGAGGCGGTGGTGGTGGTGAGCCCCGCCGTCGGGATGGTGGGCTCGTCGGTGCGACAATCCCCGCATTTCAATGCCCAATTACCGGAATGGAGCGTGATGCTCCGGCTGCAACGGGGTTAGAGACTAGGAGCAACAGCAGCTAGTGTGCTGGACATCCAACCCCTCTGATAGTGCTGATGCACATGATCAGAATCAGCTGGTAGACCCAATTAAATTAACAAACTGTATGAATGAATATTAAAATTAATTGTTTAGAGAATACAGGGGAGAGTGGGGTAAGTTGAGCCACCCCGTGTTGCTTGGAAATGGTAAAAGAAATTGATCATGTGACCAAATATTTAGGAGATGGGCATCAATTCATGGAGTCTGTGAAGGTTAGAAGCACATGAGTGAAGGGGTTAGACATTTATTTACAAAAAACATTTTTCACTCTTGAAAGTGAATTTAGCCTGTCATAAGTTTTATTACAATTGTGTTCAGACTAAAAAAGATCATTTTGAATTTGTTTTATACATCAGTTGTGGTATCTATGAGCTACAACATGAGGTCCAAAACCTAGCATAAAAGTCCACAATTTTAACTTAGGGGACTAATAAAGTCATAATAGTAGTTCTGGGGTAAGTTGAGTCAGTTGAGTCTGATGAGAGGATCAGAGTTTAGTTCAAATTGTTGAAATGTGTTACTTTTTCTTTTCAAAAATACAGCTGTGAATGTTCTGAATCATTTAAATTCATTCTCGTGTTAAAATGTCTTTTTACCAAACAGCAGTTATATGCAACAACAGTAATAAAAAGAATTATTGTACCAGTTGAATAGTGTATAATAGATAAAATACACATGAATGTGAAGAAGTGACTGTTATTTAGGGAGAGAGAAGGTGAGGGAGGGCTGGGGTGGAGAGTGGGAGACCAGGAGACCACTTTTTTTGGCATGCTATATTATCAAGACAGTTATGTTTACACTCATTCTGTTGGTTTGCAGGGATGCAAAATATCTTGTATTTGTATTTCTTATATGGACAATAATATATTTATGCAGATACACAAGTTAGAGACAAAACTATGATTGCCTTGATGTAGTGATCTGAAATATGAAAAATGTCTCATCTTACCCCACTCTCCCCTAATTGGTTTTCTCATCTAGATGACAAAGACACAAATACCCTGAGAAGAAGGCCCCTGTTGAAAATGCTCTTTTGTTCTTCAAAATGTATGCAAATCTCTTTATATTACACCATCTTTTCATAAAAAGACATAAAAGTTGTGCAGATGCTCAATTATTGAAATAGTCTATAGATGTTCAAGCGTCTCTGCTCCCCAAAATGTAAAATATCAATCAGAGTAAAACAGTCTAGTGAAAAAGAATTGGAGCTGCATGTGTCTTAAATGTGTTTATTAATAATCACCTATCAAGTGACACTCATCCAGTCTTAAACCCACGGTAACATCAGTCAGAGCCTCTCTGAGCAGCAGGGACATGAGGCGGAGCAGCTGCACTGATTCTCATGCTGCCTACATCTCTCCACTGCGGCACCAGACCTGTATTATCCTAATGGATAACGGCATGTTACTTAAAAAAGAAGCTTTTTAGGATAAAAACCAGGTCCCCGGAGACCACACTACACACACACACGCTCACACTCACACTCACACACGCGCACGCACGCCACAGCTGGAGCAGCGAAGGATGGCCGCGCGCAGGAGAGCTTCTCCAAACACGCTAATTAGATCTCGAGCTCTGGCCCCGCGCTCTGAAAGCAGCCCAGCGGCGGGGCGCGCGGAGCTGTGGAAAGTTAATTGAATTAAATTCCCTCTAAACTAATTAGGCTGCAATCTGCCACGCGAGCTGTCCCTGAGCAAGGTTCGAATTAGGCGGAATGGATTTGTTCCTTTTCTTTAAAAGAAAGGAGGGCAGACTGGTGTGTTTTTGGTGGGCTCCTTTATGCGTCTTTTATGCTAATTTTCCCAGGGGACTGTCACGTGATTGCCTTGCGGTAACAGGGTGGCATTCGACGTTGTATTCCCCCCTCCCTTCATACACGCATAGACCCAAAGTCAACGCAAGAGGCAGGAGTCTCATTTCAAACACGCAGAATAAATATGCAGACTGGTGTAAGAGTGCTGTGTATGAATGAGAGCATCTTTAAGTGAGAGAGGAGAGGAGGAAGGTAGGCCTAATGGAGGTGATATCGATCGTGTTCCTTGGGGGAGTACAATAAGGAGAAGAGAGGGAGGGAGGGATGAGAGGAGTGCAGAGGGACACGGATGAAAATCCCCCGTTAAGAGCAGGGACCGATATGATAATGGGAGAGCCGCTAGTAGTCGTTCATCATTCAGCACCTTCACCTGGCTGCTGTTACTGCTGCTGAAGTAGGGGAGACCGGGGCTTGTTGTCACACTTTTTACACTCTTATATATTTCTTAGAATCGATGCATCGTATATAAACAAAATGTGTACCAGATGAAAGACCAAAGTCTCAGGTATATATTCCGTATTCATGTCATTTTCATATCTGTTAGGGTGATTTTCTTTAGCCAGTCGTGTAGTACCTCAGATACTTTGGTGCTAGATTTCTGGAGCCATGGGCCTACGACAACCATCCTTAACAAGGACCTTGTACCCATGTTTAACATGACTCGGGCTCCCAAAATATGTTGTGCTTTGTTATTACCCTACATGGACTCTCCTTTCGGTCAACAAGATTCAAGTGGAATATTTGGAAACGTGGATGACTATATACACTTGAACAGTCTCAGACCAATCTGGTGTTACACTTAGGTGACACTTGTGGCATGATGAAGCTTTAACCCAGATCTGCAACCAGTAAAGCAGTTTGCAGTAAATATTATGTAACATGCTCTGGAGTTTGGAGAGCTGTCTGTCTCTTTGATTCGGCTGGGGTGAATGTTTTGCAGTACCGCGCTAAGGTATGGTAGTTGAAATTAAGGTCCTTTATTGTAGTCCAGATTGATTTATCAGCTAGGGTTACCTGCCTGACTGCCCTCAGCATCAGGTCAGTTACTGCACTGACACGTTCTGTTTTTCTTTTGTAATTCCTGACCATGTCTTTTTGCTTTCTCCTCTCCTTTAAAAGTCTTTTTTCTGTAAAATCAAAGTCAAAATTTCAATATGACAACTCCTGATAAACAGACTCTCTATGTTAATCTTAATCCCTTTTAAACATGTGACAACTAACCCTAAAATGACTGAGACATGTTGCCCCGAACTACCATGTTTGCTGATTCTAGCTCTAGCTTAAAAATAGCTCAAAACAGAACAATGACTGAGGTATGACAGGATGCTTTAATCTCTCCTCTAACAAGTCCACATGTACCACTGCTAGGATTTTTATCTGGATTTTTACTTGTTTTATTTATCCCATGTACAGCACTTTAGTGGTTTATGTATCAAGTGCTGTATTTTCCGCTGTCTAACAATGGACAAGGACCGCAAATTAGCCATGGTTAGAAGTCCTGCATACACAGCATCGTTTGCTCTTTAATGAGATGCAACAACACCTGATGTTCTCTCTGTCAAATAAACAAACAAACAAACAAAAAAAATTCCCTTATGTTTTAACCCTCTCATTTTTACAGTCTGCTCAGCAGCAGTGGAGGTTGAGGAGAAGCACCAGGGCATGAGAAGGACATACACATTCAGACAGACGGACAGTAGAGGAAGAGGAAGACAGAGAAAAATGGAGGAGAAGGAGAAGTAGTGCATGAGATGGAGGAAGAGGAGCGAGGGAGATGGAGCAAGAGGGAGGATAGGACGATGGAGGGCCAGGTTTCTGTTTCTCCATAATCTAATCAGAGAAATGGCAGCAGTCAGAAATAGCCTGACGGACAGACTAAGAGCCTCTTCTCTTTCTCCTCCTCCTCTTATTCTCGTCTTCCTCCTCAGGGGGGGTAAGTGGATACACACATGCGCATACACACACACACACACACTTTAGGTTCCTTCCTTAAACCATATAGTATAGATGTGTTTTAACGTTAGATGAGGTATCAAAGCAGAACATGATCTATTGCCACTTCAAGAATCCTGCTCTCGTTTGTTGCTCTTTTTCTCCTGTGGGTGTAAAGAGTCATCCACATGGAGATAACATTTAAGATATGTGACACTTTGTCCACTGTGTAACTGCACAAAACACAGGTCAGTGTCGCTTTCTTTGCAAAGACAGCTGCATTGCCACCAACATGCGAAAACACATGCGCCCTTTTATTTCGCATGTTAATCCTTTTCCACCGGGGAATCATTCCTGCTGTGAGTCTGACTGTGTGAAACATGTCCTCCACATTTCTCTGAGCATTTTCCAGCGCTGCATTCACTCCCGGCGTCCTACACAGACCCCCAACACAGAGCAGGATTCCAAGGAAATTCCTCTGTCATGTTGCTTCACAAGGTGGACAAGCATCATTGTGGCAGAATTCCCACCCAGGCACAAGTCTGTCACTCTAGGCCTCACAAACACACACCCATTTATCCATCCATCAGGAGTGTCACTGCGACACAAACAGAACAAAAAAAACCAGAGGAATTCCCCTTTTTTTGTTGTGAGCACTTTATTTACGCAGTGGAGGTTGGGATACAAGAATGAGAAATGTTGCTCGATTATATTTGGCGCCTCGTCAACATGCTATTCAAACATTTATGAAACAACTCTGAATATTATTTTCTTTTCGTGGTCCTGAATTACTCTTCATGTCGAACAGAGTACCCTGCGAAACACTGGAGCACGCCGCTGTGACGGACGAGACCGCTTCAAATTAACATGCATCAACACACACGATTCACATGGCAGTTATATTACCCATCATCAATGAGCTGATATACATTTCTGCTCAGCGTTTCATTCTTTACAGGAGTGGAATGAAGAAGCAGCTTTTCCATGTGACGCTCTGCTGGTGAGGACATGTTCATTCAAGTGAACGCAGGAAACACTCTGAGGTTAACTGTCTTTGGTCATTTTTACCAACACACTACCAACACTAGTCAGTCGATACTTGAAGGAATGGAAGTGGTTTTACTAGTCCACATTTTTTTAATCTACATCCATTTCATTTATTCTCTGACACTCATTATTGCTGCCCATCATCCTCTTGTAACATATATTCTGTTCATGGCCTTTTTAAGTTAAATATATATCTATATCTCTAATAAATACTACACATTTTGGCTTTTTTCAGTGTTCTATACAATGAGGTGGACACAGCTAAGTTAATCTACAACAAACATGTGATTTTAGCAGCTGTGATGATGGCTTTGTCACACTGATGAGAACATGTTTGATGCCGATGAAGCTGCACAGGTACGAGGAAGCACTGACGATACATTTACAGTCACACATGACACATTAGTCCATCTGATATAAAAGAAAGTTTTTAAGGTCCAGTTTTTTAGATGAACATGTGTTTATTTATTTTGTTTTTACAGCACCTTATGGAGGATAGTGTGCGGCATGTTGTGCAGAGTTGGCGTGTTATTTCTGCGTCATGTACTGAAACAGAGAGGCAGTGCTGTGTTATCAGATGGACCTTTATTGGTAGCAAGAACCAAAAACCACCCATCTTCCTGACGCTGAATGACGATGATGATGATAGTGAAAATGATGGTGCGACGATATGGGTTTGTGAGTGAAGTGCACATATGTTAATAAATACTTCTATAATTTATCTCTGTGTGTTTGTGTTTGTTTTCAGTGTTCGGGGCTGAGTGGTGGGCGGATGTCCAGCGTTCTTGACGAGCTGTCCTCTCCCAGCACCTCGAGGCGCAGACTGGGTGCTCTCTTCTCCTCTTGGTCCTCTGATTGGACAGACAGACGCAGGGTGCAGCCTTTAGGAAGCAGCTCCTGCTCGTAGGCTGCGGCTAACTGGTTTACGACTCTTCGCTCAACCTGAGAGATGAGTAGCAATGAGGTTAGCTGTGTTGCAGACTACATATGAATCAATACACTGCAATCCTCTTTATAAATAATTAATTAATACTTTTGTAACTGTAGGAGCCAAAATATATTTGTTGAGCATGTGATTTCTACTAGGTATGTCACTTTCAGGGATCAACACTGAGGGGTGTGGTTTTGGGATGTTTGGCGGGTTATTTAAAAACACCGGTGAAGTCAGAGACTATGGGTTTTGGTAAACTCTGATAATTTTCTGTTGACCGTTTTTCATTCATCCTTTTTACCCTCATTTCTAGATCACTTATTATTTGAGGGCAAAAGTTTGGACCTTAATTAGTGTAAGGTCCTTACACACCGGGGCCGACATGAATAAAGAACGCGAAATGACGAAATATTTGGAGGCGAATTTTGATGCGCCTGACTATACACATCAAGCATGATGCGATTTTGCTACTTTCCGGGGGTAAAAAGACCCATCCTGGGGAAGACTTTTGCTGGGGAAAGTCCCGCCTCCTTCGCCTCTGATTGGCTAGAAAAGCTGGAAACGTCATCACACGCTCAAGCCAAACAAAAATAAATGACACAATATCGCAGGATGGGAAAACATTGCTGATGTGAACGCTTGTATTGACAGGATACGGGTTCGAAAAAAAAATATAGACGTCCGAAACAATCACATGACGGTCCCGGTCTGAAAAGGACCTTTTGACTGTAACTTTTTTTTTTCTTTCTGAACAATAAATCGCTTTTAACACTCAATCGCAGATGCAAGAAGGAAAGTAGTCGCTACAGTAACTTTGTAGTAAGCTAAATGTTTACATAGCTGACGATATTGCTTTTGATACTTTAAATGAGTCATTCAGATTTTTCAGAAATTTTAATGTATTACCTCATGTTTGATGGATCGTGCTCCATAGTGCATGTTATATCCACCCGCTAACAGGTCCAGAACGGGGCGATCCCACTGGAGAGTGATGTCATGGCGCTGCTTTGCCTAATGGCGGGAGAGGGAGGAACAAAAATAGAGTATGTGTTCATGTTAAAAAGGGCTAAAAGTATTACTGTCAGGAGTCAAATCAGAGACAGATTGCTGGGGTTGCAGGAAAGAGACAAATGCTGTGGCAGAGAGGAGCTCCTGTCACACAGCATGTCTGACAATGCTAATCAACAGGCCCTTAATGCTTTTTAATCAAACACCAGTCAATAACAACGCTCTGAGCTGCTCATTTAGCTACTAATGTTAACAACCCATTCAATAAGTACAATGTCATGTTTCACTCCAGAGAAATAAGCACTTATAGTACAGCAGTATTAATACCACTTTAAAAGGCAATAATGAGCACATTTCATTTGGCTGATGTAAGTGAGTGAAAACAAAGGTCTTGTGAGGACGCTGTGATGGCGAGGGTGGGGCCGTATACAGACAGCTACCACAGGTACTACTCATGCTTAAAAACTGAGATACTTGGAAATAAAGACACCGTGACACAGTCAGCAACATTTGAGCGAGTGAGTCATGAGTCAGGTCTCTATCAGTTGCCTGCAGGCTGTCAGAACAGCAGCTGTAATATCAATAATTAAATATTGATGAAGGCTCCACATGTTAAACACAGTAATCGCATTATAGTGAGTAGTAGTGGCACATTATATTGATCTGTGAGGGTTCCTGCTCAGCTCAGCGGGTGCAGGACACAGTGGGTAGGGGGCTCAATATACATGAGGACCCCAGTGTGGGATTATTTAAAGACAAGACTCTGGATCTTCTTCACAAATATATTCATGGGGGATCGATCAGCCTGATCAGCTGATTCTCAAATGTTAATACTACGCAGAGCTGGTCAGGTCAGGGTTTGTGTTATTAATTAAATGGTGAACACAGGTGATGTGAAAAGTTCTGATTTTGTACATACATAACAACTTAAAGGGATATTCCAGCGTAAAATTAATTTAGGTTCAAACACACTGTAACACTGAGTTAGACACCCTGTTAAGAGATAAATGTTGCCAAACTCTTGCTTCTCGAGTTATACCAACTTTAGTAACGACCGCACTATAGCAATACACAGCAGTATAAGGAGCCATATACAAACCTCAACCAAAACGCCACTCTATAACCACAAATAATACTCAGAACAGCACCTAACTTCATCAACAGTACATACAGGGTCCCAGCCATAGCACTAGCCACCAAACATCTTTTTAACTTTGCCTGATTTCTTTAGCAAAGAGACTAAACACAACTCACCTACTCTCTTCCAGCAGTCGCTTGTTTGTAGCAAGACCTCGGGCCAGTCCATTACGGACTGCTGCGGGGTGCCGCAGCTCAAGGAAGAACATTTATGATCATTTCTTTATCATTTCCTTGAAGTAATAATCATCATATTAATCATTTTGCACTGCAGACGCGGTAGTTCTTCTGCCTTAGCGTCTCGGTCTGATTGCATTTCCATAAAGAAATGAGGGAGTGTCCATTAATTTTACGCCAGAATATCCCTTTAAGTTAGAAGAAACTATTTGATTTTTCAGTTTTGTCTATCAATGTGACCTTCACGGTTTCAGAAGACTTTAAAAGGTTGTTTTCGTGTAAACTCAGTACCTCTGGATGTTGCTGCCTGCTGTGACAGTAGGACGACGTACCTTTTTGGCCCAGAAGCTGAGCTCCTTGCTGACCAGCTGCAGCAGCTCTGAGTGACAGAACGGCAGGAAGTACACAATCTCATTGATCCGACCAAGAAACTCATCCCTCCGGAAATGAGACTGAGGGGGCGGACAAAACAATTAACGAAGACAACACCACATGTGTAAAGAGTACAACACTGGACTTGAATCATACCAAAACAAGGCGGCTTTTATCTGTGTGAGTGTGTGAAAGATGTTACCTTGAGGATTGGTCGAATGACTGAGTCTTTAAACTGTCGAGGGATTTTGATGTCATCGCTTTTCTGTACATCCTCTGGGAAAGAAAATTGGAAATTTTCACAGCTGTAGCATTTTACACATCTGAAAAATGCAGCTCAATGTCCTAAACATGTTTATAGTTTTTGTTTCTCTCACCCAGGTTGTCCGCCAGTTTTCTGCGGCTGACCTGCTCAGCCTCCTGGCGAAGCTGCAGGGCATGCTCAGCGATTTCATCACTCGCTACATTCGAAGTCATGATAAAGAGGGCGTCTTTACACTCGATGGTTTTCCCCTTGCCGTCTGTGAGACGACCCTGCGTGATTAGTAATTTTCATCAATAACACCGAATGTAGCGATAAGATATGGGAGTGAAATCTATTGTCCGCTCATGTCCGTGTGTACGAACCTCGTCAAAGAGCTGCAGCATGATTGTAAGAACATCAGGGTGGGCTTTGTCGACTTCATCAAAGAGGACGACAGCGTTGGGGCACGCCTTCAACAGCTTGGTCAGCTGACCGCCTTCTTCGTGTCCAACGTACCCCGGAGGAGAGCCGATGAATTTTGCTACCTGTGGGTTGCAGGTTTGCATGATGGATCAAAATGGTTTACTCTTAACCTACCTCGTTTTCTACTACTACAAAAATCTTAACACAAGGTGAAGACCCTAAAGTGGATTTTTACATCATCCAGTATGAGTTAACAGACTGATTCTAATGTTATTTTAGCACAATAACAGGTTATCGAAGTTACAGCAGCATTTCAATATAACATTTATGGTTCAAGAATGAGGAAACGAACATGCTGACCTCACAGTGGAGGAGAAAGGGAGGTTAGGGTTAGGGTTAGGGTTAGGGTTAGGGTTAGCATCTCACCTCATGTTTTTCCTGGAACTCAGACATGTCCATACGGATGAAACCCTGGAATCAAATGTTATTAACCCTTTAACCATCAGGAGAGAAACTACATCATACTGTATCAGCATACACTTTTAACAGTTTCCAAGGAAACAAACACAAATCAAAGACTCGACATTGGAATGTTTGTGTACCTTTTTGATGTCTTTGTGCATGTAGCGAGCCACCTGCTTGGCCAACTCGGTCTTTCCTGTGAAAACAGTCACTGGTTGTGATTTCTTTATCATAAACTAAAAACAGTATCTGAATGTGCAGAGATATCATGAACTCATTTTAGACGGGGAGGAGGGAGACAAACCCTCCTGCTCTCAGCGTCGATCTAAAACTCTGCCTCCTTCTACGGCGCCTTCTCTCCAGGAGCACACATTGTGTTTGTCAGTAAAATATTCTGCATACAAATGCTCATATATGATATTGATGTCTTGTGTTTGGTATGCATATGGGTATGATGTGTGTGTAAGAGCCTCTCTGTGTGTGTGTGTGTGTGTGTGTGTGTGTGCGCGCGCGCCTGTGTCTTGTTGCTGTGTTTAATATTGATGTCTCATGGCCACTGTTTGTCGCTGAAGGCAACAGAGAATATGAACACTGTCTCCGCTCCATCTATCTCTCCGGTCTGTCATTTCACCATCTCACCCTTTTTTAGCCATCTATCCAGCTCTTAATATCCCTGTTTCCTTCTTTTCCTTCACACTTTTTTAAAATTTGCATTAAATAATTAGAGATGTACATATGAAGGGAATTCAAACTTACATTTTTCTACCTATTACAGCTCAATAAAACTAATCCTGAAATGATGCAAACCTCCTTGACAGCTGCATACACATCACAAATCTCTACTATGGGTGGACATTTCTACTGAATTCATATTCAAACACTCTCAGTGAATGAAGACGGGGTACTCAGCTACCACAGAAATAAGTTTGCCGTCATGTTGTTCCCTGCTCTTAATTTCCTCTCTTCGTTGTTGGCTGCTGCTGTTCTTCTTCATGGTATGATAGCCATCAAAAATGCATCTGCACCACAGCCAAAATCTGTCTTTAACACCAGTCCAAATGAAATGACAAGTGACTGTAAGAGCTCCCTCTTCAGCACTCAGAAGACTTGGCACTGCGCTGGTGGCTTCAGAACAGACCAACACGCCGAGAGAATGGGAAGCTGAGAATTCAGCTGTTGTGTCGTTTGTGTTTTCTTCTTAAACTCGTGAACGTTAGAACATCAATAAAGTTAAGCTTCTGGAAACATTCAGACTTTTGCAACCTGACATGCTGTTTACCAACTATTGTCTATAAGCAGCCTTCTCTTTATGTGTCCCATAATTTTCTGTATTTTCTCAGCATTGAAAATGATAAACTGAATTCTATCTAGAAAGATTCATTTCTAGGGAGCCAATCTTAAGGTCCTTTCACACCGGGACCGTTTTTGTCGTGCGGTTATTTCCTCCTTTGCCTCTGATTGGCTACAAAAGCTGGAAACGTCATCACACGGTCAGCACTTATAGCCAATAAGAGGCGATAAGATAAGTACATGAAACTATAGTAACAACAGTTAGCTTATGTTAGCACAGATGAAAGTCGCAATATAGCATCAGGCTTGATATGTATAGTCAGGCCCGTCAAAATTCACCTCTGAATATTTCGTAATTTCGCTTTCTATAGTCGCGTCGGCCCTGTCTGTGTAAGGACCTTAAGTCTTTGACAGAGCTGGGTGATTTTTAAACCTGTTCTTAAAAACGGTTGCTGTGTTTTAATTAGTAATAATTAGTCCTAGGGCTGGGCGATATGGCCTCAAATCAATATCACGATATATTGAGCAGTTCACCTTGATAATGATAAATGAATGATAACTACTCCCCAAGCTGCTCACCTCCTCCCACATTAACTTCGTCTACTTCAGCCGCTACAACTTTTGAACCGTCCTCCATCTCCTCACCTGTCTTTCCTTCTTTGTTACAGACTGGATGGGGCGGAGTCACATCTCTGACGTAGGACAACGTCTTAAAGGGACATGAGACCAAAGCCTAACTACACACATCCAAAACCAACTTTTATTTATTTATTTTTTTGACACGAATATACTGACATGGGCAAAATGACGTTTGTTATTGTCGTAAATTTCAATATCGGTCAATTTTCGGTTTGTCGCCCAGCCCTAATTAGTCCTTTTGTTTTTTCAGACAATGCTTGGTGGAGATAATGTATCGTCCTGTGTGTTCTGTCTCTGGAGAAACCCGTAGATTTACTCCACGAGTATTTACTAAACTTCTTCAATTCAAGTGGTTTGTTAGTTTTGGCAGCTACTTTAAGGAAATTCATGAGTTTATTTCAACAGCTTTGAACTAGAGAGGAGGTGTCAGTGTGAAAAGACGGGAGAGTGATTTACCGATTCCAGATGAGCCCAGGAAGAGGAATACGAGAGGATGCTCTTCATCATACCAACCATTCTCCTTCCTCCTGATGGCTGGAGGGAGAAAGAAAAGGAGGAGGATCGTTTCAGTCATTTGCATTCGTTGACTTAGCTTTTGCTGTAATTATTCTAAGTTTCACCCGTCTGAGCTGGGGTGACCTGAGGGCAGCGGGGATCCCAGAAACTATGATAAAAGAGTGAGAGAGCAGGGATGAGAAAGGGGTCAGAGACATTTGGTCGAGGAAAAAAAAAAGAGAAAGAGGAGAAAACAGAGCGAGAGAGCGAGATGAGAGACCTCCAGAAAGCTACCCACGATGCCTCTCTTCCCCCCTCAGTCAGTGGGGCCATTAGCCAGCGGTAATTGCGTTAGCCTCCCTGGCGCGGCCATAGCGAAATCAGTTTAGCATGGATTGCAGCCTCGCACACACACAGACACACACTTTTGCTTAAAGAGGAGTGCCTACCCAACCCTGCCATCACCCCAGCAACCACACACACACACACAGACACACACACATACACAAAGACAAGATGATGAGTTGGGTCTGAGGGGAGGAAAGAGTGTATTTGGCTGTGGTTTTAGAAGCACAAACTCATCCAGATCTGGGGCTGCTGAGGGGCTAAGGCCAAAACCAGACTCTCCAAATCAATATGAAAGTAAAGAAAGAGATTCTGGGTATCCTGATTGTGTCTTTCACATAAGATTGCATATAAAAGTTGACAAAGCTGACAGAAAAATGAATGCGGTTTACTTCATGAGCTGTGCCTTCACCTCAGGATCTCTCGGCACAAGTGAAGCGAGCAGAGATACTGCTGAAGAGCTACTGCACGACCGTGCCTCTCAGCTTCTCTGGCTTTGGTTAGATTTACATCACTATCAGTTTTTTGGAAATAAATCTGTTATAGGTTATGTTGGATGGCACAAAAAATGACAGATCAACTGTTCCTGTGGATAAAATTTGAGTTTTTTGGCCTGATAAAGACACAAATCTGGGTCTGAGTCTGTCTTTCTCTTGGTCCATGGATCCTGTCTGTCTCTCTGTGGGCTGTAAAAAACATCCAGCATCAGTGCAACATTAACCGGCAAAACAGACACATCACAAAAGACAGCGCCGCACAAATAAGACAAACTATTTCATGTCAGTGTGCCACGCATTTACACATCTGAACATTTGATTTAACAGATGACGCTCCTGATACATGAGCCAAGCATTCACTCAATTTGGCCGTTCGGATGAAGCCCTTGCTATTTGTCAGCCGCCCACAGATTGATTGTTGTCAATTTAGCGGCCACTGTAAGTTTAGCTAACGTAGAGGACGGAGAGAAGATTGGCGAAAATAGTCGACAAAGACAACTCACTGACAAGAAACAGCAAATTACAACAGTTTTAATGTTACTTTAGTGCTTTTCATTACCTTCAGGTGATTTTTATGAACTTGGTCTGAAATAAAAAAGCTCTTAGTATGCATATCTTTAAAGAGGACATGAAACAAAGACCCAAATTATCATTATTTTTAAGAATGCCTCTCGACTTCACAAATCACTGTATTCATGACTCTCAAAATGTCATACATTTCTAGAAAACTGTGACAGAACTTCCACTTTAGCGACACTGCGGGGAACCGGAAAGCAGTGCACTTTCGTGTGACGTTATCGGTTGTGTAGCCCGCATATTGACAATCGAATGAGAGCAGATTCGGATGGCTGAAATGGCGAAGCGAGAGCCAAAGACGAGTAAACTTACAAGAGGAGGGGTGTTTTGTTTTGCGCTGGGCTGCTTCAACCAATTTTACAACGTAAGAAATAAAAAAACGTTGCATTTTCGTCATTTGCCGGCGAAACGGCCGGTGATTCTCCGACGCTGGCTAGCAGCTATGAAGCGTCCACCTGTTAGCATATACACTAGAGCAGGGGTTCTCCACCTTTTGCGAGCTGGGCCCCCCCCAAAGGTAGTTCAGTGCAGTTGAGCTACTAATTACTAATTACTATTTCACTGTTCTATTCATGCACAACCGATGACGTCACAACTGTCGTGAATTCAAGATAGTGCTGTGTGCATGTCTTAAATACACTCTTAAAAGCGGTTTTCCTATTAAACAGCTGATTTTTCAGACTCTCTCCTAATTGATTTTTTTACCATTTGAGGATGCCAATATGGTATATTTCATGTCCTCTTTTAGTTTGACTGATTCAAACTTGTTGAAGTTTCTTTGATTATAATCGTAAAAACTGGTAAAACTAATTTTGAAGAAGTAAAATGTGTCAAACAACAGACACACACACCAAAAAACTAGACCCTTCCTGCTCTCTTTTCCATATATATTATATAATGCTCTGTCCGCGCCTGTGTGTGTGTGTGTGTGTATTTGGTGCCGTGAGGCCAAAATACTTCACAACACACATTAGCTCTGAGTGTTAAATGAGCGACTAATAGCTGATAATCAAAGAAAACAGATGCTTGGCAGGAAGACAGCGGGAGATGCAGAACGAGGGAGGCAGAAAGATGAGGAGATGAGGGGGGCAGCAGGAGCACAGATAAGGAGAGGAAAGAGGGAGTAAGGATGCAGGAGGAGGAGATAAAGAGAGGGGAGTGATGGAGATAAGGAGACAGAGAAACAAACAAGTGTGTCAGAGATGGACACACAGATGAATAGTGACAAGAGGGGCTCCAAACCTCCGTCTGCTTTATCAACGTCCGTGTGAATGACAGCGTAACCTTCTGTTTGTGAGTGTGTGTGTGTGTGTGTGTGTGCGCGTTCGTACGTCTTTTAGCTGATTGAGAGCGACTTTGGCAGAAGGGCACATTGACATTTCTCAGAGGACCCTGACAACAACAAGGAAAGGAAGGAGACGCAAAACAAATGAAAGCTCACCATCTCTCTCTCTCACACACACATGCGCGCACACACACACCGACACACACACTTGCAGCAGTGTGTACTGGGCAGGTCTGGTTGGCTCTAACATGATTACAGGGGGATGATTCTCTTCAATAACTCTTAGCCCTGAGAGCTAAACCTGGATCAATCTAACCTCCTTCCTGTGTGTGTGTTGGTGTGTTTGCCTGCTTTGTGTGTGTGTGTGTCTGCGAGTGTATTTCGCTGCAGGCCAGCTGTTTGTCATGAGGAGTTCAGGTGGAAACAGACACTTAGGAGAGATGACAACACATATAGAAAATAATGAATGAACACACAAAACTTTTTAAAGCTCTCTCCTCTAAACTTTGAATCTTTAAACAGTGGGAACATCTATCTTTTAGCGCTGACATCATGTTGCACAGCGACTGTACTAAACTAAGAGGGAGGGGGGACTCATAGGCTGATTCATCAGTGTCTTTGAAGTCATTAGTCTTGGAAAAATAATCAATTTCCCCCTTTTTTAAATATGATTAGTTCCAATTTCTCTTATTTCTATCATTGCTATCTGTGTACTCGAGATTTTGGCAATTGGACCGAAAGATTTACATCCCCTGGTCCATTATTGTCTTTGTTATGTTATAAAGAGACAGGGAGAACAAAGGGAGGGGGAGGATTAGATTGTAAAAGGAAAACACTCAATAGTTACATCACTGCGTTTTTAAATACTTCGACAAGACGGTTACTTTAACTTGAATGTCAATAAAGTGATTGGAGGGTTTTTCAACCAACGTAACACGCAGTGTTAAACAATGAAGTCTTTCTTTGTTACGTCCCACCCAAAACACCTTAGAACTTTATCAAGTGATTTATTATTAAAACAAACACAGAATTAAATATGTCACAAAGATAAAAAAATAAAAAGTCAACTAAACACAAAGAACCAATTTTTGCAGTTCCTCTCCAAATGCCTCTCCCTTCTGCAGGCTGCTCCGGGGTTTTAAACCCTCAGTACCAGGTGAAGCTGATTGCCAATCAGTGACTTCACCTGGGCAGAGCTGGGGAAGGCGAAAGGGGGAAAAGCACATACAAGCAACATACGACCGTAACAGCAAAAAAATACAGTTTTGCAAATTTCCATGAGCTCTAATCAATTAGCAGCCTTATTAAAATGCTTATCTTTACAGAGACTTAAATATCGTCACCTTTTTAAAATCATGGCCCTTTTGTTTGTCAAAATGCCACATTTTATGTTGCATGGTTCTTGCATTGTCTGGGTTCCTTATGACATATAAAAATGGCCCTCATATCCATTTTAACTGAACTTTTTGTTTTTATTAGTCTTTATTTCCACATGCTTTTTGACTATTTGTCTGAGCACTTTGTAGACTTCTGTTTTTAAAAGTACTATAATAATGAAGTTTTTATTCCCCTTAAGTCAGTCCTTTATGGTTCTGCCCATCTCTGATAGAATTGCTTGAATCCTGAGTTGAACAGATCACGTGATACTATCCTTGTAGGATAATCGTCTATGTAAAGAGTGTGAGTTAGACCAGTGGTTCTCAAGTCCAGTCCTCGAGGCCCCCCTGTCCTGCATGTTTTGGATGTTTCCCTGCTCCAACACACCTGATTCAAATGATCAGCTCGTTATCAAGCCATTCCAGAGCTTGATAACGAGCTGATCATTTGAATCAGGTGTGTTGGAGCAGGGAAACATCCAAAACATGCAGGACAGTGAGCCTCCAGGACTGGACTTGAGAACCACTGAGTAAGGCCATTTTTTCAGAGTACTCAGAACATTTCTGAAAAACTTGATCATTGACTTCTTAGGCCATTATTTTAAGAGGGTGAAAATATGTTTTTACTACCAATAGTTTCAATGTCTTTTCTTTGTTTTGAGTCCATGCACGATAAGGTTTAAGTAGAGACGTGGCTGATTTGACAGACAGTAGTTGTGTTGTAAGTGTTAGCCAGAAAAGAGTCACTTCAATTTCACTTCATCTTGAGGAAGCTGGAGTCAGTATTTCTACTAAGCTAACCACTGTCTGTCAGGGCTTCAGAGTGCCTCTATAGAGACCAAAGGGTGACGTCACTCAGATTATGTAAATCTAAATTAACAGTCTGACTGTAATCAACACATTAAACACATGAATGTCCTGCCAATTCCAACTATTCTAACATTTATCTGACATTTTACAGACTGAAAATTAAAATTTCACACACTGGATAGCAAAAAATAAATCAGTGGTCCAGTATAAACTCATGTGCTCTTGTAAATGTTTTAAAGTCCTCTGTCTTAGAGGTTCTCTTGCTTACTATCACAGTGTTTGAGTTTATGTGTGTTATTGTGTGTGTGTGATATATTCACTGTAATACTTCCAGGAGATCAATAGGCTGTTTCTTTATCACTGTAGTGATGTCTTCCACGGCTTTCAGGACAATTTGCCATTACAACAACCATCATTCATCACCCTCCCAAAGACGAAGTGTCCTATGATTTCTCCTTCTTCTCCTCTGAAAACCACAATGAGACTTTGAACTAGCATTTACGTTTGCTGTTTGGTTTACAGGCAGGGTTTTTTTTCTTCATAGAGTGAAGAAGAAGTGTGAAAGTTGTCCTCCTCTGCGGTCTTTGCTCTCGCACATGAACATTACAGATTCTAATATCTGCTTTGGGAGTGAGTTGATTATTTTCACAAATCTGTCTGAGATCATAAAAATAACACACAGCCTCTTTCTTTACAGCTGAATCTCAACACACACACTCACACACACACAAGGACACACACTCATCTGTGGATCAATACAGGGCCTCCATGGATGCCTGGTGTAATATCAGCTCTTTACTGTCTGCTGTGTTATTGTGCTCTAACTCATCCACCCTCCCCTTCCTCATGCATTACACTCTCTCTCTCTCCGTCTTTCTGTCAGAGCTCCGAGCTCTCGTCTTCTCAGCCACTTTTCTGCTATCGTCTCCCATCAGCGTCCGTGTCTCTTTTCTGTCCCCCCAATGCCTCTGTTTGTTTTACCCCTGTCTCATCTGTTTTCCTCCTCCTGTCCCCGTCGCTTTGTCTTTCACCTATCCGTCGCTGACTCTTTGAGTTTCAAATGAAAGGCAGGTGGACAGCTGAGCAGGGAGGAAGAGTGGAGGTGGCCAGTGAGTGAAAGAATGGGTGAGGAGAAGGCTGAAGGGGTAAAAAAAAAAAAAAGTGAGCGAGATTTAGGGGGAAAATTAAGAGAGGAAGGAAAAGAGAGAGATGGAGAGGATGGATAGCATAAGGAGGAAAGGAAAAGAGGGAGGAGGAAGGGTGGTGGTAAGGGGGCCTGTACTATGTCTCCTCTCTCTATAATCGTGTTAACTGGCGGCTCCAAGCCTGGCCTCATCAGCTGTCAGGCACAAACACACACACATACACACTGACACACACAGCACCTGTGTATGCCTGACAGACAGCTCATTCATCACAATTAACCAATTACAGCCTCTGCCGGTCTGTCTGAACCCGCCTACTGCGGGATGGGAGGAAGGAGAGAAAGCGACATAGAGAGAGAGAAAGAGAGAAAGGAGAAAGCAAAATAGAAACATGTTGCAACGAAAGAAAGAAAAACCCTGGCTAAAGAGAGAGTGGATTGTTTTTTAATTCTATGTATATGATTGTTGTATGTGCATTCATCTGTTGTGTATGTTATGTAATGCTTCCTGTACACATGTGCCTTGTATGTGTGTGTTTACCTGAGGCCACAGTATTGATAGCACCCTCTTGTCCAATGATATGCTCCTTCAGCCTCCTCTCCAAGGGGAACTTCCTCCTCTCCTCGGCCTCTCGCCGAGCCTGCGCTTCTTGGAACTAAAGAAAGATACACAAAACAGACGACGCACCGTCAATGATTCAGAGATTTAAATTTAAAAGCCAAAAAATGATTGGAAACAAGTTATCAAATGCTCCTAAAATATCTCAACAAAAAAGGCTTTACTGCTAAACAAAATTCAAAAGTTTCAGGTGTTTTCTTTCTCATAATATTTACAGGGTTCCTAAGCAAGTATGAAAATAAATTTGGAAAATGAAAAATAAAGTATGAAAAAATATTTATGTTTCCAGACTATTACCACAGTTCTCAAATATCAAAATACAGTTTCTAAAATAGAAAAGTTGGTATTTCCAAAAATAATTTTAAGATGTAGGGTATGGAAAAGTAAGAAAATTCCAACTGTGTAGGAACCCTGTATATAGTCTGAAAAAATAGCAACAAAAGGGAAGAGAAATTAATCTTTAAAGTTACACAGTAGCCACGTTTTAGACATTTTTAATGAGATTAAAAGCAACTTTCTTCAAGCATTTCAAAGAGGAGCCCTAAATGAAGCTAATCAGTACTCTCACCTGAGGTTTTATGGTGCATTTGAGTTATTTGAAATATTTGAAATAGATGCTTAAATGACGGCTATGCAAAATGACATCATGTTTAAAAAGAAGCTGGGTTATAGTGACTAAAAGTTTAGCTAATTTAGCTCTTTTGCATCCTCCTTCTGCATCATCACAATCCTTTCTTGACCCCGCCTTTGTCTGTTACTCTAACAAACATTTTCAGGTGGTTTACCTTTCACCTTTAGCCTAGTTCCCTTCTCTTTATTTCACATAGGGTCCCCATGCTTCATTCATCCCCTTCTTTTTGTCTCTTCTTACTCCACATTTCCACCCTGCAGTCGGAGCAGGCTGTTTACTCTCTGCCTCCATCTTGCTTAGCTCTGGCCTGTTGTCGAGCTGCTAGATAGCTAAAGCAGCTCGGGATACATTTAAGGAACCAGCAGACTGGTTCTCAGTCAGATGATTCTGTATAAGCGTTCAGCTCAAACTTGAACGCCGACTTCAGATTTTAATCGACATTTCATTAAACAATACAAACCAGCCAAGAAAACATTGTGAAATATAAAATCCATAGTGCAACATTCAATAAAGTGAACCCCATTAAGACCCTTTAAAAAGATAAGAAATATTAATCACAAATATACCCCAACTGTAACTCCAGGTATTATCTAGATTCATTCATACAAAGCAGTTATGTAATCAAATTATACTCTTCAGCACATATTAACCCCAGTTAACCCTGAGCAGCTTTTATGACCCTGCTTCTCAGTAGCACCTGTCAGTCAGTCACCAGCTTGACACAGGCCTCCTGGGGAGTGAGTGTCTGTGTGCATTAAGGCAAGTAAATGACACAGATGTTAGCTGAATGGATTCTGCCGAGTCTTGATAAAACAAATGCACATCTAAAGGCAAAGAAACTAATTATGTCGAATTAAAATGATCACTCGTGTGCGTGTGGGGTGTAGTGAGTGTGTCATACCTTGCCCTCCCACTCCTGCAGCGCTGCGCTCACATCTCCCTCCTTAGCGTAAGCTCGTGCGGTGTGCCCCAAACCGTTGGTCTGCAGAGGGTTTGCACCTGTGAACAAATCAAACACCTTTATTGCCATTTGAAACTCATAAATGTTTTTTTTTTTTGCTATGATGAGAAAAGAGCGCCTCAGCAGGAGAGTTAAGACGTCGATGAGGAGGATAAACCGAGGGGTGAGAGGTCATTTAGGTTCAGGGGTCACTGCAGCGAAGTAGGAGAGAGGCGCAATAACTCTACAGGGGGTTTCATATCAGCAACGCGTGCCAGTAACACCCTCTCCGGCCCCAACACCCACACACCAACACCCTGCGTTATTACAGATCTATACACGCTGCAGGTTGTTGCAGGTTGGGGGTCTTTAAGGCACATGGACACACTTCCGCACAACAGGAGGGGGTCAAACGGAGGAAAGATTTAGTTAAACAACAGGGGGAGGTAAGATGAAGAGGAAACATGATGTGAAGTGTGCCTGAACTGGACTGTGGTCGGCTTGTCAGTGAAGGTGGTTAGCAGAGACTCCTGCCCTGACCTGTGCCACCGCTGTCAGCCAGAGTCACAAACACACGTGTGCCTCCACATGACCATCACAGGGCATCAAGTGTTTGCAACACATCAGCCTCATTTCATAAGAGAAACCTTTTCCTTTCAAAATTAGAAACACATTTGGAAAGAAAAAAAATTGTGGCTTTAAGTTTCACTTCATGTTCTTGTCATCAGTTGACCATCTTCAGGAGACAGAGAGGTATTTTTCTGGAGCGTGGAACCAATGCAACTAAAATCATACTAGTATTTTTTCTTTTCTCTAAAGCCTTTGTTATTATGATCCTAAAAGCTCAAAGCTCGGTCTTGGATTTACAACAAATAAGGTTTGAAGTCTACTTGAAAAAGTCTTCTTTATACAAAAGATGAAGGATCCTAACAGCACTCTCATCAAACATTTGAAACGACACTTATTCTGCCGCTGGGTATTTTTTGCTTTGAATTCTTCAAAGACGTTGGCTGTTTCAACAGGTTTAGTGCTTCATCTCTGGGTTAAAAACAATGCAACACCTTCATAGGCCATATTGGCACTCTTCAAGATTTGAGTTTTACTTCTGACGGGCAAGAAGTACAAGAATACAAAGGTCGGTAGTTCAAGATAAAACAGACTTACACAGAAATCTCTGTCAAAAGGAAACATGATGTTAAAAGAAATCACAGAGCTTCTTAAAGACGGGTTTAAACTAGATCAGTCGAGGGCATATTAAGGTCTCCCCAGTTCTGCTTCTCTGTCTGAGCTCCTCTCAGAAAAGATGAAACCGTAAAAGTAATCAATAGAGCTGCTAGTTTGTTCCTGCCGCTCCGAGCGACCACCACTGAGACTAATAATCAGTGGGATGATCATCGATAAACTCCTAAATTTTGTGACCTGCACACTGAGCTATCGATCCCAGCGACAATACCCCCACCCTTCCCGTCCCTTTCATACACCCCCCCACCCCTCCAAAAAAAAAAAAAAAAAAAAATCACGAGGGAGGAAAGCAATAAAGCACCCCCCATACACACACAACAACACAGACAGTGGACATAATAAATAGCATCATTTAGGGCTTTAATATCAAGCCAACCCTCTGGGCCATAGCACTTTATAACAGGATCAACACCAACGACACTCACACACACACACACACCCTGGCTCAACAGTCGAAAACACACACACACACACACACACACAAACACACACACAGTTGCACACAGGATCCCTTCATTAGGAGTGCTTTAGTTATGCCTATTAGGAGTCCCCTCCTATTTCCTCCTCCCTCTCTTTCACTGCAGCTGGTGGGAGAGAGCCCCTGCTGCTCTTTGTGGGCGTGTGTGCCCTTGTTTTTTTTTTTTTTGTGTGCCTATGAGCATTTGTGTATCTCCTCTGGCCTGCTACCACCTACAGAGCGGCCCATTACCGAGCGCCCCTGGCTGCAAGCGTATTGTGGAGCCTGGGGAGGAACCAGGGAGCCCGGGCAGGTAATGTGAGGGACGGTGGGGCTGAGGACAGGCCCGAGGGTGGGCCTGGAGACTGTGATGGATGGAGATGTGAGTGGAGGGCTGGCTGAGGCCAAAAGAGCAAAACCCGCAGCTAGTGGAGTTACATGGACAGATACAAACACAAGGGAAATAACAAGGTGTAGGATACACACGACCCCGCAACAGGAACACACGGAAGATGCACATGCGTGAAGTAAAGAGGACACAGACACTCACACTGACATCAAGCTCTGCCAGGTTATATGACTTTTTAAAATGTATAAATCTGTAAAATTCTACGAGATTCAAGCTACATCTCGAAAAATCTGACTTTTTTTTAAAACAGAGGCTCGTATTTCGTACCCACACATGCACACGGACATATATGTGTCTGTGCTTAAGACAGCGTGATGTCATGATTGAAATTGGTCGTGATAGTGGCGCCAACCCAGCAACGGCCCAGTCGGGGCGGGCAGAAACTCACTGTGTCTTTAATCTGATTGTCTTATAACAAATGTCTCTGCTTTGTGAAATTTCTTACCTTTTTAATTCAAAAATGCGTCTGCAGAACATTTGATCGAGTTAGGCAAAGTGATTTGTTTAAGCGTACGGAGTGCTCGCAGAAGCAGGGGTGAGATGGGAACGATGGTCAGACAGAGCTTTGGATGCGCCATCCATCATAAACCAAAAATAGACGTTTTTACTGGCCTCTGTGTGTGTGTGTGTTTGTGTGTGTGTTTGTGTGTGTAATGATGTTGGTTTGGGTGTTTAATCCATAAATTTAGAGTTTTTTATGTTCAAATTGGATCAGTCTAAAAGGCAGTAACCTTAGATGACCAGGTTGAGATTAAAAACGGGCCGATAAACTTCGATGTATCTAAAAGACAAAAGCCTTCATGAATATATGAATATTTTGATAATAGAGGCTTCAGTGCACGAACATAGACATGCTCTCACACACACATATATACACTGACAAAGGCGCACACATCCTGTGATTGTGAAGTTACCCCAGGGGCATGCTCTGTGAGAAGGTCATAGTTCAACTAGGCCTGGCCTGGTTAAGAGCTGCTCGCCTGGAAACTGAGGGGGGGATCCTTTGCCCTGAGGGTCCTTGACTGAGTGTGTGTAGAGCTGAGTCAACGACAGGTGCGAGTGTGACAGGGGTGAATTCGAGGGGGGGTTTGTGTGTGATCAATTTCAAATGAGCTTTGTAATACTGTTTATATTACTCGGGGGTGGAACTGTTAAGATGAAGATACATGAAAGCTTTTTAAAGCTGATGGAGAAGATGGTGCCTCCAGCCTTGGTGGCTAGATGAGAACTATTTTGTCTGGAAAGCAAAGATGAGCCTAACGTGCCAAAGGGATGACCTTTAAATTGAAATTTGTTTCCTTCATGTTGACAATTATTATCCTAAAGTGTGGGCTATAAATAAAAAACAGTTCTATCCAGTAACATAGACGTTGTTTTTCTAACAAAGCAGGAACGTAACTAAACCATCTGAATTACCATGGGCACATTTAGATTGAGAGTAAAGGTCCTTTCACACCGGGAGTGTTTTTTTCATGTGATTATTTCAGACGTCAATAATTTTTTAAAACCCGTATCCTGTCAATACAAGTTTACATCAGCGACGTTTTCCCGTCCTGCGATACTGCGGCATTTATTTTTTCATGGTCGAATTTTCTAAAATTTCGCATACTGTGTGTCCACTTCTGACCAATCAGATTGCATGTTGTTGCGATGTCAGATTCACCGGTACATCCAACATGGCTGATCGGCTGATCGTTTACATGTTGGAGAACGGAGTGCTTTTTGATAAAAAACACAAACATTACAAAGATAACAACCTGAAGGACAAAGAGTCATAGCGTCGGATTACTCATACGACGTTGGTTTGTGTGCTTTAACAGTTTGCTAAACGTCTTTGTTTTAACTTTCATCTGTGCTAAGTAACTTTAGCTCGTAAGCTAACCTGTTCAGATACAACATACCATATGTATTTTCACTGTCTCAAACTCAATCGCGTTGCTGTCACAGCACCATGAGGTCTCGGTTGTTACCTTACGTTTATGGATTATAGTTTAATGTGCTTATCTGGTACTGGCCCCGACTCAGTACATGCTATCATGACAGACAGCCATCTCAAAGACGCATCTTTTTTCCCCCCGCAAAATCGCATCACACTTGATGTGTATAGTCAGGTGCGTAAAAATCCGCCTCCAAATATTTTGTACTTTCGCGTTGTATATTTCGCGTTTGTATATTCTTCCCATCTCCACACACCGAGCCCAAGTAAAATCATTTGCGCGAATGAATTACATGTGAAGTCAATGCAAAGATGCGATTAGACGCTCCTACTACTCTTGCGGCGCAAATGACGCGAATTGGGCGGGAGCTGAAAATGTCTCAACTTGAGCAGATATTCGCGTTGCTATAACTAATCAGCACAAAGGTTGCCAGGTGACATATGAAAACTGACTGTTGATCACTGGTATCTAAAATGGAGGACAAACTGATCGTGTCGGTGTGTGGATGCTCCAAATTATATGACACCTTTTCTTTTAATTACTGAAACCGGAATAAAAAGGAGCTCGCCTGGAGGAAAGTGAGCGAGGAGGTCGGATCACCTGGTAAATTGTAAAAAACTTTTGCCTATCACTTAATTCCACCAGTTAAATTGGCAGAGATTACCGTTGATGTGTGAATGAAGTAAATACTAGTCATTCGCGCATCTAGATTTGCGCAAATTAAGCGAGTAGATGATTTTACTCGTGCTTGGTGTGAGCGCCCCATTAGAGAAGTTGCTGTTTTTTTTAATGGAATAAAATTCTTTAGGAGACCACATTGTCACAGATTTATTTTCGTCTCCACGCTTACTTTTACAAATTCCTGAGTGGATCCTAAAGGGTACCAAGAAACGCTGAGCTCCTTGATCCTTAGTTGACCGCCTCCCAAACAAATCTGGCCTTTACTAAACAACATAAACAAACAAGATTGATAACAAGACAGGCTTGGCTTAGGAAAGTAACTGTCAATTAGACAAAGATACTGTACTCAATCATTGATGTACCAACACAACTGAGGTTTGTCAGTGTGTTTAATCTGAGACCCAGACTAACAAGTTTCATCCACACTTAAGGGTCTAAAAATCATCTGTGCCTCTTCCTTTCTTTCTCAGAGGTAAATGGAGCCCTCAATGAAATAAAATTAGAGGAGGTACATGAATCTAATGGATTGCACTTATGCAGCGCTTTTGTCTTCCAAACACTTAAAGAGATTTTCACAACAGGTCAGCATTCACCCTTTCACGCAAACACTCACACCCTCATGGCAAAGACTACCATGCAAAGTGCCAGGCTGCTCATTAGGGTCTAATCTGATCACAACTGTACTCATTCTTCAACGGCTGCTCCTTCTGGAGTAGTTGTTTTAGGTCCAAAGTTTTGCGTAGGAACACTTGCACCACCACGAGAAGTTACAAGAAGCTGATTCTTTTTTTTTTACTTTTTGGTGTTATAGCAATACTAAGATAAAGGGATGGGGTGGTGGTGGTGGTGGTGATGGCAGGTTGGGGATGATACCTACCAGCCTCAAGCATCATGCGTACTGTGTGAGGATCATCAGCCAGTGTGGCATAGTGAAGTGCTGTGCAACCACGGAAACCAGCCCTGCTGCTGAGCCTGCTGCTGAATTCATCCTCTCTGGATACAAGGACTGTGGGGGAGAGACGGAGAGTAAGGAGAGGGATGGTGAGACAAGAACGATTAGACTGGGAGATGGATACATAAAGACAGAAAAAAAAAATCCCAACAAAATCCTGACATGGATGTGGCTTCATTTCAAATTTAAATCAGCCTGAAGAGTAAAGCCACTGCAGACGGTCGCCATCGATTAAACAAGAAGCACTGTAGTAAACTTCTTTGATTTCTCTTTGACAGTTTGTACTAATATACTACTCTGGCTGTTTTTGTGATGTCTGCTGCACCTGTATGTGTGGCTCATAGGTTAGGGCTGGGCGATAAACAGAAAATTTACCGAAACAGACATTTATGACAATAATGCTGGGTTCGAATTACCTCGGAAGTTAGATGTCTGAGCTGGGAATGACGTCACACCTGAGTTACCAGCATTTCAGTTACCAAGTCGGAAAAAAACAAAATCGGAGGCAGAAACAAGATGGCTACATCTATGAAAGTTATTTCAGTGCTTGTTATTTTAGTTGTTGTAAGTTATTTTAGCATCCCCCTTTGGAGTTGTAGCCATCTTGTTTCCACCTCTGATTTTTCTGACTTGGTAACTGGAACGCTGGTAACTCAAGTGTGATGTCATTCCCATCTCGGGCATCTGACTTCTGGGGTAACTTGAATGCAGCATTACCAACGTCATTTTGCCCATATTGATTTATTCTGTGTCAAAAACATGAAAAAAATAAAAGTTGGTTTTGGATGTGTGTAGGTAGGTTATGGTCTCATGTCCCTTTAAGACACTGTCCTACATCAGACATGACTCCACCCCATCCAGTCCGTAACAAAGAGTGAAAGACAGGTGAGGAGATGGAGGACGGTTCAAAAGTTGTAGCAGCTGGAGCGGCATCTGAAGTAGACGAAGTTAATGTGGGAAGGGGTGAGCTGCTTGTGGAGTAGTTATCGTCCATTTATCGTTATCGAGGTAAACTGCTCAATATATCGTGATATTGATTTGAAGCCATATCACCCAGCCCTATCAGAGGTGGTAGCTTAAACTCAAATTACTCTGATGATATTGTGGTTCTTGTTTACATACAGTGCATATTTCTTTAAACTAGTTGCTGTTAGGGAGTTTTAAAAGAAAATGATACCTTAAAATTGAAAATTAAAAAAGCAAAAACATGTTTTTTCTGGCCTTTATTGTATTGTGATTAATGCAGTAACATTGACCACCCTTATTATCAACTTTCTACCTCAAATGAAGTCTTCACATGAAGTGTGACTAGTATTCTTCGCAGGGCTAACCCAGTGAGAGTGATGACTGAACTAATAATTAACATTGTAAGCCGTTGTATCTGAGAGAACTTTCTGTAATCCGTTCACAGTGACTGGTTCGGCTCATAACATGTTGAAATGATAAAACAGCAGAATACAAGATTGTTTCCACATTTCCCAGCTTTGGAGCAGTTGTTCATTTTCACAGATTTAAGCTCAACTGTCCTACACGCTCGGGATAACGCGTGTCACGGTTTAGGGTCTTCTTTGCTTTCCTCCTTACTGATAATAGAGCTAGTCTATCATTTTCTCCTTACTTATCTTTTTCATAAGAGCACTCATCTTGTGCCACTCCTCCATCATCCATTTTTATTTTTTCCGCCTCCTTCCTCTCCTCCTCTCCACCCATCAATTCCTTTCATCACTCGCACCCTCTTCCTCCCTCCCTCTACCCCAATAACTTTGTCTCATCCATTTCCCGACTTCCTCTCCCTCCCTCATCATCTCACCCATTTCCTCCAATCCCTCCCTCTCTCTATCATCCCTTGCAACATCCAAATCTTCTTCTCTCTCTCTTCCATCTTTAACTCCCCCCATACTCCATCTCCTGCTCCTCTTTCTCTTGGTCTTACTTTCTATCACTGCTTTCCTCCTCTCATTCTTCCTTCCTTCATCAGTCTTTCCCTTCCTCTAGCCATCCTACTCCTTTTTCTCTGGCAGTCTCTCTCTGCAGTTCGTGTGTGTGTGTGTGTGTGTGTGTGTTGGAGAAAGAGAGACAGGGCGGGATAATCATAGCTAACCCAATAAAGCGTCGCACAGGCCCCCCTAGCCCATCCATCAGTGTGCGTCTGGGAAACGCTTCCCCACGCTACGCTAGCCCCACGTGGACCCAAACCTGACAGCCATATAAATGTCTGCAATATACATATCCCATATAAATATGTCGGCAGAAACCCAACACAGACTGGGGAGGGGGGGGTGAAAGTGTGTGTGGCTGTGCCATCTTTTCTTTGTGTTTGTGTGTGCAGCTCGGAAGAAAAATAAATAAAACACAGACTTATTGTCACAGGACATTTCAAATAAATAGCACAAAAGAAATGAAACTTGTACATATATGCAAATTTTTATGCAAATGATAATGTCTTATAAAAATCGGTTCAACACTTAGGATTCATACGCCTAATATAGTTACTACACACACACACAAACTCCCCACGCAAACACATAAACGTGATATATGCACATCCAGGCGTTTCTTTTTTTTCTTTTCATTCACCTTCCAGTGAGTGGATGCCTTTCTCCCGTGAGGTGTCGTAAACATTGTTGAAGTGATCTCCGGCGTTTGGGTCGGCACCGGCTTCGAGCAGAACCTTCACCACGCTGGAAGAGATCAGATGACACAGGCATACAGTTGAATACATTTGAAATAACTTGTAGCTGAAATGCGTGGTACTTGAAGTTAAAGGACTTAAGAAGAAGATATGGGACTGAAGCAGGACTTTACTTCTGGATGAGACCATGAATCATAACCTTGATCCTTTGAGAGCGGCTTTGCTCTTAACCTAGAAACAAACACCCGATGAAAGTGAGTTTTTGGCCTAAATCATCTTGATAATGCTGGCCATCTCTGGTAAAATCGCCTAAACCCTTAGTTGAAAGGATCATGGCATGATCCTCATTTTTTGACGAAAAAAAAAGTCATTTTTTTAAAAGAAAAACTAATCTTAGTCAAAAAATGATTTACACCATTATGTTAATAGGGTGACGATATCAAAACCTGAACTGTCAATGACCCTTTCACCTGCTTCACCTCCATTTCTAGTCAGCTCCATAATGATATCCTTCAACAGTCTCCTCTGTCTTGTCTTCTCAGCCACACACTTGTCTGCTTAGTAACATGTGCACATGGAAAGGGGGCAAGGGTCGGCCCTGTTTCCGGCACCGTTGGAAGAGAGAGGGGGGTCTGTGTGTTTGCGTGTGTTCGTGTAGCCCTTCATTGGAGCGTACAGCCTTAAAGAACAAACACGAGAACCTCGGCAACACCACTCACTGTGACCCAACGGACATTCCAGGTACCGTCTCTCCGTCTACGGAGCGCACTTTACATTTGCCACCATGAACGTGAGTGTTGGCTTTGACATTGAGACACAGACATGTATGTGAGAAAACACACACACATTCACACACACACAAGTCATGGCTGAAACATGAACCCAGCTGCCAGGACTTTGCAATCTGTCATTAAACCAAGGACTGTGTGCGTTACAGCCGGGTAGATAGTGCAGCCCTGATTCACGGTTAAAGCAAGACTGTTAGACTTATTTAGGGAAACCAAAAAGATCCAAGTCAACAGGCTATAGCTTCTTTCTGGGAGAGTATGCCTCGATAAAACTGATGAGGTGCAAGCTAAAGAGCGATGAAGCACCTGTACACCTCGATCTGAAGGTGAGGTGTGAAACTAAACAAGCCGTTAGATGATGGTTAATTCACTGTTCTCTTTTGAGGATCACCTTGTTAGGGGATACAATCGTTTGTTACTCTGGACCTTTTACATGGCTATTCATTCAGAACAATGAAGAAGTCCAATTCTCAGGTAATATGATGCAAATTCGAACCCCTCGTTATCTGACCAATTGTGTTACCATGAAAGCCTTTTTCTAGGCAGTCCAGAAACTCAGATTAATCGGCCGATTTTTAAAATTTTTTATTGAATTATAAAAAAAAATATCCCCCCACCCTCTGATCTGTGCCCCCGCGTCTTCGGTCTCATCTGGGGACATGCAGCTGCCTCACTAAGAGAAGTAGCTCGATCACTTAATGTGTTCTGTTGTTTATTCTACTGTTACTGGCACGGCTAACAGTGTAGCAAGGCTGATAGCAGGTGGCTAACTAACTTAAACTTGCTGATTACATGGTGCTTCACCGTTAACTCGGCGTGACCGAGACCAGCACAGCAGGGAACATCGTGAAGTGGGTTGAACTGAAACTTGTTGACTTATTGTGTATTTTACAAACTGGTTTATTTACCGTTGAGGCGGACCACTCTCCTCTGTGCGTCCCTGAACTGCCTATTTCAGATCCGTCACTCTGCTGTGCTGTGAGGTAGTTAGTGGATAAAGATTGTCATGAGGTCGCTGCACCATCTACAGGATAAGTTGGGGGATCTTTTCAAATGGCGGAACATTTTTCGAAGTGAAACCGAATCTTATTCTCCGCACTTTATTTCTGAAAATATCAGCGAAAATCAGCGAGTTTTGGCCAAATACCGATTAGTCTCAAACAGGCTAAAATTCGCCAATTTTATTGGCTTGCTGATAAATCGTCGGGCCCTAATTTGTACAAAAAAGTTGCAGATAAATGTTTGAAGTAATTGTTTAACTAGGGTGACCATACGGTCTCTTTTACCCGGACATGTCATCTTTTTGTGGGGCTGTCCGGCCTGTCCTGGGGTAGTTCGTCAAATTCTTTAAATGTCAGGGGTTTTGTATGGAAGTTTTGAGTTTGTGTCACATGGACTGAGTTAGAAGCGAGTAAAAAACACTCGATCCAACCCGAAAAACTCTCAAAATTTACTACGTGCGACTCCATGACTCCGCCCCTGTGTAGCCGTGTCCTCTAGCTGGGGATTCAGAATATGGTCACTATAGTTAAACCTTTAAAAAGAATTTTGAATCATTGTATGTTTGATATCCAACTCAAAGTCAAAGCAGAAAAGTCAAACTCCACATGAAACACTCATGCATCTTAAGTGAACAAAAGAAAATGCAAACTGAGCACCACTTTGTCGTTTGTATTTAACAAAGTAAAAACCAGAGCAGATTCGGTTAACTTGTGTCATCACCAGTACAGAACGTATGTGTTACTGTGGGAGAGCGGGGCTGAGAACGGCCTGACCAGGTCTTTGTGTCTGACCTTGCCGAGGGCGCATAAAGAACTATCAGGGGGTCTCCTTTTGTTACTGTAGGCATGGGCATGGGGGTGTAAGAGGGGGGCCATGACCCACAGAGCGCTCTCTTCTCACCCTTGCAAGCACTTTTACAAACACATGGGTGCATCCCCCGAGACACATACAGAGACACACACACAAGCCCCGAACTAAGGTTGGTCACACGAGGCTGGTCAGGGCTGTGTGAAGAAATGCGACGATCTGAAAAGGGTTAATGGCATCAGAAAGGTAAACATGGCGGGATAAAGAGAGGAAAACTTCAGAGAGGAAGAGGAGAGGGAGGAGAAGTGGATGAAAAGAGGGAAGTGCAGCTAAAAAGATGAAAGAGGGGGTGATTTAATTACACGGGATAGCGCTAAAACTAATGAGCTCTTGGAAACAGTTTATAGTTTTACTAATCAACTGATGATCAAGTGGCTAACTTTATTTGGGACATTTAGGAGGAGAGTTGCAACACTAATTTGAGGCCAAACTGAAGGCATGCAGAGGTTAATTAGGTTAAACTCCCATTTTGACGGACTAGGCCAAAAGCTAAAATTGCACTCTTCCTAATGTGATCCTTAGAGAATCAAAACGCTATTAACTGAAAATTACAAGATTATTTTACTTTTATGGCTCTACGAGGCAAATGTGCGCTAGTTTAATTAGCTTATGACTTTGGTACCGGTGTTTTCTCTATACTTCTGACCTTTATGTGTCGTTATCTGAAACAAAGGACAGCGACAAAGGACTGAAAAACTCCCTCCTACATAGTTTCTTGTCTTTGTTTGTTGTCTCGTGATTAGAGCATTTATCTTAAAAGAAAAGGAACTACAGTTGGTCTTTAAGTTAATAGTCAAAATTCACTCAGCATGACCCCTGCAGCTAAAATGATATTTCTCCTGCATCTATCTTGATTTAAACACTGGAATAATGTCCATTGTTGACCCTAAACTGTACTGAGGAGGCTGGTGGTTTTGACCTTCCAGCTTGTGCCAGCAGCAGGTGACCAGTATTACTCCACAGCTCTGGTGTTAGTTTCCCGTCCTTGCCCTCGAGGGAAGACAGGAAACAGACACTTCCGCCCCCCCCAGTGCTATAATGGACACTCGAGCCGAACTGACCATCCATGTCTCTGACCACCTGGCCCAGACGCTGGACCTCACTTGACCTCATCTCACCTGGTGCACACCTGGGGTCAGAGACATGTCAGGAAGAGAGGCTCAAGGCACTTAAGATACTTTCTCTTCCATTTCAGCTGAGTTATCTGATTGAGAATGTCATTTTTGTGGCTGCATTTTCCTCTAAATATCTTTTATTTGGAATTAAGTTTTTTTTCTATCTAAATCTATATTTTTCTACTATTAAGACAAGCAGTATATATCATAGAAATATCGTGATCAAAATGGACGCATTAATATTCTAATTTCTCAACAAGTAACATGCAAGTAATCATACAAAATATAAGAGATCATTTTCTTTCAAAGGTAAGTTTGGAATAACTGACACCAGAGGAGGCTCTGGTTGATTCTGTGATGTCAGTAAAACAAGTAAAAGCTGCTTCTTCAAAAAAGAAAGAAAAAAACATGCACATTGTTCAAGCATTACTGAGAAGAAGAGTAAATGGTGGATGGGTTGAGTGTCTCTCCCCGCAGTTTGGGTTACCTAGCGTACCTCTAGCAGGTCATGCATGTAAAAACCTTTTCTATGATGTCACTCTCTCCCGTACTGTACGTCCTGGGACCATCTGTAAGCAGGTGTGCCTTCAGTAACCTGAACAGCTGCTGTTGCGGGCAGCTCTGTTAAGTGTGCTTTTTTTCATCCATATCTTATAACGTTTTGATTTACTGTAAGTGAGAGCATCGCTTAATGCATTTATTTGTCTTCAGTTACAGGTTTGAAATAAAACTATAAGAGCAGTATATGCACACAGACAGTGTAAGTCTAATTTTTTTAGAGATTAGCATCAATTTAAACATTTTTAGAAGCAAAATTTGCTAATCCAACCCTGTCTACCACAGTTTTAACCATCAAGTTATTACTCCTTTATTTATTATTATTATTATTATTATTTTACTTAATTTTCTTTAAATGTGTAACACCAAAGGAACATAACGGTCCATGTATTATCTGTCCATTCAATTATTCCATCCAATCCAGTAAACAAAAAACAAAACAACGAGTCACTATTTTGATTATTTGTTTTTCTGTATAACCAAAAAATGAAAATAACAGTGTTTGTTTTTGTATTTTCAGCTCAGATTGAATGGAATGGATAATACACAGGCCCATAACACAGGTTAGTTGGTTTATAATATGATAAATACAAGGCAGACCACGCAGACAAAAAACATACAAAAAAGGACTCCCTTAATTACTGCATGTTGCCACTGAAACAACATATTATCAATGGAGTTACACCATTGTGGAAAACTAAAGTGGTGCTCACATATGAATAATGACATCAAAAAATGCTGCTGTAATGTGGCGCAGTCCCTTTTGATTGTGCTTATTATACACTTAGTTCTCATATGAAGCAACACAATCCCAGAGAACAGAGGAAAACACAAACAGAAACAATGACGAACCATAAACAGTCTCTGATTTCACCACTAAACCAGATTTCTCCACACTATATTCATGTTGAGTGGTGACTATCACAGTAACGTTTCACTGGTAGCTCATCCTGGTGATTTTCATCACTATTCAATGCAGCTAATCCCTATACCAAACCCGTAATCCCGCTCCATCATACTCTCTCCAGATCTAAACTATTCTCTCCTTTCTTTCCCGATGAGCCACTCATCCCTCTCCTTTCCCTCGTTTTGTCCCTCTCTCTCTCCCATCGTGTTGCTCAGCCGACAAGTCGCAACAGTCAACAGGCGCTACACTCGGCTGAGCGCTCATTGTGCACGTGAATGCGGCGAGGAAGGGAAGGAGCGATTGTAAGAGAGATGGAGATGGGCATTGTGTGTTAAAGAGTGCAAACAGTGGGCCAGGCCCTGCGCCTCCCTGATTTAGCCTCACATCAAAGCTCAGCAAACACACGCCCCCCACAAAATTCAGCCTTAATTCTTACACACCGCCTCCTACTCCACCCCTGATAGCTCTAAAACAGCCGCACCTCGACCCTTGAACACGACAGAGGCTGAAAACTTCACCTTCAAACTGTTTCGCAGAGCTTAAAACTCATAGCTTTTACTTCCGTTTCAGTAAAGGGAAACGAGCCGTGATGAAGGGAGGGGAGTAATTCAACAATAAGATCCATCCTGACACTTTAGCTACAGGCTAAACCTCGTTCATGAGTGATGCTCCCTGTGTTTTCACTTATCGCCTGCAAATAAAGTTGTGGCTTACTGAGTAATAGGCAGTTGGCTTCTAAGATATTTGGTATAAACTCCCCGTGTGTGTGTGTATGTGTGTGTGTGTGCGCATCCATACACGCTTCCTCGCTTGTGTGTGCGGGGATGAGCGAGTGTGTTTGTGTGTGACTGATGTGTGTGAACTGATGTTCTGTCTTCCCTGCAGCAGTGACGGCTCACTGGGGGGTTAGAGACGGGATTAAACACAGAGGAGTGTCACTGCCTCGCTGAGTTATGGCTCTCATAACACACACACACACACACACACACTAACACACACAAATGCACATACAAGACGAGGGCAATGACACACATACACAAACAGTAAAAAGACAAATATGAGTACGCAAACTTATATCCAAAAACACATTAAATGCATAAATATTAAAGACTGATCACTCAGCACACAACATGCAAATCCAATGACATAATGGAGCTCAAACATAAAAGCTAAGTGAAATAATGGAAGCTCGTGTATTTATGCGTCTCTGAGGATGACTTGTAGACAAGGCAGGGAGCAGAAGAGAGAAAAAATAATTATTAAGAGTGCGTATTTTTATTAGTTATATCTGTTTTGCTTGATAAAAGCTTGAAATGTCAATTAAAGGTATTAGTACATAAGAGACATTTCTACCAATGTTTGGCCGATTAGGTGATGCATTAATTCTGCACATGATAGCAGCTTGTATGCATCAACAAGCTTCTACATTTTGGTCATTTGATGGTATTTTGAAGTGTCAGAATCAGACAGCAGAAACATTACTGAATATCTATATTTGAAAAGGATACATGGATCATTTATGGCAGACAAATGTGGTTAAATATGTTTTGTGTCTGTTTTTACAGTAAAAAGACGGTCACAGTAAAAGTAACAGGTAAATTCTAGTGTAAGAGAGCTTTGGTTTTTCTCTGCAATGAAAAATGTGTATCTAGATAAACTAGAATATCATCAATAAGTTAATTGAATTCAGTAATTGAATTCTTTTTTTCTACCTCTTTTTTCCTTTCATGTAACTTTTCATTTATGTGCTTGGATACAGCACTGTGAACAGCCAGCTTCTTTAGCAATGACCTTTCGTGTCTGACCCTCCTTGTGTAGGGTGTCGACAATCATCTTCTGGACAACTGTCAAGTCTACAGTCTTCCCCATGATTGTGTGGCCCACTCATCCAGACTGACAGACCGTTTAACGGCCCAGGTGACTGCTGCAGGTGTTTTGAGTTAATCATCTAATTAGAGTGTGACATCATGAGTCTCCAGTATTGAACTTTTTCACAATATTCTAATCTTTGGAGATACTGAATTTGGGGTTTTCATTAGCTGTACGTTATAAACATCAAAATGAAAAAAACAAAACAAAAACTGTATTAGCAGGGCTCAACAGTGCGACAATTTCACTCGCATTAAAATATCAAATTAAAATCGCCTAAAAATAGATGCTTGTGACTTGTAAGATGTATTTAGGAGCACATGTGCGCATAGAAAAAAATCAGGCGAGGCAACAAATGCTTTTTCATGTAAATATGGCAGTGAAGTTAATTTTGGGTTGGATATTCAACGGACAACAGATGGTTTAATCTACTCGGCATCCTCGCTGTCAACCTTAGGTGTTGAATAAGGGACCATCAATAAATTACCAGTTGATGTTCTTAGAAAAAGGGTGTTTTCCTTCCTTTCCTTTCCTAAAATTGATTTAAAATAATAGTACTAAGATCGGACAATAAGACACACCTATTTATTTCCCGAATTTGTCCTCTAAAAAATATTTGTGTTAAATCTAAAGGCAAATTTTGAACCTTTCCTTCAATAGCTTCAATGTCATGTTACCAACTGACGTAAAATTGATTTCAAATAATAGTACTTATGTCGACCAATAAGACAAACATTATTTGATCAATTTCATTGTGCCCCTTAAGTTTTTTGAGTTTCACTTTTTGAACTGACTTACTGAAATAAAATCAACTTTTTGATGATACCATAATTTATTGAGATGCACCTGAGTGTCGGTATCAGTCAATGAATTTGAAACTAGAAGTGCCACATTGCTAAAAATCCAACACTGTGCATTGATTTATCATTTCATCTATGGTTCTCCTGACCAACTGATTGATTATTGTGAATAAAACAAAGCAGAATTAGGACGGTGCTCGTTTATATGTTCATAATGTAAAAGTCGCAATTCCTCACAGATCAAAAGCTAAAACTGTTAAAAATGTCTTTTTTGAAAATTTTTTTGAACCATAAATGTCAAAACATGTCACTTATTCATTTCTTGTGCATTGTCTAATGATTATGCACCTTAATAACTCTAAACTAGAATTCAATTATAAACTCAATGAACACAAAACTATAAAAATCAACAATCCAAACTTTGCAATTAAAAAAAAAATGTACATAAAATCTTAATCAGCTTTCCTTAAGCTAAGAGAACATTATATTAGGACTCATTCTGAGTCATCACACAATACTGAAGTTGCAAATGAATCACAGTTCCCACCTTTATATATTTCAAGTTCATGAACATAACAATGGAGTAACTGTAGCCCTGAGATTTAACATAAGCTCATTTTGATCTATTTTTCATACTCAAATATCACATTATTCTTCTCACGGTTCACATAAGGCCCTTAAACAAAAAGTGACCACACAGTCCTGATGGAGAAAATAAAAGCCCTGTAAATTGGATTTGGCCCGGCCTTAACCTCGGCCCCTCTCTGTGTCGTGTGTGTTCAGGGGGCCAGAAGGCTAATTTAATTTGTTGAACAGAGAGATGGGGGACAGGGTAAAGACCGTCTGTCGGTCTGAAAGTTGCACTTTGCACTCCTGAAGACCTACTGTAACAACTCAAGCAGGGACGTGGATAACATATGCTGACACGCTAACTCCTGCAGACAGCTGCGTGGTACTAAAAACACTACATTACTGTAACACATGTTCACCGGGGAGGGCATCTCAGAGCCGGAGAACATATGATTTGTTCACACGCATACAGACCTGTGTTGTCGGTTCATGGCAGCCACCATGAGAGCAGTCCAACCCAGACGATGCCGGTGATTTGGGTCGACCCCCTCTTTCAACAGTCTGATGGGAAAAAGAAACAACAGAGAATTATAAATTGTCATCCCTTTAAACGTCAACATAAAGCAGAGGGAGCTTCAAACGGCTTCTCATGCAGTCGTGGTGTAAATATGTTTGCAGCAATACTGATCTGTCAGTGTCATAAAGCACGGGGTAAACTAAAGATGCTGGAATGACATTTGTTCATAGAAAAGAAACAAAAGGAAAGATGCTCTTTAAAACCAGCAATATGGCTGACCAGCTGTTTGTCTGACTGCATCGCAGACCTGCCTTGTTAGACACCGACATGCAACTGTGATATCCTTATCTTCAGGTGAAACCACACAATGCTCCTCTACCGATTACGGTGTCTCTGTGAGTGTGAGCCAGGTGTGTGCAAGGTTTTCCGCCTGGGGGTAGGACATCAGGTATTGGAGTGGCACAGTCTTTGGTAATGTGTGTGTGTGTGTGTTCCGTCTGTCGTCTGTTGTGCTGAACAGGCAGACAGTGTGTGTGTTTATAGTCAACAGATTGGCCCCTGTCTGGTTTGCACTCAGCTCTGTGGCTCTGTTTTCCCTGCCTGGTCTGCATGTAGCATTGGTGCTGAGAAAATTACCCACCGCTACGGTTACATCACACTTTGTGTTTTGAACAAATTCAACTACAGCACCTGTTTAACATTCCCAAATGTTCTGGGATTAAAAAAATAGACATTATTTAAAGTGATACTTGCAAATTTTACCTAATGATTTTATGGTAAAGATGACAGGAAAGTATAGCAGACTAAATGTACCACAGAGGGAAGAAAGGATTCGAGTCCAGACAGTCACACTACAACATAACTCTGATCCCTCATCAAGGGACTGACATCAGTTTTCTGTAAAGTTTAAGTGTTTGACCAATATAACAAAACAAAAAGGGATTTCAAATCATTGTCCTGAAAACACTGCTTTAACACTTTTTCACTTCTTTTGAAACCATACCTAAAAAAAATAGGTTTGCCTTCCCCAAAAAGGAAGATAAAATGCGGTAAAACTAAAGTATAAAGATTAATTACTATTACTATTGGGTCTCATAACACTTCAAAAGCTAAAAATGTAGACATTATATTAATTTTAAATGCTTTCACATGCACGAAAGAACACAAACTCTGGAGTTTAAAATGCTATCTCAATCAAGATCTCTATCCTCTCTCTTGCCTCCGAACAGACACGCCCTGATACTCTACCACTGCTCCAAACTAAACCAAAGCACTTAACACATCTGGGGTCGGCAGACTGGTTGTCTAGCTGACTGTCTCGCTGCACTCTCACCTACACCATCTGCCACAGGGCAGAGGTAATCTAAGACAGCAAATGGAGACACACGTGAATACACACATGTATGCTGTACTCAGGTACATTGAGACAAGTACCCTAAAATCTAACGTACATATACAAATACAACATTCACAAACATGAGTCTAATTGTTGCCCAATCATGAGGGTCATACCTCACAACAAAATAATTTGGTATCAGCTCCAATGAAAGAGCAACTTTTTTGCAGACTGTTATACAGGTAATGTAATGTAAAGTGAGAGAGGTATTGTCAAGACAGCTAAAAAAAAAAAACAAGGTGGCAAAAAAACAGGTATGGATGCTGTTGAAACAGGAGCACTGAGCGCAAAGTTTGATATAGATCCTGCAAACACCTGCACTGATGACAAACTTTAGATGGTTCTCTTCTGCCACCTAGTGGATATTGTGCACACTATAACTACAGGTGATTAAAACAAGGCTGTGAACTCGTGATGGGCACAGCAGTTCTTTAAGATGTACTGAATCACTTGAATCAGTTCACTAAAAAGATTCATTCAAAAGACCCGTTTACTAAATCACCGAATCATTCAGCGCTTGGCGGGAGAAGCCTGTGACTCTGACCTCCTGAACTGATACACAGCTGAAGGGTTCAGGATTCAGTTCAGATTCGAAGCTTCTGGGACCAGAAGACAAGAGGCTGTGTTGCTCGCAAACCACTGCAATGATAGGATGCTGCTGGTTTAATGCATTACTTGTTTCATGCTGTGTCCTATTGTATGCAAGTTGTTGTGGTGGCAATTTAGCAGTTAAAAAAAAAGTTCTTTTGAACGAATCGTTCGTGAACGAAACAACACTACTGTGAACATTCATTGGTGTTGCAGGAATTGGTCTTTGTCAATGATCTGAACCTAAACTGAGGCTTTGGCTTTCAATAAAGGTACAAGTAATAATTTGGTGGAAGAAACTGGCCTGCAGACACGACTTCAAAACTTCTAAATGCTTTTGTAACCAACTAGATCATTAAGAATACCCAGCTCATGGACCAAAGGATACTAGGCCCAGGCAAGATGATGAATGTGTATAGATAATGCAATATATGTTCTTGTATAAAAGTAGAAAAATATTGTGTTTTGTGAATACAAGCTGAGTGATTTATTGAGAAGTGTATGCGAATGTAAGCTTATTTATTACCTGGCCACATCCTGGGAGTTGTTTGTCCTCGCTGCCTCCAGAAGTGCATCACCTATTTATTGCAAAATCAGACACAAGACCAAAAATAAAGGTTTTAAAAAGAATACAATCCTGATTTTTTTTGGCTATTATGACAGCTGTATGCTTATTGCAAGGAAATTATTAAAATAGTTGTACTCAAAGCTGTTTCTGTTTTTCATATGAAATTTATTACACCAGTGGGGAACCGTGGGCTCCTATTAAACTATTTCAAATGCTTTCAGTAAACCAATTCAGACAACACAATGTCAGGTAACTGGGTCTACCTTTATTATCGGAGTCTTTCTTCAGGCAGAAGGCCACGGCCGCAGCAGACAGAACCCCGACAGAAGCCACTCCTGACCGGTTGGCTCCTCCACCTGTCCCCCGGCCCTCACCTCCACCCCTCTGCCCGCTCCCCTCCCAGTACTGGTTGTTGTCGCGTCCTCTGCTGGCGAGAGCTGCCCATGAGCTCCGGCGGTTCTCCAGGTTGGACAGCCATCTAGGGGCGAGGTGGTGGTACTGCACCGACGGGTTCACATTGGTAACATTCCCAGCGGTTTCTTCAGCTAAAATACCTCTTCTGGAGACCCGGGAGGTGGACACGATGGGGTTGCGGTTGGTCTCCGCCGGTGTCTCTCGGATGCCCTGATTTGCGGCGGCCCCTGCACTGGTCTGGAGAACACGACTGCACGGTGACAGGCTACGCGACCTTCGCGCAATTAGCCTGGTGGGAACCGATGTTAACATGGCGATAAACTCACCGAAAAACGAGGCAGGGGTGACGGAGTCAGTCTGGCAGTAATTCCAAATGAAAACTGATATCCCACTTGGCAAACACACTGCGGTCGTGCCGAGATAACCTTGTTATTGGTAATAACAGACAGCTAGTCGGAACCATAGAGACGAAAACAACTGCTTCACCTCATCGTTGCATGGATGTCACTAGAACGCGCGGTGCATTCTGGGAAATGTCGTTTCACTGATGTCCACTGTACAATATTCAATACACTGAATATTCGCCAGAGTGGAGTTTTACCGCAAAAGGGTTCACGGAATTTTACAAGTTTATCAGATTATTTCTACTTTTGAGGTAAACTTCGGCAAAATGGTTATACTAACAGGCTTTAAGAAAAAAAAGGTCAAATGAGGTTTGCGGTTAATCCTCATGCACATGCGTACTGTGTAAAGGGAAAATGGTGACATTTTTTGTTTTGGGATCCTTCTCGTTATTCGCTCTCGTAATTCTGTAATGATCACTTTTGTTCATTTCGTGAAAAGCAAAAGAAAATAATATACGCTGTTTTTTTTCACAATTTGTGTACTTGTCCTTTGATCATCATGCCCACCAGATGGCATGAGAGCATCAAAGTAGATTATTGTGGCTTCAAAACAACAAGGCAGACCGGGCAATATCCCTATTTCATGTAAAGTATTTATCTTGTACCGTGTAAAACTAAATCCTCAGAGCATCTTTACCAAATTTTAATGGATTTGTGATACTTTCAAGTTTAAAGCTGTGGCATGAGTGGGAAATAAGATGGCTCAGCTCATTGTAGTTTTTGTTCTCAACTAATTCTATAGTTACATTTTAATCTAGATTAAGAATGAATTCTTGTTACAAATCCCACAAGTACTATTCTCAAACAATCTTCCTGACACATTCTTACAAACGACTGGTTCTTTCCTAGTGGAGAAGAGCTGTAAATTATTAAGTGGGAATACTGTGTGCTGGCTTCAGGCTCTATGCCTCACCAGACATAAATCATAAGGACAACATGCTTGGCCATCAAAAATGAAATTACACCTTCAGTAGAATAGCACATCCTATCTATATGCTCCAGGGGACTCAGTGCAGATAACACTTGAAGATGCTGTCATTTTCACCCACATGTAGGCCACAGCTCAAGTCACCCACACTAACCTTTTAACCCTGTATTTATCAACCTGAACAGTCGAAGCCGAAAAAGCAGCCAAGTGTGTAGAAATGACTTCACAATAGCCCTGTCTTGTTACACTGACGGCAAATTGGAAAACAAAGAGACACCTCTTCATATTTCAGATGTGATGGCCTGTCATTCTTGATGAACAGCCCTGTCATAATTCTGTCAATGTTGACCTTAAAAATCATTTTCAAACACTTTTATAACCTTACTCAAATAAATCAGTGACTGGACTTCTTTCAAGCAGACATTTTGACTGAAAACTAACAGTTAGAAGTTATACAACTCTGGCAGTTATATTGCAATGTACTGCAGAACTGTTATTGATTAGGCTACATCCTACATGTTCTGCTCCTGCCTTATAGTTTGGTTCTCAGCTAAAAGTTGTCATTTGGTAGGCTTATTTAATGATTTGCTATTAATGCAATGAAAACTGCTTCTCAAGAGGTCAGAGGTCAGAATAGCCTCTTCTGTTAGAGAGTAAGTTATAAAAGTGTAATATTGTGCAAAGTAAATGTGTATTTGATGTAAAGACATATTTTATGAAACCATTCTTATGTTGTAGCCTTTTGTACTCGACAACAGCCAGTGTGTAAACCAAAACAAAAATAACTTAAAAGCTTGAAAAACCTCTTAATTCTTGTATTGGTTTATCTATTAGCATGTCTCTTTGATATTGATGTATTTCTTTTCCCTGTAAAGCACAGATGAGATGCACTTCATTCTATTTGGCCTTCAAGATGTGGTGAGAACACCCACAGACCAAATTGAGTAAAGGACGCCAATAACGATCTAACACGCTCCAAAATAAGATAGACTATGAGCCACGAAACAGAAAATAAGAAATGTGAGAGAAAATAGCCAGAAACTGGAGGAAAGTCATAAGAGAAATTAACATGCAACACTTTCACACCTATTAAAATAGCTTCTGTGTAAGCCCCCTCATGGAGGTTGTTCAAAGTAGCTGCTCGTGAGCTGAAAGGCCTTTCTTATTAAATAAGGACTGAGTGGAAATTCTCATAATGAACTCTTTATAAAGAAGCTTTACAAAAAAGACGTGCAGCGCACCTACACGTCAGCCAATAGAGACAATGCGCGTACCCGCTGCTAACCAATTTACAAAATAGTGCGCGTGAGTGGTGTGGCTTTGGTAGCTTGAGTTGCGTTCAAGTACCATCGGTAATATGATAGCTGTAACAAGAATTACTTGAAGGAAGTTTTCTGCATTTTGAGATTATTGTAATATTTGAGAGTTCTTATTGTGGACCTTGATTCCACATAGGGGGAATCTTAAACTTTGCACTTCAGGGACACCATAAATTAAACTAAAACTAAGAAGGCCTACATCGAAAACAAGTGGAAAAGGTCATAGAGAAAAAGCATAATACCTCCAGGCTGCAAAGTCTCAAGTTTGCAGACTAATGCTCTGGCATTTGCTTACCCGCTTGCACTAAGACTCGTACTTTTTAACTGGAAAGCAAACTCAGCCCCTTGATTTCTACAATGGTTGAGGGATGTTCTATCATTTCTACCTTTAGAGAAACTGACATACAAAAAATGTAAAGCCCACAGAAACTTCACCCTTACCTGGAGTCCCTTTATCGAATTTGAAGAAGGTTTTCCCTTTCAGTAGTACATCTTAAGTTGTACTGAATAGTTACAACCATTTGAAAACATGCTCAAAACATCAGTTTTCTAGTGATGGGCACAGCAGTTCTTTTAGATGTACTGAATCACTAGAATCAGTTCACTGAAAAGATTCGTTCAAAAGATTTGTTCACTAAATCCCTGAATCATGTAGCGGGAGAAGCCTACGACACCTACCTCCTGAACTGATACACAGCTGAACAGTTCAGGGTTCAGTTCAATTCATAGCTTCTGAGACCGGGAGACGAGATTGCTGTTATTTCTGATGCTATTTATCAAGTCTGCTCGGTAAATGGGCTCAGTGGGGGAGTGATTTGTTCACTGAACGTTTAGAAGAATTTACACTGAACATGCACCATTCCCTCGCAAACTGCTGCAATGATAGGATGCTTTGGGCTTTAGGCACTACTTGTTACATGCTTCGTCCTATTGGATGCAAGTTGTTGTGGTGGCAATTTAGCAGTGAAAAAAAGGTAGTTTTGTCCGACAAAAATGATTCCACAGAGTGTAGTTCAATGCGTGATTAGTTCACCAAGTGATTTAGGCGTCGGTGCATGTGGTACCTCGTTCACCGGCTGCTCGATTCGGTTCAGTACGTTCACTTAAAAGATTTGGTTCTTTTGAACGAATCGTTCGCGAACAACACAACATTACAGTTTTTTGAACTTATGAGAGGAGGTCACTGTCTGACAATTTTTGTATTTTTGTTTTTGTATTTTTCTGTTTAATTTATTTTTTGTTCAAGAGCCTCGGGGGAGGGGGTTTATGTTTGGAAGTTGTATGTCAGTTAATAAGAAACTGCAAAAGTAAGTCTTAAATAAATAAATAAACAGTTGTTGATTTTGCTTAAAAATAAAAAAGTCATAGTAGAGAAATTTACGAGAGCACGTGAAGGCAGCACAGAGAAGGCGTTTCCGTCGTGGCAGTCGCTGCGTCGCCTGCCTGTTCGATCAGCCTGCTCGTTCCTCCTCCTCTCTCCCCCTCCTCCTTCACCCCTCCTCTTCCTCTTATTCCTCACCGCATCTCCTCCACCACCACCACCTGCTACAGCAGCGACGCAGCGATGGAGAGCTGCTGCATACCGTAAAAAAAACCTACCGGAAGACCACATCTGCGGGAGAAACAGAGAGACACGCGTAGAAAGCGAGAAAGAAAGAAGGAAACAGAGAGAAAGAAAGACAGAAGGGACGGTGAGTGAGAGACGGAAACATATGTTCTGTCTGAGGAGCGACTGTTTTTAAGGACGTCTGAACCTGACTACTCAAACTTATTCAACCACCGTGAGACACTAGAAGGTAGATTTGACCCGTCATTTTCCTACTCTGGACACTTTTTGCCTCGTCCTCTCTCACCTGTGTGTCACGGGGCTCCCACCTCTCTTTAATTAGTTTGTGCTGACGGGATTGCGGCTGTTGTACCTCCCTGCGCGCGTGCACACCTCTCTCACACGCGCGCGGTTATCATCACAAGACGCGGCGCAGCCTCCAAAAGCGTCTTGCTCTGAGAAAATTTAATTAGACAAGTTATTCCCACAGAAGGGCAGGACACAAGCGGCTGGCTCCGGGCTTCCTTTCATTTTCCCGGCACAAGTTCCCCAGTCCAGGCCCGACAAGAGTCTACTGAGATCCCGTAGTCGTCCTTCCACCTCTACCTCTCGGTGAGTAGCCATGTCTGATCACGCCGTGACCATCCCAGACGACCGGGCATTCGCCAGCTTCAAGTCGGAGTGTATATGCGAGGAGGGCTGGACTTTAAAGTACAACAGGGACGGCATGACTGTGTGGACACAGCGTCTGGAGGAAGGGAAGTCCGTCCACAGATTTAAGGTAAGAAGACACTCAAGTTCTCGGAAAGTATACCAAAGTTCTCTAAACTTTATGTTTTGTTCAATCTTCATAGAATTAGAAGAAACGACAGAGCTTTACTGTTTGCAGCTCAAAGGGGACCAGAGAACTACTGCTATATAATCCAGTTGGCTAATTCCCATATGATTGAAACTGCTGACATGCCTTAACCACTGCTTTGTGCTGCATGGTAGTCTGCAGTTAGGGCTGGGCGATAAAACTATATATATCCAAAATTAATTTCCCTCAATATGGTCAATATGCTTTTCGATAGTCATGTTTCAGCAGACTATACAAATAGCCGATTAAAAGGGGAGTTGCTCCGGGTCCGCACCGCACTAAACCAATCATGTGCTGAATTAGAATCAGGTAGCGAACACCTGCGTTGTAGCAGGCAGCAGCTACATGCAACCATAGTACTTTGACACGTGAAGCTGACAGCACTGTTGGTGAGAAAACAAGAAAATGAGTGCTACCCCCCGGGAGAAATGCAGATGAAGGCTGAACAGATGATGACATCGATGGTAATACTGGCACGAAAACGTCGGTGGTGTGGAAGTATTTTGTTTGTTTGAGGTTGGACATAAAGTAGAGTAATGTACACTGCAAATTATGTCGAGTACATGTTCTTGCAAGGTCAGGGAACACCAAAAATTTTTCACTAAAGCTTACAAACCCCAAGCGGAGCAAGGAGTCCATGGCGCCTGTGCAGTTGAAACAGCCGACCATTCAGTCTGCTTTCTCTAGCGCAACGCTTTACGACAAAAACGTCAAAGAGACACAAAGACCTCACAGATGCAGTAGCTTGTTGTATTCCAAAAGACATGCCACCAATAAGCACTGTTAAATTACATTTTTTATACCATGATATATATTGATATTGACTGATGTGAAAAAAATATATCGTGATAAATTTTTTCCCATATCGCCCAGCCCTATCTGCAGTCATCTTAATATAGCATACTGAATGTTAGCACACACCTAAATGGACTTTAAATGTGATGGCAGCATGAAAGGCCTGGATTTGAAAGTTATCCAGTGAATGCATCCTGTGATCAATTCAACCATCTTTTTTTTTATATATAAATAAGTAACATAAACAAATGAAGTGTTTAGAGTAAACATGTGCCTCCTGCACAATGAAGAAGAGAGAAGTGAAAGCAACAGTGACAGGCTGGGGGTAGTTCAACAAAGCTTTTTTGTCTGTCACTGAAACTATTTTCAACTCTCAATCCAAAAGTATATTAGGTGGTGTTGGGTATATCAGTTCCTGTAGTTGGTTAGGTACGTAACAGAAACTGAAAAAAAAGAAAACCACAGAAGTTGACAGAACTGAAGTCAACTGGCACAAAATGTGATGTGATATCGGTTATGAAATATGCGTATTATATAGTGTTTTCAGTTTCTCAGCTATTACAGTTTTCTGTTTTCTTTAATGACATAGAGGTATTGATATATTTGTGTTGTTCTCAAATACACTTTTCTTCAGTTAGGGGCACACGCAAATGGGCCAAGATACAATCAGATACCAGACTGAACTTTTGTGTAAGGCTGAACTTTGGTTCAATATTTTGCACAAATGTTTCAGTTAATTCTGCCGGTTTTAGCCCTTGCAAATAATGTACACAGAAGGAGTTCTGAGCCAAAACAACATGAGTATAAAGCTAAAACCAGAACTTCACTCAGCTTCAATACACATGCTATGTGGTCTTCAACTGGTTTAACGTGAAATGGCTGTTATCATTATCGCTCTTACATTTCACTCTCTGCAAGCACTGTAGTGATCGTCATACAAAAAATAACCCACTCTCAGAACCAATCAGCAATCGCTTGATGACAGTTTATCACCTATAACAACTGACTTTTGGGGGCTTCCAGTGTAGCAAGTGGTTGGAGATAAAGAACATCCTGTCAGAATTTTGCTTCTGCTGCCTATCCTTAACATTTCAGCAACCCAAAGTGAGAATGGAGTTGTCATTGAGAGATGTCTCCTGAGATTAGAGTGTTACTTGTATTTGCATGCTGATGTCTTCTTTGTGGAGAACCTAGAGATAAACATCTCCACTTCTGTTTTTCTGAATCCTCTTTGCGATCATGTACTGTCATAGAAGAGCAAATGATGACAGCTGACAGGATTGGAGAGAGGGACGGTGGAGAAGGTGGCAGAGAGGAAAAAAGCTGTATAAAAGGGAGAGAATTATAAAGATTGGCTTGAGTTTAATGGTCAAGAGGTGTTTGGGCACTCCATATGGGCAGTCGGCCAATAGGTTCTTGTATTTCACTATCGCTGATCTACTTCCTTTTTTCGCTCTCCATTCTGATTGTTTTCTTGTACGCACCTCAAGCAGTCTGTAATAGACAAAAAAAAGTACCTAAATGTCTGCTTTGTCATTCATCTTGATCTCATAAGCAGTTTTTAGAGTTTAGAAACAAGCCAAAGTAAAGACTTCCTCATCAGTCTTGAATAGAGGTTTTCAGTTGTAGTTATGACCAGTCCACAGAGGAAGCACAGCACAACCTTCTATGTTAGCTGCTGTGTATGACAGAATATGTGTATAAAATGTAGGATTTTATGCAGCGTAATAGATTATGGTATCATATTTTAAGATAATTGTGATACAGGTATCTGTACTGGAGATGAAGGAAGTAAGAAGGAGGTTGTTGATGGTTATTCATCGCCATTTGTTAGTTTTATAAATATTTAAATAGTTGACCAGCCCTATGACTTCAGTCTCTTATGCTTTCATGTCACAACATAAGCTGTAGATCCTGATCTTTGTTTATATAATGAGATAATTCGATCAGCAGGTCAAAGTGTACTTAATGAGTAAGTTCTCTATCTATTCAGAAGTCTTGTCTCAGATGTGAATGTTTGTCTTGCGAGTGGATGTGGAGGCGTCATTAAAACTACAGAGTCACTTAAGCCGTGGAAAAACTGCTGTGCACCACCTGACATGTTTGACAGTAGTCATTAATAATACTCTGTTAGTATCTGAAGACCCAGAGGATAGACGGATTTACACTCTGCCTACGCAGCACATTATTTGGAAAACATTGTTATCCCTTGAATATGTTATTGCACCAGTGATTTAAAGCTGTGCATTTAGATGCAAAGTAAGATGCTAACTACAACTTCCCCTTTTTTTGACCCTAACCCTACCTATTTGAGAGAACATCATAAAGAGAATCAGTTATTCCAGGAAAAGTGAATGCTTGGAGCTTAGAAATCATGGATGGAGCTCCTGGTTTTGAATGATTAATACTTGCTGAGAATAGTCATATACCGTGGACTTACATTAATACTTGAACATACTGTGGAAAAAATGAAATATACTGTGACCTATTTTAGAATTGGCCTCTGGGTTGATTTACCATCTTCCAGGTACTGATTGTCCTTAAACAGGATGAGTTGAACCAAGAAAAAGAAAAGATCACCTGGATAGGTTTCACTGGCTTCATAGTGTAGGCCTGGCAGCAAACAAAACAGTGAAAATTAAAGAAAAACCCTATAAAGAAGTCAGCTAAAGCATTAGTTTTTATGTTTTCACCAAGGATTTAAAAACATTCAAGCTCGCAAAATGTTGCAATTAAAAGTCAGTCTGTCGATTGATCCCCAGACAAGAGGTACGGATAAGGTGCAGTTGGTATTTTTGTTGTTATCTTAAGTCTTCATGTTCCCTCTAAACCTGAATGACAGGTTATTCGGTGCTTTACTGGCTTTAAAACTCTTGATGTGATGCCACTTTCACTTTAAAAGAGATTTCGCCTCACAGCTGACAGTTAGCACAGGGTTCTTTGGATGCATCCAGCCCTTACACTGCTTACTGATGTGACCTGACATAGAAATCTAATTACTGTCACTGTCTATGGGAAACTATTTCATCTCGTATATAGAGATAGAAACTGAACAAACTCTCCTCTGTGTGAATGTGTATGTGTGTGTGTGTCCTGTTGGTGTATCCGGGTCTGGAAGCAAGCCACTGTGTGTTTACTTTGTTTAATAATGTGGTGTGTATATATGGGTGTGTATCTGTGTGTGTAGAGGGCCTTAACAGCAGAGGGCTTTTCCCAGCTACTTCTATCCTGTTCCCCCTATCAATTTACCTGTGACAGAGGTTCTTTGTGTGAGTGTGCGAGTGTGTATATGTGTGTGTGCGTGTAGTGTACTGTAGAAAATTGGCCTATCAGGATTTCATAAACGGGCCCCATGTGATTCCAGTCTTATGTGAGCTAAAGGAGAGGTGTATCATGTCTACATCAGCAGGGCAAATGTGTGTGTGCACAGAGGATAAGGTTCTGCTTATTCATGCTTTTTTCATGCAGGGCAGGTGTGTTTCCTCACAGCAGCTCTGCAAACACAGAGAAGTGGAAAGTAACACGCACATGTTTGGAGTTTGGGTGGGGTTTCTCTCTACTACTGGCAGTTTATCTTTATGTAAATAGGACAGTTACAGGAGCTGGACTTTGGCATTACTCTCCATCATTTGGTTGAATTTGCATAAAACAATCTGACACTCTTGTAATCCAAGATAGAAGTTTTAATTCATTTTAAAAAGGCTTTTAACTTTAAATTGTACATTGACACGGCTGTGCGTATATATCACGGAAATAAATATGTACGGTGAGGGCAGAGCATTAACTGATGTCACAGATACAGCTGCTCTATTTATAGCCGGTATAAAAGCATGCATCTTTGCTGATGCATGTGGAATGATTAATACGAGCGTTGAGACTTAACGCCTTCCTTCTCTCTCTGTATTGAATTTTTTATTTTGCTACAGCCTAAATATCCGTGAAGAGAAAGAGTGATAAATCCAAATCAAAGAGATTGAAAGAAATAGAGAGAACAGATGGGCAACCATCACTGTCATTAGCAGTGTAATTATCAGCAGGCTCATTATCATTGTAATCATTCCCCCATGCCATATCAGCAATAATGACTTCCATATCACAGTGAAATCACGGCTGTAATCACTCACACTGGCCTTCATTATCATTATCCTCACCATTATCCTCATATTATTATCATTATTTGCCAGCTCAGAGTTGAATGTGTGTCGGTCTATGTATAGATGGTTTTATAATGGAGGCTTTTGGGTTTACCTCTACCCTTGCTGACACACAGGGAAGCCCAACTCTGAATCACACACTCGCCCACTCCTCTTTTTTCCCCCCACCTAATTGTCTTGTGCAACCCAGGTGTGCAAATAGTAAGTAAATAGTAAGAAAGTGAGAAGTGGCAAGGATAGAAGAAAGAGTGTGAGACGGGGCATAAGGTAGAGAAATAGGGTAGTGGGTGGAGGGATGCAGACATTGCAGAGGTAAGAGATCACTGGGTTTTCTGTGTGGGAAGTGGACACAACAGCAGCAGCAGCATCAGAGAGAAAAAACCCTCACAAGCACACGCCTATTGTTTGTCGGCCTTTCTACCTCCATCCCTCGTTTTACCCTTCTAGACTCTCAGAGGCCGCTCTCCATCCCCATGCTTCATTATGTTGACTTTACTGAATTAGTGTGTAATAGAATTATGCACATGTGTACTTACAGGCTGTACATCTTTATCATACTTGGTGTCTCTAGCTCCCTGCTGTTCTCTTTATAGGCTATTCCGTCCTTCTTCTGCTTCTGTTTCAGTTTGCTCTGTGGCTACAACACATCTATTGTTCTTTTTTTTTTCTCCCTGACCTACGTGTCCTCTATCAGACTGTGTAGCAACCACACACACACACATGTACACACACTGCTTATTCTTGTCTTCTGTAGATATAACACATTCATCATCAACAGTTGGTTTCTTCCTAGAACAGGTAAAGTGTTCGGTAGGGCAAAGATGACTAATCTGTTTTAGCTCTGAGTGAGCATGTTCTTGTTTCAGTCTTTATGCCCTGGTTTCTTACTTATATTGAAGTTGTCATTGTGGCAGAATTGTTGTGTTAGATTTCACTATATTTCCCAAGTAGGCTTGGAAAAGTTGTAGACTTTTAGATGATTTTTTGCCATATCGTTGCAGATAAGTCAATCTAAACAGACATAAGTATAAACTGCTAACGTTTTTGTAATTGCTGCTCAAAGTACTGAGTCAATTTCAACTGCTGCTAGGGTCGACACCAATCAGTCGTAAAAAATAATGACCACCTGCCTGATACAGTGAATCAGCCCCGACTTCCAGTGAGGTCCACACAGATGCTTGATTGGATTGAGATTTGGAGAATTTGGAGGCCAAAACCACCACATGATTCATAGATGACAATGGCGGGCGCTCTCAGTGATGGACAGGTGTCAGCATGGGCGTCCAGATCAGTCTGCGGCCATGCCCTCATCCACAACAAACTGTCATGCACACCTTTTCACCGGGTATGGTGTTGACTTTTTCAACAAATCCAGCTCTGGTGGCTCCTATCCTCACACGCATTTTAGCATTGGCCACCCTTAGTCTTGTGGCTCCTTCAAACTACTTTTGGCAGTACTGACCACGGCAGACCAGGAACACCCCATCACAACTGTAGTTTTGAAGATGTTGTGACCTTCTGCCATCACAGTTTGACCTTAGTCAAAGTCACTCAGTATGTTTACATGGCACTTGAGAAAACTGAATTATTGCCTTACTCCGATTAAGACCAGACAACTGAAGTGCATGTAAGCACCTTAGTCCGACTGTAATCAGAGTTTGAGAAATACAATTGGAGTCGGAGAACTCCTATTAAGACACCCAGATGATGCGATTGGAACTCGATCCTCTCTACCACGTAACCAGCATGGTCGGAGTATGATTGGATAATGCATGTGCACATGCGCCACGCCCCTGTAACCCCAGAACACAAACACCAGAGAAGAAGTGGCACCAACATTTAAAAAACTTTTGACCCAGAACGTAGTGTCTCACATCCTTACACCACCCACTAACAGGTGCCATTGTGATAAGACAACCAACGTCATTTCTGATAGCTGATTGGTGTAAACTTTCTGTAACACCTAGAATTATCTTCACATTACCATTTTTATCAAATACAAATACATTGCAGTTATAAGCTGCATTAAAAATATGATCCCTGTGAGATTGTGTCTGAGCAAGTCTTTTTCGAAATAAATGCAGCAGTGAAATAGCAACAAGTGGGTGCACAGTAACTCACATTAATGCTGTATATCAAACAGCTTTGTTGTGTGAGCTTGTGTGCTAGCTAGTCTTTGAATCTTTCATATGGAAATAAATGTAGTCTTCCTGACTGTTAATAACAGATTTTGCTCATCTATCCAGATCCGCTGCTGTTAACAAGTTATATTACAAGAGCATATGTTTTACACACAAGCTTTTTCACTAGCTGTAATGATTATACACTAAAAAGAGGTCTCTCCTTCAAACAGCTGTACAGACAAATGTAAAGTGAAGATGGTGATCGTTTTCTTAAATTAGGCCCTCGGGGAACGAGCGAGAGAAGACGGAGCAGATTGAGCTCTAAACCCCTCTGGACTGATTTGTAATGGGAGCTAAAATCATCTGGGACAGACAACCACCCTCGGCCCATTTCTGTCTCATTCATTCTTCTCTTGTTCTGTTTTTTTCTTCTTAGTCACTGTTTGCTTCTCACTTACTCTTAATGTTTCTTTGTGCCACTCATCCTCCTTCTTTTTCATTATCTGCCTTCCTCTTCATGTGGCTTTCTCTTCTGTCTCCTTGTTGTTATTATTAAGACTAATCCCCTCGAGCAATTGTAACTGTAGTAACAGCTTTTCTCAGGGGCCGCCTGCAGAGCTGTCTTTACACTGGCTCTAGGCACGGTGTTGTCTACTTCAAACCTGACATAGTAAGGACTCTCAGTGACAGTAAACAGTACACACTCACACACACACACAAACAGTCAACAAGTGTGCATTTATTAAGATTAATTTCTACTTGGATCTTTAGTTAGAAATAGAAATTCTACGATTTTTGCGTCATAATTTGTGCTGTCCTTTTCCATCAGGTAATATGTAATCTGTGCTAAATAAACAAATACAAAAAAATATCTATATGTTATGGTTTGATGAATGTAGCTTTCAACATGAAGTTGAATTCCTTCTTTTGTCTGAACATTGAGGGACATGCATGGTCTCTTACAATCTAGCACTGAGCTCCCCCACTACTTTATCACTCTTACAGCCTATTTCACGGACTGTAAATGTGTGCATGCATGTCTCCCCGTAAACGGAGCTGGTTTTGTTGTTTCCCATTTAACAGCTCAGTTCTCGTAATGAATCACCGATGGTGAGGTCTGTCTCTTGCTACTCTTGTAATATTGTCTTCTCTTTCTGTCTCACTATCACACAGACACTCTGTGCTTTCAGCTCTCTGACACTTCCTGACCGTCAGATGTCTATTCGTTCATGTGAATTTTGCTGTATCTGTCTGCATATATGTTTCTTTCAAATGAATCCCTCAACTCTAGGATTTATACACCCATGCACAGTAGAGGTTATTTATTGTAAATGCCTAATTTACAATAGGCTGGGACGATATGCTTTTCTCCCGATTCAATTCTTCTACGATTTATTTTGGATGCCGATTTGATTTAAATTGCAATTCTACAATATTGTCAATTTTCTTGATTTTTAAGGTCCTTACGCACCGGGCTAACGCGAAAATAGAACGTGAAATTACGAAATATTCAGAAGTGAATTTTGACGCGCCAGACTATACACATCAAGCCTGATGCGATTTTGCGACTTTCCAGGGGGAAACGACGCATCCCATGGTGTTGTGTGGTGGTGGTCGGAGAGGCCGTAGGCGCAGAATGGCAGCCACGTTTCCACCACCACCAAAGTGTGACTGTGTGAGCGAATGAATGATGTATCCAATGTAAAGCACTTTGAGGGTCTCTGATAAAGCGCTATATGAAATCTGATGCATTATTATTATTATTATTAAGAATTTTGCCGTGGAAAGTCCCGCCTCCTTCGCTTCTGATTGGCTAGAAAAGCTGGAAACGTCATCACAGGCTCAAGCCAAATGGTCAGCACTTATGGCAAATCAGAGGCAATAAGATAATCACATGAAACTATGGTAACAACTGTTAGCTTACGTTAGCACAGATGAGAGTTAAAACAAAGACGTTTAGCAAACTGTTAAAGCACAGAAACCATCGTCATATGAGAAATCTGACACTATGACTCTCCACAAGTTGTCCTTCAGGTCATTATCTTTGTAATGTTTGTGTCTTTTATCAAAAAGCACTCTGTTCTCCAACATGTAAATAATCAGCCGGTCGGCCATGTTGGATATACCGGTGAATCGGACGTCGCAACAACATGAAATCTGATTGGTCAGAAGTGGACACACAGTATGCGAAACTTCAGAAAATTCGTCCGTGATGCAAAAAAAAAAAAAAGGTGCAAATCGCAGGATGGGAAAATGTTGCTGATGTGAACTCTTGTATTGACAGGATACGGGTTCGTAAAAAAATATTGACGTCCAAAATAATCGCACGACAAAAACAGTCCCGGTGTGAAAGAACCTTATGTCTGCATTTTTAACACCAGTGAAACAGTTGAATGATTATGATTGTCTACTGACTGTTCCAGGAACCATATTTCCCCTCAAAATACACATGTAAGTGAGTTTTTAAGATTTATTCTTAAATTAGGAAAAAAAAATAGATTTTTGAACATTAAAATTGATTTAAAAAGCGTAAAACAAAAAATCGCGATACTTATGTGGATCGATTTTTTTTCTTCCACTCCTATTAATTACTAAGTCTGGTATCTTTACACCTAAGTTGTGTTTTCAGGTAGTTGCCCAAGAAATAAACTCAGTTTTTTTGTCTCTCTCTCTCTCTTAGTGTCGAATGGTGTGCAAGGAGGTGTCAGCTGAGACCATGTACGACGTTCTCCATGACATTGAATACAGAAAGAAATGGGACTCGAACGTCATTGAGACCTTTGACATCGGGAAACTTACGGTCAATGCCGATGTTGGGTACTACTCATGTATGTAATATACACACGCACGTGTTGACATATGATGTTTACAAAAGCGTTCATTTGTCACAAATATGATTTGGGACCATGGGATGAAGCAGAGACACATGTAAAGCGTACATTTGCCCCACAGTGGTTAGTTCAACAGATCTGTCTCTTTATTTACAGGGAAATGTCCAGGACCTCTTCGGAACCGCGATGTCATCACGCTTCGCTCCTGGCTGCCGATAGGGAAAGATTACATCATCATGAACTACTCTGTTAAACATCATGTGAGTGTCCTCGCACACACACACATACAGGACTTACACATGCTCTGCTGGGAGCCTGCTCAGTCACCCCTCTATAACTCTGCCAAATGTGTTCAAAGCTACATTGTGAAAGAAATGAGTGCACATTGGGTGAGCTGTCACAAACGTTGATCCAGTTTAACAGGCTTAAGGGCGTTGTATGAAAAGAAATCCTTAAATATTTGTGCAGAGCTCTGCTTGCATCTGCATTAGTCATTTAGATATCTTGTCGTCTCTCACTGAACCATTATGTCCAGGAAGCGAAGTGTGTCTGGCACCTTTCCAATAAGAGTGAGAGAGCTCTTCTTGAAGCTTTTACCTGTGGGAATGATAGATATACTGAGTGCTGGAACTACTTCAATTCAAGTGTGGGACAGTTAATCTGATTCACTTGACTACATTGTGTTTCCAGTCATGCTTTTTAAAGAACTTGAGTGATCTGAATGCCTAAGGCCAGTAAAACAAATAGCCTGATTAGAGAACTCGAGACTGTGTGAGTGACTTTGTGTTTGGAATTAGTCCCAAATCCTCAGCCTTAAGTTGGGCTCATTTCTGTTTCTCGTCCAGCTGGAGGAAGAGGTTGAAAACAGTTGTGTGTACAAGTTTATAATGATCACCTCTCTCTTTGGCAGCAAAAACCAATTATATCTATTAATAATGTCCTGCCAATTTTTTCTTGATTTTTCTTAATGCTTCGAGCTACTTCACATGTCCTACTTACTGTTTTGAACCAAATGATGCAAGAAACAAGTAACTGGAGCCACTTGTTTTAACTGTTTTGTTGCAGCACAAGGTTTTATTTGAAAAACTGCAGATCTGAATAGTCCTCTAAAAATGTTTGTGTCCAGTTTACTTCCTCCTTCTCTCATTTCTGTCCATGCCTCTTATCTTTTTCTCCATCTTCTTTCTTGTCTTTCTTGCCCCTCTATTCTCCCTCTGTCACTCACTACGCTAATGTTTACACATGGATAAGACCTCTCATGTGACTTTTAGCTATCGACTTCCGCGTCCCCTTCCGCATTCCTGCATCAATTAATGGTTAAGAACATAATAGAGAGTATGTGAATGTGTGTGTTCCACGTGTGCATGACTGTGAGTGTGTGATCAGGCAGGATCACTGTTCATAATAAGTGCTATTGCAGCCTCGTAGCTGAAGGCTGAGTTCAATTATGTCGTCAGGGTTCAGTCTATTTATCCTGTATTTACCTCTACATTCAAGCACACTATTTCAGTGAGAGTTTATTTTTGTTTCGAGAAAAAATGCCCTCTATTAGTATCTGATTTCCTGGAAACTTGCTTGTGCATTACTAAGTAAAGCTATTCTTGCACAGCAGAGAACAGCAGTGCGATATGTTTCTAAACAGACGATGGTACAAAACATTTGAGTCAAATGCCGGGGAATAATAACAGCAGATTCTGAAGTTTCTGTCTTTTCTGCTTCTCAAGCAGACTGCTGCTGTGTGTGCTGCTTAAATGTGCCGCAGCGTTCCTGTCCCAATTAGCAGAGGCTAACCGGCACTGCGCTATCATCATGAATAATTTTCCTTAGATATCTAGTCAAAGGAGCCAACAGTGGAATAGTAGGCTGGAGCTGGCCTTTACTAGGAGACTGGATTTGCATCAGGGAGATGACTGAAGCAGAGAATCCAGATTGGGCTGCTGCAGGAAACACCCTGATGCCAACTCTGCACAAGTTCTGTTGACCTGAAGTCAGCCTTTTGTCGCCATGGTTTTGATATGAATCTGGGTTAGGATGATGTTGATTCAGGTTTGTGTGTTTTGTGTTTTCCGTCATCACAGAAATACCCTCCTAAAAAAGATTTGGTGAGAGCTGTGTCCATTCAGACAGGCTACTTGATCCAGTGCCAGGGACCCAAAAGCTGCGCTCTCACTTACCTGGCCCAAGTAGATCCACGAGGTAACTACACACACACACACACACACACACACACACACACACACACACACACACACACACACACACATACAAAAATACTACAGAAACAAAAACAACACTGAGACACAGAGGTACAAACTCAAGCATGCACACTCTGCTTAACCCATGCTCAAAGTTCTTATGAATGATTCATCTCCCTTCCCTTTATGTCCGATGTGTTGCCATAGGAACCATATAAAGGACAGTTTATTTCACTCTATGCCTCTCTCTCTCTATCAGTCTGTCTCTTTTTGTCTTACTCTATCTGTGTCTTTCTCCCCTTCCTGTCACACCTCTCTTTCGCAGATCATATTTTTTTTTCCTCGTTTCTCCTCAACCCAGCGCTCCCTCGACTCTCTCTTACATTTAACGTCTGTTTCTCTAAATCTCTCTTATGCTGTTTGTGTGCTCATTTTATATGTGAGTGAATGAAAATCAATACGGTTACAGTGAATAGTTTGGTATCAAGTTTCACTTTTATCTTTTACTCTACGACATATGATAAGAAAACTTTAAGACCTCCTTTGTCTTCTCCAACTGTCTTCTCCTTCTTTCAAACTAACTTTGTCTTTTATTCACAGGTTCATTACCCAAGTGGGTTGTCAACAAGTCCACCCAGCTCCTTGCTCCTCATGTAAGTTTTTGCAGATGAAGACTATCGATTGAGGTTTCCAGAGCACAGTTGTTGTCAAGATGAGGAATCCACAGCTTACTGACATACAATGTCATTTATTTTTCAAAACACTGCTCACTGTATTTTCCTGTTTTAAGAGTATGAGCATGTTTGATTAAATGGGACGTGAACTCTCTGGAGAGGCTGAAGAATTCCCTTGGTGTAAGTCATAAAAATAGGAGCCCAGAGAAGCACAAATCCCACTGAAAATAAACATGCTGACAACTATAGCAAGATAAATACTTGTACAAGGGGGAAATTTCTGTCTGGATTTTATATATTTTTTTATCTTGCTGCTTTAACAATTCAAACTAATTACAAAGATGAAAGTAAATATCACCATTTGATGAACAGATCAGACCACAGATGTGTGTAAGAAGGATTTATAACCATGAAAATGTTGATCTAATTATTATATTTTTGGCTTTGGCACTTGCCCAAAGATGCAGAAGCACTCAATGAATGTGACCATGAACAGGGTATGCTGTCTGTTTTAAATGTCCTTTTGTAGGCCTTGAAGAAGATCAACAAAGCCTGTTTGAAGTACTCAACCTGGAAGCAGGGACACAACCCTGGCTTCAAGCCCTGGCTCTACCCCGAACAGACTACGTTACCCAGTATTCCACTCACCGAGCTAAGCATCCAGCGTGCCGAAAGCCTGGAGAATATTGATGAGAGCTCCCTGGCTGACACCGCGGACAGAGAAGAGGACAGCGACTAACACATCCCCACGCACACTCGCACACAGTCATGCATTCATTTACAAACACACAATAAAGCAGGGTTACACGCATGCCTGATTCACATTCATATTTACTCTTACGTATATGTGATTCTATATGTAAATGTGTGTTTTATTTAGAATTGATGCACACACATTCTTGTAACATACTCTCTATGTTGTTGCATATACGGTCACATATACTATTTATGTGTCTTGACATCCATGTACACTGACAAACCCATACTTAACCGACCCATCTCATACCTGCATACATAATGTATGATCACACCACACATAAACAGGAAACATAGATGCTCTCACATGTTCGCAACCACTTACAAGAGGCAGCAAAACCATATATTTGTACAAACTAATTATTAGTGTAATCAAGAAAGGGGCTATAACTGAGATTTTTCATGCCGGTTACATGGGTATCGACATTTTCAGTTGGACCTATGCAGATTATTGTGGCAGAATATATTTTCATTATAGGTTACAGTCAAAATGTTTACAAACTTGCCGAACAGTGCACAAGTTACTATCATTCAAAATAGAAACAATGGATCTCAGAATTATACTCATTTATTTCTACCATATATCTAAAATTGATTTGAATTGACTTCTATACATTACACTTTCAGTTTTACACACTTTACCATGTTGTCTTTCTGTCACCCAGTACGTCATTGTGTCTCCATCACATCATCGTGTAAGCACACTTTAAAAATGCAGGTGTGCAGAAGGCAGCTGGAACCCACAACCCAACCTGCAAACACCTCAAACATACAAACACACACAAACAAACTGATTTTACACTCACACGTACTGTCTGCTCCTCTTTTTGAGAGATGTATGAATGTATGTAGAGTTTAAAAATTAAATACAGATTCCTACAAAGGTTTTCAAATTACACCTGTGATCCGAGTCTTTTATTCTGTGTTTGTGTTTTTTCTTGCGTGACTTTACTGGGTTGATTTTGTTACTTTGTGTAGGTTTTTCAGATTGTACCGGTGCTCAAACAAATCCAGAGTCACTGACCTGATTAACTGGTTAATCTGCCGCCACACACACATTCTTTCTCACACAGCACTGATTTACAGAATTACAGCAGGAGAAAAATGTACTGATAAACAGTTTTTCATGCACGGGCATATGTTTGTGTTTACGTGTGCGCAGTGGCCTAGATCAGAATTAGGATTCCCCAATCTGTTGGCATGGCAACTCTGAGATCAGCTGCAGCAGGAGACAAGGAGACGGGAGCTTTCTTGTCACGGAGGAAGTGACTTATTTCAGGGTGTCCACCTTCTTCAAAATGAATAGACCACATACTTAAAATGAATTATGAGTGCAGTCATTGTATTTCTAGTTTTTCTGTGATTGGTTGATTGAAGGATAGAGAAATTGTTTTCACAACACACACTCGCATACAAAGTGAACACATGATGCACTTGGGTTGAGGTAATTTTCTGAAACCCCCTGAAGTTGACTGTCTTGGTAAAGGGATGACTGTTCTGCATTTGATGTCATTGCTCTCTGTATCATTTTTGCACGTCATTCTGTGTGTGTTCCCTTTTTACCACATCCGCATTTACATATGCACCACCCAATGAAATATGAATAATAACGTGAAGAGCTGCATGACATGTGCACAGCCATGTTCATATTCTCCTTTCTTCTAAACTCTATTGCCTGTTGTCCTTGCCTGTCTATATTGCCATCCTCAGAGTGTTAATGAGGCCTCTTGCTTAGCCATCATTATGTGCATGTGTGTGTATATGTGTGTGTGTGAGAGTCAAAGGAAAGAGCTGCATGCACTGATGTCTGTGTGAACTCTGTCCTAGTGGTATCCCTGCATTGTCTTCCATCCTCCTCCACAGCAGGAGGAGACATAAGCAGCATGACGGCTGGCATCCCTCTGTGTGGATGTGTGTGTGCGTGTGTGTGTGTGTGTGTGTCTCTGCATATGTGTCACACTGCCGCCCCCACAGCAACCCGGCCCACTAGGGCTGGTATCCTGGTGATGACTCATCGCCACCCCACCTCCTCTTCTCCTCTCCCTTTCTCTCCATCTCCCTGTCTCTTGTTGTCTCCCTCTACTTTCCCCCTGCCCCTCCATCATCTGCCCCTTATCCTTTCCTCAGTTTTGTCATTTTCATCAGTCCACACCTCATCCAGGCTTCTTTCCCATCTTATCCTCCTCTCTATCTCTTGTCTTTCTCTTTCTTCCTCCAAACCATTTGTTCACCTCCATTTATTCCAATCTAATCCCATTTTACCTCCTCTATCGCTACATCTTGTTCATGAATTGCTCTTTTTGCCCTTTCCTGTCTCTTCATTTGTCTACCTTTATGTCCTCCCCCCTTCTCACCCTTACCACTCACCCCTGCAACCACCAGTTTCCTGTGTCTCTCACCCTTCATTTTTTTCTTCTTTGACAGCCTCTGATCTTTACCTGCAACAAAAACACATTGAATCACCGACTTGTCATAGACTTACTGTATTTTTCATTCAAGTGTCTAAAAGCCAAAATATTCCCCTTTAAACCATTATGGCTTATGGCAACAGACCCCTTACTGTGACATGAGGGGCAAAGGCACAAGTAGAAGTCTGTTATATATGTCATTTTTTTACTTCAAGTTCACTGAAAACAGATTTTTTCTTATTCATGTAGAGTTGCAAGTGGGATATATCCCATTCAAAAGGGTCTCCTGGTGCAACAATACACAGTGATAAGGGAAGGCATCGATTCAAATTGAAAGTTATGAGGATACCTCATAACTTTCATATGTTATCCATCCTTTTTCTGTCGTTTGCCTTCATCTCAGACTCTTCTCTGTGGTGGAAATGCAACCAAAGGAGCTCTCTTTATTAATTTAACATCTATTTTTGGTGCAGAATTCTCTTTCTAATTGAAATGACAGTATATCCATTCATTTATTAAAAAGTCCCTTTTAAAATACTTCATGCCTTTGAAAATTTTACTCCTCCCACGTGGCAGTGAATCTTGATAGTGAGTGGTTGCCCTCTTCTGGTTCCTATGGGGGCTTACAACCAGCAGAGCAGCAACCTGTCGGATTTAATCGCTGATCCCAGTGTTGCATCAGTGACACCCCCACTTGAAAATGTTTAAGTTTCCAAGATTGCAAACTCAACAAGAGTCAATGCAGTTAAACCCCAAGATTACAATGAGCATTCCTGTTCACCCCGTTTTGTTTGTTTTAGTTTGAGTGCTATCAACTCTAAGCAATTTATAATAATAAAAAGTACCTTTACATTAATTTTGAGTTTTTATAATTGCAAAAGAAAAATAAGGTAAAGCCTTAAAGACAAATTCAATTTAGGCCTATATGGATGACTTAACTTGTTGACTTTGTGTCTTGTAGTCAAAGTTACTCACAGGTTTTTTTGTTGCCTGTAGGGGAGAGTGGGGTAAGATTAACCATTTTTTACATTTCAGATCACTACATAAAGGCAATCATAGTTTTGTCTCTAACTAGTGTATCTGCATATATTTCAAGATATTGTGCATCCCTGCAAACCAACAGAATGAGTGTAAACAGAACTGTCTTGATAATATAGCATGCCAAAAAAGTGGTCTCCTATGGTCAATTTACCCCGTGTATGGGGTAAGTTGATCCGTATCCCTACTACCCCACCACTCTCCACCCTAGAACATCCCTCACCTAACAGTCACTTCTTTGCATTCATGTGTTTTTTTTTAATCTATTGCACATAATTCAACTGGTACAATAATACTTTTTATTATTAGGATTATTTGCTGCCTGTCTCTTTTAATTCTATGACCAGCCTGTGATTTGTTGTAGTTTGAGTATTCATCTACAAACTGTGTATTTTTTTATAAACAAAACACCACTAGAGGGTAAATTCTCATACACGAGGAGCAGGATGACTGATGAGTTCACATGTAAAACATCATCTTACGGGTCATGACATCTGCACTAACTTCACTCTATGGCCATTTGCATGACAACCCTGGGCTGTCCAGACACTCTCAGTGGTCACATGACGGCCGCACGGAAGTTTTTGCACTTTTAAGTAATCAAATTAAACCAAAAGCAGCCAGAGACACAACGGAATTCATAGCTGTCAGCTCTAAAAATAAAACTCTACTCCACTCTGTGCGTATAGAAGCTTTTATTTTGAAAGGCTCGGGCGGAAGTTGTATTTACGTTTCTATTAACTTGACGTGACAAGCTTGTGGGTTGTTGCTGCAACTGCTTTTCATCCGTGTGAAAAATGTTATCCGCTACTTGTTGTCCGAGTCGTGGTCGACAATTTACACCGAAAAAAACAAACGGCAGATTGTTCGAGTGGACTGGATACTCTCTAAACATTGAAAAGGTAAGAAAATGACAAGAATTTATTATTTTTTCTTCGGAGACACTTCCCGAAAACAGCTGATAAGAGTAGTCACTTCAACTTTGTAAGCTTTAAATCCCTGAAATTCATCCCTTTACGTCCAAATGTGTCCCTGTTTGCTGGTTTGAGATGCTGTGATAGAAACAAGTTTAGTTAAACTACATAAATAAATTAAGTTTTATAACTCTGAAAGCTTTTTCGAGAGCAGACCGTTAGTCGTGTCAAGTTCTGCTTTTGGTGACTTACTTTGAAATGAAGAAGAGGAAATAATTCACCACCTGAATTTGGTTCATTTTGAATTACCAGTCGTTTTTGGTGACTTTTTTCCCCCCTCTCTCTCTGGAAAATGCGGGGACGATAGCGGCTGACTGTTGGGTTGTTTATCCCAAGAGGAATTCATTATTTTTAAGCTGCATGGCTGAAGGAAGGAAAGAGCTGACCCTTAAATCAAGATGTGAACCACACCTACAACTAAGATGGTCGAAAAAGAGCTTTTATTTTTCCCTCTAAATGTTCAGCATGGACTAATAAAGTAAGAACTGTGAATCTGTAACAGGTGGCCATTCATTAGAAACCTAATGCACATCAAATTCTGGGGTTTTCCGTCTTTCTCAATGATGAACTATTTTAGCACCACAACAAGGCTAAAATAGTTCATCATTGAGGGCTCCTGTATGTGGTTTTTGTAGCTCATACATAGTATATCTGATAAAGAGTGAAACTGCCTGTATCAGATGCTTTGTTAAGTGGAAACGTTGATAGTTTTTTTTCCTTTTCTGTACTCATGAACTCTGTGTGAAAGTGGAAAAGGAAGAGAGGTTTTTTCTTTGCATTGTGGGTAACCCTAAAAATAGAGGCATGAATGTTTTATCTAAAATAGATCATCTTGATTTGAGAAGTTTGAGGGCTGTTTTGTGTTCTTACAGATGCTTGGCTTCTTGACATGCAATTGATGTCTTTTGCTGCTGCTGCAAATTTCCCACAAAACATTTACATCGATATTATTGCTTTCTTTCTTATTTTATTTGCACATTTATATTTATTTCCATGGCCTAGGAATGATTATGAAGATTTGATGATTGTATCATGAATAATCTACAACAGTGGTTCTCAACTGGTCTCACTCTGGGACCCACAATTTCCCATGGGCCTTAAGTCAAATCCTATTTTTATAAAATGCAAACCAAGCAAATTTGTTTTTTGTAACCAAAAAAACCCCTAAAGACTCAAATCTTTAATATAAATACACCCATTTTATTGAGTAAAGTGCATTTCAGAGCACATGAACTGAGGACAACACTAAAGTTGCATATATGAAAAATATCAAATATCAAATTGAACAAAATGAAGACCAAATACTACTACTACTACTACTACTAGTATGACGCATGCCTTTCAAAATGAGCTATTTTTTAAAATAAAAGACATGTCAAACATCCGATGCGGGTTTGGGTTGGGACCCACAAGTTGAGAACCACTGATCTACAACAAAGTAGTTTCTCTCTGGGGGATTTATTTAAGTATGTTTCCTGTCTTTTTGATCTGTTAACATGACTTGGGGAGTTTGTTTCCATTAGTGTGAGAAAATTCAAGCAGAGCACAAGAATTTATTAAGACCTTCGGGCATTGAAAGAAAAAGTATATGCCCAAACAGAGCTACTAATTCATATTTTCAAAGGATGACACAGAATTTAAGATATCAAACTGAATGTTGGTCTAAAGTGCTATTGCTCATTGGGGAATATGTATAATCTTTCGACCCCCAAACCTAACCTTTGTTTCTTGTTTTGCTTTGCTAGTAGCAAAAGGATGCTCTACTACAGTTGGCAATTACATTCACAATCTTTGTAGAATTACTACTGACAATGTAAGCCTTGACTTATTATAAACAGCCTTTTGACATCAAGTTGCAAGGGAAAGCTTAGCCTGGCTGTCTCTGTCTTTGCCTTTGTACATCCCACTTTTCCATATTATTTTTCTTCTGTCTTTTTCCCCGTGTGTCTTCCTCATACTCACATGATTACACGCTACTGAATCACTCAATAATGAGGTGAGAACGGGATTACCTCAGTGGTTCAGAGGATACACTACAGAGCCTGGCCGTTCGGTTACACATGCCTGAATGGAGCCAAGTTGTGCAAGAAATAATGAGTGTGTACTTCGACTCAAATTATATTAAAGCAAATAAGGAGTACTGTTCCATGACACTTTTGTGGGTTCTGTGGGTGGACACTGAACACCTGCCGCTTCTCTGATCTTCATTCGAGAAGGTTGCTTTGAAATGATGAAGAAGAAACATGACATAACATCATACTTCAGACACATCTGTTTACAGGATTGATTGTAATGAGATATTCCGTCATTTTGCAGATATGTAAGCTCAATAACTTCAATATAGTGACTTGAATTACTCTTTGTAGGCCTTATTTTAGACAAGTCATGCACACAGCCTCACAGGAGGCTTAAGCCTGGGTCATATGTTTTGCTTAATACAGTAGTCTTTCACAGGAGAAGAAAACAAGAAGCTCAAACTAGGCCAGTGTACAACAGTTCTGCAACAAATTACATCGACATGAAGGTTATATTGGGTTTTAGAGAGCTGTTGATTAAACTTTATGGTTTTATTGAGGGTGTTCAGTAGTATGTGTTGTGTGGTGAGTTGTATGATACTGTGTAAAGTTGGTGACATTTTATTGACCAATGTTTAACATCAGTGATAGAACTTTACCAAACACTTCAGCAAACAACAGTGTGGGTTTACAACACTTTGTAGGATTTTTCTTGTTCAATGGAAGTTGTTAGAGAAGTTAGGTTAAATGCTTAAACCATTGCTATGTTGACAAAAAAACTTAAGGTCATGCAATAAGAAATAATGGAGTGTATGAGCATGTTGTAATTTCGGTGTTAATATTAGCGCGACCTCCACCACGGCAGGGCCCCAGAGCCTCACTCTCATTTATGTCAAAGTATTGTTTTTTTTGTCCCAGACTGATGACTCTAACCCCATTAATGGACCAGTAGGTCAAGTGTGGTCTGCAGTTACCATGGGAAACATCTTTCTGAGAAATGTTGCACCCTGAGGAGTCAGAAGCACACACACAGGCTTGTTCACCAGTGGACATTGTTCAGATGCATTTCTTTACTGGCAGGACTGAGTCACTATTCAGTCCTAATTGATAGTGGGCTGGAAGCAGCAGCGTTGTGAGGTGGTGGGTTTATGAGTCATATCCCCTGTGAGTGCTGGTGTTATTCAGAAACTCTTTACGAGGAAAACACCTCAATAGAAGTCTGGAGTTCTGAGGGAATAGAAGAGAAATTTGTGTTTCGTGTTAGAGTTAAACTTAATAGCGTGTCTTTATATATTTTGTAACTAATTAATCCTGGCTGATCACAGTCCCATAAAAAGAAGTAACTCCTTTATCTGTTAGAAGCAAACATTGGCTAATTAATGGTCCAGCTCAAGGTAGGTCAGTGTCAGCTTATTATAAATCTAGACAAATGTTCAGGTCGAAAAAGACACCCTAAGAAGAAGTCTGTGGTTCAGCTTTTTCAGGAAGTGAAATTATTATGTTAATTATTATGGCTGTACAATTCAAGATCCAAAATTAACTCATGCTATTTTGTTTGATTCTGACTATCAGACTGGTTTAAAGGCAAGAAAACACTGAAAGAATGCATTTCTGAACTGAATAACACTGTTCATGGTTAGCTGAGTGTGGTCAGTGCTAGTAGAGCTAGCACTCTTTTTGGTCATCCTTACAGGTCAGTATCCACACACCTGTGCTGGCCAAGTATTTGGTTGCTTTTCCAACTGGCTAGTATATCTGACATTGTTTCATTGTTGAAAACACTCATTCCTAGTTTTGTCTGTTTCTGCATATTGTAGTTAAAATGCTGCAGCATCTTCCTGCTTCCCATGACACCACCGTGGTTTTATATGGCACATTTCTCACCAGACAAACTCCTATTTCCATGAACTCAGAGGGAAAATTGAAAATAATTTGCACTTCCTATCAAACAAAATCAAAATATCACTGAAAGACTTTGTTTTTGAACTGCCACCTTCTCCTGCCTTGAAACTCCAGGCTTCAATATGGCAGAAGACGTGATACATTTGACCATTTTTGTGACTCCAAATTTTAGCTTTCTGGATAGGTTGAAATTTTGATACTAAAGACAAATGAAGTGTTGAAACTCACTGTTTCAGTTTCATGAGAAGTAAGCCAAGAAAGCCTTGAGCGCAGCACATAGGTAATAGAAATAGATTCTTACAACACATTATATCAGTACTGGTTTCATAAAGCGGACTTATTCATTTAAATGTCTGCGCTCCTAAAGGGTTACTTTAAAGACCAGTTAACTGAAGAAATATTATGTACACTTGTGGTTGGGTTGTAGAATACTGGTGCTAAGTCAATAGACCGGCAAGTAGTTTTGTTCCATATGTTTGATGTTACTGTAAAGGTAAATTTTGTAGAAATAGGAATATTTAGCAAGTCAGATCAAAGTGCTTCCCTGCTCCCCTTGGTTAAGAGACGACAGCCTATGATACATGATAATTATGATCCTCTCTTTTACAAAAACGTCTGTTTGTCTTAGTCCTCAAACCTATGGGTTTCACACGGCTACTCATTAAATATAAAATCTACCGTATTACTAGTTTGTCTGTTCTGGGCTCAAGATCACGGCCTCTGTGAAAGGGACTCACTCCTGTGTAGATGTAGAAGGCTCAATCTAGGTAACAAAAAATATACATTATAGTTAGGTGATTATACAATGATTTAGACAGTCTCATAGATGTTTTAATTCCATTTTTACCGCACACTGCACTTTTACTTTAATTACACAATGAACTTTTTCAAATATCAGATAATTATTTCTGTTCTGTTGTTGCGCAACACTTGGACAAAGCGGTGCATGGTGGTAATGTCTGTGCATTGAAAACTTGATATGACTGTTTCAGCCTTGTTTAGGGTGGCTACATGAAAACTGGAATAGCTTTTTTTCTGAGATTGTGCTTTTATTTTTGTATTTTTAATAGAAATAAGGATTACACATCCACACCACTACATTGTGCTTACAGCCCAATGATACTGCTTTATCATGGTGTGGTTTTTGTAACATCACTGTCACTCGAGGTATGGCAAAAACCTGTGTGCAAGGTTGTCACGAGTTGTCAGCTGTTGTGTCATTGTGGCGGCGTGCTGAATATGACATTGTATGTTGAGTTGCTTTGTTATTGAAAGCAAAAGTAAGTTCATGGGGAGCTAAATGGAGGACTTCAACCTGACTACACAAAACGACACATCGAGGCTATCTGTGTGTGTTCTGATTGAGAAGAGATATGATGCTCGAAACACTTTCTCTGAGCCCTCCTCCCTCCTCCAGAACAATTTCACACATACTGCATATTATAAGGTGAACACTTGTTATTGGCCAGATTCTAACAGTGGGCCCCCACCGTGCGTTTTCCTCTTTCTGGTCTGTGTGTGTGCACTTGCCTAGGCAACAAAATGCCCCATTGTGAAGGCAGCACAGAGACCCTGTTATTGGCTGCTCTCTGAGTGGGAGGGAGGCAGAGCAGAGAGAAAAGGAGGGAGGGAGAGATGGTGAAATAAGTGAACTGAATGTCCAGGGAGCAAAGTGCTTGTTGGATAATGTAGAAATCAAATAAAAGCCCTGGGGAAAAGAAATCAGCATTGGTGTGCAGAACTTTAGAAACATCTACTAGTTTGTTTGCTTTGTCAGTTTTATGTTCAGGTGGGATTTCTTGGCTGATTTCAGCAGTTCAAGAGTCAGGTGGAAAATAAAGTTTATAATTCTGATATGCAAAAGCTTCAAATAAACCTGTTGTTGTTGGGCATGACAGTGAGTTAATCTAGGTTGCATTTCTTAATGAAAACTCCTGTGAAGAACTTTCAGTACGGCTTACATTTGGTGTTATCTTGTGCTCCAGCTGCTTAAATAGTGCCCACTTACAAAAATCAAAACTCATTCTACTGAGTCTTGATAGTAAAATGCGTTATTTATTGGCAAAATTTAAAAAAAAAGCAAAAAACAAACAAACAAACAAACAAACAGTATAAATAAGGCTGTTTCCTCAGCTGTTCGGCTGATACCTACCCTCTCGCACCCTAACCCAAACCTTTCCAGGCACTAAAAACCAAAACATAAAATTTTAGTCAATTTTAGTTTCTTTCAAAAGCATCAAAAAAGGCCTCACAGGAGCTTTATAAAGTGTTATTCAGAAAGGCTGCTTAAAAAAACACAAAATTCTCAGTTTGGCAATATGAGCAATTGAAAACAAAAACATTGCCAAAAAAAAAGAGATTTATCACAATCAATGTGGCAATAATTTGTTGCTTACATGAAAAATGTTGACAATATAAACTGTCATTTACCTTGGCTGACATGCACACTAAATTTTTTACTTACCACACATCTTATTGACCTTACAGCACAGAACAGTATTACACATCACAGTCTTTTTATATCGTGCAGGTTATCCGTCATATTTTCCAAAAAAGGCTAAATTGAGATTTTTCAAAACAAGGGTTAGTGTACAAAAGGTTTCAGACCTTAAAGGGCATAAAGGTGTAAGAGACCGTGCTCCCACTGCATGCAAGACTTAGGCTGCTTGTGAAAGAAGGGGTATTTTAGCGTCTATACTCTCTGTCTGATACCTCTTTAATCATATTACATGATTTCCAGATCAAAAAAGCCTCCTGTTTCTCACTCTGGTTTATTAAAATATCATTATCTCAGCCTCTGTCTGAAACACTTTGTTTTAGCTATTGTCTCTTTAAGGCCCCCCTTGCATGAGGGGCAGAGCTCGATGTTTTGGCCCTGCCCCGCTATTGTGGTCAATCAGCAGAGCAGCATCACTCCACTCTGTTGTGGGTGTCACCTGTTGGAGGCAAGCCATTCCACTTTGCCAGAAGCACAGATGAAATAGTAAGGAGAGTCGAACGCTGATGCAGGCATTTTAGTGAGTCTTGCGGTTTCTCGCTACGGCCTGTTTTGAGCAGAACATCTATTTTCTAAGTTTATGACAACGTTACCTTGTGATTTGAAACTTTGCATACATTTACTATGGACACCAAACGTAGTAACTTTGCAGTAAGTTGGTGTAAGAGAAAAACAGACTAAGTGTACCAATTATGCAAGGGATGATTGTTGATTTTTAATAATATGGATGTGAAACACACATCGCATTTATATGGTCTAACTCTTCTTTTCTTGTTCTTAAATTGTTGTAATTATCACATGATCCAGACCCACCCAGCAGTTTCTTCTTAAGTCTACGCCACACATTGTCATGATGCTATATTGTACTTTGAAGGGCTGAAGATATTTGAAAAAGTTCATAAGAGTCCAGTGGAGCAGTGACAAACTTGATGCATATATAATAAGTGGGAATGGCCTCAACACTGGGATGAGCCTTGTTCACATTTTCCAAAATGAAAATACCCATTGACTTATGTCATGCCAGAGCACAGTAACAGAGCAGCTGTTCAAAGTTGAACATCTGTAAAACATTTCGTCTGCCATTGTCTTGAGTCACATTTGTGTTTTATTCAAGAATGTGGTAGATCCACCCCACTTTATTTTTTTTTAATGATCAAAAGACTTTCAAGAAAGAAATTATATTTAGCCTGCGCACAAAACTCATTGAGTGTGGCTCTGACAGCCCGTCAAACTGTGACGCCTTGCCACATAACAGGAAGCCACTCTATTTTACACATACAGGGTTGAAGCGGTCATTATAGTATTACACTTGCTCTTGAGAATATAAATGTATGTAGAGGGACAATGGAAAGAGGAGTTAATAAGAATAAACAAGAGATTGCAACTGTTAGTAAAAAATGTAAAATATTAGAAATAAAACTATTTACAAAGTGCAGTGTTTAAGAAATAAGCTATGTACAAGCATAAGAGTGTATAAAGAGTAGTACAGTTTAACAAAGTATTGTACAGTTAAACAGAATATTGCATGGTTTAAGTTGGAGACTGTATTATCGGTATTGCATGCTAACATTATTGAAGGTTGACCAGTTCACAAACAGATTGCACAGTTGAATGTAAGCTTGAGAGTAAGTCCAGGAACAGTCAGAGTGTGTGACACTCAGAGGGAGGAGTTATACAGTCTACCCCCACAATGACACTGGCCTTGCGAATGAGTTTGTTGAGTCTGTTGGTGTCTGCTACCCTCAGTCTGCTGCCCCAACATACAGCAGCATACAGGATCGCACTGTACTCACAGAACATCTTCAGCATCTTCCTACAGATGTTAACAGACCTCAGTTTCCTGAGGAAGTACAGATGACTGAGGCCCTTCTTGTAGACCACAAATGTTCTCTTTTACCCGGACATGTCCTCTTTTTTGGGGGCTGTCCAGCCTTGTCTGGCTTTGTCTGGGGAGGTTTATAAAACCCTTCAAATGTCTGCGGTTTTGTACAAGAGTTTCGATTTTGTGTCACATGGACTTATTGAGTTAGAAGTGCATAAAAGACACTCAATCTGATCCGAAAAACTGTTGGGTCCTCTTTTTGGGAGGTCAGAATACGGTCACCCTATGTTACCCAAGTACAGCCCCGGGTACTTGTACTCTTCCACGATGTCCCCACCACACCCGTGTATGGAAACAGGGATCACTGGTGTCTTTGTCCTTCTCAGATCCACTATCAGTTCTTCAGTCTTTATCATGTTGAGTTGGAGATGGTTCCACTCCGCATTCCTGTATTTAGCCTCATCACCCTTCCTAATGTGTCCAACTACAGCAGAGTCATCAGAGAACCTCTGACGGCGGTAGTTGAAGTCTGTGGTGTAGACGGTAAAGAGTTGAAGAGGAAGGGAGACAGGACTGTCCCTGCAAGGCACCGGTGTTGCTGACACACAGTGTAATCAGTGCACAAACTGTGGTCTTCCAGTCAGATAGTCAATAATCCATAACATGATTGGTGCCTCCACCATCGCTCTGAGCTTCTCTCTCAGTAGAGCCAACCTGATGGTGTCAAAAGCACCAAAAAAGTCAGAAAACATGACCCTCACAGCGGTCTCTGGTTTGTCCAGTAGAGCGTAGATGCGGTTAAGCGGGAAGATCATGGCATCCTTGACTTCCAGGACTTGTAGGCAAACTGGAGTGGATCCAAGAGGTGTCTGACTGTCAGCCTCAGCTGCTCTTGGATGAGTCTTTCCAGGGTCTTCATGATGTGAGATGTCAACGCCACTGTTCTATAGTCTATGGGATTATTGGGACGCGACATCTCCGGAACTGAGACCAGGCAGCACGTCTCCCACTGCACGTCCTGGTTTAGAACCATCTTAACTGTTTCTACCAGGGGGGAGTCTTATAAACAAGTTTGTCCTATTTGAATTATTCCACTAGTTCATATCTAACACGCTGTAAATTATGTGTCTGTGTTTAAAGCTGTATGTCCTGGCTCACATCATGCAGATGAAAATCATGTGTTATGCAGATGACATACAGTTTTATGTTTTAGTTAATCCAGCTGAACCCTGTGCTTTACTGGTCCGATTGTAAATACAGATGGCAAACAAACTTTCAAAATTTGCTCTTCAATTAAATATGCAAAGATTCTCAGAAATACATCTATGAATCCACCCTCTGTTACTGAGGCAGACACCCGCCTCATATCACAGCGTTAAACCAGCAAAAGGCGTAACTTTGTCAAGTTTAAACTGTGCAGTTTGCATTCTTTCTTCTCACCTTCTTTAGTGGTGTTGAGCACTTGTCCTTCCTGGTATTCCCTCTCAAAGACGCACACACACAGACACACACAAACATAGTACAAAAAGCTGATTAGGGGATTTTTGGGCCCAAAGTGCTGAGATGCAAAATTTGTCTGTTTAAAGATGCTGAGCCCTGCTACTAAAACCCATGTGTGTGTTTCTCTCTCTCTCTCTCTCTCTCTCTCTCTCTCTCTCTCTGTCTTTGTGTGTGTGTGAGTGTGTGTGTGTGTTTGAATGTAAATTTTAGACTTTGTGTATGTGTGTTTGTTTCCCAGTAACACTTCGGTGACTACAGAAACGCTAGCAGACTGTAATCCTCCGCATGAGATGTTTCTGAGTTCCTCAATGTAAAAATAGGAACTGTGTTTGATCAGTCATGATTGACAGCTCTGTCCTAGTGCCCTGTGATCTCAGGCCTGCCAGAGTAAACACTTGCGCTCACAGGAAATGAAATGCGCTCATTTCAACATACCCACGCACTCATCGGTATTTCTCAGACTCATTGGCGTGTATTTTTCGGTGCTCTTTTTAGTCTCTCATGGCTTCACGTCAGTCACCAAATTAAATCAGATCATGACTGCATTGAACAGCCTGCGTGTCTGTGTACTTAAGACCTCATTCACAGCATGTTTATGTGAAATGAGTCAAAACACCACCGTATTTCTATTCTTTTTCATTGAATAATTAAAATAAGCATACAATGATGGTAACTATCAGTTTACTAGAGGTTTTAAAGAATGTTAGGTGACCTTGCTTTTCATTTCCTTAGACAAAAATCAGCTTAGCTTAGCATGAAGTGACTCATATCTTGTCTAAAGGGTCGCTTGTGTTGTGTGTATGTGTGTGTTTGTTTGAGGAAAGACTGTTTGCGGGTCAGCTGGGGGGAAACCAGCAATTTCCCTTGTGGTCACACTATCTTAGCAGTAGTATATGTCTTATTATATGTCTGTTCAGCATTTAAATGGCTTTTGGAGGTCCATAGTGATTTCACTGTCAGAGCTCTTTTTAAACTGTTATTATTGCACAAGTACATGCAGGTTTGCATCATGTGAATGCAGGGAGGTAGCACTATCTGCTGCCTACAAATCAAGGCATGACGTGGTGACCCATCTGCAAACCATACACTTAAAAAAGAGAGGCATTCACACTCAGATGGTTAAAGCTCTGGCGTGGTGTGCATTATTCATAAACCAAGATGCACAGAAAGCAAAACCAAGAGTGAAAGGGACGCTTGACAGAACTGAGGAAAAGAGATGAGGACACTTTGTGTGAGGCTGATCTTTAATCCACTTACCCTGTATTCAAGTGTGTGTTAGGGAGAATTGAGCCAGTCCGTGTGAACGTGCTGTGTGTGCCAATACTTGTTGTGTCAATACCACTTCCTCCAAAAGTAGTCTGTTGTGTGATAGTACTGACTGTGTTTTGGCAGTTATCAAGGGAATAACTTTATATTAAAGACTTTTATTTGTATATTTTTGAGATTAAGGTTTAATTAAACGTTTAAAGCTTTAGGATTGACTAACACTTTAACATCTCTGAGGAAACCTTTAAGCAGATATCATCTTATCTGAGCTGTGCCTTTCTGGTTTATGTTCAGCTTCAGTATAGAAACTCCATTCTGTGGAAGTTGACTTGAAAGTTTCGGTGCTTATCGAAGTGACATGTTGTTAAAACATCAACACAACTTCCTTTTAGACTTGAGGGGGGTATTCATAACTGTGACACCAGTTTATCACACACAACTCGTCAATTATGATCCATAAAAATGCCCTGCGTAAAGATCTTGTGAAGTTGTTATTGCACCATAAACGTTTCTAAAAATAGGTTAGTATTTGGGAAGTGTTCTCATCATTTTTGTCTATGGTCAGACGGACATGATTCAAAACTTAAAGTAATCATTTTTATGATCTAATCTGTGCTACTTTTAAATCTTCTTCCTCTTAAGGAAAATCCTGCATTGCAACAGTAGCTTTCTAGGTCATATTCTTCCATTTTTCTGCACATGTTGATTTTTTTCGTCTCTTTCACAGGGTTGTGTGAGGATCTGAGGGCTGTATTTTCTCCGTGGACCATAACTCGCTCTCACACCTCTCAGCCATGTCACAGTCTGAGTCCTGTGCCACTGTGTGCGACTGGTTATCCGTGCTTCGTCTTGAGCAGTATTCTGAGGCTTTTAGGAGAGCCGGGCTGGCAACACTACAACAATGCCGCAACCTCACACCGGATCAGTTGGAGCGGATGGGTATCACGCTGCCGGGTCACCGGAGACGCATCCTGGCTAGCTTAAACAAAACCCACGGAGCTGTTGACACAAAATCCGACACACAGTCTAACCTTGTACAGCCTGAGAGGGATCAGAGATTGGAGGAAACAGGACCTGCTAGAATCTCAGAGAGGGAGAGACCTGTGCCAGTACCGGTGGAAGCGAAACCTGTTCTTAAGGAAAGGGAGAAAAAATGTCGAGATCCACTGGTGCCTACACCCAGGGAAAGAGAGAGGCCAGTCCCCAGGGAGAGACAAGTGCCCAGGATAAAAGAGGAGAGTGGAGAAGGAGCAGAGAAGATGCCGGTCACTGGACAAGGACAGACAGCACCCAGAGGTGGAGCAGATGAGGAGAGTGATGGAGGAAAAGATGGAGAGAGGGAGAGGCCTGTGCCCAGAGAGAGGACTAAGTTTCGTTCTAGTGCGACAGCAGACTCTCACCCCAGCCCCCTCATTTCCTCACCTTCTGACACTTCTCTACCCCCTGTTCCCCCACGCAGCACCCCCAACTGCCCTCCACAACCCTTCACCTCACCCCTCAGCCCCTCCCCTCCTGCCCGTACACCTCCATCACCCAGACCGGACCAACATGATACTAAAGCTCCACCTGTACAGAGCAGATCTGCGTCTAGGGGTTCCACCCCAACCAGCACCCCTTCACAAACCCCCACACACACCCCTCTCCACCCTCCAAGCTTCCCCTCTGTCCCCAGTCGACCTCAGACACTTGCCATTCAGCCGCCCACTCAACATGTGGGCAGTGATGGAGGAAGAAGAGCTTCGCCTGTCTCACCCACAGCATCCCCCAGCAGTGACAGACATGCTCCACCTCTTCCTCCAAAAGTGGGACCGGGACCCAAAGGCCCTCCACCTGTCCCACAGCGGTTTCCTCTGCATTCCCCCAGAAAGAACAGGTAAGGCTAAATTTTTACTTTGAACTTCTTATATAAAGTGTTTGGTTTAGATTGTTTAATTTTTGATTTGATGTTGATATTTTCATGTTTTTGAAAAAAGGTTAAAACCACTGAGTCTTTAAAAAAACATTTTACTCATGTACGTTTTCACATGGATGACTTTAAAGTTGTCTCTGTTCCTTGCCTTTTTTTGTTTATCTACAGTAAATTACCCTTCATTCTTTTCACACTGCTTGTGTCTGTTAAAGGTGGGGTAGGCAATAGCTATTAGTTGTTGATGATATTTGGTAATATAACGATATCGCTGTGTTTCATTATGTCTGTGTTGTCAACATTTGTAAATTTTTGGAGCAGCCCGCTCTTTCTGACTGTAAACAAAGCCATTCTCCACCTCCCCCAACCTGATTGGTTGTGAGGCAAACGCTGCTCTGCCGTGTCGTTCACGAGCCCAAACAAAGTTAGCGTGCTACAATATCGGCCAGTAGAAACCAACCAGAAAGTACGGAAAAGTTCCTCCTTTAGCCACGACTGCCAACACAAGCAAGAAAATGAAGTAAATACCGGAGACTCTGGCAGAGTAACGGGTGCTTAAAACGGAAGTAGACTGGACAAGAGCTAAAAGCCGGGTAAACATAAGTGAAGTATAAACGATTGGGACGCTTCAGGATTTAATGGAACCTGTAACCTTTTTGCTTGACAGGTAAACCGCTTTAACAAAGTAAGACAAGTGTCAGAAAGTGTTTCTTGTCAAACGGGACCTGCTGCGTGTTGTAGCGCTGCAAAACTGTTAACCACGGGTCCGAGAGTATGTCACTTTACCCTAGTTATAGAAGTCCTGCAAACATTGTGTTTGCTGGTAGTCTGTTGGCATCTACAGCAGCACCAATGCTGTTTACTTTCAATTGAAAAAAAGGAAAATTTATGGATAACTTAAAAATAATTAAATAATTAAAGTTAATTTTCATGATTAGCTGTTTTCTTCAGTTTGTGCACAAGTGCTGTAAAGGACATAATCCAGTTAAAAAAAACCAAGAATAACCACAGTGTTTGCCTGCTTGTGGCAAATTGAAAAAAGAAAGTGTGAAAAAAGAAAAAAAAAGTTGCCACCACTGTTCAGATTGAATTCTTAAAGTACTACACTGCCATCTATTGGAGCAAAAGGAAACCTGCAACCCTTTGTCATATTTGACGTGTGCAGTCTGGGCTCAGAACATGTTATCAGTGGCTTCAAACACTTCCTGATATTAAAATAAGACACCTTCTGAAACTGAAAGGCTGAAGCAAACTGACAGACAGAGTGGACCTCGAGCTCAGTTGCCTATTTATCACACATATCTGTGAACTAGACCTGTAGAGTGTCTATAAGAGTAAGAGCAGTGAGCCTTTCTGTAAGACTGCTGTGTGCTGTTGTGGTTGTTCATACTTGACCACTAGAGAGTGTGATATGCATGAGTGTGTTGTGTACAACTTGCCTGAAGGGACATTTATTAGCCGTACATGCTGCGGGAGAATCTGCTTTTAACAGCAGTTTAAAGTTTTGCTGTAGTTTCACTTGCTTTCTTGGACATTGACACAGGGGACGTGGTTTTATTTCCCAAGTTATAAAGCTCTTTGATTAGAAACTTCCCCTTTCAGCTTTAACAGCAAGGTATAAACCAGTGCTGGGTTTACAAATGAGACTCTAGTGATATTTTCTTATTTGTTGTTTTGTGTAAGGGACAGCACGCAGCAGTTAAAACTCTGTTTGGTGTGTGTGACAAAAAAGAAACTTGACGCTCGCCTCAGGCTTCGCTCTAGTGAACATGCGTGTTCTCAGCCTGTACTTTAAAAGGAAACTGTCTGTAGAAAAAAGGAGGAAGTCACAATGGAGAATTACACAGATCAGTGAAAAGCTTATTGTTAGCCTCTGTGATTGATAGAGAGAAAAAAGAGAGTGATACAGATAGACTAAAAAAAGGCAAAAGTGATTTGTTAAAGGGGCTGTTTTTATTTGGTTAGCCTTGACGTTAGCAAACTTTCACACACTCTCTTTAGGGCTTTGTTACCTCCTCCTTTCTTCTGGTAAAACGCTCATTTCCTCCTCCCCTCCTCTCCTTTTTTTCCCTCTCCTCTGATGTCTGTATGTGTGTGCTTACGCTATTTGTACCATCATGGATGAAGACTCCCTTTGAGCATGTCAGAACAGGTAACAATGATGCTTATCTTATCTTTACTGCTATCTCTCAGTCTGTACTTGTCTTAAACATGCGCTCTCTCCTTCGATTACCCCTCCTCACTTTGTTCTGTGTTAGTGTTTCAAACAAGGAAGCTTTTCTCTGCATAATTTCTGTTATGTTACAGTTGAGTACATTCTGTCTCCTGTCTATAGGCAACGTATTAGAGCAAATTTGACTAACAGCAAGGTAGATGTAGATGCTTTTCTGCTTGTTCTGGTACGAGACAAGATCAGATAGCAGTCACTGACCACACCACTAAGATGACATTTTGTAGTAGCATCTATAGTTTCAAGTTGTTTTACAAAGTGGTGGTTTCCAGAGATCAAATGTCGTCTTTCTTCAAACAGAGGTTTAAACTTGTTTTAAGTCGCACAGTAGCCTAGCTAGCTGCTGGTATTGTATGCTAAGGTGCTGCACTATGCTTATGTTTAAAAAGGGAACCCCAGCAATAACAGTGCTAGCTTGAAATGCCTCTCATCTTCTAACACAACAGAAGGGTCCGTTAGCCGTCATTGTTGATCTCAGGATTAAATTCACACAAACACTGTTTCTTTGGAGAAAGTCATTGTTCCCCCAGCTTTCTGCTCTCTATTTACTAGCATGCAGGCTGTGTTAAATATAGCATAAAGCTAGCAGCTTCCCACTCTGCACTCTTCCTCTGAGAAAAAGGAGGAACTGTGTCAGCGGGTCAGTTTCCCGTCATTGTGGGCTTTGTCTGTTCTTATATGGTTTATTGTCTTAACAAACACAGATCATAGTTATGGAATATATTTAGAGCATCAGTAATATAGTTATACACTTGATATTTTCCTGTTCAGGACTGAAACCCAAGTGCATTAAAAAGCAATGTGTTAGGTAAAGTGGGGTGTTGTGCATACCCCCAAATAACTCAAGCCAAGTCGAATGTTGTTTATAAAGCACATTTCATGAATAAGACAAAACAATTAGCTTAAAACATAAAAGTGCTCATAAAAAAAATCAAATTTGCTGTAGAGGGTGTTCCTTAGATTTGAGGGAACCCTTTATTTTCTCGTTTTGGAATAATTGAAGCTGCTGGAATGAGGATTTCGGTAGGCCAGTGATTAGACAATTTCAATAATCTCATCTACTGAGTGTGAAAGAAAGCCAAAAAGAGTTTTGAGACATTGTGAGAATGTATGATTTGATTGATGGCTTTTGAATGTCAGATCACTGTACAAGGCAGCACCCACAGTTTTTACTTGATTTGAACTGGTGAAGGACTAAAAAGAGACTTTCAGTTTTGTCTTTGATTAGTTGCAAAGTTATCGGTCACAGATAAATATCATTCATGCATTCATCTAGTGGTAATGATTTGCAAAGTTGTAAATTGTTCGCATAATTATTGTAATTTCTTTTGTACTCTTGGATAATGTGTGAAAGTAGAAGCATGTACAAACAGTAGTGGTCTGAAATGTAAGCCTTGGGGAACCCCGGCTGCAACATTAACTTTACTTGAGACAGTCCCAGATGGACACATAGTACTGTATGACCTGGATCACTACTAAAAGAAAAAACTGTAGTACATTTTTAACTTGCATGGTCATCTCTTTTGCATGCTTGTTTCATCTTTTCAAACATCCTTTTAGCACGCCAACAGACATTTCCTATAAATGAGCTGTTATGTGTGACTAAAATCTCTGCTGTGATACGGTTAGAGCTGATTACTGCAACCGTAGAGAGAAGGAAATTTGCAAGACACACAAGAATAAAGGGGATCTTACACAATAGTTTTTGGATAGAAACGAGGTCTGTGTGCTCATTTTTGACTTCCCCTCATGTTAAACTATTGTATTAAAGCTGTTAAACAATTTCTGAATGAAAATTTCACAACTGTGGAGTTTTTATGTCAATATCTTTACCCCAAATTTTAAAATGACTGCTTCCATAATTGCTTAGGTTTACAATAAACAGTACATGCACTATGTATTTATGAGAAAACAAAACAAACATTGTGAGGCTACTTGTAGCCAAACTAATTTATCAAATATGGATGAAGATTGAGATGAAAGTGTGATTATTCTAGTTGTCTTTAATAATGTGGTTTTTGATAGTAGTGCAGAGTGCAGTCAGTCGTGGTCGAGTCACGCCGACTGGCTGAGATTATCAGCTGATAGCATTTTACACATGTGCATGAGGCGTGGATTCTTGCAAGTAGGAGGATTTTAAAGTAACTAGAGGTGTTGGTTGTCCACGAGAGCTCAAATATAGTGGCTTTTTTATGCTACTGCTGCCTTAGATTTGATCAAACATGAAGATAGATAGATATATAGATAGATAGATATACTTTGTTGATCCCAAACTGGGAAATTCTCATGTTACAGCAGCCAAAAAACACAAAATAAAATTAAATATAAGAAGAAGTAAGTACAATGCAGACTAAAAATTCTAAAAATACTAAATATATACAATAAATACAGACTAAATATACTAAACATCTAAGAGAACAAGCATCACATGTATAGCAGAGCTTTGTTGCCCCTGTATCAAATCAAAAACACACAAAAAAAACACCATGAACTTGTGAAGGTTGGTGCTTCTTGGAGACATGTGATGATAACTTCAGTTGTGTGTGAGATTTAGATTTAAAGCAGATTAAAAAAAAGCTGAAAGATGATAACACGTAAATGATGCAGTACCAGGAAACTGGTTGCTTTACAGCCAATGTGTTAGCATAGCTCGCGATTTTTAGAGTAGATAGGGACCATTAAAAAAAAAAAAAAAGCCCAGCCTTTTAGTGCTTGTGTGATTCTGTTTGACTGATAATCAAGTTTTACTTGTCTCTTAACAGAATCGAGACACTATAGAACAGCATAGCCCAAACAGCATACTGTTTGTGTGTGTGTGCGTGAGGGGGTTTACAGGGGGAATCCAGAGGTATGTTGTGTTTACATCAAGGTCTTACAGGGGCAAGCAGGTTTAGACTTGCTACTCAAACCAGAAGGAGTAGAAAAACTAGAAACTAAGAGAGAGAGACTCCAGTGAGGAGACTTCAGAGCAGCTGTGAACATTGTGGACTGAAACAGATAACCGGGTCTCTCTCTTTGACAACACAGTGTTTTTCTTTACTTCCATGATGTTCTTTCTGGACAGTTAAAACGGACCTAATCTTGTTTTACTATTTTGTATTTTGTTTCTGAAGGATTGTCAGAAACTTTGCTTACTTTTTATTTTTATGATGGAATAAGAAAAGACAAGAAACCTGAAGGCCTGTCTCCCCATCAGAGCATGAACAGAATCAGTCGGCTGTTTGGGATTTTCACCAGATCTCAGATAACTATGGTGGCTGAGGACTTATCTCCTGCTCTCCAAACCTCTGCTGACATGTCCTGTACCCCTTTATCCTCCAGCCCCTCTCCTCCGCTACCCGCCAGGACGGCCTCCGATGAGTTGCAGAAGGAACAAACTCCTCTGGTCCCACCTCGCATCAGGACACCCCAAAGCCAAGAAAATACACAACAGTCAACTCAGGCTGACACTCTGCCAGCTCTGTCTGAAAAGAAGCTATCACAAGCCCCACATGAGTCCAGTGAGTAACAGAACCAGGATTTGATCATTTTTGGCAGGAGATGTTAATGAGATAACATTGAATTTGAATGAGAGACTGAGTAGGAGGAGAAAACCCATCAAAAGTACACATGGTTTTGATGGTTCATCAGCTTCGTAGCTCCAGGCTGCATGATCCAATCTGCTTATGACAGTGACTAAACCTTACTCTAGTTTTTTTTGTACTTGGATGCAATGCAGGAAGAATTACAGTGTATAGACCTGAATTTCAATACCATCTAAGAGACTTGACTCCTGTTATTTTCCACTGAAATCATGCATTACAATCTCAAACTAATGCTGTATAATGAGGTACTTAGGAGCGGTATGAAACTTAATGGGACCCTACAAATATGCAGGAGACAATAAATTACATCCCACTTTTTGTAGTTTGTAACCTTCACTGTTTCAATTTGCTACTGAGCAGTATGTACATAGAAAAATAAAGTTAGTCAGGCTTTTTTGATAAGCCACTATCGATAGAGTGAAATGCTCATTTTATACTTTTCATCTTTATCTCTATAATTTCTATTGTTGAAGAACAAAAAAATTTTGAAATAGACACTGACCAAGAACACAGATTTCTCTAAAAGTCCCTTCCTCCTCATTTTGAGTTGAGGTGATCTGTCATAATGTGGTTTAAAGTCGATAGTACGTGAAATAGTAAGTAAGATAGGGTCAAATTAGTTAGATTAAATCAGGTAATTTTTTCTAAACTGATTTTACACACATCTTTTTTAAAGGTGTGATGGCACTGCTTATGTTGTCCATGCTGCATTTGTTTTGTTATTTAAGAGCAAGTATTTTGGGCTACTGTGTTGACAAGAAACAGACATCTAAAAATGTCAGAATTAATCAATGTGTGCAGGAGAAAGTAAGAATGTACAATAATTGATCGGTGAATTCTGTTGTTTAACTTGAAAAACTAGCGGTTGACACTTTGGCAAATTGCCAGTAACACTACAGTGGAACTTCCCGAGTCATGTTGTTTCTATCTTACATCAATAAACTATGCAGTTGAAGCCTTTTCCTGATCTGAGTAGCTGGAGTAGAGAAACCTGTAAAATCACTGCTGCTACTTGTTTTGGGTGTTTTTTTTATCCAACAAATATTTTGCATACCTCCCAAGAATGACCTCCAGTGACCCTAAAAGAAAAAAATGTTCAAGTGTTGAGTCAACTATTGGTTAGACGTGAGTCAGTCAAGGTTGTGTGCTTCCTTTGCTCTGTCAGATGTTCATTATTTATCAGTGTAAATGAAAGAATACAGTACAGAGGTCAGTAACTATGAGCAGGACCTATATATGGACCTATATCTAACTTCTGTTGTTGAATCTAGGGTTGGATTCACTCGATGATGACTCTGATGACTACGAGGATCCCGACTTGTTTTACTCAAGTGTTCATCGCATAAACACGCCGGACGGGGTGAGGGAGAATGTTTACCTCTATTATACTCCTCTTCCTCTTCATCTCCTGCACTTTACTAATGATAACTGTGTGCTCCTATAGGATATGTCCCTGCAAGTTCCAAGACTACCAAAGGGACGGTACAGCTCTTTGTGCAGTGATGATGAGCAGCTGGATGATGAAGAGTGAGTCATGCATCAACACAATAACAAACATTGACCTGAAGCCGGGAGGTTACTCACTAATATTAAAGTGTACAGCAGTCTATGAATGTAGTCTGTTGTTGTTGCTCTTAATGTTTTCTCTTCACTTTTGTCATCGCTCTTTCTGTACTGTCTTCAGAACAATCTCTGTGCATATGAGTATGATGCAACTACACTATGTTAGCTTTTCCAGATTTTTTGCTTGCTAGAACAGCCGTCAGAGTCCTAAAAATGCTTAAAATGTAATTTGAAGGGGGAGGATACGACTAAAGTGATTTTTACTAACTTTGCCGTTAATTATTCAGCTTTTATCTTTACCCCTGAGTCCTTGAAAAATAGTTGCATCATTTCTCTATGTCCATAAGCAGATTTGATTATTTCTGGTTGAATTTATTGGAAGATTTTCTAGTCTCTGTTTCACACAACAATAGCTTGAAATATGTACATTATTATTATTATCATTATTATTATTGTTATTGTTGTTGTTGTTGTTGTTAGTTTATTATTATTGTTGTTGTTAGTTTATTATTATTATTATTATTATCATCATCATCATTATTAGTATTATTATTATTGTTATTATCATTATTTATTTATTTATTTATTTATAATTCAAAAGTGAATATAGATTTTCTTTCTTTTGGTTTTATTAACTGTGTATTTTTTCATTTGCTCACTTTCATCCACCACAAGTTCAAACCTATGGCAGGATGAAGTCCTCAGCAACTTGCAAGGCAGTATTTACTTGCCAAATTCAGGCAGACTGGCTGAGGCAGCTAAAGAGGACAGCTCTCAGCTCACTGCTGTCATCAAGATGGGCTGGCTGGACAAGAACCCGCCTCAGGGGTATGAATGACTACATATATGACAACAAATCTGAAACATCATTTGCTCTTGAAACATGGAGTTAATGCAGAAGATTAGTGATGATTATATTAAATGAAAAACCCTTAAAGCTCTAAAACAGTGCAACAGATCTAGTTCCTTTTGTTGAATATAAGTTTGATTCTACTTTCTGAATGTTATGTCTGTGTTGTTGTTCACAGGGCCCTTTACTATCAGAGAAGATGGGTAAAGCTGGATGTTGACTACCTGAGATACTTTGACAATGACAAGGTAAACACACACCTGCAGTCACTTTCACCGTATTACCCACATTAGCCTGACAAAATGTGGGACAAGAGTATCACATGGCTGCTAGTTCAGTCTGTCCAGTCCCCACCACTTCAGGCCCACATTGTCAGGCTGTTGCTGTCACCACAGACTGAACTACAACTCCCAACAGCAGCCAGCTACACTGTCAACATGATGACCGACTGTTTAAATGATCTGTCTCTGTTTATACTGACCGAATACAGGGTTGGGAATTTGAGATTTAATCAGCTCATGATCAATAATTGCAAATACTTTCAACTGCATTTTTACAGCTATCCTCACAACACCTACATGTCTAAGAATTAGCATGAATTTTTAGGTTGAAGTGGATATTAAAGATGCAGGTGTCCAGTTTTGTAATGCCTCTGAGTGGTTAGCTTTCAGATACATCAATGTTGTAAAACATGGTTTCCTATTCGGTTAAAAACTAATACACAAACACACTTCATGTAGTTCTATTAAACAGCTTCGGTGTGGTTGTATGTTGTGTTTTAGGAGGTGTACTCTAAGGGGCTCATCTCTACGGCCTTCATCACTAATGTGAGCAGTGTGGGGGAGCTGAAGTTTGAGGTTGTCACAAACAACCGAACATTTACCTTCAGAGCTGAGACTGAAAGTAAGTCTGTTTAATGTGGTCATCTTTGTGTGTGTGCGCATACCTTCACACATGACAAGCTTCTATTTGGAGTGCAATGTGCAAATCAGAGTAAAATTTGGACTCACACATATGCATCTGTCAGGAAACGGCAAATAATTTATTCTTTTCTTCACACGTCCATTTAGCTGAGAGAAATGACTGGGTGACCGTACTGCAGGACTGCACCAGGGGGCGCCAGCTGCGCAATACCATGAACCCTGGGTCACCTTTGGCCCCAGACTATCAGGGCTATCTGGAGCTGAGAGGAATACGCTCCAAACTTTACACTGTAGTTGCCTTAGATAAAGTCTTCCTGTACAAAAACATCGAGGTAAGAAGCTCGTATGTTTCTGTGATTATAGAAAAAAAAAAACATGGAGATCACATACTTACTGTAAGCCAATTCAGTTTGTAATTTTAATGTCATTTTAAAATGTAAATGTTAATGTTTTTTATTTATGCAGCCCTTTACAACAACCCCTCCGGTGAACCAAAGTGCTTTACAATGCATAGAAAATAAGATTGAATAAATAAAAACGATAAAAGCAATAACAAAAGAGTAAGATACAATGCAAAAAACAAAGTGTCACCATGCTACTGGGTATTAAAAGCCAGCATAAATAAATCCATTTTCAAGCTAAATAATTTAGTTAGTTTTAATGAATTTTTATGAAAATTGTTATTTAAGTTTTTCAGATTTACAACCAACTAACACCACTGTCTAAAACTGAGTTTAGAGTATAAACACATCAAAACGATCATTCAAAGGCTATCAAAAATGTCAATTTCAAGCATAATTTTTTTAAAAAAATTTAAGCCGTCTACTCTTGCAAAATCTTCTTTGTTTTGTTTTTGTTTTCTGCAGGACTATCGCATAGGCGTAGGCATCACGTCCATCGAGATGAATGTAGGAAATGTTAAAGAAATCGATCGTCGGACCTTTGATCTGACTACACCTTACAGAATATTCAGGTACTGTATGCACACAACTATGCAACAAACATACATAAACATACGCACATATATGCACACGTACACACATGAACAGGATGTCCTCGTCATATATACTCTGAACCAGAATGTGTGCTCTGTGCGTAAGAATAGCGTGCATATATATATAAACGTATATGTATATACACTCACCGGCCACTTTATTAGGTACACCATGCTAGTAACGGGTTGGACCCCCTTTTGCCTTCAGAACTGCCTCAATTATTCGTGGCATAGATTCAACAAGGTGCTGGAAGCATTCCTCAGAGAGCTTGGTTCATATTGACATGATGGCATCACACAGTTGCCGCAGATTTGTCGGCTGCACATCCATGATGCGAATCTCCCGTTCCACCACATCCCAAAGATGCTCTATTGGATTGAGATCTGGTGACTGTGGAGGCCATTTGAGTACAGTGAACTCATTGTCATGTTCAAGAAACCAGTCTGAGATGATTCCAGCTTTATGAAATGGCGCATTATCCTGCTGAAAGTAGCCATCAGAAGTTGGGTACATTGTGGTCATAAAGGGATGGACATGGTCAGCAACAGTACTCAGGTAGGCTTTGGCGTTGCAACGATGCTCAATTGGTACCAAGGGGCCCAAAGAGTGCCAAGAAAATATTCCCCACACCATGACACCACCACCACCAGCCTGAACCGTTGATACAAGGCAGGATGGATCCATGCTTTCATGTTGTTGACGCCAAATTCTGACCCTACCATCCGAATGTCGCAGCAGAAATCGAGACTCATCAGACCAGGCAACGTTTTTCCAATCTTCTATTGTCCAATTTCGATGAGCTTGTGCAAATTGTAGCCTCAGTTTCCTGTTCTTAGCTGAAAGGAGTGGCACCCAGTGTGGTCTTCTGCTGCTGTAGCCCATCTGCCTCAAAATTCGACGTACTGTGCGTTCAGAGATGCTCTTCTGCCTACCTTGGTTGTAACGGGTGGTTATTTGAGTCACTGTTGCCTTTCTATCAGCTCGAACCAGTCTGGCCATTCTCCTCTGACCTCTGGCATCAACAAGGCATTTCCGCCCACAGAACTGCCGCTCACTGGATATTTTTTCTTTTTCGGACCATTCTCTGTAAACCCTAGAGATTGTTGTGCGTGAAAATCCCAGTAGATCAGCAGTTTCTGAAATACTCAGACCAGCCCTTCTGGCACCAACAACCATGCCACGTTCAAAGTCACTCAAATCACCTTTCTTCCCCATACTGATGCTCGCTTTGAACTGCAGGAGATTGTCTTGACCATGTCTACATGCCTAAATGCACTAAGTTGCCGCCATGTGATTGGCGGATTAGAAATTAAGTGTTAACGAGCAGTTGGACAGGTGTACTTAATAAAGTGGCCGGTGAGTGTATATATATATATATTTTGCAAGAATTTGACAGACAGTTTTGATGAATCAAGAAGAAGAGTCCAAGTGTAAAGATTATTTTTCTTCAGTCTAAGTCAAAGTCAGACTGAGTAACTCTCAGCGCACGGATACTGATGAGAAATTAGATCATGTTGTTTTACTGAGAACTCCACCGACCATCCTCAGAGTCCTCAGCTGGACATCTTTTGAGAATGTGAAGAGCCTTTGTGAGTGTGTGTGTGAGTGTGTGTTTGAGTGTGTGCGAGACGTGAATGTGTCAATGTGGTGTGTGTGGTCTTTTGGCTGACAGTGTCGGGCCCGCAGTGCAAGAGCTCAGCTTGACAGGATGGGGAAATTTGAAAAGGCTTGTGTATTTGTGTAAGACTTGGACAGTGAGTCAGTGTGCGTCTCAGTCTAAGTGTGTGTTTTTCGGACTCTAGTCTGTGGGAAATGTTTGCATGTGTATTTGAGGAAAGAAAGAAGCAGCGTGTTGTGAGACAGATGAGAAGAGGAAGATATTTTTGTACAGTTTCCAGTCTTAAGCCAAACAAGCACAGAGTTAGAGTCAGAGCTCAGTAGATCACAGACGTAAAGATAAACGCAAGACAGCACACAGTCTGTTTTATTTCTTTCACATGATAGTTATCATCGATACCTTCATGTCGGCATTAACGCTCGGCCGCGTGTGTGTCACACTCCGCAGCTTCATCGCAGAGTCTGAGCAGCTGCGGGAACAGTGGGTGGACGCCATGCGGGATGCAATAGGTGAAGCTTTGTCGAACAGCGAGGTGGCAGATCGGATATGGGCGGAGCCTAGCAACAGTCTTTGTGCAGACTGTGGGGCTCCTAAACCTGAATGGGCTGCCATCAACCTGTGTGTGGTGGTCTGCAAACGATGTGCAGGTTTGTGTGTCATGAGTTTTTTTTAAATTTTGCTGTAATGTTTATATTGAAGAATTTCACAGTGCTGTAACACAGTATGGATGTAATATGTGTTGACATGTTCCAGGAGAGCACAGAGGGCTGGGTCCAAGCATCTCAAAAGTTCGTAGCCTAAAGATGGACAGGAAAGTTTGGACAGAGGAGCTTGTGCAGGTATACGCACACACTAACAAACATGCAATCTAACTTAACATAAAAGATACTTAGCAGTTTTCATGTAGCTCTTTGATACTTTCATTTATAAAAATTGAGAAATTATCCTGTTTCATTCCTGGAATTTGGTCGTAAGAATCAAAAATATTTCAGTTAATCTTAAAGAAGTTTTAGTCAACAGTGAAAACATTGAAAACTTTAATGTGAAAACCATACATTACAAAGTATTCAGGAACACTGCACAATCCCTGACCCGTGTAGCCCTTCTATACATTAACATCCTCCTTACAACATCTATATCCAATCCCTGCCTTGTGATGCAGTTGTTCCTGTCTCTGGGCAACGAGCGGGTCAACAGTTTCTGGGCAGCTAACGTCCCGCCAAGTGAAGCCTTGACTCCCTCGAGCTGCAGTGAAGAGAGACGGCGCTTCATCACCAACAAATACCGCCAGGGCAAATACAGAAAGTACCACCCTTTGTACGGGAACCAGAGAGAGCTCAACAATGTAAGTCAAAACGTCTGGCTTGATTGTCTGCGTTTGTTTGTGCCGCCCTGTGGTCTGGATTTAAGTACATGCTATACATCGCAAATTCTTCCGGTTAGTCAACACAGCTTTGGAAAGAGGAGTAAGGAAGATTTGAAAGGAATTGAGATTGTTAGTTTGGCAATCTAGTATGGATCAGTGACTTTTTCTGTTCACGTTCAGACAGCCTTCAGTGCTGATTATGGTATTATCAGCTCCTTTTGTTTACAAGACATGACTTTGAACTTAAGCTGTGTGTTCATGTGTCATATTAGAGTCCCAGTCTGTGTTGTGCACAGGCATGTACACACACTGCAGTGTATATCTACATGTTCACTATTACTCAGATAGTGACTAAGATTCTAAGAATAATAAAGGCGCCACCATACATTCCTGTACTGACCTCTCAGACAGAGAAACTGCCAAACAAAGTACGCTTTGGTATGATTTTGTTTGAGATTTACATGAACTAGCAAGTTTGTTGTCTCACACCAGTCCAGTCAGTGGCAATACGCTGGCAGTGGAGAAGTTTTGTGCTTTTAGACAGGGTATATCTGTAATTTTACCCTCAAGTGGGGCATACAATGAGCTGATTTAAACTAAATCATCTATGGTTAGAATGAAACCCTGGTCCTTGGATTACAGCTGGCTGGATACCTGATTAAGCACAGCATGCAAACATAGTCTGCCAAGTGTAATTTTACTAATAACTGACATTCAGTGCCACAGACAGAGTGATGTTAAAACAGGTCAAACTGACTTTCAGGGTGGCTTCATAGACAGCAGTGTTTGTAAAATGTCAGAGCTCAGAAAGGCGATGTTAAGGGGCAAGTGATGGCCTTTGTGGAGGGAAGACATTAAAGTCCAAAGAGTGAAATAGCTGAGGACAATGGCCTTTGAAAGGAAAAAAACTAAAGGTGTCTGTCTTTGTTCCTTTTTAACCCTAGAACACTATTGCTAAAAAATAGTAACACCATCACTATCGCCGGGTGATGTGACAAATAAAAGTAGTTTTCTTTTATTTTTAACTGTGTAATGTTCAAAGGGAGGAAAAGAAAGTGCCATGAGGTGACCATATAAAAATGCAACAAAATAACTGAATTTGGGCATTCATGAACAAAAAGTTCCTAAAAAGTTTAATGCCAGTTTAATAGGGTTGGTCAGATAACTAAAGAAATAAGCACCAGGTGCCAGACTAACACTAAAACACTTTTTTAATATCTCATTTAAGGTTTTTATACTGTGCTTCATAATATATGTAACTTGTGCATTATGTTTAAAATTCTGCTTTTTTACTTTAAGTTTGGGTTATTTTATAACAAAACAATGCAGTAAACTTGACATTTAGGAGATTGTAGGTTGTTCTCTAATTTCGATCTCCAGTGTATATATAGAAACTGTAAACTTAGTTTCTTTTCCACCCATTCCTGGGGCATGTGAGTCTCCCCTGGTGAAGACTCAGGGTCCTTGGCACAATAACAGCTGCAGGAGAGAGAGACAAAACATGGCATATTTTGAGTGAGTCAAAATGATCAGCTGACTCAAATATTTCTTAACCCCATATGAATTCCCTTGAAAATCACTACTTTGTGATAGTTTTTCATAACCACTGCACTAAATAAAGATAGCATGCAAATTCCAGGACCACTCTTCCTGACCTTATTCCCTACATGCAGCTATCAATCCATCTACTTTACCCTCTATCACTGTTGCTGAGTGAAAATCCCCCGAACACATGCTTATAGGAAGAAGCAGGTTTTGGATCAGGGAAACAAATATGCCTTCAAAGATGTCAAAGGACATGCTGAAGCTACCCAGAGACCCATGATACTCAGACAAACGCAACATAATGAAAATCACGTAAATATGTTTGCCGATAGTGTTCCAGGGTTAAAACTTGTTTGTTGAATGGGCCTGTAGGAACCATTTAGGGGTGGCCCAGGTCGGGGTTATATATTCTGTTTCTTTTTGTCGTGCTGCCACAGCATGAGGCAAATGTCACAATTTTCAGACCTAGCGCGGCCACTCATTAGCCGCTTAACCTACTTACCATGAACAAAGTGGACTGTGCGCAGACATACTGAGTGTGTTAGTGAGTCACATTAAGCACCTGACTGTGGGTACTATTTTTCCCCCCTTCAGCGTTCAGCTCCGTCTATGTGTTTGTGAGTCACTCTGTTGGGATAGAAAGAGATAACAAAATTTCCTTATTACTCTAACACACACACACACACGCACACACACACACACACACAAACAAACCATATAAATCATTACTACCTCGGTTTAAACTGTCTTTTAATGAGCTGCTGGTCCTTCCTCCTTCAGTCAGTCCTCTTCCATCATGTTTCTTGTCATTACTCTGTGGTTTTCCCCTCAGTTTGTCCCCTCTTTGAAGTTTTTCTCACTGCTTATAAAACTTCCCTCCTTTCACACAGATATTTCATCATTCCTGATCTACCTGTTCCTCCCTGTCCTGGATTTGACACTTGAAATATTTCTGTTGTGCACTGCTGCTGTTTCTATTTGGGTGTGCCTTAAGTATAAATAGAGTCTGCAATGAGTTTTGTTAACTTTAAAAACACTGATTTAGACGCAGTGTGAGTTTGAAAGCGAGAAAGAAACATATGTTTATGTGACTGAAGTACTTGGCTTTTTCCCCACTTCCCTGTCCTCTTTTCCTCCTTTGTTTTTCCTTTTTTTTTTCCTCAAAGTGACATCACTACTCACTGCTTATGCTGGAATGTGCTAAACCCCGCCTCTCCCTCTCTTCTCCTCCTCATTGTTTGGCCGGGGACTGCCGAAGAAAGTCGATGTCTGCTCTCCTGGCTCTCTCTCTTTCTTGTTTGCATTCCCTTAACTTTCTGGCAGACTGAAAAATCACAGACTGGGACTTTCTTTGCCTTCAGCTACTTAGTGTGTATGTGTGTGTCTGTGTCAGCTAACAGCCAACGAAGAAGTGCTTGAAAGGGAACTGGAAACTTACAGGTAAGGTTGTGTGTTCAGTAAGCTGTCGTAGAGGGAAGTGCAGGAAGGTACCTGTGTATTCTTGCAGATTGTTTTTGAACAGAATGTGAATGAAAGTGTGTTTTTATGTCAGCAAGTACACAGTAGGTATGTGTGTCAATGGACCTGCGCTCACTTGAGTCAGTGCGCCGAAGTCCACAAACCTGTATTTGACCGTATGTGGGGCATAGTTTTATCATGAGTCTATAAGCTCTGTTGTGCTGTAGTTGTAGTGTAGTGAGCACATTGGAGTTATTGTGCGTCTGTGTATGTTCTTTACTAAGTGGGGCGAGATGTCTTTGCATGCATATTTATGTGTGTGTAGGCATGTTTGGGAGCCTTTTTTGCATTTTAGGCAGTGATACTTTCTATCACTCTGTGTATGTGAGTGTGTGTCTGTGTGTCTATCTCTGTGTCCATGTGAAGTCAGAGTTGATGATAGGCTCACCTCCGTCAATGGACATCATTGTATCTCACCCTCCTCTAGTTTCTCTCTCTCTCTCTTTCTTTCTTGCCTCTGTAGCACTAGCTAGTCAATGACTGAGCAGTGCCACAGGTATTTATTTGTTCATTGGATTTCTTTCTCTCTTGCGACATCCTTGTGTTCATGATTTCGTAAGGAATTGTTATGGATGAGTTTGAGCATGCGAAAAAGTTCCAATCGTCTGAGGAATATCATTTATTTATTTATTTATTTTTACATTGGGATGCTTTTGTCATTAAGCATCCCAATGTTGTAAATTGTTACTCTAACTTTTCTCCCGTGTTTTATGACTTTTCTCTCATCAGATTAGATAAGATTTTCCTTTAGTCATCCCTCAGTGGGGAAATTAAGTTGTTTACAGCAGTACACACAACATGCACATTATGCACGAATTGATTTGTTGTCTTCAAAAAGGAAGTGAATGTGGGACATATTAGGAACTGTGTGAAAATAGTCATTTTGAGAACGTTGTTTTTAAACGTGTAGCTTTTGGATTGTGCAGCTCATTTTCTTTATTTTTGCGCACTGTTAAACTCCTCATATTTTTAGACCGTATCTGTTTATGTTATATATCTCCTGAGAGTCATGACAAAAATTTGCATCTTCCTAATTTGACTGAAAAAGCCAAATGTTTCCGGAAAATCATTTAGATGTTTTTTTTTTTTTACATTAGGATGCTTTTGTCACTTTGGACAAGACTGTCTGCTAAATTAATTCATAACATTGTAAACTGTGATTAACATTTCTTCAGTGTTTGCGACTTTTCTTACGTCTTTGTGAAAAAAAATTAAGATGCGCAAATTAATTTGCTGCTCTGTGTATATCTATGTGAGACAGATTCGCCCTGAGAGATGCTAAAGAGAGGTTTGAAGAAAAAAAGTTCACTTTTAATAAATGTGTGAAAAAATCTGGTCTGGGACACTCCAAATAAACCTGTTCCATCAAGTTTTTGTCAAAATCAAAATATTAGGAACTGTGTGAAAATAGTCAATTTGACAACATCATTTTTAAATGTGAAGCTTTTGGTTTGTGCAGCTCATTTTCTTTCTTTGCCCACTGTTAAGCTCCTCATATTTTTGTAACGTATCTGTTTATGTTACATAACTGCTGAGAGTGATGGGAAAAAAATTTGCATCTTCCTTATTTGACTGACAGGTACATACAATTTAGCTGTCTGTCAGTGGGCTAAAAGCCTGCCTCAGCTCTACCTGTTCTACCTCTAGCTCTTCTTTACCTGTTTCTGGGTTGACTCAAATAAAGGTTGAGTCAGAATTTTCAATATGTTGGCCGCCATTGTTCCACTTGAAAACACCTCTTTGGAAACTAGCGCTTGATATTAGAGAGGCTATGTTCATGTCTTAATGTAGTGTATTGTTAATGAATAGCATTATGGGTTCAAACTCTTTCACTGTGGTTTCAAGTCATGCTTTTCTTTGGATGCTTCAATATCTTCTCAACTCGTCCGCCATCAGAGAATATTCAGTCTTCTTGAGCTTGTATTTTTGCCTGTGTTGACTGCATGATGGTGACCGTCAACATGCTATATGTAGATATTTCAGGGATCTGACCTAGCAAAGAGGCAGTAGTAAAAACTTTTTATGAGTCTGTTTGTGTGCCGTCTAGTTTTGGAAATTGGCTTTCGGAAAAAAAAGAACAGTTTCAGGCGTCTCTCACTCTCTTTTTATCCACCCGTTTTTTTGTTTTATCTGTTTTACCTTTCCGAGTGATTTCTCACATTTCCTCGTTCAAACCACAGGATTAAAGTCTTTTTAGATGGGATCTGGTTTCCTGATTTTTCTTTTTTCCTTCCCTTCTAGTCTGTCTCTACTTTTTTCCTTTATGTCTTTCCACCCTTCTCTACTCCATCTGTCTTGATTTTCACCTCCATCTCTCTCTCTTTCTGTCTCCCTGTAAACGGTTTCTGGTGAGGTAATGATGGAACATATGTGGATAACCGCTTTCCTCATCTGGATTTGATATATATGAGTGTACACACACATATATAAATGTGGGTGTGTCCTTGATTGCAAGTTGAGTTTTCGCTTGAATGGAGAAAGCAGACCCTGCTGTGCTGTGTGTGTTTGTGTGTGTGTGTGGGGGGGTCATTACATAGGGGGTCTGCGAGTATAATGTCGAGTTTGTTGCCAAGTACAATCAGTCTCTGATGACTGTGCCTCACTGAAATGCTTTCATCTTTTCTTTCACAATATTTTTCTTTCCTCTGCACCTCTCATCTATTTCTTTTCTTCCACTTCTGTCCCGTTGAACAGCAGAGGCCAGATGGAGAGCTGTGATTTCAGACACACCCAGATAAAAATCTCTCTGTCTCCCCCTCTTCTTCTCTGGGGAAAACCGGGAAAGATTCTTGAATTCCCTTTCTCCATGCTCTCATTCTCTGTCTATGCGAGTGTGTATATGGGTGTGTGTGTTACTCTCCGTTTCATAGGCAGCAGATGTTGGAGGGCGTGAGGTCTTCAAACAATCAAACCCGTTTCCTTCTTACTCCTGATTGGTTCTGTCGTTTCAGTCTGAAGACACATGCTTGGTTATGGATACCTTACAGGACATTGACCTGCATTCACATTTATGTTCATCTGGGACATGGGAGGGATGGTTTTCATCATTTTTAGTGTAACACACAGAGTTGTAGAGACTGGGAATGTGTCATTACGTCACACTTATCTGCCTGTGATTGCAGTAAGAAACTGTTTTTGACCTATTATCAAATTACAGCATAACAGGGTTAGACTGTAGCATGCTGGCAAATATTGGCCCTGAAAGGATTAATCTAAAGCACTGGCTTGTCTCGCCTGAAGTATCAGCTTGAAGGAAAACAATAGGGTCAGTTCATCGTGGTTGTTAAAGTGGATAACATTGGAGTCAAATGAGCAGCAATTACATAAACCAGGATCAACCTGTGTTAGTATTTGAAGAGTATTCGATCTCTATGACTGGAGGAAAAAAAATACCAGTTCTTTTTTAATCATCAAACAATTTCTGTAAAATGGTCAAGGGTAAGGAGAGAGAGGGAGAGTTTACGAGACATGCATTTGAGTGTTTCCCAGGTGAAGAAAGAAGAGTTTGGCGACAGATCAGAGCAGAAAAAGTGAAAACACAGGAAACACAAGTCTAGTTCCCATTGACCCTGTTTTCCAAGATCCTCTGCCAAATCGCTAGCTCTTGTGTGCGTTTTTTTTCCAACAGGTCTTTTATGTTGTAGTTAATTCAAACCTTAGTAATCTTAAATACTTTAAACTCTCTCACTTCTTTGTTTGCATTCCAGTTAGACTTGTTTAGTCCTCTGTCTAATTTTACTTCAGGTTGTAAAGAGACATTTTTAAATCATTTCCTGTCTTGTTTCCTTATTTATAATGATCAGACTAAGAAACAGTCTACCTCACAAACTATTGCTCCTAAAGTTCTGATTTTTTCATTAGTAGCATCCTTATTCAGCCTGTTTTGCAGAGTATCTCTGCTCTGCAATGTCTTCTTTTTTGTGCTAAAATTATGATTTAAGAGTAACCTGGCATCTAAATGGAAAGCAAACCTGAATATGTTGGTCAATACAAAGCTTTTCAGTGTGTGCCAGCTCTGTGATGACCCTCATGTGATCCGTATGATTATATAATTTGAGCGTTCATCATGTGCTCCATTTAACATGAGTGTTCAGATGTCATCTATAGTGTACTAGACTAGGGAAACGACGCTTTGCTCCATGTCTGGTGCAAAGTGTGTGTGTGTGGAGGGGTTGCTTGTGTAATTTAAATCTTAGTTAATAAGTTTGTTTGCGTATGTGTGTGTGTGTGTGTGTGTGTGTGTGTGTGTGTGTGTGCAGAGGCTCAACAGTGCTTACAAAGAGGAGGGGTTCTGTCTGTGTGTGACAGAGTGCTGAGGAATTTCTCAGTCAGATCCAGAGGAGCTTATTGGTTTTAGCCGAAGACAGCCGTTTGTGTGTATGTGTGTGTGTGTGTGTGTGAGTCTGACTTGTGTTCCTCAGCTGTAAAAACACTGCATCCTCCTTTTCTCAGTCATAACATCTTTCCTTTCCGCTCCCTCCCCCTCCTCCTTCCTCTTTCTTTACATTTGGACCCGTCATAATTGGACAAAACTTTTCTAGTTAAAACTTTGCCTTGATTGAGATTGATTCATTTCTTTTGTTTCCATTATATATTAGGGACTTACCAAATAATCTTGAAACATATTGCGGTTGGTTGTAATTAAATGTGTATACAGTGGATTTAATGGTGGCTCAATAGTTGGCACGAGACTGTGAACCTTGGGAGGACCTGCGGGAACTTAATAACACCCTCCAGAGTTGGTCCAATAAGAATTGCATCATTTTTCTTTAATTTCCAATGTAGTTCATTTGTTTATCCACAATAACAAAGATACAGAGCGGCATCAGTGTAGAATACATGTGTGGCATCAGAAAGCTCATTATTCTGGATCAGGTTATAAAGCCTTACTTCACTCGTGCAGTGAGTTTGGCCTCAGCTGTCTCCTTTGAAACAATGCCAACAGAGAATCACATGATATGTTTTAAGACAGGTCAGCAGATGCAGGACCAGAGTACAACAGTCATCACTTTATTATCATGTTGATTTCTCCACTTATTCTGTTTGACTATCCTTTCTTTCCTCCCATTCAGACACTCCCTCTTCTGTCTGTTTTGTCTTCCAATGTATTCCTCCCCCGGGTTCATTGTTCATACAGAAGTATAATAACTGCTATATTAACATGAGGATTTACTCACATTTTAACTTTATCTTCCTCCCTCCTTCCCCGCAGGCTCTCTGTATAAACGTGCAGTGCAGTGATGTTCTGGAGACTCTGAGCCTGGTTTTCTGCGGTGCAGATGTCAATTGTTCGACTGGTGTGGCAAGTTGGCCCTCCCCTCTCTCCCTGGCCAATGCACACTCGCAACCTTTGCAGGCTGAGTTAATTAGCCACAATCTCAACACAGGTACAGTAAACCAGCGCACGCACAGGATCATGTAAACCGACAGGTTTCAGCAGCAGTGTGTCACAGATCTTGATTGTTTTCTGGGTTTTGTCCATGCTAAGAGGTCATACTTGAGCTTTGTGTGAATAACCGTGTAAAGAGTTAAAATTATTTCCCCTAATTGTGATTCCAGTCACATATGTTTTCCAGTAAAGTGATATTTCTGAATGTTACATAACCTAAAACACATTCCTGCCATACCAGGGAGTGTTTGGGGTTTCTATAACTTTCCCATTAACTTTGTCAGAAGCCGTATTTGAGGTACATGACAGCCTGTGTGGAAGTTTTGCACAACAAGATTCTTCAGCTCTGTCTGTTTGTTTTTCTCTCCTTCAGAGCTGCCGCGGTCAGAGGTGGGTGGGGACATGAAGGCGCAACATTACTTACCACAACCTTGTGTGTCTCACAATGGCTTCCTGTATAAAACTGCGTCCATGGCTCGGGCCGTAACAGAGCGCAAGTCCAAAGAGGGTATTTACAGACCACCTACACTTCATCTTCTTTTTTTTCTTTTTACGTTACAAGAAAGCAGCACAATGAAAAGATAATGTGTGTTAGTAAATAGAGAAAACTGACATGTAGTGTCTTTATGATTGTTGACTCTTTACTTGTTCCTATGTGTAGAGTTCAGTCGTCGCTGGTGCACACTGAATGACGGCACCTTCAGCTACTATGAGAGTGACAAAAACTCAAACCCTAATGGAGCTCTGAAGGGTTCAGAGATCACTTGTCTGGCTGTTGATGTCCCAGAGAGACATGGGTATGCACACAAACACACAAATACATTTGTGCAAACTGATCCGTGTCTCTGCTGGTACACTGTCTGTTTTCAAATTTGACACACAACATAGAGAACACAGCTCTTATTGTGCAGAATAAGCTGTAAAATATTCCCAAATGCATGACAGGAAACTTGAACTCAGCCGTTTTGTTGTTTCCTCTGTTCACTTCTGGGTGACCTCTCTTTCTAACCCTCAGGTATGACCACACCTTTGAACTCTACTCCGAGTCAGAGCGGCTGTACCTGTTTGGTACTGATGACCCAGAGAGCCACAAAGCATGGGTCAAGTCTATTGCCAAGGTAACCATTAAATAATTCAATAACACAAAAAGTCAAACTCTCTGCCTCTTGTCTCAGGTGAACTGTTACAAATAAGAAAAAGGTCAGACACTTTTTTCCTCTTTTTGTAACCCTCCTCTTGTGTTAAGGTCTGCACCGACCTGCTTTTGTTTTTTTTAATGTTTAAAAGAACCGCTTAAATTAGCTTTTTTGCATCAAGACTTTTTGACTTTGTCAGGAACCTTTATTTCAACAAAATAAAAAATAAAAAAATTCAATTGACTAAATTGTTAAATGCTCTTATTAAAATTATGACACATGTCGTGAAAGGGTTGCTGTTGACCCGGTTAGATTAATATCTAATATTTGGAGCAAAAACTAAATTATATGTGCACTTTCAGGCACCACACTGACAGTCAGATCCTCTTCCAATCATGTGAAATTTAGGAAATTCTCATTTTTCCATGTTTTTCTCTGCACAAAAAACAACATCTGGCATGTCCAGACATGTGAGATCAATTCAGTATAGATGTCTGTATGAGGGGTATACTGACAAAGAAAGGCCCAGAGGACCACAACAAAACAAAATTTTAAGCAATATTTTCATGGATTATGATGCCTAACAAGGTAACCTAGAGATAAGAACCAACTTGGATGATAGAGAATCCTTTTTAGTGTAATTTACAGCTGATTTAAGACACGGGTCAAAACTGACCCTTAACATTGTGGGTGCGTAGTAAAAGCTAACACAGGAGGAAGGTTAAATGAAAATGCAAAGCTTTTATAAATGTGAGATGTCCTGGTCCAACTCTGCTTATTACCATGTGGTTAGGACTGAGCTTGCTTATGCCGAGTTGGCTCCTGTGATGCTTATTTTCCCTCAGCAGCTGAGATAACTGTCAGCTACACAGTGGTGTGAAACAGTTACTTTAATCCTTCGCTCATATCTGTTGGAAATTTGTTTATACTGAGTGTGTCCTTGAATTTCTCTTTCCATTGAAAGAGCTTAAACCTTTCCTCTAACAACTTCCTCTGTATATGTTATCTGGGCTTCAATTATAGACAGACTAAAGTGGTTGAAGTGAGAAAAACGGGATCAGTGCATCTCAAAGTCATGTTGCATGTTGTTTCCATCTGCAGAGCTTTATCCCAGCCATCGCAGAACCTTTACTGAGGCTGGGCTTTGAGCGAATCGGGCGCCTTAAGTGTAAAGACGGTTTGAACCTGCAAACATCGAAGGTCGGCTGGTTCGCTCTGGTGGGCTCCACACTTCATGTCTACCTGTCAGACAGCCAAGGAGAGGAGATCCACCTCCGCAAACTGAACGAGCTCTGTGAGTGAGACACATAGACACAAACACACTCACCTTAATACTGACAGAAATGCATTTGTACACAAACTAGAAGTAATATATTGTTATTGTAACTTTTTCTGTAAAGCTGAGAATAATATGATCACTTTACTTTTTGTGATTTACAGCGATTCAGCAGGACAATGAGGTGCTGGTGCTGGTGGAGAGAGGCAGGTGAGAGAGAGAAGATAATTTGTGACTCTTGCAGGAAAAATCCATTTTTATTCAGGCCTAGTTCATCACTTCTTACAGTATTTAGCCGCTGTAAATGTAAACGGTACAGCTCATTGGTTTTTCATTGATCATTGATATCATCGCCCCTCATTAACCCTTTACCTCTCTGCTCTTTTTTCTTTACTCTAAAGAACTCTGTACATCGAGGGAGAGAGGAAGTTGGACTTTGCCGGCTGGTGCACAGCCATCCAGGCGGCTGCAGGGAGCGGAGGAGACACACTGAGCCAGCAGCAGCTAACTGACACTGACATCCCTGTCATTGTACACAGCTGCATCGGCTACATAACGCAGTGTGGTAAGGGAGAAACAGCTAAACACATGCATTTATTAGTATGTCCCTTTATGTTTATCTATCAACCTACTGAATCTGATCAATACTTTTGAGTAATGCCAGATTAAGACAAATGTTTTCTTGAATCACAAAGAGGCAGGTGTAGACAAGGGTGTCAGTTTGTTTCAAAAAGTGGGGGGACGGCTAGTAGCAAAAGTGACTGCTTAGACTTATTTGATGTAACCAATGCCACCTTGCATATATTTATTACACGGGATAATCATAGGGTTAAACAAGTTTTCTAAGTCACCACAGGTATTATCAGAAGAAATAGCACACTCTAGGTCTCAACTTCAACTTCGTGAAGGTCTGCTGCGTCTCTCAGCAACTCTCGGATGAACACGGATGGTGCGTTCAGGAGCGTCAGAAAACAACTGGGGTTACAATGGCTTACACGTGAAGGATTTGTGTGTGGTGAAGACAAAACGACCCCTGATAAACTGACGCCTCTTTTATCATTTGAAGTCACTGTGAGGATATACAAAGACATACATGCCTAAAGCTGCGCTCCTCATCTATTTAAAACTCAGTATTTGAAATGCTAAGCTTACATTTGCTTTAAAAACAGTTTCTCTCCTGCTCACATTTTGCTTTTTCTGTATTTCTGTGCCCGTCCTTGAGTGACTTAAACATCAGGATTTCTGGCTCTGCGAGAAATCAGCAGACTGCACGACAACAAAACAACTCTGTTCCACCTCCTTTTCCTCCCTTGCTCCTCGCTGGTTTTCTACCCCTCTCTTTTGTTTTTCCATCTTTATCTTTTGTTTCTCATTCTTTGTCTTCCTCCCACCCCGAACAGCTGACCTGGCTTCTTTCACTCTGACTACATATCTCCTTTTGCTTTGATCTTTTCCTCCATTTCGCTCCTCTCACTCTTCCATCTCTCTCTGTTTTCTTGTATGCACTTTTGTTTCCATATGTGTGTGTGTGTGGGAGGGAGGCTTCATTATGCTGTTATACTCTTTTTCCTGTCAAGAATGTTAATCCCCACAGTTAGCTTTCCAGGAAATCAGGGCGGAACTGTCTGCCGTCTTGTAGTCATTTGGCGTGACACAACATCTGATGTAATCCTCCTTATGTTATAATGTAACACAGGATATTTCTGACTTTATGGCAAATTAAAGAAACAAATTATTGACGTGAGGATTGTCGGTCCCTGACTTCTGATGAGTTTAAGTGACTCTCTTTTAGAGAGCAGAGGCCCTCTAGTGGACATAATGTGAACTAGGATGTATGAGCAGGGCCCTTTGATTCATTTTCTTAAGAATTAATTTAGCGATCAATAATAACATAATTAATGAACTTTAAATCAAAATTAAAACTAATGTATTCTCTCTTTATAACCAATCGCTGAGCCTGCATTACTGCGAATTTAAAACCCCACGATAATGTTATGTGAATATCTTTTCTTTGTAATACTTTATGTGTCTGTTAAGGCTTGACATCTGAGGGGATCTATCGTAAGAGTGGTGTGAATTCCCGAGTGGCGGCTCTGTGTGAGAGATTTCGTCAGGATGCTCGCAGTCTTTGTCTGAGGGAAGGAGAGCACCAGGTGGACGATGTTTCTACAACACTCAAACGCTTCTTCAGGGATTTAGAGGAGGGATTGTTCACAGCGGAGAACGCCGGCACCTGGCTCAGTACTGCCGGTAAGACACACCGAGCCGTTCTTGTTCTTTTAAGTGCGGTGAAGTCGTGATTTGAGGACAGGTCAGTTCACCGACATTACAAGGAACACATTTCTGCACTTACCTGGTGGTACCTCGTCGTTTATATTTATTTCATGAGGTTTGGAGGTGTTTTATGTCTCACTAAAACTCCTCTTTTGGTCTCTCTCTTTCCCTTTTCGTCTCTTACACTTTCATCCTGTGCTTTCCACCCTCTCACTTTCTGACACTCTTTGATCCTGCTTCTCCTTTTCATTTTCTCTGTATTCCTAATGTCGCTCCTCTACGTTCTCTTTCTCTATCCAAATGCAGCCATTCAGGATGAAAGTATGAAAATCTCCCAGTACCAGCAGCTGTTAAAGAGACTGCCTCGTGTAAACAAGGCCACACTACAAGCCCTCATCAACCACCTCTATTGGTGAGAAAAACACACATAAACACACAAAAATGTCTCTTTATGTCTGACTGATTTACACTCAGGTGTTTTTACTGCGTGTGTTTTTAGTGTGCAGCGCTTTTCTGAGTTGAACCAGATGAATCTTCATAACCTGGCCATCGTGTTCGGGCCCACGCTGTTCCAGACGGATGGGAAAGACTACACAGCTGGACGCGCCATAGAGGACCTCATACAGCACTACACACTCATCTTTGAGGTTAAACACACACACGCTCACAGCTCAACTGAAGGGTGACAGGAGGGGAAATTGAACGGGATTTCCTCTCTTGAGCATAGACTAAAATTCCTCCAGCCATAGTCTAAATGTAGGGGAGACCGGGGCTTGTTGTAACACTTTTTACACTCTTAAAAATTTCTTGGAATTAATACATTGTATATAAACAAAATGTGTACCAGATGAAAGACAAAAGTCTCAGGTATATATTTCGTATTCATCTCATTTTCATATCTTATGTCAGTGCAGTTATAAGCAATCAAATAGAGAGTGTGAACATGTAACATGTTGCATCACTATCGGGTAAGTTGTCTCACTACATGGGGTAAGATGTCACAGTGGATTTTGCAGCTAATAAAACAAGGACAAAATTATTGTTCTCATTTTTCTACTTGAAAGTGAACATCAAAGTCAGGCACAGGAAATGTTTATCATTGAGCTAGAAAAAGTCACTGAACAAACGTTAACATAAAATATTATTCAACATGCTCTGGAGTTTGGAGAGCTGTCTGACTCTGTATTTCAGCTGGGGTGAATGTTTTGCAGTACCTAGCCAAGGTATGGTAGTTGACATTAAAGTCCTTTATTGTAGTCCAGATTGATTTATTAGCTCAGGTCACCTGCCTGACTGTCCTCAGCATCACGTCAGGAACTGCACTGACACGTTCTGTTTATCTTTTGTGAGTCCTGACCATGTCCTCTCACTTTCTCCTCTCCTATAAACCACTCTTTTCTCTGTAAAAATAAAGTCAAAATTTCAATATGACAACTCCTGATAAGGACACTCTCCATGTTAATTTTAATCCTTTTTAAACATGTGACAACTAACCCCAAAATGACTGAGACATGTTGCCCCAAACTACCATGTTTGCTAATTCAAGCTCTAGCTTAAAGTTAGCTTAAAACAAAACTACTATTATTACTAGAAAACTACTATTCCACTTTTTAGTTGCGCCCTCAAAGCCTCACAAAGACAGAAATTCCCGTTCTAACTGCCATTTTTGCTTTGATATGATTATAATCGCAGCCATAGTAAAGGCATTAGCTCAAATAACATCGATAATAAAACTCCTGCCTCTATCAGATTTACAACAATGAGAAAATAATGAGGTTTGAAATGCCAATGGGGCTTCCAGCTTGAGATCTAAAGAGTGCCATGATTTGTAATTAAAGCATTATGCCAGTTAACGATTGATTCATTATTTGCAGGTGGATGAGCAGCAGCTAAAGAAGCAGCTAGAGGAGATTACTGTCATCATCCGAGTGCGGGAGAAACTTAGCGTGAAGTTTCCTGTGAGTCACACAAATCAATGGAGCAATCTTGTTTATTCTAGATTTGTTTTGATAATCAGATGGGTTTTTTTTAGATAATCTGGTTCATTTTGTGTGGTGTTTTAACTTTTTAGATGGCATGACATACCAGAGATTACAATCAAAATCATTATATGTTACTCCAAGTTTATATTCAAGCTTAAGGGCGAAATAAAGCACTGTTTTCATATCTGTTTGTATATGGGACATTTCAGAGCACTGAACCTGGAGGTCACTTCATCTGCACAGTTTACCTAGAAGAGAAGAAGGACACTGCAGAGCAACACGTCAAGGTGATCGAATAGCACAGTATAATTCTCCATTTCCCTCTTTTTGCACCTAATCTCCTCTGGAGGATTAGCACAGCAGGGTAAATCTACTGTTGGTGTTAGTTTGTAGTCGCTGTGTGACTCTGTGACTGTCTTCTTCAGATTCCTGGTTCTATGACAGCAGCAGAGTTGACCTGTGAGGTTCTGGACCGGCGAAACATCCCAGTGAAAGACAAAGAGTACTGGAGCTGCTGGGAGATCAGCGACAAGGAAGAGATGGGTAAGACACAGGGCCGGCTGGTGGGTTTTGGTGGCCCAAAACACTCCCTGTGCATCCCCTAAACAAAACTGATATTGTTTGTAGCCTTCCATTGTGTTGCATTCTAAACAGACGATGACTTCACAGTGGGACATCATGAGCTTTTAGATCGTCTAGAGTCTAGACAAGTGGTGGGCAACTTTGATGATGAACAGGGCAACTATATTTCCACACTCATTCCAGGTGGCCACCTTACATATGCTGTCAGGTCCATGTACGATGTCACACAAAAGTTGCAAAAATAGCCGATCTTCAAGCTCCCTGAGCTGCCAGTTGCCTATGTATGGTCTAGAACTAGCTAGCTAGTTATTTTTGTCCTCCTTTTTCGGTGGGAGGTGGAATGATGTGCCCCCCCCCCATTGGTTGCGGCCCTAAGCGACCGCTTATACTGCTTAAAGCAAGGGCCGGCCCTGGTACGACAGATGGAAAACCAAAGGGAGAAGTTTACATTTTTCAGCCTATTACCATGTTTTGTTATCCTTTTTTATCCATTCAGTCATATTTGACTAAATCTGCATTTTTCTTCTCTATTTGAAGCTCTTTATGTAGAGAGTAATTAGAGGTTACATGTAGGATTAACATGAAAGATGACACAGCTAGCAGCAAAACAAAATGAATTGGCCCTCAGCTTGTTTATAGCTCTCCCACTCAACCTGCAGCCTGACCTACTCAAAGCGACACTCAAACTCCAGAGGCAAAGAGATCATTCTCAATGTGACCGTGTGTCGGGGTTTGTTTTGAGCCTGGTATGTGGGCCATCTGGTTCCCAACCAGGAAGCCTTTAGGTGGCTCATCATATGCCAGTAGTGTTCTGCTCGTCTGGCAGATTTCCCGTCACTGGCGAAGGAGAAAGTACAGAGAGCAGGGAATCAGAGAGGATGAGTGATGAAATGAGCTGGGGGGGGGATTCTGTCGGGTTGCTTGTAAAAAATGAAAAATAACAAATGTTTTATATGTTGGTTGAAAAGCCAGAACTGCAGGAACATTACAGCTAACACAATCAATATTAATAGTTGGAGAAAATTGAAATTCTGTAACTTTTCAGTTGCAGATATCGTGCACAAGTGTCAATCATGATGTTGTGAGTTTGCTTTTTGTGTGACAATGACATTGTTCTGTATTATGTGTCATGGTGTCTCTCCCAGAGCGTCCGCTGCACTATCAGGAGCGAGTCTTACCCATCCTTCACTCCTTTGGCACTGACTCTCATCTTCTCATCAAGAAGCACCTCGCCATGGACATGATGGTCCTCTACCTCGGTAAACTCTCAATCCTAACAGAAAGAAATTGTCTCTCTCTTGCTGTTAGCATCCCTTCACTATTAACAATCTCTCAATCTGACCTACAGCCAGTAAAGTAGATGCATCCAAACACGGGAATATGAAATTCAGAGAAGAGAGAAGCATTTTGGGATTGGGACTGTCTTCAGGAAGTTTCCATGACCGATATTTCATCCTCAATTCCAACTCTCTCAGGATGTACAAGGAAATCAGAGTACGTCTCACTGATTTTATCTATATTTTCTCCACCTCTATCTCGTTCTGTTTCAGGTTTAATCACTTTGTTTTGTCTCCCTCCTTCCATCAGAGTAACCGAGCAGAACGTGAATGGCCAGTGAAAAACCTTAAGGTATATCTGGGTATGAAGAAGAAACTTCGTTCTCCCACTTGGTGAGCACCTGCAGCGCAGTTGTCACTTCTCATCAGCCTCATCATTACTGAGCGTCCGGGCAGCAGTTGAAAAAGCGTGAACCGGGATCTGACACCAAGAGAGAGAAGGGAAAAGTACAGGGAGAAATGTGCGATTGTCCATCACCCACAGAAATATTTGGAAATAAGACAGAGCTACGAAGTGCCCACCACTTCTATAACTTAAATCAGTGGTTCTCAAGTCCAGTCCTGGAGGCCCACTGTCCTGCATGTTTTGGATGTTTCCCTGCTCCGACACACCTGAATCAAATGATCAGCTCGTTGTTAAGCCATTACAGAGCTTGATAACGAGCTAATCATTTGAATCAGGTGTGTTAGAGCAGGGAAACATCCAAAACATGCAGGACAGTGGGCCTCCAGGACTGGACTTGAGAACCACTGGCTTAAATATACAGAGTGCAAAATCTCTGCTCAACTATCCTGGTGTGAGAGAGTATTTATAGACCACTTAGCAAAATTCAGCATTAAAAATTCACATTAAGATCAAATATCTCATTTCATATGAAGCCTATGGATTAACTTTGGACTAGTTTTGTCTGTAAATGACGACATAAAGCCTCTGCTAATTCAATCAGACACGGTTTGAATGATAAAATTAGATGGCAGCAAAAGTCTTCATAAAATTTAAGAAGTTAGTATTCTCATTGCTCCCAGAATAAAAAGATTTTTTTGTTTTTATGTACACGCACATGTTCATTAAACTGTTTTTATATGAAGCAAATGTTTAAATCCCCCTGAGCTTTTTTTCAAATTAATCATTTTAAAAAGCGTAAACAAGCCGAGAGAAAATTCTGTAATCCCACATGCTCTTTTAGCGTCACAATCTAAAGGAATAAATGAATGTTTAATCTTCAATTATTCATTTTCCAATTTTAGATGCACTTAATTATTTGCCTTATTTGGACTTGAAGAGAGTGACCACTAGGGGGCAGACTGAGCTTGAGAATCGCTTGAGTGTTTATAGCTGTGCTGCTGTTGAACCAATTCTGCCTGTCTGTGTCTGTTTCCTTTACTGTTTTCTAGTTGGGGGCTGACAGTGGTGTATGAAAGTAAGAAGCAAGAGAAACCAGAGCGACAGCAGTGGTGAGTAGCTGTCCTACCTGATTTTTTGTAAACAAACACTAAAAAAAGGAAGTTATTTTTTCTTCCTGCCGTTGAGGCACCAGACTTTTTTTTTTATTTTTTATTTCCCAGCTGCTTGATCCAGCTGAGATAACTCGCCCACTCTTCCTGACACGTCCTCTCTGTTGATGCCCTCCAATTTTCCCTCAGCGGCAGCACATTCACATTCATGATTCACATGTAAACATGACCAGCGTTTGAAATAGCAAGCAGTTTTCCAGTAGACAGAGAAAACAGGTCAGATCCCTGCGTGAGAGTTTGGAAGAGGAGGCATATGAAAGGTCGTCTCCACCCAGGAGGGAAACACACATGAGTTCACCTGTAACCATGACTCGATCCTAATCCTGGGGTCTGTTCACACACAGGCATCTATATGTGTGCACATGTATGTACTGTAGTTGTGTACATCCATGTGCATGCCCAGTGTGTGTCCATGCGTTCATGTAGGAGGGGGGGACTCTTTGCTGTCAGCAGCTGTTGACATCAGTGCGGCGGTAATGGGACTGCTGTTCCCGTCACGCTGTAGGCAGCATCATCTCTCGGTTTCGCTCTGTGGCCTTATCACTCACAGAAAAGAAAGGAACACACCTGAGAGGAAGAAACAGAGAGAGGAGGGGAATGGAGAAGAAAGATTAGGAGGGCATGCAGAGGAAGGGGGAAAATAGAGAGGCAAAATGTGCGTCAGAGGGAGGAGGAACTGTATGATCAGTTAAGATGTAGCATGAACTTTCGGTGAAAAGAAACTTGGTGTGGAGAAGAGTGTAAGACATGAGAGAGGGAGAGTAAATGTAGGCAAAAGTTACGAGGTGACAGCTGAAGTTGATGCTCCCTGAACTCTTCGATTCCAATTTACCCTACATTAGCTGCGTTTACATGGGCACAAATAATCGGAACCGATTGGAATAAAAATGCGTCATGTAAACATGTCGATCGGAAGATTCTGATTCAATTCGGCTCAATCAGAAAGAAATTGTATTCTGATCAAGAGGGGTGATCATTTATGATGATCATTATTCCGAAACACGTCCATGTAAACACTTATTCCGATCGTGACTCTCTTACCTGACTCGATCTTCACTCTTTAGCCTTTGGCTTATTTATTTAGGCCAGTATCAGAAGGTTTTATTATTAATACTGTGTTGTTATTCCTCAATTTGTTATAATTTCATAGCGACCTCTTGGGGTAGTCATCCCCCAGAAGGTTATTTAGGGCGTATGTAATCTTTTAACTGGCCAGATCTTCTTTCATTTGCATGATATTGTTTGACTGGTGAAGCTGAGCTGTTGACTACCACTGGCGAATGGCGCGGTTATCGTGAAGTGCTAGTTAGCAGAGCATGTGTAAGAATTATGCTACAAATAAATACCTTGAGGACAATAACCAGGTGTCGGAGCTTGAGTGACACTGTTTTCGTCAGTTCAAACACCCTATACACGCCATCTAGTGACATTTAACCGGAGGAAAACTCCTGGATTGGATGGAGTGAGCCACTACTGTGTTTGTTGGTTTGTAGACAGCACAGGTGTAAATACAACTCTTCTTCTTCTGTGGTTGTTTTAGTGAAACCAGACAACTCTGCACATGTCCAAATGCTTCTAATCTGAATAAAGCTTGGTGCATGTATATTCATGTCATGATCTGATTGTTTGATTTTGTACCCAGGAAAACAGTGGATTCAGATTATCCGAACCCTCAATTTTTTTTTATTGTATCAAGAAATTTTGCTCATGTAACCGGGGCTACTGACTTAATGTGGCTGAAACTTTGAGTCATTTTCTGTGTCTGTCAAACTGTTATTCCCACATGCTGCCAGTCACTATCTCTAAACCTGGGATGCTGTTACATTCAGAATATTATGTAAATTTGAATCCGTGTCTTAATGAAAGTCTGCAGTGATTAATGAACAGCATTTTGTCCCCTGCAGTTGATCATGTTCGAGATTAGCGGTCCAGTTAATTGCGTAGAAAGTACATGGATTGTAGAACATTACCGAATACTAAGCTGTAGGTATGCATGCTCCACTAGAGTCACTGTCCTGTTCCGTATCCCAACAAGCACTAATGAGCTCTGCAGGGCTTAATGATGTAAACTTGGGAAAAGGAGGAGTTGTGTGTGTGTGTGTCTGTGTGTGTGCTAGCACGTGTGCAAAAATCTCTTGGATGTTGCCAAATTTATGTTAGTGGTGTGCACTGTACTATATTCTGTTGAGCACTCTGAGTCAGTATTTTGTTGTGTCTCAGTGGAGAGAACTTGCATAATAAGAATTGCTCGTAATAGCAAAGTCGTATAAATAACCTATTTATTCAGCATCACAGCAGGGCTGATAGCTCAGAGGGCTCCATGACAACAACCTGACTGGCATAAAATAACACACACACACACAGGGAGACATCACAAAGTCATACTGCAAACAATCTTTTTGGAGACATAGGCACTCACTAAACGCTGCTGCTAATCAGTGTGTGTCTTTGTGGGAGATTGAATAATGAATTACATTGAGTTGATGCTTTTAGAGCTGTGTAACAAGGTGACATAGGAAGAGAAAATGTGCCGACACCAGTGTTATTTTCTACCACCTCTCACTTTCTTTGGGTTCCTTATCCTCAGTTTCCTTAGTTTCACTCTGCCTGTCTTCTGCTCTCCCAAGATACACACACTCACAGACAGAAATCTCGGTTTTCACACACACACACACACACACACACACACACACACACACACACACACACACACACACACACACACCACCGCCTGATTTTTTTTTTTATATATCTCGCCGTCTCCCTCACTTTGTCACCTTCTTTTTATTCGCAGGTATCTTTGCTGTGACACGCAGTCAGAGATGAGAGAGTGGTATGCTACTTTTCTCAGCATCCAGGTGTGATCTCACTCTCTCACACACACAAATATATATACACACATGCATATACACGCACACAAAATCTAGCATGCCACATGAAAACACTTAAAAACAGCAGGAACACCTATCTAATAGGGTTTATAACAACCTTTGTGAGTGATTATAAGCATTCATGTTGTTGAAGTGTTATAAGCAGTGAGCATAATGCCTTATAAAGGTATGGTTTATTATGTATTATACCTTAATGCGAAAGAAAAGGCTGGGTAACATTTTACTTGACGCCTATCTCTATAATGCATTATAATCACATTATAGCACTGTATAACTATAGTTATAAACACTCATTAATGATCATAATGCTTCATAGCAATAATCATAACGCATTATAAAACATTTTATCATTAATTACAAGGTCAGGAATTATAATGTGTTATGCTTATTGTTATAAAGCCTTATAATAATTAATGAGTGTTTATAATGATAGTTACACAAGTTTATAAGCAGATTACAACACATCATAATTATATGTATAATGCATTATCTATGTGGGCATTTTCAGTGAGTTGTTAACACATTTGTAATGTCGTATGGTTATTGCTATAAAGCATTATGATCATTTATGAGTGTTTATAACTATAGTTATACAGTGCTGTAATGTAATTATAATGCATTATACATATATTTATAATGCGTTATAGAGATAGGCGTCAAATAAAGTGTTACTAAAAGCTGCATCTTTTGAATTAAATGGTTTAGTAACATCTTTTAAGTGTGACAATGATGCATTTTAAGAGGTTCATATACCGTATTTTTCGCACTCACCTAAATATATGGCGCACCATCGATGAATGCGTCTATTTTCATACATAAAGTGCACCGGATTATAAAACGCATTAAGCCAAACAAAACAGTCAGATAAATCAAACTTTATTTAACTCATTCAATAACTCTGCGAGGCTATGGTAGCTGCAGTGCTCCGACAAGCCAAACGGATTTAAAGTGTGCCTTATTGTGCGATAAATACGGTAAGTGTTATAGAGAAAATTAAGATGTCTTTGGAGAGAAACTTCCCTAATCTTCCTCTAAGTCTCAGTCTCCTTTTCCTGTGTCCGTGTCCACTCCTCATTGCAGCACGACGGTGACGTGTGGCCTCAAGACGGACTCCAGCAGACACGGGCAAACCGTGCATTGGTGACGGACACGCGTCATGGTAACGTGTCACTGATTCCGCTGCGTGGCAGTGAGAATGAGATGCGAAACAGCGTAGCAGCTTTCAGCCAAGACCCGCTTGCTGTGAGTGAACCCACCAATCAGTGGGACTAATCTCGGACAAAACCGGGAAGCTCAGTGGAAAGCTCCTGGCTAATCAGAGACATTCATGCTGCTCAGGTGGTCCCAACCCTCAACCCTAATCCTTTACTGAGGAAGAGAACAGATTTACTCTGATTATGAATTTGTTTTGTATTATTTATTTCTACATTTGTAGGCAGAACTCGATAAAGTTTTAATATTTCCGATTGAGCATGAAAAACATGTCAAAAAACAAACGCACCTCTCATTTTCTTTCTTTCTTTTTGGTCGAGGGATGTGAGGGTTGTTGCACCTGTGCAGAATCAATGATCTCTGTACCATGATTCATCATTGATTTTGTCATCATGACAAGATCTGGGTTCTTAAACTTCAAAATAGACTTTCAGGCTCCTCTTGTGAAACTCAAGTGTGTGTTCTCACGAGCCGGATTTCTAGCACAAGAGAATTAATCACCAATTTGTGTCTGGGTCTAAAGCTGTTTGAGAATCCAGATGAAGTGAGTAGGAGTAGACAGCTGCATCTTCATTTTGGAGGAGCTTTGAGTGGAGAATCAACAAAACTGAATTAGAACAAGAGTTATTTTGGTGAGGCTCTGCCAAAGCTTGCTACAAAACACCAAGGACAGAAACAAAGACCAACACATTTGAAGTGAGCTAATGCCTGCAGGCAAACTCTGGTTAACACTGAGTTTCACAGCACTGCTGCCATATCAGCTCATACAGTTGTTTGGTTTGCAAGTATCAGACGAACATCATTGTTTTTTTTTCTTTTCTGGACTATATTTTGAGTGCACTGACATTAAACTGGACCTGTTCAACAACATCAACATCACCGCTCTCCATCTGTTCCTGTATTTTCATCAGAAGTTTAAGTGCATCCATCCAAAAATATTCATTCTGCACTCGTATTTTTATGCTAGGGGCCCTAGTGTCCCCAATCTGATGATGCAGTCGTCTCCTCCTGCTGTTTGAGCCATCACATGCCTCTCATTAGACTGTAGCAGCTCATAAGAATTCAACTCATCACACTGTTACTTCTATTGGCACCGAAACGATCTCAGAGTTGCTGTGTTGCTGCCTTCCAGATATTTTTCTATTGATCCTGGTCTTTTCAGTGAATTCACAGGGTCAGATTTTTGTTTGGAGAGTGAGAGGAGGTGTGATTGCTTTGGTGATGGGGCAGCTGCAGAAGCAGGGTTCTTATGCATTAGGTTTGTGTGTATGGATGTATGTGTGAGGATGGAGGTAAGACAAATGCTACAGTCTTGTAGAAAGTCAGAGTATTATGTTAAAGATGGTGACTGTGTGCTCGAGTGTCTATTTGGGTGAGACGTGTTTATGCATGAGTGAGAGAAAGAGGATTCAAACTTTCAAGGTGAATCCAATGATGTTTTATATAACTCTTGAATGTTAAAGGGATATTCCGACGTAAGATTAAGTTAGGGTCAAACACACTGTAACACTGAGTTAGACACCCTGTCGAGAGATGAATGTTGCCGACTGCTTGCTTCTCTAGTTATACCAGCTTTAGTAACGACCGCAGAAAGCAATACACAGCGGTCTGAGGAGCCATAAACAAACCTCGACCAAACGCCACTCTACAGCCACAAATAATGCTCAGAACAGCACCTAACTTCATCAACAGTACATATAGGGTCACAGCCACAGCACTAGCCACCAAATATCTTTTTAACTTTCCCTAATTTCTTTAGCAAAGAGACTAAACACAACTCACCTACTCTCTTCCAGCAGCCGCTTGTTTGTACAGAGACCTCAGGCCGGTCCATTACGGACTACAGCGGGGTGACGCAGCTCAAGGAAGAACATTTATGATCATTTGTTCATGAAAATGCAGAGAATAAGACGCTAAAGCAGAAGAACTACCGCATCTGCAGTGCAAAATTATTAATATGATGATTATTACTTCAAGGAAATGATAAAGTAATGATCATAAATGTTCTTCCTTGAGCTGCGTCACCCCGCTGTAGTCATGATGGACTTGCCTGGAGGTCTCCATACAAACAAGCAGCTGCTGGAAGAGAGTAGGTGAGTTGTGTTTAGTCCCTTTGCTAAAGAAATCAGGTGAAGTTAAAACGATGTTTGGTGGCTAGTACTGTGGTTGGGACCCTATATGTACTATTGATGAAGTTAGGTGCTGTTCTGAGCATTATTTGTGGCTACAGAGTGGCGTTTTGGTTGAGCGCTTGGCTCTCTGTTTTGCTATCTGTGGTTGTTGCTAAAATTAGTATAACTAGAGAAGCAAGCGGTCGGCAACATTCATCTCTTGACGGGGTGTCTCACTCGGTATTATGGTGTGTTTGACCCTAACTTAATTTTACGCCGGAATATCCCTTTAATTTCCATGTGTTTACCACCTCTTCACTTGTCATAACTCTCTCTGTTGTTTTATCTTTCAGCTCTTTAGAGATGTTCGATAATGTTCACAAAAACACAGGTAAGACTATTTCAGATAACTAGCATGGAGACATAATAAAAAGGTCCTCTAAAAATAAAACTGTCACCAAGTTTGAGTTTGAAATAAAGCAACAATGTGCTTCTTTGTGTCTGCATGTTTATGCTCTCTGACCCTTGCCTTTCAGTGCACCTCTTTTCAGCAATCTAATTTCTTGTTGCCATGGCTCCCAGACACCCATAGTCAGGGTGAAATTTTTAAGCTTGACTTCTCAGGGGACATTGCTTTGAAACAGATTTTCGATGTAGCAATAAAAGCTGCAGAATTCAATGTCCTGTAACAGATGAAGAAAAATGTGTGTGAGTGAATTGTGTGTGTTTGACAACAATTTGCTTTGTTAACTTTTGGAAGGAAGGACAGCTGGCCTCAACATCCCAGGGACATCATCAGTCTGTGACCACGAGGACCTAAATGATGGACACTGTTACTGCGTGAGGGTTATCATCGCATTCTGGCTCCTCTGAATATGAACAATGGGACAGCAGGACCAAATGTAAAATGAAACCTCTGCTGGTTTCCCTGCAATGATGAATCTTGATGGTTGAACAGGATGGTTTGATGGACCACAATCACCCTGAGCTTTTGTGACTCACACTATTATGGGGCATATGCATGAAGGACATGCTGAGGGAAACAATCATCTCTGAAATAGAAGTTTGTTTCAGAGGAAAATGTAGTCTAAGTAGACTCTGTGCTCTCGGCTCTGATTTTTTGATAGAGGACTGAAGTTATTGACTTGCAGTTGTAGCTGAATCTAGATTTAAAAGTTTTGTTGTTTCCACGAGTCTTTCTGTACTTTTGCTCTATTGTTGTCGGAAGCAGTGCTGATGTCAAAGAAGACTGTGACCTGATTTAGTCCAGAGTTTGTTCCACAGGGACCAGGACGGGGACTTAGAGAGGAACTGCGAGGTGACAGACGATGGATCCTTGTTACTCTGCAAAACTTTAAACCGGTGCTGTTGAGAGTTTTGTTATTTGTTGCTTGTATCCATTTGCCTACAAACAGTATATGCACCAGTATGTGTGAATATATTAATGTGTGAATATGAAAGGATAATTATATGAAATGCTGTTGTATGATACCCTCTCTTTTGGTGAGGGAAGGAAGGAGATGTCTGTTGGCAAAATTACATCAATTACAAAAATAGTTTTATTTAAGTGATGATAAAAGTTAGATTTGCCCCTTACTTTAATTCAATATAAATTGGTACTTGAACCATTATTATTTCGATAAAATGATGTTTCACTATCCGGATCAGTTGTAATGTCTGTCATATCACTCTCTTTTCCTCACGCTCACACATTCCTCATCATTCCTCTCTCTTGGAAGGTCCTTATTAAAGCTTTAGTTTGTTATAGGTAATATACTGTATATATATTTGGACAGTTTTGTCATTAACCAGTAGTATTTATTAAGTTTTACATTATGATTATGTCACAGGGTAATGAACAACTGAGATTGTGCTCAACTTAAAACCTTTGCAGCTGTTTGTTACAGTTTCTCCATTAAAACCCACAAAAATCTGTAAATGATCTGTAAGTAGACAAAATAATAATATACCATCATTTCTCTCAGCTGAGGTTTTTTTTTGTTCAGGAGAAGAGCCATGAAACAATCTATATTCACTGTATGGACCTGTCAGCAGTGCCTTACAGGCTGCACCGAGCTGTCAATCTTTACCATATTCATGCCTTAGTGACATCTGGAGGTGTTACCTGTTATAGACATTCCTTATTTATTTCGACAGCGGAAGAGGCTGGCAGCCTGGCACATCTGCTTGTGGGACATCATAATACGTGTACATTTTAAAAACTTTCCAATGCAGCCTCTGTGAAAACTCCATGTTGTAGTGCAATTTACACTCCAGATAGACAACATTACTTCCCTATAGGTGCTTTTTATTCTTTTTTCATCTTCTTCTTTGTGATCACCATTAAATTAAACTGATTTTAGTGTTGTGAATGTCATCACACCAATAATCAGAAAGAGTGAAGGATGATCAGGATGAGTGTTTGGGCATTTATTCACTTCAGCAGAAGCTCCAAATCCTATCCCCTTTTTCCTGAGTCTCATTTTAGGGGAGTGTTTCTTCCACAGTCCTAAAGCAGCACAGTGCAGCAGTAATATTAACTCTGAATCCCATTATGCAGTGTCCACAGACCTCTTGGAGGTCTCCTGAGAGTCTTTTCTATATGCAGTCTGTTATTGTAAGGAGGACATTTCTTTCATTTTTTATGATGGATCTTAATGCTCTCTGGAAGGCAGTTGAGTTCTTTGAAAGTCTTTTTCCATCAATTGTTTCTACAAAAAAAAAAAAATCTCTTTGTACTCATCAATTTATAGAAAAACTTCCAAATGCAGGTTTGTCTAAGTTAAAGTGACTCGCAGCCTCTTTTCTGACTAATTGAATCACTGGGCTGCTGCCATGGATACAATCAATTATTTTCAGCTGTGTATTGGTAACGAATTAGGACAAAAAAATCAACATTTGTAGAGCTCCTTTTGTGTTAGTCACCATCAAAAAGGTTTTAATACATCACACTGATACAAATGTAAAATAATCCTGCATAAAGAGACAAAAGGGGCATTGAATATTTTTTTACAGGTCTGTCTTTTATTGCTCTGTTACTCTGCATTTAGCTGATTTTTCATCTCTCAAACTCTAATAAAAGCATTCACCCATAGTTGTGTGTCTGTGTGTTCTGTCTTTCTGAACATGATAATGTGTTTTTGTCAAAAAAAGGGTCTCTGAAGAGGAGACTTTTTCTCCAAAAAGTTGGCAACTTCTAGCTCTGCTTTGTCTGCATGGTCATTCACATGTTTTTGTTAAGTGCTTTGATAACAATGTAATAATGTTGTGTTATTCTTATTGTTATAAATCCTTATGATAATTAATGAGTGGTTATAATGATAGTTATACAATTTCATAAGCAAATTATAACACATCATAAATATATGTGAAATGCTTTATCTTCACACACAGACACACATACACACACTCAAGCGCACACAAAGTGAGAATTGAAGCTATATTGTTAAAGAGTCATGGCCTGACACCGAGACATTACGTGAGGAAAGAGCTATGTTTGGGAAACACTGGAGATAAAGATAAAAATAGTAAAAAGAAAGACTAACACCTGATGGACTTAAACAAGAAAGTAAATATTAAATGAACCGATAAGTAAAGGCTCTTTACCATGTAAAACGGGTATAAGAATTCAAAACCTCTATGTCGGAAACTAAGAAAAAGACTAAGAACAATAAATAATAAAATGACAGAAAAGAAACATTAAGAACTTTGATTAAAATGAACATTTGCAATAAGAGAAATATAAAAAGGCAATCAGTGAAAGGCCTGGTTAAAAATTGGTGTGACTATAATCATTTACGAGTGTTTATAACAATAGTTATACAGTGCTATAGCATGATTATAATGCATTATACATATATTTATAATGTGTTACATATAGGGATGGGAATCGAGAACCGGTTCCAAATGGTTAAATCCATCGACATCGTTTACATTTCATTTTAATGATTCCCTTAACAATCCCTTTCTTCCAGGTGCTTTGGAAAACGGTCTTGTGAGAGGCAGTCTATGCGAACGAGAACAGAGACTTTGAGGAAAAAAACATGGTGGATGGTACGAAAAGTAGGCAGAAACTATCTAAAGCATGGCTTCATTTTACTAAGAAAGACGAAAACGAGTTTTGTATGGAAGTTTTGAGTTTGTGTAGCATGGACTAACTGAGTTAGAAGCGAGTAAAAACACTCAACCTGACCAGAAAAATCCTCAAAATTTTGCGCGCTACTCCACCCTACATAGCTGTGTCCTTTTTTTGGGAATCCAGAATATGGTCACCCTAATTTGACTTAATACTGACCAAGTAAATTCTGTACAAATAGTTTGTCGTTTGATTATTTTTAGACTTTCACCGAAAGTGGCATACATCTTTTTCTGTTATCAAAGACTCAATAAAACTTTGAGTTAACATTGAAAACCTACAGTCTACTTTTTTTCCAAATCAAAGAAAGGCATTGATAAGGGAATCGTTAAAGAATCGAATCAATAAGCAGAATCTTCAATGGCATCGATATCAATAAAATCTTATCAATTCCCATCTCTATAGTTGTAGAGAAAGGCGTCAAGTAAAGTGTTACCTAATGTTCAAACACACATTTTCAAGCACAAACACCGCAGGGTTACCTTGGAAAGACACACGACACACACACTTGTGTCCATGTGGAATCATATGGGGACAAACTTTGGGGGCCTGAGGGTCTTATGACAATGTCATACAGTGAGAAAGTACATTACGTGAAGGCCTATAGATGTGCTCCCAGGAAAAATGTCAAACGTGTGTGTGTGTGAGGGGGGTACAGTGATCATATGGAGAGCCCTGCGGAGATTTCCAGAGTGTGTGTGTGTGTGTGTGAGTCATGGTGGACCACCAGCTTTCTGTTCATTCTTCTAAGCGGAGTTGACACATCAGGGTCACTCTGTACCTCGAGACACACACAGGAGAGCCCCGTCAGGGACTAACACAGGAGGCCTTCACAATAAAATTCACACACACACACGCACACACAAGAGACCCACGGGGGAAGAATGCATACACACGCTAATATGGCCTTTACTACATAGGTCACAGCAGCAGTTGCATAAACACTGGGAGGGAGGGAGACAAATGAGTGCAGTTCAGAAAAGGGACACAAGTGGAAAACAAAGAGAAAGTCCAAACTGAAGGAGAGGCGCCTCAGAGGCAGACCTACAGGTGGGCATGCGGGGACCAACTGCCACGACCTGCCAGCCCACCTGCGGTTCCTCAAAATTAACCGCAAATTATCCTACAGCTCAGTTTGTCAACCCTCCTGAAAAAGACAAACAATAGAAGACATGTCAACAGCCAACTGCCTCCAATAGAAATCTGGACATCCACCTGTGTGAGCCAATTTCCTTCATTTCCACTCAAAGCACAGGACACAGAGACCAGCGTGAGTGAGTGACACTTAAATTGGCTCTATGTGCTTCAGCGGACAGGGAAGCTCCCGTGCTCTATGAACCAAGGCAACAATGAGAACCCTGTGTGGGTTTGAGAGCGTAATACCAGCCTGCAGTCATTGTTTGCTCAAGGTACACTACACCTTATTTGTGCACAATGGAACCCTAATCCCCCTAGTTTCATCTTCAGATACACCATCATCCGGACGGCTCATGTCCAACTGCAAGAATTTAGTATCAAAAGAAAGATAGAAAGAAAAAGAAAGATTACAACAAAAGTATTTGCAGTAAATTGATATAAACCGCTCCCTAATATCAAACCACAACAAACGAACAAATGGTGATAGATCTAAACAACAACTATCTACATGTATACATTTAAAATTATGGCTATTGCATTCATTTTCCTGTTGTATAGCTTTGAGCACACAAGTTCAAATTAAAACTGAAATGTGAAAAAGGCCTGATATATCCACTGTGAAGTACTCTTCTGCAAGCACAGCACTTATATCTGTTCTTTGAAGCGGCCCTCTATTGCAGTGGGTAATTTCTGTAATGAAACATCTGCTTTCATATATAAAGGCTAGGACATGAATTTGCATAACAAGGCGCTCAGCTAATTTGACAGCAGGTGGGTGCTTTGTATCTGTTTGACAGAGGGCTAAGAGGCATCGTAGCTCAACCTCCTTCACTTGTGTCTGGGTTGATCAAAAGCAATGTTAACATTTCTAAGATGATACCTGTCAGCATTTAGCTTGATAGCATCACTTAACACACCAATGGGTGACACAACAAGGACTGTGTTTACGTATGTTCTATAAGTCCATTAGTTTCGTAGATTTTACCTCGACCAATTCATGTCATCGCAAAGTGGGGGAACTCCTTATTTGGCACAATGAAACAAGGACACCGACATTCCATGGATGATAGAGAACTGGCCAATCAGAAGGAGGCTTCTAAGAGAGAAGGATCTTATGCTGCCTTAGAGTTACCTCTGAAGTCAGAAGTCCGAGCTGGGTATGACGTCACACCTGAGTTACCAGGGTTTCAGTTACCAAGTCGGAAAAAAGCAAAATCGGAGACGAAAACAAGATGGCTACATCTACGAAAGTTATTTTAGCACTTGCCTTGTTCTTGCTTATATTCAGACAAGGCAAGCGCTAAAATAACTTTCATAGATGTAGCCATCTTGTTTCCGCCTCCTGTTTTACTTTTACCGACTTTGCTGGGAACTCGAGTGTGACGTCATTTTCTGCTGACTTCTGACTTCCGAGGTAATTTAAACGCAGCTAAAAACGACGTCACACCGAGTTCCCAGCACTTCAGTTACCAAGTGGGAAAAAAGCAAAATTGGAGGCCTGAAACGAGATGGCTACATCTACAAAAGTTATTTTAGCACTTGCCTTACATTCCGACAAGGCAAGCGCAAAAATAACATTCGTAGATGTAGCCATCATGTTTCCACTTCCGATTTAGCTTTTTCTGACTTGGCGCTGGTAACTCAGGTGTGACATCATTCCCAGCTTGGACTTCTGATTTCCGAGGTAACGCGAATGCAGCATTTGCCTACTTCTCCAGATTACTCTCTTTGTTCAGGAACACTTTTTACCACAACACCCTGGCCTGCTGTATAACTTCCACAGTCTAGCATCCTCATTAATCATTTTCTGTACCCTGGCATGCCTCAGTTCTTAATCTATAAATCATATTTTCTTGTCATGCCATATGTCCTTCATCGCACCTTCTACATCCACCTGCAGAGTTTTAGCTGCATGAGGCATCGGTACAGATTTGGATAATGACATTGCGCTCTGCCAGAACCCGCTGTCACCCCCTGCACAAGTCTCTAATCCACCTTTGATGAGCTGCAGACAAGTTCTGTAGACACACGAGATAGGATGCCTGCCTGTTTGTTCATTTTCTGTTCGTGTTTTTTTTTCCATGCTTTATGGTCCAAGACAAAACCATCGTGGCCTCAACAATCTTTGGCTTTGTTGTCAAGGAAACCAGTCCACTTAAGGTGGATGACATCAAAGTCTGATCCTCACAGCATCTCAACCATAAAACGCATGAGGTCATACTGGGTAATATTGAGTCTTATACTTATGATCTGTGGGTCTGAGCTTGTGGTGCATTAGAAGGTTGAGCAGCATGAGCTTTTATTGTCTTTTCTTGGTTATCCCTCTCACCCACTGCACCAGACTGTGGGGGCTTTAGGCAGCTCCTTCAGCAGCAGACTGAGACTCCCACCCTGCAGGACGGAGCGCTACCGCAGATCATTCCTCCCCTCTGCAATAAGACTTTACAATGAACAGTAACAAAACTGGATTTACACCATCACTTTTTTTATGGCATTTAAATTGTGTATATTGCAGAAAGCTTTATTTTTTCTTCTCCCTTTTCTCTTTTCAATTTTTTTTTTCTTAATTATTACATTTATTAAGTTCTTAATATTAGGACCCTTATTGTTATAACTGCATTTTGCACTTTCTGTCTTGTCTGTTATGCTGCTGTGACAAAAAAATTTCCCCCATGGGGGATCAATAAAGGAATATTCTATTCTATTCTATTCTATTCTAAAATTTCTTCGAAGCCTTCTGTCAGAGAGGGAAGAGATGTTTCCAGATAAAACTCCTGCTGAGCCTTTTGCTCCTTTTGCTGTTCTTACTGAAACTTAAGAGT